GGAGAATAGCGCCATCTAGCAGTAGGCTGTGACGGGGGGATAAACCGTCCGCGTTCCCTAAAACGACCAACTTGACGTATTGCGGTATCGCGCCGACGACCACCGCGGAGATGAATATGAACATAACTGTTGAAAATACGCGAGAAGAAAAGAGCGTAAAGAAAAGAGAGAAAGAGAGAGAGATAAACACGGTCAGTTTCTCAAAACATCATCAAAACAAATCAAATACGTACTCGCCATGGCGCCGACGCCGCCTTCCTCGATCGGTTTCACGAAACACTGCGAGTTTGGATTTTGAAACATCGTGTCGTGATTCACGTCGTATCTTTGCGTGTTCCCGGTGGAGTTTAACGCCGAGACGATGTGCGAGGACACGTCCAGGCCAGAGAATGGGTCTTTCGTGAGTTTCGCTCTGTGCGCGTGCGCTGACGATGCGCCTTGGCCACGAATGGTATTCGGGGAAGTCACGTGCGTGCCGCTCCCGAGACTTGGATACGCGCTGCTGGAATAATACGAATAATACGCATCATACCCGCGTTCGCCGTGTACATCGGGCAGGTTATACGCGTACACCATTCTCCGCGCTCCGTTTGAGCGTCTCACTCTCTCGAACGGAGAAGAGCACCGCCGCGGAGGACGCGCGACACACTGATGGAATAAAAATGAGGCGAAATGTGCCCCCGCGGACCTTTTTAGGGAAAGTCCACTTTTAGGGGGAAAATTCGTTACAGCACAATATACTCTCTCCGTGCGTATGCTTTCGTCGCGAATTCGATTTGTCGCGGCTCGTATATCGGCGAGATACTCTTCGAGAAGGCGCGTCTTTTCGTCCTCCTCCGTATATATGGCGACTTTTTCGATGGACGGTGACGATCTTTGTTCGAGAGAACGACAGAAAGAGAAGAAGCAGACGTTGCGAGCGCGCGTGAGAGCGAAATTGAAAGCAACTTTTTCTTCTTCTCGCGAAGAAGACGAGACGACGAAGAAGAGACGAGATGATTCGAAAGTGATTTGCGAGAAAGTGTTAGAGTTGGACGCGTTTAAAAACGCGAGAACGATGTGCGTGTACATCGCGCACCCGAAGTTACACGAGGTGGATTGCTCGGTGTTGATTCGCGAGGCACTCGATTCCTCTTCTTCCGAATTCGGAGAAGAAAGGGTTAAAGTGTACGTTCCAATCGTGGACGATAAAAACTCAAACGTTCGGTTTTTACGCGTACGAGATATAGAGAAGGACTTGGAGAAGCGAACGATGGGGATTATGGAGCCGACGGAGTTGGATTGGAGGACGAACGAGCCGCGCGAAGACGTGGCGGATTTGAAGGAAAACGAGAAGTTAGATTTAGTCATCGCACCTGGTTTAGCGTTCGACGAGACGTGTAAACGGTTAGGGAGAGGTGGAGGGTATTACGATAAGTTTTTAAGCGAAGGGAAAGGCAGAGAGGCGGTGAAAATAGGACTCGCGTTTGACGCGCAAATAGTCGACGCGGATGAAATCCCGCTCGATCCGTGGGACGTCGTCTTGGACCTCGTCGTCTCGAAGAGTCACGTGTATCGAAAAAAAGAACAGAACACATAGAAAACGTAGAATTATATACTCTGAATAGGTAGAATAGATGAACATAGTTGTTTTAGCACAGTTGTAACGCAGTCGTTTGTGTGCGACGTTGAAGCCGTTTCGTGCAACAAAACAACACCAACATTTTTCCTTTCTCTTCCCGGGAAAAGTCTTCAAAAGCACCCACGCACACATGGCCATCGACACGCCGTTCGTGTACCAAAAATCAAAAAAGAAACCTCGAAAAGACGCGGATATTTGTGAAATCAAGTGCAAAGCTTTGGCGTGCAACATTCAAAAGTGCATCGCGAGTTTACCGACGACGAAGTCTTTGGTGTCGAGCTCCACGGTGAACTTTGAGTTGTGCAGGAAAAGCATCGACCGATACGAGAAGTGCTGCGAGATTTGGCGAGAGAAGGAGAAGAAAGGAGAGGTGTACTCGTTAGCATCTATATAATCACACGTGTTTGCGCCTCTGTCGTTGAGGAGGATTTATTGTGAGTAGAGTGACGAGCGATTGTGTGTGTGTGTGTGTGTGTGTGTGTGTGTGTGTGTATTGGGGGAGCATTTGGTTTTGGAGAGAAGCCGAGCGAACGACCTCGCGCGAATCGAACGAATCGCAGATGTCTCAATCGTTTTACGCGCGGGACAAGTTCCAAGCGTCAAAGTTCTGGGTGGAAAAGTACGAGCAAGAAGCCTCGAAGAACTGGGACCGGTTTTACAAGACGCACAAGGGGAACTTCTTCAACGACCGCGAGTGGTTTTACCGCGAGTTCCCGGAATGTTTTCGTAAACCAGAATGGAGAGAGACGGAGGAACCGATGCCGGAACACATCGAAGTGGACGAGTTTGACACGACGACGGCAGAGCCGAGCGAAGTTATGAAAAGCACGACGAAAGATGAAGTGGAAGTGAAACCGTTGCCGGAGGAAAACAGGGTCTATTTAGAGCTCGGATGTGGCGTCGGGAATTCGGCGTTTCCGATTATTAAGAACGACCCGACCGCGGTGGTGTACTGTTGCGATTATTCCGCGAACGCGATCGAGGTTTTGAGGAAACGGAAAGAAGAAACGTTATCAAAAGAAGACCAGTTAAGGATACGAGAGTTCGTGTGTGACATTACCAAGGAAGATGTGTGCGAGAAAGGAGCCGTGCCTAAAAATGCGGTGGACGTGTGCACTTGCGTTTTCGTCTTATCGGCGCTGAGTCCAGAAACGGTCAAAAATGCCATCGAAAACATCGCAAACGCGTTAAAACGTAATGGCCAAGGTAGATGTTTAGTCAGAGATTACGCGGTTGGTGATTTAGCGGAAGTTCGTTTCGAAAACGCGCGAAGAGACGGACAAAAATTGGGCGACCATTTTTACGTCCGGAGCGATCGAACGCGTTCGATTTTTTTTAGCAACGAAGGTTTAGTGGAGGATTTTTGCGGCGGCGGCGGCGGCGATAACAACGATAACAAGAAGCACTTCTCTTTGATTGAGTGCACGAAGTTTGCTCGCATAATCAAGAATAGGAAAGACGAGACGGAAATGAGGAGAAGATGGGTGCAAAGTTCTTTCGTGAGAAACTAATGAGGCAGTTCGTAGTACGTATACAATTTTCATTAGGTTGACTTTTAATATATAGATAGATATATAGATAATAGGTATACTTCTTCTTCTTCTCTCTACTAACAATAACGAACAAGAAATTACGCACTCAAGAAACCTTTTTGTTCCAAAATCTTGACCATTTCTTGCGCCATCTCTCGCGGCGGCGCCAACACTCCGTCTTCCCCGGCAACCTTCATTTCAATCTCCGCATTTTCCGGCTCCTCGTACGGATCGTCGATACCGGTAAACCCTTTAATTTTCCCAGCTCTAGCGGCTTTATACAAACCTTTTGGATCGCGTTCTTCGCACACGCTCAACGGAATCTTCATGTACACTTCGAGAAACTTATCCCCGACGCGTTCTCGAACTTTCAAGCGGTCTCTCTTATACGGCGAAATAAACGACACCAACGTAATCATCCCGGCGTCCGCGAATAACTTGGAAACTTCGCCAATGCGGCGAATATTTTCCTCGCGATCTTCCGCGGTAAAACCTAAGTTCGAATTTAATCCGTGTCGGATGTTATCCCCGTCCAAAGTGACGACTTTGTTCCCTCTTTTAAACAACTCGTGCTCGAGCGTATACGCCACGGTGCTCTTCCCGGAGCCGGACAAACCGGTAAACCACAAGACGCATCCTTTCTGGCCCATAGTTTTCTCCCGAGTTTGCACATCCACGGAACCTTCGTGCCATTTGATGTTCGTGGAGTCGCCGACTTTATACGCGTCCACTTTCTCGTTCGCCGGGGAAGAAAAAGTCGTGAAGGTGGTCGCCGCCCCTCTCGGTGGTATTTTTGGTGGGTTTGTTCCTTTTTGCGCCGCTGCTCGTGCGGCGACATCTGTGTATTGTTTGTTCATCAGAGAAAGAGAGCATCAGTAAAAAGCGTTCGGTACAATCAATGCTCTCGCGTTCGAACGATACCGAGATACCAAAAAGAGACGCGCACCAAACCGACGACGACGCGAGTTCTCACGGATAGAATACATAGATTTGCACGTTCTCTCTCCACAGAAAGGAAACGAAGAGAGAGAAAAAGAGGATCGGGAAAATGAGAAAAAATGAGACACATAAACCACATCAATCACTTATCCGGTCTTCATCATCATCAAAAGAAGAAGAAGAAGAAGACGACAAGAATACGAGACAACAAGAAGAAGAAGACAACGAGAACGTGACAACGAGAGAAGAAGACTTTTTTTAATCCTACCTCTGATGGTTCTTCTCAGCGCAGAACTCATGGTAGACTGTTTTTGTTGCGTCTCGTGGTGTGAGAGGAGCGTGTTACAAAAAACTCTCGATTTTTCTCCCAAAAAAGAGCAAAACACACACAAAAATTGAAAACCCTAAACATTTTTTTTGACGGGTTCAAAAACCACCTCTTCGTTTCTCCCAAAGAAGCGCGCTATTATTTTCTATCGCAAAAGAAGAACATATTACTGTAAAGATGTCTCTCAACGAGAAGAAAAGGAGGAGATCCTCTTCATCGAAGACTTCTTTACTCAATCTCGCGTTTGGAACGGTCGGGGTTTTTACTTTAGCTTTGTCTTCTCCTTATGCGGAGGCGAAGACGCAAAAACATCATCGTTCCTCGGGAGATGATGTCGTGCATGGTGTTGGGGAAACCCAGGTCCGCGGCTCATCATCGTCGACATCATCATCATCATCTTCCTCGTCTTTGAAGAGGAACGCGAAAGAACATCACGTTCCGCTCGCGCACACGACGAAAGGAGAAAACGACCACGTGGCGTCGTTAGGAGGGAAATACGAGCAGCGCATTCAAAGCAAACTCGGCGATGTTTTGGTGCCGCCGAAAGCACCCGCTGTAAGAGTTGCGGGAGAAGGAAAATTGGGGTCGACGACGATCGAATCGCTCTCGAGAGACGGAGACGAAGAGAGAGCGAGAGACGATCGAGAGACGGACGAGACGATGAAAAAGCTGGACGGGTACTTTAATTTCGATGATAACGCGAGTAATAATAACAAAGCGTCCGAGGAGAAGAAGTTGTCCGAGGAGAAGAAGTCGTCGAATGATGATGCAGAGACCGCGGAGGAGGCAAAGACAAAGGTGGAGTTTTCAGCGTCGCGGAAAAACGAAGACGACGGATCGAAGACGATTACGTCGGGAACAAAGATTGACGAGAGTATTTCGGATAAGGACGCATTGGACGCGTACTTTTCCGCGAAGAGTAGCAGCTCACAAGCCGCGAGCGTTGCTTCGTCTTCCTCGGGTTCTTCTTCCGGCGGCGGCGATCTCTCCTCGGCGGTGAAAACGGCGCTCGACGCGCGCGCGGACGAAGATCCGTCTTTGGAGGATTTGAAGTCCTCCTTGAAGTCTGGGAAGACGGTGAATGGGGAGGAGTTGGAAGGTAAAGTGGAGACGAAGCCAATCGCCTCCACACCCAAAGCTTCTTCTTTAACTTCTTCCGTGAACATGGAAGTCGAAGCCGAGAAGCTTTTGAAAGAGGCGAGCGAAGAGACGGAGAAGTCTTTGTCGTCGACGACGAAAACTGCAGCGACGGGTTCGATTGATTCTACTTCTTCCGCTGCGGCGGCTTCGGAAAAGTCGAAATACGTGCCGATCACGACTTCGCACTCTATGCGTTCGTTGTCACCGATTGCGCAAAAGTATTTGAGACCACGCGCGACATCTGCGTATGCTTCTACGTCTTCTACGTCGTCGGCGTCGGCGGCGGCGGCGGCGGCCCCGTCTTTACACTCGGATTTGGCCTCGTCGGCTCGATCTCTGTACAGTCGCGACGCGTCGACGTCTGGTAAATCGGCGTCATCGAACACGAACTCAATCGCGGCCAAGTACGCGAACATGTTCAGTTCGAGATCGAGCGATGCCTCGTCCTCCTCGGGTAAACCGTCGACGGGCTACGCTACTCGATCAACATCGTCGAAAGTCTCCGTCGCGCACCCGTACGCGACGAACCCATTTTCAGTGTCGCACACGTCCGTGCGACCGAAAGTTGCCTCAATCATGAGCCGATTTACGCCCAAGGATACGCGCGAAGCGAAAGCCGGGATGAATCAAGACGATTGCGACGAGATCAAAGAGGAGTTGGAAGACGTCAAGGACGAAAACAACACTTTGGAGGAGCAAGTCGCGATCGAGGAAGCGCAAAACAGAGTCGAGCAAATCGAACAAGAGATTCGCATCGCGGAACAGGAAAAGATGCTCACGGAAACCAAGCTGGACGCGATTCAACCGGAAGAGCCGCTGACGGAACCGGAGTTGGAGGATAAGTTGGAAAAGTTGACAACGAAGTTGGAAGCAATCAACGCGCAAAATGAAATCATGACGGAGCAAACGGAAGTGTTAAACGCGATGTCGAAGATGTCTTCCAGCTCATCAGAGTACAAAGAGTTGGCGGTCAAAATGAGCGAGTTGAACGATGCGTCTGAGGCGGTGAAAGCAGACGCCGCGGGTGTGCCGCAGCCGGACACCTCCGAAGCAGAAGAGTTAGCCTCGCAGATTGAAGAGTTGCAATCCAAGTTGGAAGAAGCCGAAGCTGCTTTAGAGGACAAAGACGACGAGTTGGACGAAGCCAAAGGGCAGATTGATGAGGTGTATTCCGACTACAAGGGCGCGAAGGACGACGCCGAGAACTACAAAGACGACGTCGAAGACTTATCCAAGCAATTGGACGACGCAAATGCGGAGATTACGACGGATAAGGTCACAATCAGCCAAGTGCAAAGCGAAGAAGCGCAAGTTAGTTCCGAGAAAGAAGTGTTAGCGGCGGAGAATTCGCGTTTGCAAATGCAGTTGTCTTCCTACGACGCCGAAAAGGAGAAGTTGATTGAAGAGATTCAAACGCTCGGCGCAACCGTCGACGACATGGATGAAAGACAAGCCAAGTTGGCGGAGTTGGACTTGCTCAACAAGAAGATCGAGTTGGTCGAAGAAGCGAACGCCATGAGTGAAGTGTTTAAGCTCCAAGAGGAGAACTTGCAACACCGCGCCGAGGAAATCGAGGCTGAGAAGGAAAACCTCGACGCCACGGGTACGCCGTACACTAACAAAGCCGCGACCGTCGAGGACATCGATGAAGCCATCGAAGAATCGAAAGAAGTGTTGAAAGAGGTCATCGATGACCAAGACACTCGCGACGAAGATCTCGCCTCGACGGCAGAAGACAGCGAGAACGAGGTGCAAACTGTGTTGAAGTCTGAAGTTTCGTTTCCGACGGATTCGAGCTCGAGCGTTTCGAGTTACACTTCTTCTCCCTCGTCCAAGTACACGTCCACTTCGTCCTCGTCGTCCTCGTCCTCGACGACTTCGAGTAGCAGCAGCAGCAGCAGCAGCAGCGACGACGATGATTCGAGCAGCATCTTAAACTTCTCGGGCAACGACGAAGAAGTTGAAGTGCCAGCGGGTACGCCGGCGGCGGTTGCAGACGCCATGACGAATGCGAACGAAGACAAAGCCGTCGTAACGACTATGAAGAATCGAGACACGAACAGCGTCGTTGATCTTAACGACCCAGTTGTTGAAGTCGATGTCAGCGCGTCGAAAGGCATCGACCTTATTCGCGAATCGGAAGCGAAAGGAGTCAAAACGGGCGAGTCGTATCCGGTGCAAGAATCGATCGATGAGATCTCAGCTGCGTTGCTCGCCGTCGACGAAGGTAAAGCCGTAGAAACCACGCTTCTTTTGAAAGGCGTTACGGCGGCGAACTTTACCGAGGCGGACGAAATCGCCGCAAAGGGCGTGTTTGCCGAGGCAGTGGACGCTAATCTTGAAGATGTCGTCCTCGTTTCCGTTCGCGATTCTGTCATCGGCGAAGAAGCAACCCTGGCGAAAGCTCCGAAGGATGGCGCAGCGGATGTCAAATCGAGAGCGAAAGAAGCGGTGTTGAGAAGCCGATCTATTGCACGCCACGCCGCCGCGCTCGGTTTGGCGCAATCTAGACCCGAGCTTGGCGTTTCTACTTCGTCGTCGTCGTCTTCCAGCGGTCCGAGAAAGGCGCTCAAGGAAAAGACGAACGATGACGACAGAGACTACTTGAACGAGTACATCAAGAAAGTGAAAGCAAAGAAAGATGCGACTTTGAACGCTGCCGTGGCGAACCGAAAGAGCACTTCGAAGTCGTTTGCGCTTCCGACTACGTCCTCGATGAAGATGTCTTTGACGAACAAGGACAAGGTTTCTTCATCCTCCGCAAAACCAGCAGGTGCAAAACCTATGGCTATGGCTAAATCCAAAAACTTCGCCGCATCCACCACCGAAGAAACAACTACTGCGACCGCTGCGACTGATGGAGAAACTGCCACGGAAATCCGCATGGTTGTCTTAACCGACGACGTGGACTCGAAAGAGCTTCTCATCGCTGAACGCTTCTCCGACCCAGACGTCCTCGGCGCCATAGTCGCTCGACTCCAAGCGTCTGGCGCCCCGGCTTTAGCTTCGGATGTCGATGTTACCTTAATCGAACAACGGAAGAACAAATACGACGAATTCTTTAGCTTCCTCCCGGAACCGGTGCGCAACGCCATCCACTGGACCGCCAACAAAATCGAGTTTGCCTTCGAAGGCCTCCGTGACTGGCTCGTGGACACGTTTCATTTGACCATTAGCGAATCCGACGGTATTACCGGTGCCATCATGGGTGGCTTAGCTGTCGTTATCATCTACTTGGTCTTGCGCTCGATGTACCGACGCTTCGTTCGGTATCGATTGAGACAAAAGAACAATAGAAGTAGCGGGGGTTACGGGGGTGGAACGAACAACAACGACGAGAGCAGGCCGTTGTACAGAGAAAGTTCGGAAACGAAAGGCGGTCAAACCACCACTCGAGAGTACTCCTCGCAGCAATACGGAACGACTCCGCCGGTGAGCCGAGGCTATTACGGCGCGGGAGCGGGACCCGGACGAAGATAAAGATACCAGAGATATTTCAAAGCCGCGAGAAGAAAGTACCTCACGTACTACTATAACACCAGAACAAACATAGAACATAAAATCATCGCTCGAAAACAACGAGAGGAGATTACTTTTAATTTATTACACTTTACTATACATACATCACATATCATCTACCTCTGCGAATTTGAAAAGCGGTATTTACGTCACGCGACGGAAAAATCGAGAGGACTTGACTGTTTTCCCCCTTTGAAGGGGTCTCTATTTTTTATGACTCAGCAATAATTCCCCACTTTTCTCTCTCTTTTGCTTCTTCTCTATCGCATCAAACGAGAGCGCAAAATCCATCTGACTTGCTAAAAAGTCTTATTCTTCACGTTATTATTACTCTATTATAATAAAATGACGACGTATTTCTCCGAAATCGGCAAATCCATCTCCAACGTCCTCACGAAAGATTTGAAATTGAGCGATAAAATTACCATCAACAGCACCGCGAATGGGACGAAATCGGAAACTCTCATCAGCACCAACACTTCCTCGTTGAGCAATAAAACGACCATCTCGCGAGATGTCGTCGATGGCATCAAAGCGGACATCGTTTTAGACGCGAACGTGAAAACAGTTTTGGCGACGTTGACGGCGACGGATGTTCTTTTGAACGGGATGAAGGTTGAATTGAAAACCGGGGACGTCTCCAAAATTGGTGCGTTGAAAGCGAACGTTCTGGAAAAAGCGTGCGCGCAATACGCAACCGGAGGCGTTGGCGTCAAGTGCGAAATGGCGTTACCGTCGCCAAACGCGATATCTGTGAACGTGTGTTCGGATATTCTGGGCAACGGGACGGTCGTTGGTGTGGATGGCACGGTGACAACCTCAGGGCAAGTGCAGTCGTACGGCGTCGCCTTGCAAAAATGCCAAGGCGATACCACCTACGCCTTAGCCGCCGATAACGGTCTCGACCGGTTAAAGTTTGGAATGAGCTCAAAGTTAAATTCAGACGTGAACGGTGCGATTGAGTGCGTCGTCGGGAGAAGTTCGGGGAGTTTGGCGTACGCGGTTGGTTTGCAAAACTCCAACTCCGGGGCGCGCGCGGTGTACAACAGCCAAGGCACGGTGGATTTGGCGAAGGAGCTTTCGATTTGCGACGGCGCGAAAGCGAACGTGGTGGTGCAAGCGCACTTGGCGAGCAAGACGTACAAGACTGGCGTGGCTTTTGACATCAAAGCGTAATTGTTTTAATAATAAGATGAAGAAGGGAGAGTGTGTGTGCGCGTTCATGCGCACATATTTATGATGTGAGAAAAAGAAAGGGAGTTGTTGTTTACCTAAATGTTAATAATAATAATGATATACAAAATAATGATATATATATATATACACACACACACAATTATAAGGCTATGCACACAATAGATGCAACCAATTTCAATAGAACGTACCGGTTTGATGAGCGTGCCCGCTAAAATCTTCCACCGATTCTCGAGCTTTCAATTCGACCAAGCGCGTCGCGCGAACTACATCCGCTTCGTTCTTGAATTCCACCGCTTGCTTATCTATTGTATCGAGCACAGTCGCTCTTTTCTTTGCTTCCGGTGCGGTTAAACTCCCACCCGATAACGTTTGCATGAGATTTTCGAGGTCGGAGTTGGTGGAGGCGATGGACGCTTGCGAGTCCGTCTGTTGAAGCGTCAAACCGTTGACGCCTTGTTCTCCACTCGCAGCGGCTGCAGCAGCTGCAGAAGAAGAGCCGCCTTGGAGTTGTTGCATGGCTAACAAAGCGTTATTACTGTTGTTGGAAATCGACCTGTGTAAAAGACTTTCGGAAATGTTGAACGAAACTTTTGAGTTTTTGTGCATTTCCGGAATGCTTTCCATGCTCAGTTGCGTCTTCATGACCCCGTCTTCGTCCTTCAAATAATGCACGGGAAACGATACCTTGTCGTCCTCGGGTTTTGCAATCATCTCTCGTCCACGGATGACGGTGGAAAGATCATGAACGTCGTTCACTGCTCTCGTGACAGCTCTCCATGGAGATTTGGCGTTATCTTTACCCATCAGCGCTTTCTTTTTACCCCATTTCGCAATCGATTCGGACAATTGCGCTTGCGCTGAACGCTCGTGTTCTCTCGCTTCCTCCAATCGACGTTTGGTCACAATCATAGCTTCGTTTACTTCTTGAATTTCTTGTTCCATGGTACTTTGCGCGAAATACAAAGCGTCGTCGTACGCTCTGTCCGCGGTTCGCGCGTACGACTGCGCAACTTCTAAAGTCGTCTCGCAAATCTTCGCGTCCAAGTTTGCCGTTTCCGATTTCTCTCTCGCTTCTCGTTCAACGCGAAAGGCTTCGTAAAATTGCGAGATGCCTTTGGTGACCTCCTCTTCGCACTCGGCTAACAAGTGTCTGGTAGAGGATTCTAACGCGTTGAGTTTGGCAAAATGTAATGAAATTGGCGCGTTCATGGCTTGCTCCGCGCGATTGTGCGCAACGAATGCCGCTCGAGCGTCGTTGTTCAACGCGCGCGAATTTTGTTCGTCTTTTGGCTCTGGGCGATGCCTCGAACCTTCATCTAGTGCTCTTTGTAATCGACTGCCTAACGCAGTGTACGCTAAGGATAACGCCTCGGACGCTTTCGTCGCTCTGGTGACAAACTCTTTTGTTTTAGAATTAACTTCAATGACCGTTTCCTCAGTCAGTTCGTTAATGGCATCTTTAAACGTCATCATGGCGCCGTTGCGCCTTTTCTTCCACAATACCAGAGCGGCTTTGGAAGTTTCAAAATCTCCGACGGCTTTCGCCAGTGCGACGTTCATATCTGTTCGAATTTCTTGCGCGCGCTCCAATCGATTCTCGGCCGTTTTCAAATCTTCGTTCGCTAACTCTCTCCTTCTGGTCGCAATCTCCAAAATCTTTTGCCGACGCTTCAGTTTCTCCTTCACGACGGTTTCTCGCGTCATGGTATCTTTTACCGCTTGCATGGCGGATTGTAACGTCCATTTTGCGCTCGAGTGCGCCAAACGCGACTTTTCCAACTCTGCTCTCGATAACGCGGCTTCAGCGTCGCCGGTTCTCGCCCAGTGCGTCAAAATAGTCAAAGCGACGGGTTGCTGTCGCTCTCGCCGAGGCGACGTGGCATTACCGGTGTTGGTTGGAGAGGAACCTCCGCTCGCCGCCGCGGAGGTGGTTGAATCGTAGCTTTCAATCTTTTCTAAAAATTTGTGCAACAAGTTTGAAATTCGCTCGCTGTCGTATACGAACGGCCTCTCCTCTCCCTCCTCCTCTTGAATGTCCATCGTTTCCACGCTTCTCGTCCGTCTCGTTTTTTTACCTTTCCGAATTTCTTCTTTCAAATCTTCAATTTCCGGCTGCAACTCTTCCCGAGTGATTCCAGTCGAGATGATCAATTCCACTAATTTTTTCCTACTATCGTTCGAGTTCTCTCGCAAACGTTCCGTCTCGCCTTCCGCGGCTTGCAATCGCGCGTGCAACACCTCCGACCGCGCTCTCTGTGTACTCACAGAAATCCCGTGAAACCAATACTCTTCTTCCTCGTAGTCTTCATCTTCAAAGTTACCGCCGGCAGTACCGGTTCCTCCGCTGTTTTCCGTGTCCTCGTTTTCAAACATTTTCGAAACGTCGATATCTTCCGACGAGAACGAATTATCGACATTAATAATGCCACCACCGCCGTTATTCTTCGATCCGAGAGTCTTATTACTGTTACTATTACTATTCCCTCCGCCTCCTCCTCTCTTCACGTTTGCAATCTCCTCCGCTAAATCCTCGCTATCTCTCTTACTCCCTCGAAATAAACTCGTTGACCAGTGCCTCGTCTTCTCCTCTTCCTCTTCCTCCACCAGCGAGTCGTCTTCCATCACGTCCACTAAATCTGTCGCGAACGATATCCGCTTCACGCCACTTTTCGTCCCCGTCGGCGACGGAGGGAGTCTCGAGAAAATGTTCGACTCGGTATTTCTCTCCGGACTGGACGCGCCGCTCGTCGTCGTCATCTCATCAACGGAGTTGTTGTTATTATTACTACTACTGCCATTCCTATCGTTCTCGTGCACTCGAGAGAGGTCAATCTGTAACGCCCCGGCGCTCCCGGCTTTCTTCAATCGACTCGCGTTGCTCATGCTCAAGGTATCGTCCTCCCGCAAACTCACCGCGTTGGACAATAAAAACTCGTAATTTGGCGACGGAGGCGGCGTTTGATTTTGGAACCGATCGTGACTCGCGCTTTTTAATATCCCTCGTCTCTGTTGTTGTTGCGGTGGTTGCTGCTGCTGCTCCTGCTGCTGTTTGTTCTTCTTATTCTTCGTATTCTTCGCGTTGTTGTTCTTTTCGCTGTTCGTGCTGCTCGAGTTCCCGCTCTTCCGATCCGACGCAGACGAGGGATTGGAAACCGTTGTCGTCGTTCCCAAAGCGTGGAGAACATCTTCCCTAGAGGAGGAGGAGGACGACGTGCGCTCACCCAAAGCCGACTCTGTTGTTAGCGTTGTCTGGGTGAACCTGCTCTTTCCCGAAGAAGAGGCACCATCACCTTCACCGTTCTTCGTAGTCGGAGAGGACGAGACGCAACCCATTTTTATTAAGTTAATGTATACGTGTTTTTAGTGAAGCAGGGTGAGTGAAAAAAATGGATGAAATTTGAACTCAACATGTCATATTACATATCACATATTAGTGCCGACCATCGATCGACGCGTGATAAGTATCAAAACTTCGCCTCTAAACTCAAATCGACGACCGCCCTCTTCTCCAACGCGATTTGCACGGGCGCGGGGAGTAAGGATTTCATCATCGCCGTCGTCGGCGCTGCTTCGACTTCGCTCGCCGCGACGAGTTCCGCGGCGGCTTTGCGAGCGCTTTCGAGTAAATATAAATCGGTCGCTAAACTCGCGTGGAATAACTCGACGCTGTTTCCGGATTGTTTGGAACCCCACAGATCGCCGGCACCGCGAAGTTGTAAGTCTGATTCGGCGACGCGGAAGCCGTCGTTGGTTTTTTCGAGGACGGTGAGGCGGTCGCGAGCGCGTTCTTCGCGATCTTCGTCCGGGTTCGGCGTGTTTAAGAGGAAGCACCGGGACTGACGAGAGCCGCGACCGACACGGCCGCGGAGTTGGTGCAAAGCGGCGAGACCGAAACCTCCAGATCCGCCGCCACCAGAGGCGTCGATGACGATCAAAGAAGCGTTTGGGACGTCCACGCCGACTTCGACGACGGAGGTGGCGACGAGACATTGCGTTTCGCCTTTGGCGAAGAGATCCAGAGCGTTTTGTTTCTCCTCCGAGGAGAGTTGGCCGTGTAAGAGACCGAACTTGACGCTTGGAAGTCTGAGCTTTAAACGCTCGAATTCTTCCTCCGCGCCTTTGGTCTGGTTCTTCTCCGTGTCTTTGTCCGAGACATAACGCAAGATGACGTACGCCTGACCGCCTCTTTGCGTCTCTTCTTGGATGGCTTCGAACGCGATTTCGTGTTCAGACGGGTCGAGAACTTTCGTATAGATTGGTAAACGACCGGCGGGTTTCTCTTCGATGACAGATAGCGCCATCTCACCGAACTTAGTCATCGCTAACGTTCGAGGAATGGGCGTCGCAGACATGGTCAACATGTGCGGCGGTTCCCCACCTTTGGAGAGGAGTTTGGCGCGTTGGTTGACGCCGAAGCGGTGTTGCTCGTCGACGACGGCTAAACCGAGCGATTTGAACTTTACATTTTCGTTGATTAACGAAGTCGTGCCGACGACGATGGAAATCTCTCCAGATTCAATCTTCTCGTAAATCAGTTTCAACTCTTTTTGCTTCGTACTCCCGGTGATGATTTCACACTTTGGCGCATCCGGGCCCATTTCTCTCAACAAGTCCGATAAAGTTTTGTAGTGCTGATTGGCTAAGACTTCCGTCGGGGCCATCAGTGCGCCTTGGTGTCCAGCTCCCACCGCCGCGAGTAACGCCAACGCGGCAACGACGGTCTTACCGCACCCGACGTCGCCTTGGAGTAAGCGCAACATCGGCGCCGGACCGGCCATGTCGGTTAAAATCTCCTCCAACGCTTGGTCTTGCGACCTCGTCAAGGAAAACGAGAGCTCTTTGCGAAGTTGATCGCACAAGTGCGTAGAAACGATGGAAATACCTTCCTTATCGCCTTCGCCTTCGTTCTCCGCGGCTAACGATTGTAAGCGCTTACGTTCACCCATTAATTGAACTTGTAAAATCAAAAGCTCCTCAAACGCTAAGCGTTCTCTCGCGCGAGCGACTTGTTCCACCGTTGCCGGCGCGTGAATGCTCGCGACGGCTTCCGCGTGCGAAACCAGTTGTAACTCTTTCAACAAAGCGTTTTCTTTACCCAAAGAGACTTCCAACGGATCGCCTTTGAGTTTCTTCAAGAAAAACTCAAGCGCGCGAGGGATAGCTTTGTGCCACTCTTCGTTCGTCATGGACGCTTTCTTGGCGTACGTGGCGACGACTTCGCCGGCTTCGCCGATTGGCGTGACATCTTGAGCATCGGTTAGAATTTTTGCGGACTCGACGGAAAATTCAGAACCAGTAAAATTGCCTAAAGTTCCTCGCACTTTTACGATCGCGTCTCGCGTCAACGAACTCTTGACGTCTTTGGTCAAGTACTCCCAAATTTTCACTTTGAACCGTTGCGGACTTTTGCCCCAACCCTCTCCTTCGCTAGCCTCGTTGGTTTCGGACGTTTTCACTGTTTCCAACGTAATCACGTTCGGTTGCCTCGACCTCCCACGAGTAAACGGTGCAACTTGGACGCCGACGACGCGGCCGAGTAAGGAAACCGACGTGCCAGGTCGCAAATCGTTGGACATGGGCGAATACTCTTGGTATTTTCGCGGACATACGCGCAAAATAGCCTCCACGGTGTCCACGCCTTCAGTTTCTAGCGCTTTCAAAGTTTTCTCGTCCAGTTCGTAGGAAGATCCTGCGCCGAACGCCTCTCGAATTGGCGTCTCTTTCCACGCGTCTATGTCGTTGCGAAGCGCCCGGAGATCTTTATCATCGTTCTCGTCCGTGGTCGAAAGCTTTGCAAAATCGAGCGTTGGTGGCGCAAATCCGTTGATTGGATCAGCTTGCGCCCAAAACGGTCGCTTTAAACGATTTCTGGTTTTCGCCTCCTCGGACTCCTCCTTGTTTTGTTGCTTTAAGTTGTACATGATTGAGGAAGAATCGTCGTCTCCGCCGTTGAAATCTTCGTCGACGCCAAAGTCTTCGCCGCTCATGGCGCGGACGTTTTCCCACGCGTCCACGGCATCGGCAATGCCACCAGTGGACGTTCTCGTGGTACCTCCCGAAAACCACGGTTGATTGGCCGGTGCGCCCGTCGTCGACGACGTCGCGGCGGCGATTTGCCTTTTCAAAGATCCCGCGCCCGGATCGCCGAGCGAAAACGAATACGAATCTAACAATCCTACTTTATCCTCCGAGAAGCGAGTGTTTGCTCTCTCGTTATCCGCTAAAAGCTGATGAATAATTCTAGAAAGCACCTTAACGTCTGTAAACGCTCGGTGCATCATGTCGCCTTCGTTGATGGTGATCTCGTAGTGTTCTCTCAAAGCATCTAAGGTGAACTTTGTATTTCCCGATTTCTTCAAAACGGATCGAGATAAAGGTAAAGTGTCTAAAAACCGCCAGTGCGAAGGCATTTCGCGGCCAAGTCTCCAATACTCTCTCTGTAAAAACGAACTGTCGAATTGCCTCGCGTTGTGCGCGGCTAACAAAACTTCGCCGCTGTACGCGCCGTCCCCAGATTCTTTGTTTTTCAATCGCGCGGCTTCGATGAACGCTTCGAATCGTTCGGCAGCCATTTGAAAACTCGGAATATCTGGCGCGGATACCATCGCGTTCGTGATGCCGGTGAGTTTTTGAACGTGCGACGGGATAGAAAATCTTCCCGGGTTCACTAAGGTTTGAAAATTTTTGATATCTGTTCCATCTCCCGCCACCGAGGCCGCCGACGTCACGTCGGACAAATCCACGCAAGCGATTTCAACGATACGATCGCGTTCTTTAGATAAACCGGTCGTTTCTAAATCGAATACAATAACCGTAGGCATTTTCTTATCTTTTACATCTTCGACGATTGGTTGTTTCGATGCCACGGAAGATGACGTTTCCTTTCGCACGGTTGAGGAAGACAACACCCCTAAGCTCTTCATAGAAGATGAAGAGGAGGTGGAGGAGGAAGAAGAAGAAGAAGAAGAAGAAGAAGAAGGTGGTGACGATGCGGTTCTTTTCGCGCTCGGCGGCGGCTGCCACCCGGCGACAACTTGAGCGCTACCATTAAGACCACCACCACTCGTGCTACTTTCGTTCCCACTCGCGCTTCTCTCGTCGTTCCTCGTACCCTTTGAATCACTCGCGTTACTCGAAACCTCTGCCAACACAATCGGCAGCGCCCCTTTCATGTTCGTCAACATCCTCTCGCGTTCGCTTGCCGGTAACCGTCCGTATAAAACTCCATCCTCCTTCATCCTTCGAACCATCGCGCTCGACTTTACCGAGTTCTTCACCGCGGCGTCCTCGCTCAACAGCGTCAACTGCGCGGTTAAAAACTCTTCAAAATTGCTGTACTTTTTCCCTCTCGCGTTTAAACACCCGGTTCTGATTTCGTACGATAACCCTTTTTCCAAAGTTGTGAGGACTTCGTTTTTGAGAAGAAACTTTCCTTCCTCTTCCAATAATCGTTCTTGCGCCGACGACGCTATCGAAGACGCGTTTGAAGCATCTCCTCCTCCTAATCCTTTCGACACCGAGGACGCAAAAAAACTCCTCCTCCTCCTTGCGTTATTCATTCGTCGGGGAAACGTCGGTGTCGTTGTCATACTCTTTCGTCGTTCCAACATCGCATTTTTTGTCGTCGTCGTCGTCGTCGTCGTGTTTCTGCTCGCAGAGAGAACGCCGCTTCCCGATGACGATGCGTTCAAACAGCTTCGCATTGTATTCGAGATGTTGAACAAAACCGATGATGATGATGATGATGATGAGACGCTTCTTCTTCCTCCTCTTTGTTTTTGAAACAAGCAGCGCATGTAATAACGACGCGCGAACAAAAACGAAATCTCTCTTCTAAATCTCGATCTCTCGTTCTCTCTCTCGTGTATTCGCGCGCGTAAATAGAATAACACCACTGCTCCTACTCCTACCGCTGCTTGCTTCAGTCTCGAATGTTTAGGGTTTGCTACCCTACACTTGAAAGTCTTTTAGGAAGGATTGTTTATCTATTGCCATTAGTGCGGCATTAAAACAACAGCGAACGACGACAGATTATGCGACGACTTCGACGAGAACAAATATGATGACGACGAGAGGTATTAAAAGTAGTAGCACGGGTGGTCATTTTTTGCAGTTAAAACGGTGTTGTTGTTACGAGTGCAACGATGATGATAAAAACACCAAAGTCATACACACTAGGGAAAGGTTGCGGAGAGGAAGTGGACGCCGCCAACAACGAAAGCGTGGTGGTGTTTCTATTATTCGAGCGGCGAAGGCGACGAGTCAGATTCAGACGACGGGAGAGGAGAGAGACGACTTTTTGGACGATTCAGGGGGCGAAAAGAGGAAAGGCGATGCGAAGAATACCATCGAAATGGTGTCTCCGTTTCAAGACGTGGCAGATGCCATGCTGAGGAAAGGCAAAGTGCGCTCAGAAGAAGATGAAGAAGAAAACAAGAAGAAGATATATCCGAGACTGACGAAAGAAACTGTCGACGAAGCGTTGGAGGAAATCCGGCCGTACGTGATCAACGACGGCGGAAACATCGAAGTGGTCGCGGTTTCCGAGGAAGACGGGATCGTGGCGGTTCGGTTGTTAGGCGCGTGCGCGTCGTGCGCGAGTTCGCAAGCGACGATGAAAGGCGGCGTGGAATCCGTGTTGAGGAAAACGTTCGGCGAGAAGGCGTTTAAGGAAGTAATCAACGTGAGCGGAGACGTCGGGCAGGCGCCTCCGGAGTTGACGAAAGAGGCGGTCGGAGCGCACTTGAAAAGCATCGAGGATAGAGTGAAAGGGTACGGGGGCGTCGTGAAATGTTTAGAGGTGGACGGGAGGAAAGGGAACGTCGTTTTGGGGTTTCGAGGCCCGAAGCCGTTGGCCGCGGCAACCGCGCAGAGTTTGCAAAAGACGTTTCCGTTCATCAAGACGGCAAGTTTAAAAGAGTTGGACGACGACGACGACGACGATTAGATTAGATTCATGTTGCGCTCGTTTCTTACTAGTAGCAGTTTGTATAACACAGAATAGGTTCCAAATTATATACTAGGTAATAATAAAAGCTCATCGTATTCGTATTCACTCGCCGAGATTTTTAAACGGTGTAATTCACCACCGGCAACTTCTTATCGATTCTCTTGATGATGCCGGAGATGACTGTCCCGGGTCCAACTTCCGTGCCACCTTCCAAACCTTCCTCGATCAACTTTTGCATGGACCCTTCCCATCTCACCGGGTTCGTCACTTGCGTCGCTAACGTCCTTCTGATCGAATCCGCGTCCGTGTGTGGTTGCATGTCGACGTTGGAAATGACCGGTATTCTCGTCGCGTTGATGGGAGTCTCCGCCAACTGTTTCTCTAACTTTTCCACCGCGGGTTTCATGAAATCCGTGTGAAACGCGCCGGCAACCGCTAATCGAACGGCCATTCTCGCTTTGAATTCTGGTTTTGCAATCTCTTCGACTTTCTCGATCGCCTCGATGGCACCACTCACCGCGTAGTTCCCGTTGCACAAATAGTTTGCCACTCGCACGTCTTTCCCGCTTTGCTCGCTCGCCACTTTACACAACTCCTCGCACTTGTCCGAACTCAACCCAATAATCGCCGCCATGCTGCTCGGCTGCGCATCCGCCGCCGCTTGCATGGCTTCGCCTCTCAATTTCACCAGCTTCAACCCATCTTCAAAAGAAAACGCCCCGGCGAACGCCAACGCCGTGTATTCGCCTAAACTCAATCCCGCGCACACGTCCACGGCGTCGATATCCGCTTGCCCTTCCGCGGTTGATTTCATCTTTTCCAAAGCCGCCATCGAGGACACGTAAATCGCCGGTTGCGACACTTCCGTCGAGTTCAATCTTTCCGCCGGTCCGTTCACGCACACGTCGAGTAAATCGTACCCTAAAATGTCCTTCGCCGTGTCGAACATTTTTTTCGCCTCCGGGGAGGTTTCGCACAACTCTTTCGCCATGCCGACGTTTTGTGCGCCTTGACCGGGGAAAAAGAAGGCTTTTTTCGCGCTGCTTTCGATCGAGACCGAGACTTTAACTCGTTGTTGTCTTCGTCGCTGAGAAGAAGAAAATCTGCGATACGAAAGAGAGAACAACATCACGTTTATTAGTCGCAGTACATTTGCAACATTATCCACAACAACAACAACAACAGAATGGAAATAAGAAGAGCTCTTTAATCGAAGAGAGAAAAAAGAAAGAGAAACGAGTTCAGAGAATAAAAAAAGACTTAGAATCCCACAACAAAACGCACCTCCTCACGGTATTCCTCCTCTCATTTCGCGCGCACGTGTGCGCGAACCTTTGTTGGTGGTACTGCTGTTGCGCTTGTTGCATCATCATCATCATCGACTGCTTTTTTTATGATGATGGATTTTTTTTTTCTGACTCGGCAAAACAAAAAGCTTGGCTCGCAACAACGGAAACCCTAAATGAAAAACAAAAGGAACGGGTTCCGTTGAAATTTTCGAAAAATCAAATCTCGCAAAAAACAACGCGACACAAGAAGAGAAAGAGTCACATAAGAGAGTCAACATCATCAATCTCGTCGTCGTCATCCTAAAGGAGTTTGAAATTGTGTTTGAGGGATCATCAAAATCGAGTGCATTATTTCATTGTGTGTTCGTGCGCGTGTTTTGAGAGCTGCTTTGTTGAGAAGAGTTTTTCCACTTCCATTTAGAATAAAAGAGAGAGATGGAGGCAACCAACGACATTACGAAGACGACGAACGAAGACTCCTCGCTCGCTTCTTCGGCACCGAAGAAGAAAGGGGAAGAAGAGGAAGAGAAAGAGTGGGACGTCTGGCGCGCGGCCGCGTACGGGAACCAAGAAAAGCTCGAATTTTTCGTGAACAACGCCCCGTCTTCTTCGATCATAATAGATGCGAAAGATGCGAACGGATTTCGGCCTTTACAGTGGGCAGCGTTGAACAATCGCGTCGCGATCGCGAAGTATTTGTTGGATTTAGGCGCGGACGTGAACGCCGGGGACGACGAACGGCAAACAGCGTTACACTGGGCAGCAGTGAGAGGCGCGTTACCAGTCGCGGAATTACTCTTGCAGCGAAAAGCAAAGCTGCACAATCAAGATGTTCGCGGGTACACGGCGGCGCACGTCGCCGCGCAGTACGGCCACGCTTCGATGTTGTACCATTTTCTGTTGCGATGGAATTTAGACGTGAATTGCATGGACGAAGATAGGCGATGTCCATTGCATTGGGGCGCGTATAAAGGGTTTAAAGACGTCGTCAAGTTACTCTTGGCGTTTGACGCGGACGTGATGCGCCCGGATAGGGAAGGGTGCACGGCGTTGCACTGGGCGGCGATACGAGGGAAAGCGGAAGCAGCGCACGTTTTAGCCTTATGTGGCGGCGAAGAGTTGTTGAAAGCGCGAGATACGGATGGAAACACCCCATCGCAACTCGCCATGGAGAAAGGTCACAAGAGTTTATCGAACATGTTGACCAATCAGTTGGTGACTCTCAAAGAAGGCCAGACGTGGTGGTCGCAAAAAGGCATGGCGATATTCTGTTTAGCCGTCGTGTGCGGGTTGACGTTGATGTTTGTGAATTTTGTCGTCGTCGGACCGCTAGGGACGCCCCGCGTGGACGTCGCGTTAGCAGCATGGTCGTGGATGGTGGTTATTAGCTCAATCACCGGTTTGATTTTCTTTTGGCGAGTGGCGAATACCGATCCCGGATTCGTATCCACGCGAGCGCAGTTAGCCGCGAAGAGTTTGAAAAACGCGTCGTCGTCGGTTGAAAATCTAATCAACCACAGCGACGATATCGACGACATTGAAAAAGGATCAGGATTAGGAGGAGGAGGAGGTAGTAGTAGTAGTGAAATTACCTCTTCCTCCGCCGCCTCCTCGTTAAAGTGGCTCGATCACCCCGAGCTTTGGGCGGGCAACTGGGAACGTCTTTGCGTCACGTGTAAAATAGTCAAACCGGCTGGAACTAAACACTGCCAAATCGCCAAACGGTGCGTCAGGAGATTCGACCACTACTGTCCGTGGATGGGCAACACGGTTGGCGCGAAAAACCACCGCGACTTTGTCATCTTTCTGCTCCTGGAAACGTTCGCCATGATCGTCTCCTTGCTCGTCGCCGTCATTCGAGTCTGGGAAGAAAATCCGTCCGAAAAGCAACGCTCGAAAACCGGCGTCTTATTCTTCGTCGCCTGCGACGTCGCCGTCTTAATCCCAGTCCTGCTGTTAGTCTCCTCGCAACTCGCGCAAGTCGCCCGAAACATCACCACCAACGAGTTGATGAACTTGCACCGGTACACGTATTTGCGAGCGACGGACGGGACGTTTAAAAACCCGTTCGATAAAGGCGTGTTTAAAAATTTAGTCTCCTTTTTCTGCGTCGACGCGAATAGACGAACCAGAGAGTTCGAAGAGAAAGCGAATACCAACGTTGGTGGGTTTACACCCAAAAACGCAACAACGAAAGATTGAATTGATTAAGTTTGAAGAACAAAATTCAATTCGAAAAACGAAAACGAAAGATTTTACTACTTTTTGTTATAGTACGAGAACGTAATACTACTACTGCTACGAGACCTTTGCATCATTGCTCTCAAATAGACTTTTGATTCCAGTTCCGTCTCATCCGAATCTTGTTAAGCAGATGCGTAGCATTCGTACGGTTTCCTCGTTCGTGTGTGAATACGCTTTTGTGCCTGAGTCCACTTTCCTTCCTTTTTTCATATTTCACAAACCCTAAACAACCGAAAAACCAAATCTTTTTCCGTTGCAACACGTCGTCAAATTTCTCTTCAAACTTGCTTCATTACTGCGCAATACATTCTCGCGCGTTCGTGGCGTCAAACAACGCTCGTTGCCTCCGTTTTAAACCACTCGCGGAGAAAGAGAGAAGAAGTTTCGTCTTTAAACCGCTTTTTCTTACATACACACACACATATATATATAAACAGAGGAAAAACAAGAAAGTCAAAGAGAGGAGAGATCATTAAATCGACGACGTTTCGGGAGATTGATTTCGTAACGACTTTTTGAATAGATCACATCTTTCGTTGAACGGCAAAGATGAATCCGTTAACGACGACGAATTGCGGAAGGGCTGCTTTAGTGAGACGGAACAACAAGAACAACAACTCAATTTCCTCCTCCTCTGTGACGAATACGAAAAAGAAGAATCATCGAAGCTTTTTTTACCGCGCATCATCGAGTGATGTCATTCAAAATCGAGTCATCGCGCCCCCGAGGAAGAGAATTCAGAAAGACTCCGACAGTCAAGTGTTTTGCCCCTCGAAAGTCTCGCGAATTCAAAAGAAGAAAAAAAGACGAAGGAAAGACGGACCTGGCGGACCAGAGGATTCACCATCGATGATGCACATTGGGGATTACGGGATGCCAGAAGACGAGGACGAGGCGTTTGACGACGATACCGGGGATGGCGACGACGGGAACGACGATATTTCAAACAACGGAGGAGGTGGCGACGACGGGAACGACGACGACGAAGAAGAAGAGGACGACGACGATGAGTTCGACGAGAAATGGGAGAGCATTATCAAACGGTTGGAAGATAACTATCAAAACTTGGAGGCTGTAAAAACTGTGAGTGATCCGTATGCCGGGTTGAACGGCGTTTCGGGAGAGTTGAGCGTTCTTTGGTCGGCGGGGTGCGTCGTCACGTACGCGAGCGCCATCGCGCACTCCCTCGATACCATGATTTCGCCGTTTTTGAAAGGTGAGGGAGACGGCTTTGTGGATATCGCTTAATAAGAGGAAGATGTCGATGAGATATGTTGAGATCATCATGTATACTAGTAGAGTACTGTTACTATTATTAATATTATTGTTTGGATGATCTTCGCAAAAAGGCGTGTTTGTATTTGAAAACGAATCGTTTTCTGTAAAATAACACGACGCGCGAAGATGAAGAGAAGTAAGAAAGTAAGAAGAAGAAGAAGAAGAAGAAGAAGAAGAAGAAGAATCGAAGTGTGTAATATATTACCTCATAATACTACATTTGTATGTTGTACAAGCTTTAACAATCTATGCGTGCGCTTTTTCCTTCTATCATATACAGCTATTTGTCTACCAGTGACTTCAATTATTTCTTGTTTCTTTCTTTCAGTTTCGCTCGCATGCGATCCTTCGAAGAAATTTTCCCGCCGCGTACTACTTCTCCTTGTTGCGTCTCTTCCTTCTCTTCTAACTCGATCTTACCGAATCGAGCGTCCAACTCCGAGCCTTTCGATTTCTGAATGGTCTCTTTCGATTCCAAGAAGAACATCAAATCTCGGTTCATGCCTTCCAGCTCTCTCACTTTTTCTTCCAGAGACGCAATCTTTTCCTTCTCTTTCGTCGAGGACGTCATCTTCGTCTCTCGCATTTCACCGGCGTCTCTCAATAATTGCTCGTTGAGTTGCTTTAAAAACACGTTTTCCTCTTCCAAGCGCTTGACTTCCTTCTCGGCGTGGTCGGCTCTTCGATTGAGCACGCGAAGTTTCGTCGCCTGTTCGGCGATGGTTTCAACTTTCGTCATCATCTCCGATTGATCCGAAGCGGCGTCCATCAAAAGACGTTCGTAATGTTGTCTTTGCTGGTCCAATTGCGAGGCTAACAGTTGGTCGTACTCGTTCGCGACGGCGTCTAGTTTGGACGCGACCAACGCTTCCGTGAGTTCAGGATCGTCTTCCTCGTGCAAAACGTCAGGGTCGGAATAGCCGTTCGTCGCGTACCCTCCTTCGCCTCCGCCTGGGCCTTCGACGCGTCTCCCCGCGCGACCTCTCCTTCCTTTCTCGTCCGGCGTTAGCTCGACCAAACCATGCTTCCCTTCGATCAATCGATGCACAAACTGGTCTCTGGAGTAATCCCACACTCGTCCGCTACCAATTTCGAGCGAATAGCAGTGCCCGGTTTCCGTCCAATGCGCAACCGCGTGTCGATTCTCGTACCTCCCACACCCGACGACGCCACAAATCAAACACGTCCACAACGACGCGTTCGCACAATCACAACTTTCACATTTCGCCTCTCGTTTCGCCGTCGCGTCCAACGCAAAACGACACACCGGACAGACGCTCCCGGACACGCCGGACATGCACTCCGAATGAAAGTGATGCCCGCAACTCGTCGTCAATATCCCGGAAATGTCCCCGTCCAACCGATCCAGACAGACTGGACACGTCGCCGGAAGCTCAGTGATGCTCTTCTCTTTATCATCATCATCATCATCATCATCATCATCATCTTTCTTCCCGAATTTCACGCTCTTCACGAACACGCACCGGCAAATCTCCTCGTCGTTCAAGCTACTAAACGGTTGCCCGTGAAAGTTGTTCGTAAACATCCTCGCGTTTTCGCAGTCGTCGAAGAGCAATATCGCCGCGAAATAATAATACGAAGAGCTTTTATTATTCGTATTCTTCGCTTTGTCGCTTTCCTCGCGCTTTCGCTCTCGAGGAACAACCACTCTCACTTCTTTCAATTTCATTCTCACTGGGGCGATAAAATCCAAGAAATCAGCCACCGAGAACGAGGACGGAATGAACGGCACGAGGACCAGTTTCGACTCCGACGACGACGAATTACGAGAGCGAGCGTTTTGCATTCCTTCTTGGTCGTCTTCTTCTTGGTCTTCTTCCTCTCGGAATAATCGCAAACTCCCTTCCGAGCGCTTCACTTTGTTCCCGGTGGTGAACGGGAACTTGTCCTCCTCCTCGTCATCATCATCGCTCGTATTAATATTCTCCTCTTCTAAATCCACCCGAACGAAGAACAGAGAGGAGGAGGACGAAGGTTGACGACTTTTGCTTCTGTTTCTTCCTCCGTCCCTTTCCTCTTCTTCTGGTGAAGACATTATTCTTTGCGCGCATACACACGAGCGTTAAAATGACGACTTTTTTCCCTATGAAATCTCCTCATAATACGCGCGCACACATCATCATAATCTAACAATAAACGCGCGTCTTTTAATGGTACGACCCGGAGCGTCACGCTCTCTTTTCCTCTCTCTCTCTTTCATTTTCTTTCTTTCTCTCGTTCTATCCGACTTTGAGAAGAAGATGCAAAACATCAGAGGAAAAGCATCTCATTCCGCCGCCGTTTCTTTCTCTCTCTGACGCTTTCTTAACTCTCTTTCGATGACGATAACAACAACAATAAAACAGACGACGACGATCAACGCCCGCGTGAACGAACACTCTCACTTTTTCGACGCGCTCGTCGAACACATCCCGCAAAAGTTCTACCTCGCGACCGAGAAATCCTTCGGGGACGACGACGATGACGAGGAAATGCTGATGGCCTCTTTAGGCAGGTTCGGGGCGAAAAAAGCCTCACAAAAATCCACCGCGGAGAAGAAAAGAATGGTGAAAATGAAAACGATGGAAAAGAAACGACAGAAACTCGATCCGAATTTAGTTCTCACGAACGCGGAGACTCTGCAGAAGAAAATGGAAAAGAAGAGGAAGAAAGGTTTGGAGGATACAGAGGAGGAGGGAGAGGACGAGGCGCGGAGGGCGAACGCGGCGAAGGCGGAGGAATCCGGGAGCGGCGACGAAGAGGAAGAGGAAGAGGAGGAGGAAGGAGCGAACGGAGAGAAGAAGAAGGAATCAAACGGGAGTAGTATGTTCAAAGATATGGTTATAGACGCCTCGACGCCGACGAAGGAGGAAAAAAGCGAACGGTTAGAAGCGTTGAGAAAACGTCTGGAGAAGAAAATTCAGGATTCGAGGGAGAAGCGGAAAGCGAGCGAACACGAGAAGAAGGTGAAAGACGCGAAAGATTGGAGAGAGCAACGGGAGAAGATGAAATTGGAGAAGAAGGAAAGGGAGAAGAGGATGAAGAAGATCGTGGACGCGAAGAAGAGAGAGACGATGAGGAATAATAGCAACGAAAAGAAGAAGGGCGATGAAACCGCCGCCAACAGAGGAGAAGACGGATACCCGAAGATGAACTTGGCGTTTGGTAACGTGGACGTGGACGAGGTTCCATCATCTAGATTAAACGGCAAGAAGAAAAAAGAAACGAAGAGAGATCTGCTCTCGAAAGCACTTCAGCGAGAAAAAGATTTAGCCGACGCTGGCGGCGACCAAACCAAAGAAGGCAAACGCGTCGCCGAGAAGCACGCCTGGGAGGCTTCGTTGAAACGCGCGAGAGGAGAGAAAGTCTTGGACGACCCGAAACTTCTGCGCAAATCCGTCAAAAGAGAAGAAAAGAAGAAACAAAAGAACAAAGAGAAATGGAACGAGCGGACGAAAACGGTTCAGGACCAACAAAACGCGAAGAAGAAAAAGCGCAAGGAGAACATCAAGGCGAAAGCGGACGAGAAAATCGAAAAGAACATCGATAGGAGAGAGAAGAAGAGGAACCGGCCCGGGTTTGAAGGCCGGTCCAAAGGCATGATTAATTAATAAAGCTATAGCAGTAATACTACGATAATTTGTTTTACAATGCACTTCCCGAGAAAGATGATGATAGCAGTACACGCCGCGCGTTCGCAAAAGAAATCATCATCTCGAAGCGGTTGCTGATACAGACGACGCGTGCGAATCTCCCAAGAAAAATTTGTGCCAATTTCCGTTCGAACTCCTTAACGCGCGAAAGACGTACACCGATGTCGTGAAGTTCCCCAAGCACATCACAAACACAGTCCACACTAAGGCCGTCATCGCGCTCTCTTCTCGCAGGAATATCCACAGAGAGAAAAGGGTAAAACCGACGTACAGGTCAACGAGAGAAACCACCCCCCAAGGGTGCGTTACCAACCAATCGAGTTCCTCGCTTCCGTTTCCATTCACCGCGGCATACAGGATCACACTCGTCATGAACACCGCACCTAACGCGGAGACGCATTGGCCTATTTGTAAAGCATGTTTTGTGGTTATCGCCGTCGTTCGCGCGGTAGTAGTATTGGAGGCTCTCGGTAACATGTGTTCAGAAGCGTTATCCATTGTTTTTATGATGAAAGTTTCGAGCGTTTTTACTTTAGTATCTCGAATTTGACTGTTCGAGAGGCTCGACGCGGCTGATCAAACTTTCAAACTTACTCTCGAATCGAGCGGCATCTTTCAACGCGTCGATAAATGCAGCCGTTCTCTCGTCGAATTCAGAGGATATGAATTCGATTCGATGCAAAAAGTCCTCCATTTGGTCTTCGCGATCGTCGTAGTCGCCGGCGGCGCGAAGTTTCGCTTCTTCTTCTTCGTCGTTTCTTTCAAAGTCTTCGCACGCGTCGCAGAGTTTCGAGCACGATTGAAGGATAGATTCGTAGAGGTTCAAAAGCGTCGGTCGAAGAAGCATGGACTCTCGAGCGGTAGTTTCCAGAAACTTGGCATGCGCTTTGATGACGTCGTCCGCGGAGGTGGACGAAGAAAATATCTCGCTCTCCATCGTGGCCCAGTTCGGCTCGATGACTTCCGACGTCGCGTAGTGCAAGACATTTTGAATCAAACTGATTGCTCTTTGTGCGGTCCAGTGCGCGGCGTTGGCGTGAACGAAGACATCTCTCGTGAGAAAGTGCTCCTCTGTGGGATTCTCGTACTCCATTCGAGAAGACGATTGCTGCTGCTGCCGCCGGTGCATTTTCTTGTGAAGCCGACGAAGCGTCGCCCACGTTTCGCACACTTTCTTTTCCATCACTTTCGCGCGGAACAAGTGCTTGAACAACGCTTGATACTTGGCAATGGTACTCTTTGAAAGCACAACGTTCGCTGGAAAGGATGTTTTGTAGTCGAGCGTAAACGTCTCCAAACCTCGCGCGTCATTACTCGTACTACCATTCTTTTCGAGGGCGCACTTGATGTCTTCGTGATACTTGAACGCATACATCGAGGAGTTTTTCATGCTCACCTCTAAAGCATCTCTCAACTTTTGCTCGTCGCAAAACTTGGCCGGTTTCTCGAGTTCTTCGAAGGCCTTGAAGGGCGAGTCGAAGAACTGTGAGAGATAATCGCCTTGCGCCAATAAGAAGGTCGCTTTGACCAATTGCAACTTGTTGCGAATGTCTCCAGAAAGGAGCAACGCGTCGAAGAAATGTTTATTGGAGACGTCGTGTTTGGCACGAACGACGTCGGAGATGTTCGAGAACGACAATTTCTTCCGCTCTTTTTCTTTTTCTTCTTTGTCGACGACGACGATACTCTTTATCCCCTCTTCCTCTCCGTTTGCCGTGACTTGGCTACTCAACGTCTCTCTACTAATAACGGTAATCTCTCGAAGCGCGTTGACATACTTCCCGGCATTTAACGCCAACACTTTCGTCGCATCGTCCAAAAACCATGGCGTCGGTTCTCTCGGAACATATTTCTCTGTCCAGTAAGCGTTATTATTATCGAAACGTTCGGAAAGCGAGTCTGGCTTTAAGCGTTTGTCTTCCACGACAAAAAATTCCTCGTACGTGTCGTTCTCGCAATCGCCTTCGGACATCCATTTTTCTAATCGTTTTAAATAAGATTTTGCGGTCGCGTTTTCCAGGCGAGTGAGTAATCTCTCCGCTTCCGAATCGCCCCCGCACCGGATTTTCAACCGTCTCAAAGTATTCAAAAGCTTTCCGCCCATTTCGTTTTCGCAGGCGAACGAGACCGAGGCTAACAAGCGAAGCGCTTCCGCGGCTGGTCGAGCGTAAAAATACGCCGACTGTAAACTCAGATCACGTTTGTTTCTTTTCCTCTCCAGTTGCGCGATCATACGTTCCCAGTCGCCAAGTAAATCTCGCACTTCTGTCGCCAACGCTTTGCTCGTTTTGCCGGACGTTTTTGTTTGGCCGTAGAGCGTTTTTTCGACGAAGCGCGAACAGGCAAACGCATCTTCGCACATCGGGAGCATTCGGCCCAAGAGTTCGCGCAAACTTGGTTCGCAACCGCTCTCGCAATCGAATTTGACTATTCTATTTGCATCTTCGTTGTTATTATTGATGTTGATGTCGTCGTTGCTACCGCCGTTCCTTTTCTTCGTTGTCGTGGCTTTCATTGAGGCGGCGCGTCTCGCGGTGACGTATCGACCGTCCAAACCGAGCGCAGCGTGTAAAAAATCGTCCAAGAGGAGCAACTCTTGCTCCGCGGTCGACCGAGACGCCAAAGGGATAGCGTCCACGTCGCGTTCGTACTCTATGCCTAAGAAATTGCTCGTTAAATATGGACGGTTGGATGAAGATCCATCCTCGTTCCAACTAGGAAATGTTGGTTTTCTCGTTGTCGCGGCGGATGTCGATGTTGCAGTAGTTTTCACGACTCGTTGTTGCTCACGTTGTCGCGCTCGTCCGTTCTCTTCGTCTATTTCTTCTTCTTCTTCTTTCTCCTCCTCTCCATAAGGTATGTCATTCTCTCCGATGATATGCGCCGCCGCGCCGTCTTTATCAAAAGTCATCTCGCGCAACGCTTTCAAAACGGTCGAAGCCGGTTGTTCCTCCGCCAGTTTTCTCGGCGACGACTTCTTCGTCGCTCTCACCGGCGACCGCTCCGAAACTTTCCTACTATAAGCGTCCCTACTTTTCACCGCTTCTTTCAACTCCTCGTCCGCCGCAATCTTCGCGACGACCGCGTTCCACCGGTCCAACTCCGGCACCGCGTTCGAGCGCTTCAGCGCCTCGTACAAACTTTCAAACTTTTCCTCGTTCCCTCTTTTCCTCGCTTCGTCGAGTAACCGACGTCGCGAGCTTTCCGAGACGCCTCTGGTGACGGAAAATTCAGAGACCATGTTCGCGAGAACCGCCGCGGACGTTTCCGCGTATCGATTATTTTTTCTTCTTCCTTCTTTTGCCTCTGTGTCTTCCTCCTCTTCTTGCTCCTCCTCATCGTCGAAAATACCAAACTGCGAGCATATCTCGTCCACGTGCGGTTGGATTAAAAATTTCGCCCCTAAAACTCCGTTTCCTTCTCCTCTTCCGAAGTTGGTCGTGGTCTTGGTACCGTGACCTCCTTCGTCGATGTTCTCCATGTTGTTCTTTTATGAGTAAACGAATCTCTCTTTGCTTTGGTCAACTGTCCGTCGTCGTCCAAAGAGAGATTTCCACAGAATTTCTCTCTCTCACTCACTCTCTTTGAAATACCCCGAATGCGACGACACAAAAACAAATTTCCTGGAAGAGACTCAAACGCCTTCTTCTTTTCGCGGCGGCGCTTTCTCTCTGACGCTCTTTACTCGAACCGCAAACGCGCGCTGTGTTTTGTGTCGCGAAAGATGATTTTTTTGAATTTCTGGGCGAAGAATTGTTTAGGGTGTGTTAGGGTTTAATGAGAGACCCTTCTCTCTCTCTCTCCATCAAATTCTTCTTCTAGCAGGCCTAAAAGACGACATAAATTTAGATAGACAAGAAGAAAGATGGTACGTTATTCATGAAATGTCTTCTCCTCGTACTTTTTTATCGTCTCGTTTTATCGCGCGTCATCGTTTCCGTCTTTGCAGGAGGCGCGGATGATGCATCGTCGCGTCTGGGAGTTTTATTCGCGCGAACAGACACAGGGAGAGATTTTACGCCTAAAAAATGTGCGCGTAAAAACATCTCTCTCTGCGAGTGGTGTGACGGTGTGGTGTCGCGAAGGACGTGTCGCACTTTTCGTACCTTCGATATGTTCTGGAAAGGTTTTCGGACGCGACGAATGAAACGAGCGGGCGCGTGTTGGACGCGCGAGAGAGATTCCGCGCGTTTCGCAGACGGAAGAAATTTTTTGCCTCAAGAAGGGTCTGTCGGGAAAGAATGCTTCGCTCTCGCATTCCTCGCGTTCTCTCGTCCGTTCTCTCTCTGCCTCTCACACGCGTGCGTTCCGGGCTCTTTTCGCAGCAGAGAAGAACTGTGACGAAACGCGTTTGTGTTCATCCTTTTACCATCAGCGCTGACAACACCTTTTCCTTTTCTCTTAACAGGGTATCGATCTCGAAGCTGGCGGCCGCAACAAAAAGACGAAGCGCACTTCGCAAAAGTCCGAAAACGTCTACTTGGCGTTGTTGGTGAAACTCTACCGTTTCCTCGCGAGAAGAACGGACTCTAAATTCAACCAAACGGTATTGAAGAGATTATTCATGTCGAAAACGAACCGACCGCCGTTGTCGCTGTCCAAACTCGCGAAGTTTATGAAGGGCAAAGAAGGGAAGGTGGCGTGCGTCGTCGGAACCATCACGGACGACGTGAGAATGTTTGAAGTGCCGAAATTGACGGTGTGCGCGTTGAGATTTACCGCGACGGCTCGCGCGAGAATCGTCAAGGCTGGTGGTGAGTGCTTGACGTTCGATCAGTTGGCGTTGAAGGCGCCGACTGGCGAAGGCGTCGTGCTTTTGAGAGGTCCGAAGAACTCCAGAGAAGCCGTCAAGCACTTTGGCGCGCCGGGTGTGCCGCACTCGCACGCCAAGCCGTACGTGCAGCACAAGGGGAGAAAGTTTGAAAAGGCGCGAGGTAGAAGAGCGTCCAGAGGCTACAAGGCTTAATTTACGACGAGGACGGGATTGTCGTTTTTACGCTGTATTCGTAGTCATAGATTTGTTTAATACTATTATCGACATTCGTACTAGTTGTCTAAAAAATCCATCTCTTGTTTTCTCCTCAGTTTTAAATTAAAGACAGTGTGACTCAACATCATGTCTAAAAAGAAGCGCAAGTCCACTGAAAACAAAGGAGGAGGAGGAGGAGGAGGCGACCAAAATCGTCAACATCGCGCCTCACCGAATGATTTCCTCTCGCCCGGTCCAGTTTCGATGTCCCCGCACGACATCGACGACGGGTACATGATGGGGGAGAAAAAGAAAAAAGCGCAGAGGATGAAACATTCGAACGATGCGATATCGCACAAGGACTCGGACGATCGAGTCTTCTTCGACGCGTCGAAAACGTCGACGTACTTCGAAGACGTCGAGAACAGTTTCAAAGTGGACGTTATCGACGAACCGTCCTCGGCGTACGCTCCGAAACACTCAAAAAATCTTACTTGGTCCGATGTCATTCGCGACGGCTTTAAAACAGTTACACCGGAGGACTGCGCGCACTGGCTGTTCTTTCCGTATTCGACGGACGTGTTCCAGTCACGAATATTCGAACGGAAATGTTTCGTTCGAAAGCAAAGCGTAACGAGCAAAAGTGGGTACGAGGATTTACTCACCTCGGAGGACATCGAGAGATGGTTGAAGGAGAAAAAATTGACGTACGGGACGAACGTCGACGTGACGAGTTATAAAGACGGCGTGAGAAGAACGCACAACGCGAACGATGGGTTTAGTAACGTGAGCAAAAACGCGGATTACGAAACGGTCGCGAAACGGTTCGAGGAAGACGGGTGCTCGGTCAGAGTGTTGCATCCGCAGAGGTGGTCGGATAAGTTGTGGGCGTTGTTGTCGAATTTGGAAAATTTTTGGCAGTCGCCCACGGGGTGCAACGCGTATTGGACGCCGGCGAATAGTCAAGGGTTTGCCCCACATTGGGATGATATCGATGCGTTTGTGTTGCAAATAGAAGGGAGGAAGAGATGGCGGTTGTATCCAACGAGAGATGTGAGCGAGAAGTTTCCGAGGTTTAGTAGCGAGGAGTTTTCGGAAGAAGAGAGGAAACGGTTGGAGGAGATGAAGTACGTGGAAGTCATTTTAGAACCCGGGGATGTCATGTATATGCCGAGAGGAACGATTCACGAGGCGTTTTGTATCACCAGTGAAGATGAAAATGATGGAAAAAAAGACGAATCGAGTTTGCATTTGACGATTTCGGTGAATCAGCGGAATACGTTTGCGGATATTTTAGAACACGTCTTCTCGGACGCGTTGGCGGATGCGGTAAATACGAACGTCGAGTTACGAAGATGTCCACCGAGAGATTTCTTGAGACATTTATCTCGATTAGATGAAACGGACGTTAACTTTCTAAACTCGAAAAAACTTTTAGAGCGATGCTGTAACGTCGTCGTAGAGAACATGATGAAGAACAACGTCTTTGCCGGGTCGGTGGAAAAGCTCCTCGGGAACCTCATGCGTGAACGCGTCAGGCCGCCGAAAGCACACACACGATTAACCAAAGCGTCGTTGGGAGCGAAACCGTCGATGAGCTCCAAAATAGGTTTAGTACAAAAAAACTGCGCGTCTTTAGAAGACTGCGACGACGGCGTCGTTCGCTTGCGCACGTACATCAACAACGATAGAAAATTACACATGGAAGGCGCTTCGGCGAATATTCTAGACGCCGACGCCTACAGAGAAGCGTCGAGTTGCTTAAAAATCGACCCTGAAATCGAAGGTGACGATTTAGACGCGCTAGCGACGGTCTTGTACGCAAACTACGAGGATGGAGTAGAAGTGAAAGACTTGCCGTTTGATACGGACGAAGAGAAAATGGCCTTCGCGAGACGTTTAATAGACACTAACGCCTTCTGTGTCCTCTAATTTAAAATGCGTTTATTCAACTCTGCTGCTGCTGCAAATACTATTACAATATATAATAAGCAATGTGCGCGTCTTTCTCTCTCTCTCTTTCTAAAGTATTTCTACAAGTTTTATCGACTTAGTATGCATCTCTTCATCTTCTCACTAACGTCTTCTAAATGTTCGCCTTCTTCTTGCACTGGTCGTCGTACCACATCACGAACGCTACCCATCCCCAATACAACGCACTAAGCGCCGCGAAAACGTCCCACGAGACTTGCTTGTGCCCATAATTGAACATGGTCAGCAGCACTCCCCAACTCCCAACCGCACTTCCCCCGAACGATCCTAAGCTCCAACACCAATCGCGAATGTGCCACGCGCGCGCAAACATCAAAGCGTTTCCGGCGCCGCCTAAAACCACCGCGACTAACGACAACGACGCGATGTTCGACGGGTCCGTCGTAGACGTCGATATTTGTGCGATCGGTAACAACGAAAACAACAAGGTCGCTGTCCATCCCATCAACGTTTGCCATTTTACTTTCATAAACTGTTCGAGCGCGAAGAAGTTTACGTTTTTCTTCTCGCTCCATCCGAAGTAATCGTTCGCACATCGTAACGAAATTATCGCAAAAGCACCGAGCGCTAACATTTGTGAAACTTCCGTGGACGTTTTAAACAGCGCGTGGCTCAAAATATACGGAACAAACGTGTACCCAACCACCCCTAACGCGCGTTCATACAACGCGCACGCGTTTTCTCTCGCCGTCGGGTCCGAGAACATTTGCTTCTTGAAGTACGCGGAAAATACCCCAAACAAAGCAACCGAAACGCACGCGGCGTACGTCGCCAGGTTCACGTCCCCGCAATTCCCGGTAAAGAATAACTGCGACAACAAAAACACGGTATTCACCACCCCGATAGCTTGAATGTTCCTCCCGGCGGGTTCGTCGATGGCGCTGAAATACGACAACAACAACAAGTTCCCGAGACAGCCGCACGCGTACCCTTCGTAGGAAATCCCAGCCAATAAGTGCGAATTCCCTTGCACGATGTTTTGCTGATTCAAAAGAATCTGCGGTAACGTCACCGCCAGCAGCGGCACCGTCGCCAACTCTGCGAACGACTGCGTTTTTTGCGACCATTTTTCCAAGAGAATTTTTCCTCTCTTCGCGTTTACGTCTAAGCTCTGCGTGGTCTCCCCCCGTTTTACGCTTTCAGACGACGACGACGAGGAGGAGGAGGAAGAAGAGGTGGTCACTTTTGCATAAACCGTCGTCGTCGTTTTTACGCGTCGTCGTCGTTCCAATATTCTTCCATTACAAATCAGAATCTGTTCTCGTCGGCGTTTTCCTTCTGGAAGAGGATGATGTTGATGTTTTCGGTACAGTCGTCGTTCCCCATCGCGCGCAACGGCGGCGACGCACCCGCGGTATTGGTGTTTCGCAAAGGGAGAAGAAAGAGAGAGAGAAAGAGACATCATTTCTCTCTCTGTCTCTCTGACTCTCTCTCTCTCTCAAAGTGCGCTAAACGCGCACACGATGCACAAGAGATTTAACAAAAGTGAGGTCTCGCGAGATATTGATTTTATATATATTTGGCCGCCAAAAAGAGAGAATTTTGCTTTCACTGAAAAAATTTGTTTTTCTTTGTCTCCTCTTTTCTTGTGTTTTGTGACCAAAAAGAAAGAGGTTTGACGAGGAGGAGACATTCACAAAAGGCGAGATCTCTTTTTTTCTCTTTTCTTTTTGCCCCACATAATACACACACGCGTTCGAGTGCTCTTTTGTGCTCTGCTCTAATCAAATCGAGCGCAAAAATGGCATCCTCCGCGTTCGCATCGACATCAGCGGCAGCCTTTCCGGCTTTGAATACTGCGGCGAAAACGAGGAGTGCGGGACGAAAAGCATCATCGTCATCGATGCGTGTCTCGAAGATGAGAGCGATTCAGTCGTCGTCGACCTCCTCTGCGACTGAAGAAGAAACGGTGGAGGCGCGAACGACGACACCAACGGAGACGACCCCCACGTCCTCCTCGCTCTCGAAAGATCTCCTCCCTAAAGAAATAGGATCGTGTTCCAAAGACGAGTTAGACGCGTGGCTGGCAGATATCATGAAACTCCCAGAACAGAAGATGAAGTTGGAATACTTCAAAGAGGAAGGGCGAGGGTTAGTCGCGACCGAGTCGATCAAACGAGGCGAGAAAGTTCTGGAGATTCCCCAAGAGGCGATAATCACTGTCGAAGTCGCTCTGAAGGAGTCTTTGTTACGAGAGAAGAAAAAACTCGCCGAGTTGCAAGAGTGGTCGATATTGGCGACGTTTTTAGCGGAGACGGCGCAGAATTTGAGCACAGAGGATAATTCGTCCAACAAGTATAGGTTCGCGACGTACGTGAAAGCGTTGCCGAGGAGCACCGGGTCGGTTTTAGAGTGGCCGGAATCGGACGTGAGGACGCTGTTGGCGGGGTCGCCGAGTTTGTTCTCGGCGTTGGAGCGAAGAGCGAGCGTGGCGGCGGCGATTGCGGAAATTCGAGTCAACTTCCCGGAGTTGAACGAGAAAACGTTACAGTGGGCGTTTGATATTTTGTTCAGTCGGTTGATTCGGTTGGAAAGTTTAGGAGGTAACTTAGCGTTGGTGCCGTGGGCGGATATGTTGAATCACCAACCCGGTTGCGAGGCGTTTATCGATTTAGATCGAGGATCGAGGAAAGTGTGTTTGACGACGGATAGAAGTTACGAACCTGGGGAACAAGTCTGGGCAAGTTACGGCCAAAGACCGTCTTCAGAGTTGTTGATTTCCTACGGGTTTGCGCCAGCGGTAGGCGATAATCCAGACGACGAGTACGCGTTGAATTTACAAATCGACGAGGAGGATCCGTTTGCGAGCGCAAAAGTGAACGCGTTGGCGAGCCAAAATATTCAAGCTTTTGAAACGTTTCCTTTGCGGTTGAACGGGTATCCTAGACAATTGTTACAGTACGCATCTTTTGCTATGTGCACGCCGGACGACCCGTCGAAAGTGGACGAGTTGTGTCGCGCGGCGTTTGTGGATATCCAAGCGCCAAAATCGTTGCGAAACGGTGTCGATTTGGCCAGAGGGTTATTAGCGTCTAAAAACGTCTTAAAATCGAAAGGTAAACGAGGCGCGGTTTTAGGTGGTGTCCAAGGCGAGATTGCCGTTCGAGAGATGCTGGCGGATGTGACCAGAGACGCGTTAGATAGATACGCGAACACGGTGGATAAAGATAAAGGTTTAGCGTTGGGAAGGATGCCGGAGATGCCGGAGGCGAGCATGTGGATCGGAGATGCGAGCACGGCGATCAAGAGTTCCATGCGATCGGTATGCGCGGCGAGAGTTAGAGTTTCAGAGAGGAGAATTTTAGCCAAAACGGATTCGGAGGTGAGATTACAGCTCCGAAGATTAAAGAGCGAGCAAATGAACAGCAAATAGATGAAATCATAGAGAGCGAATACGAAAATACATACCACTCAAAAACAAGCAACACAAACGATGAAAACGCGCGCTAAGTCTACGATTCTCCACACTCTTAAGAAAATTAATGTGCTAGTTACTTATATTATTATTATTATCAAACTCTACTAATAAACTGTCGCTTACGCCTGTTGCGCCGGGAACTCGAAGGAGACGTCCTTACCAGTCAACTTCTTATACACCCCAGCAAACGTTTCCAACTTGTACTCCGTCTCCGTCTTCTTGGACGGGTCCAAATACACCTTCAACAACTTAGAACCATCCAATCGGTATCTTTGTCTCTTCCCCACAATCTCCGTCGGGTACACCAAATCCTCGAGCAAACTGGCGTGCACGGCGGTCAGCGTTCGAGAACGCGGTCTCGCTCGGGCAAAGTTCGCTTTCGGCACAGGGCGAATTCTTCTGTTACCGACAAAAACAACGTCTTTGTTCGAGAACTTCTTTTCCAACTCTCTCACCAATCTTTGCTGGATCTTGTGGAACGCCTTCAAGTATCTGTACGGGACATGGATGACGACGGCGGTGCGGTTCGCAATCGCAACTTCTGCCGCGCCGCAAATGAAGAGGTTTTCGAGGTCCGCTTTTAACTCTTGGTTCGTGTTCTCTAAATCTTGAATGGCCTGTTTAACCATCGACGAGAGAGAATAACAGAGATGAGAAAGCATATAAAGGTAAGTATACAGAAACCAAACAAACTCTTGATGAGCGACGAGAGGAGGACATCATCCGGCGAAACGCCCCCACCCCGTAGGGCCAGAAATACCATCCTTTCGCGCGCTCACGAACACCCTCGCGACCGAGAAAACTCCACAGAAAACACCTCCCGACAGGAAACAAATATCGCGCGGTATGAATTCACTCGAATTGCTCGAGTTCATCCACTCTCGTGCGCTCATCTCGCGCGTGAGAAAAACGTTTCAGAGCCCCATTTTTACTCCCCGCAGAAAAGCCCCGCCATTTTTTTGCGCGAAGGAGGAGGAAGTGGGTGAAGATTTCCGCGCAAATATACGCGTCGCGCGCGAAATTCTCGCGAACGATTCTATATTCAAATAACATGAAACGTACCTTGGCGACCGTGTTTTCAAAATCGGTCGGCTTGACGCCGGCCTCTTTCACAATCTTAGAGCGAGACATTTGTTCTGTGCAATGTTGTGAAGACGAGACGTTTGTAAAATTATTTGGGACTTTGCTTTGGAATGGGGAGTCAATATGGGAGTTGTTTTTGTGCCATTCTGTTGGTTGACGAATAATATCGCAACGTTATGGTATTGATTACACAGGAGAACACAGGAGAACACACGACGAACTCTCCTTCTTTCTCTTTATTTAGTATCGTGGTTAAACGTTGACCAAAGGCCTGTACTTCAAAGGTTTCGGCGCTTCCCCGCCCATTCGCTCGATGCGATGCGCTTCGTACTCGTCGTAGCTGCCTTGGTAAAACGTGACTTGCGAGTCGCCTTCGAAGGCGATGATGTGCGTGGCGATTTTGTTCAGGAACCATCGGTCGTGGGAGATGACAAAGGCGCAACCGTTCCAGGAGAGCAAGGCTTCCTCTAAAGCGCGCAAAGTGGCGACGTCCAAGTCGTTCGTCGGTTCGTCCAGTAAGAGGCAGTTGCCGCCGGAGGTTAACACTCGAGCGAGTTGGAGGCGGTTGCGTTCGCCGCCGGAGAGGTCGCCGACTTTCTTCTGTTGGTCAGAGGATTTAAAGTTGTACCAGGAGCAATACGCTCGAGAGTTGACGGCTTTACCGCCTAAGTTGACCTCGTCGGCGCCGCCGGTGAGCTCCTCGAAGACGGATTTCGATGGGTCCAAAGAGTCGCGAGATTGGTCCACGTACATCAGTTTCACCGTTTCGCCAACCGCGCACGACCCAGCGTCAGGTTTATCTTCGCCAACAATCATTCGGAAGAGAGTGGTTTTGCCAGCACCGTTTCCTCCGACGATACCGACGATCGATCCAGGTGGAATAGTTGCCGTGAAGTTGTCGATGAGTAATCCTCTCGTGTCGAAACCTTTCGTCAAGCCTTCGCACGTCAAAACGACGTCGCCTAAACGGGGCGCGGTTGGAATGGTGATAGAATCCATACCTTCGCGTTTGGTGTATTCCGCCGAAGCCGCGCATAACTCGTCGTACGCTCTCAAACGCGCTTTTCCTTTTTTCTGTTGTCCTTTTGCGTTTTTACGCACCCACTCCAACTCTTGTTTCAACGCTTTATCCATGCTCGAGGCTTTTTTATCCTCCATGTCTAACCTGTTCGCTTTCGACTCTAACCAAGTCGTGTAATTGCCTTCGAATGGAATACCTTCGCCACGATCCAACTCTAGAATCCAACCGGCGACGTTGTCGAGAAAGTATCGGTCGTGGGTAATCGCAACCACGGTGCCGCGAAACTGCGCCAAAAACTGTTCCAACCACGCGACGGATTGCGCGTCCAAGTGGTTCGTCGGTTCGTCCAACAACAAAATATCCGGATCAGCGAGCAACAAGCGACAAAGAGCCACGCGTCTTCGTTCACCACCGGATAAGTTTTTCACCAGCGCCTCTCTCGGTGGCACTCTCAACGCATCCATCGCGCGATCGACGGTTCGATCGATTTCCCACGCGTTACTCGCGTCCAATTTATCTTGCAGTTGGGTCATTCGTTTCATCAACTTATCGATGTCCGCGTCTGGGTTCGCCATGTCCACGGAAATTTGCTCAAACTCCGTAATTTCCGCCTTGATCGCCGCCACCCCGGCGTCCACGTTCTCCCCGACCGTCTCCCCGGCGTCCAACTCGGGCTCCTGCTCCAAGTAGCCGATTTTTATGCCGTCGTCCAAATAAATGTCGCCGTCGAACGCGGTGTCTTGCCCGGCTAAAATCCGCATCAACGTCGACTTCCCGGCGCCGTTCGCGCCTAATATCCCGATTTTCGCCCCTAAATACATCCCCAAATTGATATTTTTGATCAACTCTTTCCCTTGCGGGGTGACTTTTCTCACTTTATTCAAGGAAAGTATTATTTTCCTCGTTTCGGTTTGGTAGGCGGAGCCTTCGGAGACGCCTTTGGAGCCTCCCGATTTCATCGATTGGTTCTGTTTCTTTGCAGCTGCGCCTCCTCCTCCTCCTCCTCCTCCTGGAGCAGCGGCATCTCCGCCACCACCGGTAGTATTTGACGGCGACGGTGGCGCAGGCGCGGCGGCTTTCCCTTTCCTCGCGCTTTTTTTCCCCATCGCCGTTATCTGCGTCCCCGTTCGTCCTTGGTGTCGGCGGTTACAATTCGATGATGATTTTACATCGAGTAAACTTTGGTGTTGTTTCCCTCCAAAAAACACCGAAGACGTCGTCCGCGAGGAGAAAGCAAAACCAGTCGTCGTCATTTTCGTCCGTTTCGTTTTTCCGTTCGTTCTGTGTTGATGATACCAACGGCTCGTGAATGAAGTGTTTTTGTGAGGGTAATTCTCTAAAAACCTCAGACATTGTCCCAAAGGTGGGGGAGAAAAAAAACTTCATCGGGTGATGATGATGTTGGAAACGAGAAAGAAAACGTATTCGAGACGAAGCGTCATCGCTGCAAAACCTACTACTACGGCTGCGAGGACGACGAGGAGGACCGAGGATGACGACGACGACGTGAACGTCGTTTCTGAAACGATGAGAAAGAGAAGAGGGAGAAGAACTCACGAGGAAGAAGATTCTCGCGATGCGTTACCGTTACCGAGTGGAAAGAAGCACAAGAAGCGCGAGGAGGAGGAGAAGACGAAGAAGGAGACGAAAGGAAAGAAGAGAGTGGTGCTCGCGCTCTTTTTACTCTACTCATCCGTGGGAATGATCCTCGTAATTTCCTATCTTCGTTTGCTCATCGTTCCAGACGCGGTGAGAACGAAAGCGATGGAACACGCGGAGTTCCTCTTCCCGTCCTGGATGGGAGTGAACGAGACGTTCTTGAACCTCCTCCCGGCGCTGAATCCAGACGTTTTGAACTCAGATTCGTATTACAACGCGACGGAACATTTAATCGCGGCGAGGCAAGTTTCGGATATGTTGAACGCCAAACCGAAACATCCGGTGGTTATCGTGCCGGGGTTCGTAAACACCGGGTTGGAGCTGTGGAAATCAAAGCCGTGCATAGCGAAAAGGACGCAGTTTAGACAGCGGATGTGGGGGACGCCGGCGATGGCGAAGGCGTTTTTTTATAACAGGACGTGTTGGTTGGAACACATGGGATTGGACGCGAGGACGGGGGAAGATCCAGACGGAATCGTCTTGAGACCGGTCGAGGGAATCGATAGCGTCGATTGGTTCATGCCGGGGTACTTCGTTTGGGGACGGATGATTGAAGCGTTGGGCGAGATTGGATACACCGGGAGTAACATTCACGCGCACTCGTACGATTGGCGATTGAGCCCGGAGCAGTTGGAAAAACGAGACGGCTATTTCACAAAGTTGAAGAAGCAAATCGAAGGCATGCGAGAGACGAACCCGGGAGAAGAGAAAATCGCGTTGTTGGCGCACTCGTACGGCGATACTTTATCGCGATATTTTTTAGAGTGGGTTGAATCTCCGAAAGGGGGGAAAGGTGGCGCGAATTGGGTGAGCGATAACATAGCCACGTACGTGAACATTGCTGGACCAACTCTGGGGATGCCGAAATCGGTCTCCGCGTTACTTTCCGGCGAAATGCGCGATACCGCGGTGTTGAACGAGCTCGAGATGACGTTAGGTCCGATGATTAACACGTTCGTGGAAAAACTGATAGGATCTTTGGAGGAAATCACGTTAGTCTTTCGGAGTTGGTCGAGTTTGTGGTCGATGTTGCCTATAGGCGGGGATGAGGTTTGGGGCGGTTCTGAAATAGCAGCGTCGTCGTCGACGACGAGCGACCCAGAGGAAGTGATCGACGAAACTCCTTTATCCGCGGACGTTGCCGACGCGAACTTCTTAACCATACGCGAATTCAAAAACCAACGCGAGAAGAAGAAATGGAAAAAACAGCAAAAAGAAGCGTCTGCCACGCTCACTGGATTATCCATGGATAATTCTTTACACTTTCTCCACGATTTGGCGAAACAAACGACGCCGGCAAACGCGGAAACGTCGTTTAAGAAGCGAACGAAAGATAAATGGTACGGGCACCCGTTACGTTCGAAACTTCCGAACGCGCCAAAAATGAAAATCTTCTGTTTATACGGCGTCGGCAAATCCACCGAACGCTCTTACAGGTACACGAAAGACGGTTTCGGCGAACATCTCGGCGGCGGCGGTTCCGACGAGGGGAACGTACGCCGCCACCATCACCGCACCGCGTCGACATCTCTCACCGCGAACGCCTCCGTCGTCGCCAAACAATACAAACTCGACGTCGAATCCGACCCTTCGCAACTGGAATGGCAAAAAGGCACGCTCTCCGTCGACGGCGACGGCTCCATCCCGCTCGTCTCCTTAGGCTACGCCTGCGCCTCCCCTTGGCGCGCGAAAACCCAAAACCCGTCCTCCATCCCAATCAAAATTCGCGAATACGCGCATCTTCCGAAAACGCTCATGGAAGGTGGATTTCAAGGCATCTCCGAGGGCGAACACGTAAACATCATGGGTAACGTCGATATGATTCGTGACGTGTTGAAAATTGTCACCGGTCACGGCGACGCTGTCGAGGAAAGAATCTCGAGCGATTTACCCGCCATCGTTCGAAAGGTCGACGAAAACCGATTGAAAAGTACTAAAAGGGGAGGAGGAAGAAGACTTCATCGCAACAAAGCGGGGTTTTGAAAACAAACAAACGCCTGATGAAAACGCCCCACGTGTTCTTACGCATTGCTTCAAAATCCGAGAGGAAAGAAAATACCGTCATCATAGATATATTGTAGCGCAGTAGGTGAATAGACAACGCAAAGCTCGATACCTAAAACCTACACCCTAAATTTTCCAATGGCAATTCACCTCAATTCAATTCTCTTCAGAGCTCGTACACGAATACTATTAACAACGACGACAAAAGCATCATCATGTCCTCCATGGACGAGTTCAAGAAGATGAAAGTGCAGGTGAGGAGACCCCTATATTTCGTCGTTTGTTGCCTCGTCTTACTCTTACTCTTACTCTCTCTGTTTCATTCGTTTTCCAATTTTGAATTCGTCTCTCAATTCTCCCTCGTTTCCCCGCTATGAAAGCGCGAAGCGTTCTTTTCTCTGGTGCTTCGTTTTTCGAGTCGTCGGCGTCGTTTACTAAAATTCTGACCGCTCGTCTCTCTCGCTTTATTTGCAATGATGTAACAACAACAACACAGGAACTGCGCGACGCGTTAGAGGCGAAAGGATTGGATTCGAGCGGTCTGAAAGCGGTTCTGTTGTCTCGATTGGAAGAATCGCTCGAAGGAGGCGAAGGAGGAGGAGAAGAAGAAAAAGAAGAAGAAGAAGCGGAGGAGGAACCTTTGTCAGCAGTTGAGATAGAGGAAGAAGAGAAAGAGCCGACGCAGGAGCCAGAGAGCGAGGCTCCGGCGGCTCCGGCGGCTCCGGCGGCTCCGGCGGCGACCGCGGTTGCCGCCGCCGCGCCGGCGAAGACGAACGAAAGGAAGAAACCAAACGCTTCCGCCGCAGAAGAAGGCGAACTGACGAAGGAGCAAAAAGAGGAGATGAAAAAGAAAAAGCGAGAGGAATTTAAAGCGAAACAGAAGGCAGAGTACGAAGCTCGAGAGGCGAAGAGGCGAGAGAAGAAAGCGGAGGAGAATAAACAGTTCGTTTCAACGCTCGAGGAAAGAAAGCAAAGAGCGGCAAAGTTCGACGGCCCTTTCATTCTCTCCGACGCCGAGAAAAAACGCGTGCGAGAATGCGGCGCGGCCGCGCAGTTTGGCCTTTCGGAAATTGAAGAGAACGCAACGGGAGAGAATGCTAATGCTCAAAAGAAAGAACTCGTCTCCGCGGAGGAGAAGAAACAAATCGAAGCCGAACGAGAAGCGAAGAAACGAGCGAGGATGGAACGGTTCGGCGCCGAAGCGTTGAAGCCTTTGCATCCGCCCAAAATGCAACAACACGGGAACACGACTAATAAGAAAGCGAAACTCGGAGGAGGACAAGGAAAAGGAGGTCAGGATCGAAATTTGACCAGTTACACCATTTAATATCCATATATTCGTTATTAACACGTATTCGTACCAAGCCGTTCTTGCCTCATTTTATTCTCTCGAATCACTCATCACAAAGAAGAAGTTTAAAGAAGAAGAACGTAATAATGTCAGCGCTACAAAACCGATGCCAAACGCTCGCTGCATCTATTCTCAAAGAGATGACAATCTTTGATACGAAGCGTCTAGAAGAAAAGGACGACACAAAGCAAGAAGAAGAAGAAGACGTTCGAGCGCACGTGTTGCGCGCCTGCAAAGTCGTCGAGCACGAATCGACCAAAATCGGCGTGCTTTTTAGCAAACAAGGAGAAGTGTTGAGAGAGGAGGTCTCGAATTCCGCGCTGGACAGTTTTCACGTCTCTTTGATCGCGTTTACGGCGTACGTGAACGCAGCTTTGGTGAACGAAAATTACGACATTGATTGTCACAGAAAACAGGTGAAATCGCTCGGCGAAGCGGTGTTGCGAGCGAGCGCGAGTTTAATCGAGGCGGTTGGGAAGAGGAAAGAGAACGTGAGAAACTTAACCGCGAGTGTTTGGGAGCAGTGTAAATCCGCGGAGAAGACGATGCCGAGAGATGGGAAAGATGCAGTCGGGAAGGCTTTGATGACGCACTGTCGATTTATTAAAGATGCGAAGCGGGAGATCGAAGAGATGCTGCTGACGGAGGGAGAAGAGGGATTCAAGAAGGAGGATGGAGAGAAAGTGGAGGATGATTTCGGGGAGGAGATCGTGCGCGAGGAGATTAAGGTGGTGGACAGAGAGGTTTTAGGGAAGGCGAAGGTTACGATTGAGTGCACGTTTGCATTCTTGAAAGCGTTGGTGGTTCCGTTGATTAGTAATAGCAAGGCGAGTAATTTTAGCAAAAGTAGAAAAGAGCGCGCGACGGCGCTGAATGAAATCGAGAAGAAGTGCAAGGAAATGCGAAGTGCGGTGGACGAAATCATATGCGAAGCGATGCCGCCTTCGGATGCGGATGTGCTCGCGTCCGAGGCGAAGAAATTAAAAGACGCGGCGGAGGACATGATGAAACGGGTCGAGGAGGTCCTGACAGGTCGCGACGACACCAAGGACGACGATGGAATGAATCACGTCGATGCAGCGAAGAAGGCTTTAGCGGGCGTACAATCTGCGTGTGATAAAATGTAATAGTACGCGTATTTATAATAGTGTGTTTTTTATGAAACGATCTTCCCAATTGGTTCCCACGTTCGTTTCCTGGTCAAACTCTCCTTGTATACGAAAACCTCTCCTTTCCCACTCGCGGTCGTTACCGCAACGTGCGTCCCTAACTCGTTGAACGAAACCGATTCGATGTCGCTTTCGAACTCAAAGTTTCCTAAATTTCTTCTCGATGGCTTTTCGTCTTCGTGTGAGAACTCGCCGCTCGTATCTAGCACAACCGCTCGGCGATTTCCTTCGACGAATACCATTCGGGATCCGTCTTTACTCCAGTCTACGCGGGATAACTTTTCTTTCGACGCGTACATCGCATTCTCTTGCTCTGTCCACGTATCGCAGTTTCTCTTATACACAAAACGTCGAATTTCAAACGCCTCGTTATCGCTAAAACTAAACGCCGCGGCTAAGGTTGGCGCGTTCGGCGACTCGAACCGCCACGCCACGTCCGATACTTCCGCGCGGCCGCTAAAAGATCTCTCCGCGACAACCTCGTGACACGTCTCAAATAACGGGTTCAAAGTATCGTCGTACATCGCAATTTGACCCTCATTCTTACCACTGCCGCTGCTTTCTAAATAGTGCGTCGTCGCTCTCGGCAAGGACGGATCCCGCACGTCTCTCGCGTCTCTCGTCGTCGCGTAGATATCAATCTCCCCATCCGATCGCCCGCACGCGAGTAACAACCCGTGTTCGCTCGGTGCGAACGAAAACGACGTGTACACGAGAGAAGACTCTAAATGCTTCCATCGTTTCGGTCGTAGCGTTTGCGCGCGTAAAAATGTTTCTCCTTTTCCTTCTCCTTCGCCTTCAAATTCTCCTTTCTCGAAATCCTCTTCCTCCTCTTCAAACACAACATCCGGTCTTGTCGCGAATTCTCTCGCCACGAACACCTCCACTGAACCTCGTTTCGTCAAAACTGCGAAAATGGTCCCGAACGCGGACGGTGCGAATTCCATTTTTAGCGCGTTTGAAGCGATGCAAACTCGGGAAAACGGTTTGAAATCGTCGTTTTGTTTCTTGGAAACGTGGACGACGTTTAACGCGGACGCGATCAAGAGAATAGATTTGGAGTCGTTCGTGCACACGCACGTGGTTGTTTCGCAGCGAGATGTTGTCGGGATTGAGTTTACCGCGACCCCGCGAGACGACATTGTTGTTATTATTGATGATGTCCGCTTTTTGTGACGTGTGAAAAGAGGCAAAAATGTAAAGGAACAATACAACGCTCTCTCCGCTCGCTCTTTTAGTATCCTCAAAACGAGTACTATTAGTAGTATTCGCTCACACGACGACGAGGAGAGCGTGAGTAGTATTCTCTGCGACTTTGGTCAAAAGCTCGTCCATTTCTTTTAACTCTTGGTCCAACATGTTCACTTTGACCGTCTCGCGTCTTCGCTTTTCCATCTGTTCGAAAACTTCCAGCCGGTGTTGCGTTTTCCTGCGCTCGTATTCTCGGTTGTTTCGGATTTTTCGGAGCAGGTCTTCCGGAGCGCACATATCGGCGAGAGACATTTTGCGTTTGACGATACCGGGGGTGATGCTGCTGTTTCGTCGTCGGTACGTTGACGGAGACTGGTCCTCGCCGGCACCGGCGGGAAGGAGGAAACTTTGTTTTCGCGACGCGTCGGCAAGAGGAGTCGTCCGAGTGTTCATTTCTACCCCTTTATCGCTAACCCCGGTATTCTCCTCTTCGCCGTCGTCATCTTCTTCTTCTTCGTTAAACCACGCGTTATATTTATCGTCGTTCTTGCTAAACGTCTCGATGAACTCATCCACTACCTTCCTCGTTCTCAAGGACCTCGCCGACCTCGCTAACATCGCGCCGCACGTCGGATCGTTCGCCGCGGACGTCACCGCCCCTCTCCCATCCTCCAAATCCAACATTAACCTCGCAAACTCCTCAAAATCCATCGTCCCGTTCCCATCGACGTCGATTTCCTTAAACGCTCTCCTTGCAATCGTCGCCGATTCCTCTCGGTCTCCCGCCATCATTTTCCACGCTAACGCAAACTCTTCGAATTCAACTTCCCCACCGCCGTCGGAATCGAGCGCCGAGAACAGTTCTTGCAACTGCGCTCTTTTCGAGTCCGTGAGCGTTCGTTTCACCACTTTCTTCCTCTTCGCGAGCCAATCGCGCGTTTGTGAGCTCACGCATCGCAACGAAGGCGACGGTGTGTTCGTTGTTCTTTTTACAACATTTTTACTCGCCGCCTTCTTTCTTAGCGCGAGAGAAGAAGACAAAGAAGAAGCGCAGACGTCAAAGTCGTTCCGATCCAAAATAGCGTCTATCTTACGAATACTGGCGGTGATTTTAGACGACGACGACGACGACGACGACGATGAAGAGGAAACGACCACCATTTTATTTATATTCTTCGCGTATTTTTGTATTTTTTTGTGAGACTTTTTGTGCTAAATTTAGATTTTCAAACTGCGCATATATGTGCGAAACAACGTCGAACTTTTGCTTTAAGCGAGGAAACCCTTTGATCGTCTGTAAGCGAGCAGTGTGCGACGCAGAAACGTCTCACTACACAGAGCCTGATTTTGTACACCATTTATGCGAAAGAAATCGAGATTTTGAGTAGTAGTATTATTCGTCGCGAAGTGAGAAACGGACGAGTCTTTTACCATCAGAAACGGTTTTTTTATACCCTTTCGGATCCTCATCATCGGATGCCGAAAGAGAAAAGACGGAGGCGTATTTCTTTCGCAACGCAGGACCGACGGTGAAATGGATTATCGGTCCGTCTAATTCCACGTTTGAGGTGAAGTACTTTTGCGAAGGTTTCGCCGCCGCCTTTCGACGTTCGCCTTTGGTCCGGCGCTTACTCTTCTTCGCGTCGGAGGCGAGGGAGGCGTCGTAAAGCCAATCGCAGGTGAGGAAGAGATTTTGGTGCTCGGTGAATTCTTTCTCAGATGTACTCGAGGGATTGCGTTCGTCTGAATCGTCTGAATCGTCGTCGTCGTCTCGAGTGATGAGCGTGCCGGATTGCGCGCGTAAAATAAAGCTTTCGCGAGCGTTTGTATTACGCTTGCGCTGGCTTTCGAGAAACTCCTCCGAAGGGCCCTCGAGATTATTGAATATCGAGTGAAATTGACGTTTTTCTTCGTGAATATCTTGAAACGATTGTCGAAGGACGGTTCTGACGACGCGCATGGCGACCATTTCGAGAATTTGCGTCGCGTCGGCCACGGCGGTGCCGAAACTTTCACTCGGAAACTTCGTTTCCCGTCGGCGGGCGGGACGAGGATCAGGATCTTCTTCTGCTGGAGGTTCGTTCCACTCGCGCTCGAGTTTGTCATTCTTTAAGCTCAAAGGAGGGAACATACTAGTTTCGTTCGCTTTTGATTCTGTGGCGTTGAAACCGTTGCTTCGCAATCGCGCGTTCTTCTTGGCAATATTCGCGTACGACAGATATCCCTCGCTCTTCTCCGCCAAGTCTTCTTCTTTTTTGTCTTCTTCTACCACGACAACTTGCTTCTCTTCGACGACGTTTTCTTCTTCGTCAACATTCAGTTCCCAAGCTGGCGCAAAGAACTCAACGTCGTCGCTCTCGTAATATTCGCTCTCAAAACACTCGATGACTTTCGCTAACGTTTCGCCGAGGGAAATGTCAAACGCCTCGTCCGGCATCGCCACGCGCACCGACCCGTATTTCTTCAGCGAGTCTAGGCAGTCTTTTTTGGCGTCGTCGTTTTCAATCGCCAAGTGTACGAACGATACCATCGGAATAGAGGCGATGAACGGAATCTCTCCGCGTCGTTCCTCTTCCGTCTGTTCCTGCTCGACTTCGTCCGCCCACGACGTCATCGAGGACTTCGTCACATCCGCGCTCGTCTTTTCCTCTTTGTCGTCGTCCGTTTTCTCGTTTTCGATTAAGTAAATCTCCTCCCCTTCTTCGTCTTCCTCGGCCTCGTCATCCTCGTCTCCTTCCTCATTCTTCTTCGCTTTGAGCGTCACATTTTTCTTTGACCCTCGCTTATTTCCTCCGCGCTTCTCCACGCGCAACTCCGGATCGTCCGGCAACGCGTGTTTGCACGTCTCCTCGACGGCTTCAATCTCCACCTCGAGCTCGTCGTTTTCATTCATTCTCTTGCTCGTCTGCTTTTCATTCGCACTTTTAGTAGTATTCGAAGAAATGCTTAAACTTCTGCGACACTTGTACAAATAAATCCTCGCCTCGTACGCGCCGCCTAACCCGATCAGCGCTTTCGCTTTCAACCAATTCGCCACGGCCAGATTTGGTTTCATTTGTAAGATCTCGTTACATTCTTTCAAACACTCCTCGAACTGTTGCAACGACGCGTGTGCTCGCGCTCGCGCGACGTGTATACACACTTGAAACGCTTTCTTCTCCTTCTCCTCCTCTTTTTTCTCCTTCTTTTTGTTCTTCTTAAACAACCCGCTGGTGAGCGTCAACACGTCCTCGAATCTTCGACGATGTAAACTCTCCGAGCAGAGTTTTAAAATCTCCATCTTCTTTTTCTTCGGTGTTGTTGTTGTTGTTGTTGTTGTTGTTCCTTCTCCTCCTCGGGAATAATTCAACGACTTTTGCTCCTCCATGTTGGTTCTCGCGATCAAAACAGCAACTTTCGCAATCTTTTCGACGAACCGCTCTTATCGTAAGCACAGAAGGGGAATACTACTAATACTAATGTGATGAGAGATGATGAAAAAAAAAAGGCGTTACTCCGAGAAAAAGAAGAGTTGAAAAAACTCCCCTTTTAAAATATAAGGGGGAAAAGAAAATTCGAAAAAGCTGCCAGACTGCACAAAAGAGACAAACATCTCTTCAAAAATCATTGCCTCTCGCTCTCGTTCTTGTTCTTAAAACACACACACATAAAGAGTAACACAAACAAAATCATGATCGGCAACTACCTGAGCACGATGCTCGTGTGCGTGTTCGCGTACTTGTACCCTCTGTTTTTATGTTTTAAGGTATGTGATGATAAAACATCAGAGCATTGGAAAAGATTTTTGGACGACGATCCGATTTTGGAAAAGGGGAGATTACTGACCACTTAAACTTCTTCTTTTCCGATGAATATGCAGGCGTTAGAGATGCACAAAAAGTCCCCGGAAAAGCTCCGCGGGTGGTGCATTTACTGGCTCGTTTTAGCCACGTTCACAGTTTTCGAACGCATCACGGACGCGTTTTTATTCTTCCTCCCGTTGTACCACGAGGCGAAAGTCGCCTTCGTGGTGTACTTGTGGCACCCGAAGTCGCAAGGCGCGTTGTACATTTACGATAAGTTCGTCGCGCCGACGTTATCGAAACACGAAGGCTTAATCGATCGTAAAATTGAAGAGACGCAGGCGAAAGTTGGAGACGTCATATTCTCGTACTCGAAGATGGCGTACGCGTACGTGCAAAAGATGACGTTGCAGTTGTTGCAAAGTTTGCCGACGGCGCAAGCAGCGATGCACGCGCAACAACAAGGGGGAGCGCAGGCGGCGAGCGAACCCGTTAATCCAATCAAAAAGGAACCGGTGGCGACTGAAGCCAAGTAAAAAGAGAGAGACTGTTTCACGATGAAGAAAGAAAGAAAGAGAGCGCTTCTGGGTTTAGAGCGTCGTCCGAAATCTGAAAAGACTTCACCGGACGAAACGTTGCCTTTGCGCTCTCGATGGCATATCGATAGAACGAGAGAGAGAGAGAGAGAGAGAGACAAGTGTACAACATATTATCATTTACAGAATAGATTAAGAATTTATCGCTCTGATCAAAAGCGTGTTATTACATATACATACATACAGGAGTTATTACTCGTATACTAAACTCGAGCGCTTCAATTTTTTCTCCTCTCAGGCAGGGGTTTTAAACTGCCGAAAAACGCTTCGAAATCGACACATCAATCGTCTCTTTCTCGCGCCGCTCAGACGCGCACGAGGACAACACCGACGAAACGAGTGCGTTGGTTTAAAGAATACGAACAACACTACACTAATAATGGAGTTACCGGACACGCACGTCCTCTCTCACGGCTTAGTCTTCCACGTTTTACTCTTACTCCTCCAATTGCTTCCTCTCGTGACTGTCGTCGACACGAACTTGAACATCGTATTAACCGCCACGTTAAGCGTGATCGCGGGCTCGTACCGATCCATTCGACCGGTTCAAAAAGGCGAGACGGAAACGATGACGAAAGCGGACGCGCAAAAGTTCCCCTTGGTTGGTTCCTGCGTGTTGTTCGGGATGTTTCTTTTGTTCAAGTATTTACCAAAAGACGTACTCAACGGGTTGTTGACGGTGTATTTCGTGTTTTTAGGCGCGATGGCGATATGCGCGACGTTTACGCCGTTGTTCGCGAAGATGATGCCGAAGAGAGTCGCGTTAAAGCGGGTATATTTTGGAACGATTCCAACGATTAAATATATCAACGAAGAAGGGCCGTACGAGGTGTCGTTTGACGTCGCGGAATTGACCACGGGAGCGGCGGCGATTGCGTTTTGCAAGTGGTATTACGATACTAAACATTTCTTGGCGAATAACGTGCTGGGTTTGAGCTTTGCGTTGCAAGGGATTGAGTTTTTGACGTTAGATTCGATTCAAATTGGGGTTATTTTATTGGTTGGCTTGTTTTTTTACGATATCTTTTGGGTGTTCTTTACGCCGGTGATGGTCTCGGTGGCGAAATCGTTCGACGCGCCGATTAAGTTGTTGTTTCCGCGAGGACCGGTGAACGTGTTGGATTCCAGTAAACGACCGTTTTCTATGCTCGGGTTGGGAGATATTGTAATCCCAGGGCTCTATTTAGCCTTGATTTTAAGAATGGACATGCAACGCAAAGAGGCGGCGAATCGACCGAGAACGAGATCGAAAGCGAGAGAGTTGAAAAAGAAACCGCCGCCGATGTACTTTTGGGCAGTCGCGTTAGGGTACGCGCTCGGTTTAGTGACTACAATCGCCGTGATGAATATCTTCGAAGCCGCGCAGCCGGCTTTGTTGTACATCGTGCCTGGTTTGTTACTCACCACGTTCATCCGCGCCGTGTTCGCCGGGGAAGTCCGGAAGGTGTTTTACTTTGACGAGAAAGTCGGGAGCGTGAGCGGAGAAATCGCCGTCGAGTCGTCGCAGCACGAGGATTAAGAAGCACAGAAAGAGAAAAAGAGAAAGAGAGAGAGAGAAGGAAACAATTTAAAGAGTTTTATAATAATGATAACGCAACACACGCGGAATATGTGCACACCGACCGCCACGCTCCAAATCGAACACTTCTCGTCCTTTACTTAAGTTTTGAATCTGCATTTGAATTCGTCAAACGCACGACGCACATCATCATGACATTCCAAACCCTCTCCGCGCTCCCAACCGCGGGGAACCCCTCTGGTGGTCTAAACTTCGCCCACAAATCCTCGAAACGTGTAACTCGATTCCGGAAAGACTTGAAAACGATCGAGGAAAACGGCACGTGGGAAGCTTTGCCAACGTTGGTCGCGTTCCCGGACAGAGAGATATCGACGGCGTTGCGAACGGTGTGCGGGTCCACAGTCGCTCGCGAGAAGAGAGATCGTAAAGAAAAAGATTTAGAGAACAGAATAAATGCGGTGACGTACATTTTGGAGCACTGTTTAGTATCAGACGACGACGAGGAGGAGAAAGACGAGGAAGAGATTCTGGTTGGAGGCGCTATCGCGAGTGCGAGTAAAGGTCGATTTGAGATTTTACGGAAGCTGATCGAGGAGGATAAAAACAAGAAAATGAACGTTATTAATGGCACGGATATTCACGGCTACTCCCCTTTACTGAGCGCGTGTTGCGGCGACTACTACGAGGAAGGAGAGATAAGCGAGATGGAATCAAACAGACGAAAATGTATAGAGCTGCTCTTGGAACGCGGCGCGGACGCGGAAAACAGAGGCGACGGCGTGCACAAGATAAATTGGACGCCGTTGATGGCGTTGGCGAAGAGAAGCGATTTGGAGAGTTTGAAGGTATTGTTTAAGAAGAGCTCAGAGGAGCTGGATGTGAACAGGACGTATTCGAACGGGAAAACCGCGCTGTTTGTTGCCTGCGAATGGGGCGCGTCCATCGACGTGATCAATTTGCTCTTAGAGAAAGGCGCCAAGAATATTCCGGCGACAAAGTTGAACACGGATTACTCGAGATTTATTCCCGCAATGACACCGCTCGATAAAGCGATGGAAAATGGGCACCACGAAATCGTGTACGCGTTGAACGAACACAACAAAAAGAACTCAGGTTTGTGGTTTAGCAGCGGGTACGAAGAGGAAGAAGAGGCAAAAAATAGTGACGTCGAAGAAGAAGTGATTCGAAACGAGCGAGAAACGAAGATGGACTTTGACGAACGGGCCGCACCTACGGTCGTTCAAGGTGGCGAGTCCTGGTAGTAAAATGTTTTAGTAGTCTAGGCATGTAGCGAATATATATATAGAGAGAGATGGTCAATTATAGTAGTAGTAGTAGTATAGCGAGATATTTGTATGTGTGAATTATAATGTACAACAGTAGTAGTGTTTAAAATAAATTGACTAGAGTACGCCTTGGCCAAACCCATCCGGCGCGTCTTCCTCCACCTCGAAATCATCCTCCGTCCAGCACCTCGGCGCCACTCCAGTTCCCTCGTATATCATTCTCTCTAACTTACGAAAAAAGCGAGAATCGTCCAACAATGGATTCCACCAACCGTTGACGATGCAATAGTGTCCTTCAAACGGCGACCTGTGGTGCGCGCCGTGGTCTTTCCTCGTCAGCATCAAGTTCATGTCTTGCAACTTGGTCACAATTTTCGGTTGTTCGCTCGGTTTCATGTGCGCCCACGCGTGGGTTTGTTGAGACAACACCACCAACGCCCAAAACGACCCGAAAAACAAATCGCTATCACCACTTCCTTGCATATCGCTGCCGCCAAACACCAACAACTGCGGCACCGTAAATAACAAAGGTGCGATGCACGTTTTATGAATGTTGTTCGCCCATTGTCTCTTGGTAATCGTCCACGGCCATCGATGGTGCCCTTGAAAGGCGTCGATGACATTTCCAGCCACGGGAGTGTTCTTATCTCCGTAGTTATCCACCGACCAGTGGAAAATCCCGGTACCTAAATCGGCCAGCGCGTAACTCGCGAACAGCGTCGCAAACGCTCTCGCCGCGATCGCGCCGACGTCGCCATCCATCACAATCGCGTCCAAGTACACTCCTCTCATCGCTAACAACGAGCAAATCCCAAAGTGTACTCCACATTGCACGCGTTGTCCACGCGTCGAAACGAAATCTTTCGGGTCCCTCAACATTTCGCCCCCCATGGAGGCCATTTTTTTTCTCAAAAGCTCCGCTTCCATCTCTGCTTTACTGACGGTAAACTCATCCCCATCGATGGAACACCGGATGGACCCATCGTCCGAGGATGATCGCGAATCCATGAACTCGTCGAAAGATCTATCCATCGGATCGATGATCGCCTTTAGATTTGTGAACCGTCGTTTTTGTTTGTTTGATGACGTCGCACCAACAGACGACGACTTCGTTTGGCTTTTAAATGATTTCTTTTGAGACAAAAGCTGGTCCCCACTCGACGAGGAAGACGCAGAGCAAAGCAGCGACGACATCGAGAGCGTTCGCGTGATCATGGTTTAATTAAAGTAGTGATGAGGAGGAAGAGTATGCGCGCGTTACTTTTGTAGATAATCGAACGAAATTTTGGTTTTTTGCACACGTGGAGAAAATTTCCATGGCTGAGGTTCACTCTCGGAAGGAGCAAAAGTTTAATATTTTCGCGAGACGACGACGCCGATGACGATGAGTGTTCGCATCAAATCCTTTCGTCTTTTGTTGTATTTTTGTTTAGCATGTTATAGTATTCGTCGTATAAATAGCGTTTTTACGTATTACTCTTCGTCGTCTTTGAAATCTTCTTCTTCTTCTTCTTCTTCTTCGTCGTTCGTAGGAGCGCCAAAGTCGCCGGTTGAAGAAGTCAATTTTTGCTGCTCTCTTCGGTCTTTTCTGTTTAATTTTTTCTTCGACGCCGCGTTGGCGCTCCCTGGTTCTATGATTCCTTCCGCGACTAACTTGTCCAAATTGCTCACTTTCGGTTTCCTTCTCTTATTCGCCGCTTGGTTTAATTTTCCTTTGTTCGCCTCGACGATTCGTTCCTGTCGTTCCATTTCTTCTCGAGCGTCGGATTCTTCTTTCCTGTCCATGGCTTCGCGCGCGGAGACGTATAAGGTCCCACCGGTGATGATGACGAGTAAGACGACCGCCAAGGTAAACGCTAACTGAGAGCCGAGAGAGGCGGCTTGGACGCCGTCTTCGAACTCGTTCGCGTCCGGGTAGCCCGTGAATATTCTGCCGACGTTGAACGGGTTCAATCCGGTTTTCTCGCTCGGATCTTCGTCATCAACCGCGACGGTTACGATCCCATCGTCCTCAGACGTCGACGTCGACGGCGCACTCATGCTGTCGAGACCGCCAAAAGGCATCGAACCTCCGCCTTTTTCCGAGTTAGAACTCTCGGCCACTTCCGCGACCAAGGCGTACTCTGTAGCTGCTCCAGGTGGTAATGGTGGTGGTGAGTAATACGAAGAAGAAGGAGGAACAGAAGAAGAGGCGACGACGACCAAACTTCGTCTCCGACGAAGAAGAATAGCATTAAGGCCTTTACTACTCGTCGAGATGACAGAGAGACCGCCTCTCGTCGTCGTCATCATCGTCTCTAATCTATATCTTAAAATCTAAATATCCGTATCTGTGTAGAGGGAAAAACAATCAAATCTCTCTCTAAACTCCTCCTCCTTCTCCTCCTCCAGAGGCGATTATATATATATATTAAACTCTCTCGCGTTTGTAATGCGAACAAACAAAAACAAAAAGAAGAAACCGCAGGCAGCAAGCGGTGACTCTCTCAATCAAAAGCGTCGTTCTCTGTTGCGTCTCTTTCTCTTGGACGCTCTTTATTTTGCATTTAGGGTATCATTTTTAACCCTAAACAAAATTCGGTCCAAAAAATACGAGTCTCTTTTCTTCGTTTCTCTCGCCTGATCTTTCTGCGCGTTTTTACGCACACGATTGACTCTTCGACGAGACGACGGAAGACATTTCTCCGCACGCGCGCACGCGTCACGCGCACATTTATATCCCGTTTTTTTTTATTTTCTGAGTAAATCAGTATCATCATGCCATCAAAGTTTTTCCAAAGACGACGAATACGACGAGGAGGCGAGAGTGAAGGAGGAGGAGGAGGAGGACAACAACAACAACAACAACAACAGACGCTCCTCAAAACACAACGACAAACTCGACAAAAACGAGCAGCGAAAGGACGACGAAACAATAATAACAACTTTGAGGAGGAAGAAGACGAGGAGGAGACGACGAGCATGTTGTTCGCGCGCGTGGACGAGGAAGAACTTCTCGAAGAGAGCGATTCGGAGGTCTCGGAGATGGACCACGGAAGAGGAGGAAGAGTAAAAAGAAGAAGAAGAAGAAGAAGAAGCGAGTACTGGAAGCGCTCTTCTTCTTCTTCGTTGGAAAACGTTTTGCCAACAGAAGAAAAGGAGGGAGGGAGCGCAGGAGGAGGTTTCGTCGTCGTCGCGGAAAGAAGCGAACAGACGACGTCCGGGTTCGTCGCGAACGAGGAGAAGGCTGAAGTGACGAGCGCGAAAAAAAAGAAAAGCGACGAAGTGAGCGATCCGGTGTATCGCTTGCTTCGATATGCGCAACGAGAAGACGACGAACAGATGAAACGGTTCGCGACGGTGCCGGAAGGATTCGACATCGCGCTCGTGAACGAGCGAGAAGTCAGCGCGGATGCGCGATTGAAACAGTTGAACAAATTGTTTCAGCGAGAAGATGAGAGAATTGGCGACATCTCAAAAGATGTGAAAGAGTGTTTTGGTTTGGTTTTGGAGGACGCGAGAACGAGAGAGGCGGTCGGGTACGCGTTATTCCACGACCGAAAAGTGCACGAGTGGGAAGCGACGAAAAAATTAACGGTTTCGCCGCCGAGATTGTCGCACGTTTTCGTGAAACAAGAATACAGAAGGAGAGGATTCGGGACCGCGTTGGTGAGTCGATGGATTAAAGAGTTCGCGATTGACGCGAAAGCGTTCGCGGTGGACATGCCGAACGGAAAAATGTTGAAACTTTTGAAGCACGCCAGATGCGAGGTCGCGGTGGAAAAATCTGGTTTCGAAGCCGGAACGATACACTTTTTGAATTTACCGATTTAAAACGATGGCGAGAGAGAAGCGCAGCACAATTTCTATTGATACGATACGATACGATACGATACTACGTGGTCTATAAATAACAGACAAATATGCACGAATGTTAATCATCGTCCGCGTTTGTAGACGGTTTCGTCGGTTTGCTCAACACGTTCGATCGCGGGAGCGCTTTCTCCGTCGCCGATCTCACCTCCGAAGCAATCGTCGTCGCACTATTACTTCCTTCCGCTACAGAGCCACTTTTACTACTATTTTCGATCGTTTTATATGCCCCCATTGCCTGTGCGACTAAACTCGCCGGGTTGCCGACATCTGCGGGAATCAACATCGTGTTGCCTTCCTTGGCGATTTGCGCGAACGCGTTCATGTACATCTCCGCAATCTTAAATCTCGCCGCCTCGTCGCCACCCGTGCCTAACAACGACTTCGCCACTTCCGTGATCCCTGTTGCCGTCGCTTTTGCTTTCGCCACGATCGCTTCCGCCTCCCCGGTCGCTTCTAAAATCGTCTTTTCTTTCAAACCAGTTGCCACGTTAATCGACGCCTCTCTCTCCGCCTCGGACTCTAAAACCGCCGCGCGTTTCCGTCGTTCACTTTCCGCTTGCAACTCCATCGCATTTTGAATACCTCTCGGCGGTAGAATATCTCGAATCTCGTATCTCATGCACTTCAACCCCCAATCTCCGGCGGCTTCGTTGATCGTTTTCACAATCGCCGCGTTCAAATGGTCTCTCTCTTCGAACAACGTATCCAACGACATCTTCCCGATCTCCGATCTCATGGTCGTTTGCGCCAGCTGTGACAACGCAAACACCGGATTTTCCACCCCGTAGCTCGCATTAAACGGATCCACGACTTTCGCGTACAAAACCCCGTCGATGCTGATCGCCACGTTATCTTTCGTCACCGCCGTTTGGTTGTCCACCGGTATCGCCTCTTCTTTCAAGTGCCAAACGTAAGCAATAGAATCCACCAGAGGTATCAAAAGATGAATCCCACTGCTTAACGTTTTGTGATACTTCCCGAATCGTTCGATCACCGCGACTGTCCTCTCGGGAACGATTCGAATCCCGTAGTTAATTGGTTTCGGACCGTACGCCAGATCCGCCAACGAGGACGACGATGGTGACGGATTGGAAAGAAATCCGCGACGGTTACTCGAGAAGGAAAACGCATTTTGTGTTTGATGTGTTTGCTGCCGTGGAATCGTCGTCGTCGACCTCGAAAAGAGGGCGTTGCCGCCACCTGCGCTCGAGAACAACCGGGACGACGTCGACGCGGAAGAGTGGTAGGATTTTAGCGCCGCTGCTCGGCGCAACGCGTGTCGAGTTTTGCTCATGCGTTTATTTAATAATTGACGTGAGAAAAAGTGACGACGACGACGATGTTTGACGTTTGAAAAAATATTCGAGAGGAGGTTCAAGACAAAAAGTAGGAGCGATCGTCGTCAACATCTAATAATTGTTTCTCGCGTTTATTTCTCTCTGCTTCGGCGAGCATCGCTCTGTCGTCTCCGGCGGCGACATCGGTCGCGCCGCCAACAATCTTCGCTCTCTCGCGGAGAGGTATTCGCATGCTCGCTTCCACGTCTTGCTTCGTCGCCTCGCGGCCGAGGAGGCGTTCCATGTCCTCTCGGCGAATGCCGTTTTCGAGAACGTCTCGAGTTTCGACGTTGGATTCGTACGCGTCCCAGTTGTGGCGGAGGTGCGCGTCGCGGAGTGCGCACTTTTGAATTCGTGTGGCGAGTTGGAGCGAGTCGCGCGTTTTGGCGAGGATTTTTTTCAGGCCAGAGATGGGTTGATTCTCGCACTCGTCCACGTAAACGCCGAGTTGAGAGAGAGAGAAGGAGTGGAACGGTTGTCGTTGGAAGTGTTGGTGCTCGCGCGCTCGAGTTTTGCCGCTGGTATTCACCTCATCTTCATCATCTTCGTTCTCAAGTGATTCGTGGCCGATGATTCTGATCTCTTCCTCGGCTTGCGCTATCATTTCCCGCGTGGCGACGAGTTCGTCTTCTTGCGTTGAATATTTGCCTTGTTCTTTTAAATTTTCCAGGGCGACGATAAATCCAGTCACCGCTTTCAGTTTACCTTCCAAAGCCGCAACTTTCTTATCGATATCTTGCATCACTTTTATTTGTCCGCTCACGTGATTGTTCGTCCCCATCCAGTGTCTCGTCTCTTCCTCGTACTCTTTGGCGATTTCATCGCACCGCTCTTGGCCTCTCTGATCGGCGCGTATTTGGTTCGGATTTTTGCGATCGTAATCCGAATCGTCCTTGTTTTTCTTCGTAAAATTCCACACTTCTGGCGATTTTCCTATCCTCGGCGTCTCTTCGTTTACGTTTACGAACGGTTTCGCCGCCTCGGCCACTCGTGATGTCGTTATCGACGCCGCCAAGGACATCTTGTCGATCGTGATTGCGCCGTCGCAAATCTCGTACAACGTGTTTGCTTTACCAATCGTGAGTTTTTCAATCTTTCTCTTTCCCTTGCTGTCGTCGTCGTTTTCGCCGATGTGACCAACTGGTTTAAACCTCACCTGTAACGCCACGCCGTGTTGCTTCAACGTCCCGAATTGTCTCGAAAAACTCTCCCCGCCATCAAAATCGTCCGGCAGTTTCGGATGAATCTCCGACTCGATCTGCACGCCATTCGCGACGACGAATCGTAAAACAGAGCTCGTTCTCACGATCGCCTTTTTCTTCTCTCCCAAATCATAATCATCGAACGGTGCGAGTTTCAAGCGAATTCTCTGTCCCACGTGCGGTCCACACGTCGCTCGAATCTGTTCCGGTTTTTTCTTCGTGTCCGGTACGAAATGCGCGACGTCGATGATCTCTTTTTCTTTTGAAACCGACTCGGAGTCGTCGTCGTAGTCCTCAATCTCCACGCGCACGGTTGGCATTATCACTATTACTACGAGCACTATCCCAGAAGAGCTAAACCCGCGTCGTCGTTTGCAGAGAGAGAGAAGAGAGAGAGAGAGAGTCAAAGAGATGTTTTATTGTTTGATCTTCTTTTCTTTTTTAGTAATTTGGAATTTATGCGTTTCTTTTTAATTAATTATTTTACACAGACCGCGTGTAGGTGTTTTTTTTTCAATTCTTTCACGTGTGACAAAACACTTTATTCTTTTCTTCACTTTGCTGCGCGGCTGCTCACACAAAGTCAAGAAGAAGATAAAAAGAGAAAACAATGGGCTTAACGCGCTCTCTGTTCATGAAACGCGGTTCCGGTTTTGGTGACGATTCGGAGGAGAAAAAGCAGCGCAACTACGGAAGCGATTCTTTGTTGGAAGAGGGACGCGCTTTGGGGGAGGAGACGGAAGAGGAATTACGAATAAACAACAACAAGAACAGAAACCCAGTCGCGAAAGCGATGTCGTCCTCGATTGGCGTGTTAGCGACCGTTGGATTGTTCATATACGGGTTTGGGATGCTGTATGGAAACAAAGAGGCGATTTTGGGGCGGTGGCGGATGACTTCTTTGAGTAGTCCCTAGGGGAGGAAGACGCGCCCGCTTGAGCTCGAGAACCAACCCCTTGTAGTGCTATATTTTTGTTGTACATTTATTTATATATCATCATCATAATCACTTCTTTATGAAGACGAGCTCGAGAGCGAATGCGCACCGCGTTGTGGAGTTGTCTTTCCCGAAATAGCCGCAATCGACGACCGGTATCGCAATCGTCGGCGGCGAGAGATGACGCGTCTTCTTCTTCTCCTCGTCTTTCGTAAAGGAGGAAGAGTTTTTGTCAAAGAGTTGATTGAAAGAGTTTCGGCAGGCAAACTCTGCGTCTTTTTTCGTCCCGTGCTTTTCAGAATAGTACACTTTAACGGACGTCGCGTCGAATGGAGCGAGTTTATACGTTTCGCGGATGCGTTCGAAGTGCTCCGCCACGTCGACTCTTTCGTCCTTCCCGTCCTCGTCGCCGAGACGCTCGAAGAAAATCAAAATTCTCGCCCACTCGTTTACGCGGCCGATATACTTTGCTGTTTCTTTAAAGTTACCGAATACGCTTGTTCGTGCGTCAAAACAAAGCTCTCCGTTGGTGTAGGAATCCTCGTCCATCGAGTTAGGTGATAACACGAGCGAAGACGCTAAGATTGGTTCGATTTCCATCGCGGCGTTTTTCGGGAGCATCGGCACCGTCAAAAATAAGGACATGAACAAACCGCTCAGTTTTTCTCGCATAAAAATACAATCTGGATCCGTCATGTCGCTTATATTTTCTCCCCCAACGTACACGTCCTGGTTCGTGTTCTTGTTCTCCTCTTCTTTCTCCTCTTTCACGACGAGAGGATCGCAATACGGTTCGCTCGGATCCCAAACGTGATTACGGCAGTATTCCTTAAACGACACAGAGTGCACGCTTTCATCCTCAGTCTTCCTGTTTGATGACGCGTAGAATGTTGTTTGCACGGCTTGTTTCGCGAACGACACTTTTTCGCTGCCGTTGTTTTTGCATATCTCTTCACGAATCTGATGACACGATTTCACGCACCGTCGCGCCTCCTCGTACACGTTCGATTCTAAATCTAAATTTCTAGGTTGCATGCCGATTTGTCCAGCGACGTACAGAAATGCGCCAGCTCCACACAATTGCGCGTACGGACCGATACATGCCGGCGCCCACGCGGATATAGAAGCCACGTGTAAACTCTTGATTCTTTTCGAGCGTGATAAAACCATTGCGAGTATAAAACTAATATCATCTTTCAGCGGTAACGCGACACACGCTCTCGCGCTTGGTTCAACTGCGCGCATGTGTCGCGAGTACGCGGCATTGAAAGAACCAAAATCATCCATAGATTTCAAATAACAATGCGTCATCGTCGCGTGTTCTTCGATGGAAAATATTCCTCCTTCGCGTTTTAAGGCTGATTTGAGCTCTTGAAACGCCTCGTCTGCGTTGGCTTTGTTTTTACACCGCAACCATACGGTTCTACTTTCGTTGTCGCTAATGCTATTGCTCTCGCTGCTCTTGCTGCTGCTGCTGCTACTATTACTACTGTTACTACCATCGCTGCTGCTACTATTCATACGTTGCAAGTATACTTCCACATTCGGACTCAACTTTGCATTATCATCGTGAATATCGAGAGAACGTAGCGAAAGAGAGGTCGGAGGAGGAGGAGGAGGAGGAGTCGCGACGTAATCGTCGGGTACCCATACGACCTCTCCGCATTCTTCATTCGCATACTTGTCTTTTCTACCATCGTTATCTTTTCCCTTCTTCTTTACACTCACTCTCAAAATCTTCAAATGCCCACTTCTGGCGAACCGGTCCGCGCTCGTTTCCACGACTTCGCTCTCCTCGATGCGTAACCGTCCTCGAGTAAAAAACGGAGCGTCTAGAACCAGACTCTCAAACTCCCCACCCTCGCCGCACGAGTGTGACCCGTACTCTTCCTCTATTCTAATCAAGTCTTCCTTAACTTCCGCTAAAGTCTCCCCCAGATGCTTCCTAGGATCCAACCCCATCGCGGCTGTTTTCACGAGCACCGCTTCGATCCTCCCGACATTTAAGATATCTTCCAACAACCTCTTTTGTGGCGTTTGTTTCCACAAATAACTCAGGGAGACTAAGTTCAGCTCAAAACATATCCTCTCCACTCGTAACCTCTGGTAATCGCTCAGAATCGCCCCCGAGCACACCGCGTCGACTTTCACCCGCTCCTTCGCGAATTGAATCAACGCTCTCAAATCTTCGATTTCATCCGTTTCAACGCCTCGTTCCGGGTAATTCAAATCCGTGTGGACGCTCCGACCGATCAGTTTCCTCCTAAAAACCGGTATATTTTCATCAATTAACTGAGGGTACAGGTTAATCATCGAGTGCGAAACGGTTTGAAAGCAATGCGAGTCTAACTCCTCCACGTGTTGGTCCTCGGGCGTCAAATTACCTAACGCCGTTATCCTGTGTCCGTGCGTTTGGCAGAGTTGCAAGGCAAAGATGGAGTCTTTGCCGCCAGAGACGAGCGCGAGAACCGAGTATATTTGCGGCATTTTTAAGAGTAGGAGGAAGGAGTGAGGAGGAAAGGGGTGAGAGAGAGAGAGAGACGGAGAGATGATTCAAAGGAGTGGGGGATGAAAATGTGAATTGTGGTGCACTTGTTTCATTACAAAGACAGAAGTTTTATTTTTCCCAAGCAGTCTGTGCTCTACGAGTAACATCTAAAAAACGTAAACGTAAACGTGATCCCTCACGTTAAATTTTTGTAATAAGATACTCGTAATATAGGAACCTGAACTGTTGGTATCGTTTCGTTTCCAATGGAAAGAAAGTCTTCGAAGAGAAAGCAACAAAAATCTTTTAAAACTCCTCCTCTTACCCCAGCGCCAATGATGAATAAGTTTTTAAACGATCATGAACGGATCGAAGCCGTAAAACTGGGCAAAATCACTCCAGAACAAGCTTTCCGCGTGTTCGTCGACGAACTCGTCCTTATACGAGGACATCGCGTCTCGAAACACCAGAAACTCGTCCACTAAGCTCGTCGGCGGAGGACAGCCTTTCTGGCGAAGGTACGCTCCGACTCGACAGTTCCTCACGTACTGTTCTTCCGTTAATAAAGGTTCCTCTCCGACGACGACGTTTCGTAAGGATAACTCTAAAGACCATAATCTGGAGTAGAAATCGACGCGCATGAGCGTCCATGAATTCAACGGTATCACTTTCGCTTCTTCGACTAAATATTTGAACGCTTTAAACTGGACTTCCCCTTGGTTAACCATGTCCACGGCGTAACTCGTCGCCTGTTCCTCTTGAATCGGGCACCCGTTTTCGACGACGTACTTCAACGCCTTGAAAACAATCTCGTTCTCTTCCTCCGTGTTGTCCCTGGGAATATCAAACCCTTGGAATGCATCTATGGCATCAAACAGCACGAAATCATACCACGGCGCTTGCGCCGTCTCCCGTAAATATCTCAAACACTCCAACGGCTTCCCGCCTTTCGCTCGATACCCGTATCTCAAAACCCCTAAATACGTGTCGGCGCTTTCCAACGGGCACTGATTTTCGATGCAATATTTCATCATCTCGTAGTTCGCGTGTTGCGCGGCTTCAATCAAAACGTCTTTATCCCAGTCGCACTTCGCTTCCTCTCTGGCGTATTTTAAAAGCTCCAATTTGTTCGTCGAGGCGACGATTCGAGCGAATCGTCCCGATCCTCTCCCCGGGTAAAACTTAAACACGTTGTTTTCGAAACCCCACGCGTATCTCTCGAAGCAATACTTTAACGTTTCTCGGCTAAAACAGAGCGACTCTACCGCCCCTTCCACCGCCGCCTCGTCGCTGTCGTTGTTGTTGTTGTTATTGCTACTGCTACTCTCCTTGCCTAACATTTCTCCCCGGACGTATGTTTGGTACACTCGCGGCGAGTAATTCTTTACGAGCGCTCTCGCCGCTCGATTCGTCTCGAAGAACAACTTCACGGACGATTTGTCCAACTTCGTGTCGAGGATTTTCTCGGAGAAGAGGAGAGGAAGGTCGGTGACTAAGTGCCAAAGCGGAGAACAACAATCGCGAGAGTTTGGAGGAGAAGAGGGAGAAGTCTCGTTGGTGGTTTTGGTTCTTGGCTTCTTTGTCGTCCTCTTCCTCGTCTCTTCGTCCTTGTCGTCGTCGTCGCTGCATTTGCGCATCGTAAAGTCTCGGGTATTCGTATATTATAAATACCTGTTATAATATTATTACGCGGCAAACGCGAAAAGATGCGCAGGAAGTGATGATGAGGATGAGGATGAGGATGAGGAAATGTACTCACAGAGGACAGAGATGTTTCGTTCAAAATAAGCAGTCAAAGCGATATTTACGAGAACCAGCGCGTGCAACTTATTTTCTCACTCTATTAACATGTTTATAATATTAGTTATAATACTCTACACGACTCGCATACATATACACAGACAACTTTACTGAGACAATTTGAACAACTACAGTAGATATATATCTATCTATATATATATATATATACATATTGTTTATTGAAGAATTTAGGAGTAGGTCTTTTCGTTCTCGTCTGCGACTAAATCGCGCACGCCTTGGAACAACGACGCCGGTTTGTAGGAGAAGAAAGCCAACAACATCGGTATCGGCGTGAGCGTTATACCGGTGAAGTCGGCGCCGCCTAACGCGTTGAATCGGTTCAACGCCATGAAGAGCACGACGGGGACTAAAATCGTCGGTGGACCGCCTTGGCCGCCTTGGGAGTCTGCTTTTTGAGAGAGCAAGCGGACGTAGAGTAAACTTCCGAAGGAACCCAAGGCCCAACTGGCTAAGACGCTCGCGTTGGAACCGGCGAACACGGCGCCGACGCCGCCCGCGACGCATAAACCAGCCGTTCCGGTGAATAAATCGCGTTTGCTTTGTTCCAACCGCATTTCGTCTTCTTTCCTTCGTCTTAATTGTAACTCGGTTGGTGTTTCTTGCGTTTTCTTATCGGCGTCGTTTCTCATTTTCCAATCGGAATCTTTAATCGTCCTGTTTAACATTTGCCTCGACATCGGTCGATAACTCGGATTCTTCGCCGCTTTTGCTCGTTCCGCTTTCGCCCACTCGTTGGCCCATCTCGACCTCTCCGCTTTCGTCGGCGCGTAGTTCCACCCGTCCAAATTATATTTCGAATCCCCTTTATCCGTCGTCGCTAAATCTAACGCGTTCAACCGTTTCCCTCGCTCCGCTCGCTCCTTCGCTTCTTCCTTCTTCTTCTTTTCAATCTCCCTCACTTGCTGGCCGATGTCAACCGATAAGTCGTCCATCATATTCACCCGTCCAAATCCTAAACCTGAGTTTGATTTCTTCTCTTCTTCTTGCTGTCGTTCTTTTTCGAATCGCTCTTTGCGTCGAAACTCGGCGTCGATGTCGTTCTCCCACACCGGACGGTATTCGGATTTTCCTAATCCTCCACCAGAACTTTTTGTCGTCGTCGATATTGTCGTTTTCGCTTTCTCTTCATCGTTTTTACTCTCGTTGCTAACGCTGCTCCTGCAAAACACCTCCCGTCCTCTGATCGTCGTCCTCCCAACGACGCGTTCGTGTTGCCGACGATGATGATGATGATGACGCGACAAAGAAGAACACGACGTCGCCGTCGTCTGAATCGTCCGAGAAATCATCATTTTCCAACCACTCTATAAATAAGAGAAATACGAATAAAAAGATCGCTTTATTTTCGCAAGTATGCGTGTGCGTACGTAATAACACGTTCTCTCTCTCTCTCTCTCTCAGTCAAAGCACCCGATGATACACTTCCGCCGTCGTCTCTTCTGAACCAACCCTCACAACGAGAAGAACAAAAGCAGAGAGAGAGAGAAAAAAAAAGTGAAGAATCCAATCGTATTCCAAGAAGAAGAAGAAGAAGAAGAGAAAGAGGGAACACAAAAAAAACGTTTAGGGTTTAATTCCGTAGTAGGGTTTAGAGTGGCAGAAAAGTGGCAGAAAGAGACTGCGGGTGCGGTGGAGCGTACAAAAATGATTGCCACGAATACTACGCGTTGTCGTCCGGTGCTTTTAACGACGAAGTCGTCCTCTTCGTTACGATGTCGCATAATACGTCGTAATGTTTATTATTATTCAGAAGCTTTTTCCTCGAGGAAAAAGACGGCTTTGGTGGTAAAGAAGAAGAAGAAGGTGTCGACGTTTTCATCTTCATCGTCGTCCTCGTCATCGGATATCGTCGGAGCTTTATCTGATTCTTCGGATTCTTCTTCTTCCTCTTCTTCAGAAAGAGGAGGAAAAACACGAGAAGCAGCGGTGTTACAAAAACTCGTCGTCGTGAACGTTGTCACCGTTGGAGCGTTATGCGTCGCTCCTTCGTTTTCCCCGCCTCCTGCGTTCGCTTTGGAGGAAGAGATGAGCGGTGTGTCTGGTGGTGGAAGTGCTTTGACGACTCCTAGTACTGCGGAGGAGGAGGCGCCGCCTGGAGGAGCTGCGAGTTTGGAAGCACCTTCGACGTCGGACTCAACAAAACCGGCGTTTACTCTGAACATGGACTTGGACACGTCCGCGTACGACCAAATGACAAGAACTGGCGGGAACTCGGAGAAGGCGAAAGCGTTGGTGAACAAAGGCGTGCCGTCGGTCAAGAAGGACCAAGGAGGCGGGTTCAATTTGATTCCCAAGCCGAAAGAAGAGAAGAAGAAGGTTGAGAAAGCACCGAAAGAGAAGAAAGCGGAGAAGCCGAAGAAAGCGCCGACGCCGAAGATGGCAAGTCCTCTCGAATCGAAAGGCGCGAAAGAAGAGGACGGGTTTAATCCAATCGTCATCGTCGCGCCGCTGGCTTTAGGCGGGTTCGCGTTTGGAGCGAGTAAACTGATTGGCGGGCCGTTGGTGGAGAGAAAAGAGGAAGAGGAGGAACAACCGAGAACGCAAATCATGAAGAAACCTAAAAAAGTCGCAGAAGCGCCGCCGCCGCCGCCGCCGCCACCGCCGCCGGCGTTTACGCCGCCAAAGATTGAAGTACCAAAAATTGAGACGCCAAAAATTGAGGTTCCAGAGTTGCCGAATCCGTTCGCGTCCATGGGGGGAGGTGGTGATCCTTTGCCTCCGGACCAGCCGCGTAAATCGTTTCCAAAGAGGTCGGAAGCTTCGTTTAACTTTGTGGAGGAGGACGAGAGTAATTCTTCGGGTGAAATCGACGACGCGTTGGACGAATCGTACGAGGATGATCGAAAAGCCGCGGAAAGAGAGATGGAACGAGAAATGCGCGAGGCAGAGAGAGAACAGAAGCGAGCGGAAGCAGAGGCCAGAAGAGAAGAGAAAAAATTGGGAGCTGCGCAGCGTCGAGAAGAACAACGCGCGGAGCAAGAAGAGAAGAAGAGACAACAAGATATGATTCGCGAACAGAAGCAAGCGGAAGCGGCGGAACGAAAAGAAGAGCAAGCGCGAACGAGAGCGATGAAAGCGGAAGAGGCGGCAGAATTAAGAGCGCAACGACGAGCAGAGGCGGAAGCAAAAGCTGCGGCGGCGAAAGAGGCGAGGACTCAAAAGAAATCGGTGTCTGTGAAAGTCTCCGCGTCCGAGAGCGGCGAGGGTGGGAACTTTTTGACCGCTTTGACTGAAATGAGAAAACCGGCGGCGACGCAAGCGCTTCCGGCGCAAACCGTCCAAATGCAGCGTAAAGTGAAAACGTTTTCGAACAAGTCAAAATCGATGGCGCAAAAACCGTCGCTGGCCTTGACTCAAAAGGTGAGACCACCCAATGCCGTTGGCGGTTTACCGCAAGGGTTCCCGTCCGTAGAGGATTTCGAAGGTTTGACGCAAGACGAGAAGTTGGAATTGTGCGATAAAGCAGACGCGATCGTGACCAGGTTAGAAACGAGAGCGGACGCCGCGGAGAAGTTTATCAACTCTCCGGTGACTAGTCTGTTGTTCTTTTTGAAGCCAGGGGCGGAGAAGAACGCTATTAAAGCCAGATCGCAAGCAGAAGAAGCGGCGGCGGCGGCGAGATCGTTGCGATCCGCGGCGTCTAATCCGCTCGGCGGCGCAGGCGCGGCAGCGGCTGCTGTGGTGGGTATCTTAGGTGCAGGTGCGCTTTTGTTTGGTGTATTGAGTAGTGGTGGTGGAAATGGTGGAAACGGTGCTCCTTCGCCGTCGTCGAACGTGACCGCGAAAGCGCCGTCGCCGCAAACCGAACAAGTGAGAGATATTGAGGCAGCCGAGAAAATGGAGGCTGTCAAATCAGGCGAAGCGAGTGCGGAGGACGTGTATGCTATGTTTACGAAGTAAAATGAAGATTTCGACTTTAAATATTGTCTATTTAAATATAAGGATGCGGTACAGGTATACAAGCGCTACGATGTTTTACTTACTACATGACTTTGATTTCTCTCTTCTACGTTGCTCCGTTTTTTGCCTCCGAAGCGTTCTCCTCCTCTTTCGTTTCCTCTAACTCTATGTCCTCAAAACTGCCTCTCGGCGTCATTCGAAAGTTGTTCAAAAACGCCAGACGTTGGTCTCTTGGCGAGTCCGGTATGTCTCTCTCGTCCGCGGAGCCGCGCAGTCGCGAAAATCCCAAAATACCGACCCGCTTTGGTTTCCCAACTGTCTTCCCGTCGGAGGAGTGCTGACTGCTACGTCGCAAATCCGAGGAGTGCTGACTGCTACGTTTCAAATCCGAGCCGTCTTGGCCACTCGCCCTTGAATGTTCCCTCGAATTTGGTACGCTATCCGACCAACGCATGGTCGCGACAATGCTCTGAGCCAACCCTTCCGGCGCTATGAACTCGTCCAACGAAATCTCGCCTTTATCTTCCTGGTCGAAGGCGCCCCAGACCGATCTCACGCTTTCCGCCATGGCCCGTAATGATCTCACTTCGGCGTTCAAATTAAACGTTTTCACCAACGCTCTGATCAATTCTTCCGAATCCAACGTCCCAGAGTGATCTTCGTCCCAATACTCGAACCATTTTCTCGGTTGCATCTCCAAGTTTGGACAGTTACGAAATCGTCTCTTTGGCGTTTCAAAAGTCTTCAACAAATAATCCAACAATCCATCCGGTTTCAACAACTCATCGCGACTGATGAAACCATCGTTGTTCGCGTCGTATTTCGGCCAAATCTCACCGGTTAACTTCTTCTCGATCGTCCTCCAATCGACTAAAAATTGCGCTCTCAAAATGGTCACCAAATCCGTCGGCGAGACTTTCCCGTCGTCGTCAATGTCGACGATATCAAACCATAAATTCGGATTCGTCGAGCACGACGGCACGTTCACCGATCCATACACCGGCACTCGACATATAGGGCACGTCGCCGATATTCTGTTACGTTTCGTAGTATTTCTTACGTTGTTTCCGTTATTATTATTACTGTTACTTCGACTTCCTCCGCTCCGACTCGCCGCTTCTTCTCCATCATCATAATCTTCTTCTTCTTCTTCAAAATCGCCTCCCTGATCCATCATCATCTCCTGGTCCGCGTGTTCTAACAGTTCCCTCGCGCACGCCGCGTGAAAGTAGTGCTTACACGTCCTCGTCCGTCCGTCCTGTTTGACGAAAACCGCCGTTCGGTGCGAACACAAATCGTCGTAACACACCGCGCACTCCTGGTGCTCCTCGGTGATGTGAATCTGTTTCTGTTGTTGTTGTTGCTTCTTGTTCGTTGTCGTCGTCGTTGTCGTCGACGCATTAGGTGTTATCGCGGGCGCGTAATGGTTGGACATCAAATCTTTATTCGCTTGCGTCTCCGGGACGTACTTCGGGAAGCACATGCACGGCATGATGATTGCACGACTTTCGCGAAAGGGCGAGACAAACGGGCAGAGATCAGAACGTAAAGAGTTCTTTCGCTCGCGCGTTATTCGTATTCGTCGTGGTGGTATTGGAGATCGAGATCTTAAGAGAAGCGCTTTGTCGCTCGCGCGCTGTTGTTGGTGTTGTTCTGCTCAATTCTGAAGACTCTTTTGAACGTTCAAAATTCGTTCGTGACTGCCATTTTTTCAATTTCTTTACTTTTTTTTTCCTCTTTCTCTCTCTGATCACATCACACATGCGCATTCGTTTTCAACCTCACGCGACTCTCTTTTAAAGTCTCGCACACTGATAATACCATGGGACGAAGAAAGAATCCACATCCGAAAAGAGCGGTGAACGCGAGGACGGTTTTGAAGGTGGCGAGAGATAAAGAAGAAGAAGTGGAGGAGGAAGAAGAACCTTTGGTGTTGTGTTTGAGGATTCCTGAGGAGGAGGATGATCTCGAAGCAAATCATCATCAGATACAAAAAGAAGAAACGACTTTTAATAAGAAAGGAACGAAGAGGAAGAGAGCGCAACACGAGTGCGATGTTTGCGAGAAGCGTTTTGCTACGGCGAGTGGTTTGAAAAGGCACGTGCGTATTCACACAAACGAGAAACCGTACGAATGTGATGTATGCGAGATGAAGTTTCGTCAATCTGGTGATTTGAAAGTCCACATGCGTCGCTGGCATTAGCTCATGAATAGTCCTGTTGTACCAGAACAGCATTACGTTTATTACTATTATTATTATTATTATTATTATTAAAGCTCTACGTGGCCGAAGTTTTCTTCCTGCTCTCTTCTTTGTCGCTCTCCTTCTCGAATCAAGGTGTCTTCGTCGACGCCGTGGAAGCGAGCGTCGCCTTGTGCCATCATTCCGGACGGTTTACCGATGTTTTGTTTGTTCTTGTTGTTCGATGCTTTCGGGAAAGCGGCTTTGAGGAGGTTCGAGTGCATGGCCTTCGGTAACGTCCTCAAGTACGGTCGCAAAGAGCGTTTTCGGTTGATTAAATAATCCGTCGTGCGTTGCATGGAGCCTTGGGAGAATCGGTAGTAATACACGGACTCCGGGACGATGTCGACTTGGAAACCGCGCATGGATGCGTTGGCATACATTTCCCAGTCTTCGAAACCGATCTGTTTGTCTTCGGTGTATCCGCCGATTTTCTCAAACGACGTCGCACGGACGCAACAGTTAGCGTCGCCGAAGCAGTTTTTGAACGCGCCAGTTTCAGCGTCGCCGCCGAGGAACAAATACGAAGGTTCATCGTCGACAATTTCTCTCGCTTTTAACGGATTATCGTGGCTCCAGAAGAATTGAACTAAGGAGGTCAACACGTCTGCGTTGCCGTTTTCCATGGCGACGACGAACGTGCGCAGTTCGTGCGGTTTCGCGTAGTTATCGTCGTCCATGAACATGACGTATTTTCCTTTCGCGTGTTTGAAACCGACGTTTCTGGCACCCCCGAGGTATACGTTTTCCTTATTCCGTACGATTTTCCAATTTCGTTTTCTGAAATCCGCCTCTAACGAATCGAGGAAGAGTTGCGCTTCGTGTGAAGGCGATTTATCGTCCACGAGAATGAATTCGAATTTCTCGTGCGGGTAGTCTTGATCGATGACGCTTTGTATGGCAACTTTGCACAACCGAGGCCGATCGTAGTGCGTCATGACGATAGACACGAACGGAAGATCCTTTGCTTCGATGTTCGTATCTTTTAGGAAAACAACGGAGTTATCATCGTCTCGATAATTACTCGCGAAATTCAAGCCACCTCGTTTCGATTTGTACTCCACGACGACGTGCGTCGTCCATCGCAACCACTTCTCGTCGTTTTCAGCCGCATCGTATCTCGGTCGCGCGCTTAACGCGCCCTTCTCTAAAACCTCCCGAATTCTATTCGCTAAGAGCTCGCCCGTCATCGCCATTTTTTCGTGGTACGTGTCTTCTTCCGAATAGCCGATGAGCGACATCGCGCGATCTTCTTCACGCAACAAATCGCGCGTACCGCCTACATCGCTCGCTAAGAATGGAATCCCAAGTTCCGCGCACTCGTACACCGCGTACGGGGAATTTTCAATCAGAGAGGGCAACACCGCTAGCTTTCTCTTATTCCCCTTCCTATTCGCCGCCGGACTCTTCAAATACGCTTTCGCCTCTTTGCTTCCGAATCTAGTTTCAATCCGCCACGGCATGTTCGTCCATTTCTTCGCCCTTTCCCTGACGTACTCGTGACCGTTTTGACCCAAAACCGACGCTGCGCGTCCTAAGAAGGTGATTTTACTAATCATTGACGCCATTGTCTCGTTTTTGAGCAAAATATCCACGGCATCGCAGAACTCGACCACGCCTTTGCGCGTCTCGAAGCGACCGAAAAAGACCAACTCGTCCACCATAACCGCGCTTCGTCTCTTCTCGTCTTCCACTTCTTCGGCGCTACGATCATCATCATCGCTATAATCATTATCGCTAATACTATCACTACTCATGCTATTTCTTCCTTTTCTACTTTCCTCTGGCAATAAGTTCGGGTGCACAATCGCCTCTCCGTTTGTATTTTCCGCCCAAGACTCTCTTCGCATCCACTCTAACAAATACCTCGAAGGCGACACCACATAATCAGCTAACTTCACCGCCCTTCGCTCCATAAAATCCATCTCCAACTCGCCAACGTCTCCTAAAACCTCGTTGTTACCGACTACCTTCGCCCATTTGTTATTCCCGTGCGTTTGCACCACAATCAACAAATTCCTCAAAAACAACCCTTGCGTCTTCGCCAAGAGCGAATAATACGCCGCGCCTCTGTAATCGTGAAAATGCGCGACATCAAAAACGTGCTCGTGCGTTTTCAAATACTTGTACACCTCGTGCGATTCCAGCAAATGCCGTCCGATGTAATTTTTGTTCGGTCGATACAAACCGACTAATTCGATGTCGTGTTCCTCTCGGTAAAATTTCTCCCAGTGCGAGAACGGTTTGTTTTGACTCCTATTACGTAAAAAGCGAGAAGACGAGAACGAGAAAGGTACGATGATAGGTCAGTAACTAGTATAAAAGACACGCAATACGCAGCATAAAGTACGACGACACTGCAAAAACTATTCACAACAGAGAGAACAGATCGCGAACACGTGATGACGGCATCGCGTCGACATTTTTTACCTCTCGCCTTCGGTGAACACGACGGTCACAAAATTGCCATTTTTGGCGTACAATTTTGCCAGAGCGGTAAACTGCGTGCCAATGCCGCCGTTGTTCGTCGGGCCGTCGAATTCGCACGTGACTAAAACAACGTTTAACTTTTTTCGTCCATTGGTGAGTTTCGCGAGGCGTTCGTTTTCATTCGACGCGTGTTTCGCGACAGAAATGTCGGGAAAACCAGTTGAAAATTTCGGCGATGATTCTGACGATGATGGTTCTTTATCCTCCGCAGAAACAACAGGTATCGTCGTTCTCGTCGACGAGAACACGATAAAGAAGACAACGAAGAATACGAGCAAGAAGTAAGGAAAAAAGAGAGGGAGAAAAGCGCTTTTGCGCATCGTATCAGGGTGCACTTCTCTTCCTCTCTTTCTAAATTTATTTATTGTGAGGGATGGCCTCAAAACTCCTCTAAAATAGACTACTACTACAAACGCGACATCGAAGCGACATCGTGGAAACGACGACGACGACTCTCACTATCAATCTTCTTCGAAGCATTCTCGGCGACCATCTCGAGCACTCCGTGTATTTCATGGCCTCAAAACTCCTCTAATAGACTACTACTACAAACGCGACATCGAAGCGACATCGTCGAAACGACGACGACGACTCTCACTATCAATCTTCTTCGAAGCATTCTCGGCGACCATCTCGAGCACTCCGTGTATTTCATCCCATAACGGTTTATTTATCCGCATGACGGCGTCTCTCCATTTTCGTACTCGCGGACGTTCCGCTAACAACTGGTCCAGCGACGAGAGTTCCTCTCGAAACGGCGAACCTTTCAACACGACTAAGTTTACGATATCTTCAATTACGAGCAAATCCGCGATGGAGGGATGTTCCCTTTCGTTCAAAAAAGGAAACGTATCACCCAATCTTAATGTTTCTAAAACATCCAGGCTCATTTTCAACCGCTCTTCGTAATGTTTCGCCAACTCGAGCGATACCTTACCTCCCATATTCCCGGCGACGAACGCGTGCCACGACACGCCCGCCGCCGAAGATCGAATAGTCGTCTGGTACCAATCTAAAGCGGACCAAATCTTCGCCTTCTCTCTTAAATCATCAGAGTACATTTTCGACTCGGAAACAATCGAAGGATACTTTTCGGATAAGTATTTCAAGATCGCCGAGCTTTCGCTCAGGACGAACTTTACCTGTCCTTTCTGTCGTTCCACACAGAGCGCTGGCACTTGCCCGAATTTGTTGACTCGTAAAAACGGTTCAGATTTGTGTTCTCGTTTGTGGAGTTTCACGAGTTCTATTTTCACCGGAAGGTTTACGATCCTATACATATATACAGTTGCGTTTCGTGAGTGACGTAACGAGAGAGAAATGCGCGTGCAATGCATCGCGCAAAAGCGCGTAAGGAGTACACAAAAACGAGACGAACACCCCTAACTAAATTCGTACCGAATAAACATCGCGCACGCGCGGGACGGCTGGGACATGTAGTCCACGTAAAGCGTTAGAAAATCTTCGTCGTTGTTGTTACTCTCATCATCGGTAAAGGAAAAGGTGGACATTTTGCACGTTTATGCGTGTATATATAAATTGCGCGCGTACACGCGAGAACAACAAGTAGGGGAAATGTCAGACGTTTTCTCCATTACGAGAAGCAACGACGCACGATGAGAAGAAGACGAATGCAATGAGCGCCACGTTTGGAAAGACGGCATCAGCATGAACAGCGAGAAGAGCAGTGAACGTCTTTTTCCTCCTCTTCGCACCGGTGGTGGTCGAAGACTCGTCGTCTTCCTTTCCGCGCTCCTCGCGACGACGGTCACGGTCTTTTTCTGCGTCAAAACCTCCACAGGAATGCTTTCGGATTGGTATCTGACAAAGACAAGGATGACGATGATCGACGGGAACGAAGACGAAATCGGCCCAGATGGTTTTGGCAAAACCGCGTTCGAGAAAAAGAACGACAACTTTGACGAGAACGAAGAGGATTCGGAGGATTTTGTATCGTCGAAGAGAGATGACGAGAGCGATGGAGGAAAAGGAGGAGGAGAAGTGCGCACTGAAGGCGAAGGAACGTCTTGTCCTTTAACTTCTCAAGATGTCGTCGATGATGATGTATTAATTACGAAAGCGTCGAAAACAAGGCAAACGTGGGCGTTTAAAGCGTCGTCGTCGATGCAATACGCGCACATGCCGACGCACGCGACGCACGGCGCTTTGGTTGTTTTGGCGTTTCAAGGCGCGAGGCGAAGCGAAGGGCAGGCGAATCAGAGGATTTATTTGGTGAGGTCAGAAGATGGCGGGAAGACTTTTGACTCTTTTGCGGAAAACAACGTGAAGAAGTTGAACGCGTTAGTTGTAGAAGGTGGGAGTAAAAGTAGCTTTAGCGAGAGGAACGACGTGGAAGTTCAAGCGCAGTGGGGGCCCGCGTTGTTTAAAGAGGAAAATGAAGACGAGGAAAACGTCGAGGACGAAAAGAATAGAAAGAAAATACCTCTTTTGCGTCTGTATTACTCGCAAAGTGAGTCGTGTTTCTTTTGCAGGCACAAAAATAGTTGCAATAGTGTGGATGCGAAAGAATATCGCGCCGGGGGAAACCTTTACGAGTCTACGTCGAAAGATTTCGGCAAGACGTGGTCGAAACCGAAATTGATATTAAAGGAGAAAGAGAGAGACGCGACAAAAGGTGGACACTCGCCGAAAGTTGTCGCGAGTCCTCCAATTCGATCAAAGTTATGGAACGCTGAAACGAACGCGTCCTCTTCTCCCTCGCATCTTCTTCTTCCGTACTGGACGCAAAAGCCTCGCGTGGGCGCAAACGGCATCAAGAGCGCGTGCGCTTCAGAAATGCAAGCCAAGGACGGACCGAGAACGTTGCACTCCAAAGATAACGGGAAATCTTGGCATCCGTTGGGCTCACACGCCGTGCGTCACGAAGACTCGCATCGTAAAGCGCCAGAGATTGACAGGCTTTTGGAAGGTGCCATCGTTTCGTCGAATAGAAAAATCGTCCAATTTTTCCGGGCGACGCGACCGAGAGTGTACGCGAGTTTGTACGACGAGAAAAAGGCAGAGTGGGGGAAACCGTTTCCAGTGAGAGCGACAACGGTACCACTTAAACACCACCACGATCATCTCCGCCAACACCACCACCGAGACGAGTTCCTCAAAATGCCAAACGCTAAGCTCCACGCTATATCCATCCCTTCTTCTTCTTCTTCTTCACGGAGTACCCGCCACGGCCACCAAACGCAAATCCTCCTCGCGCACAACGACCACCCGTACAGAGTCCGTCAACGAGGTAACCTCGTCGTTCAAATCAGCAACGGCGTCAACTCGGACAAAAACGGCGTCGCTCCGTTCCACAAACTCCTCGACATCGAAACGAGGAGAGGTCGAAAAGAAGGCGAGATGGTCATGTACCCGCACATGGAAGTCTCTCGGACGACGACGAAAAAGAAGACGTCGTCGTGTGAAGGCAACAATAAACGTCATCAATACGAACTCACGATTTCCTACAGCGACCACGGTAGAGGCATTCGATTCATTCGCGCGATATTAGAGTAACAATAGCGATAGCGAGAGCGCGTGTAAAAAGGCCACATTTTTCCTTTTTTGCTTCAAAATTTCCCCCTCCTTTTCGGGGGCAAAAAACTGTTCAAAAACGTCATAAAGAAAACCATCTGTCCAATCGTCATCACCTCCTTTTATTAGCGCTCTTATCGTTGCAGTAAATCTCTTTTAGAGGACAAAGAAGACTGCTAACATGTTGCGTCCATCAGCGTCTCGTCAAGATTCTCGCAAAAAGTCCTTCAAGAAGTCCGCCGACGCGGAGGAGAGTCGACGGAAACGAGAGGACCAGATGATCGCCATACGGAAAGAGAAGCGAGAGGAAGCGATGGCGAAGAAACGAATCAACGTCGGGGGCGCTTCTGGAGGCGCGGAGATTAACCCGAACGTGTTTAACGACGCGAGTGATTCGACGGCCATGACGCACGAGCAAAGGACGAACGCAAAGGTACGTCTTGTTCGTGTAGCACACCGCTTGAAAGAGCGTTGAAAGAAGAGGGAGATCTCGCCTCTTCGTCTGTGTTTTTTCAAAGCAAAGGGGGCTTTAATTGAGATATTTTACGCTCGCTCGCTCGCTCTTCGATGTGCAACATTTTTACGCGTGCGACGAAAGAGCATGCCTTTTATTCGTATTCCTCTTTTGTCGCTTTGGTTCGTCTCATCTGTGCATCTATTCTGACTGTATACTCACTCTTCTATAATATAACACAGTTGGAATCTCTTCCGCAAATGGTGGACGGAGTGAACAGTCCGGACCCCGCGGTGCAACTGGACGCGACGACTCGATTTCGTAAATTACTCTCCATCGAGCGCAACCCGCCGATTAAGGAGGTCGTGGCGACTGGCGTGGTTGGGAAGTTTGTGGAGTTTTTACAGAGAGTTGATTTCCCGCAGTTGCAGTTTGAAGCCGCGTGGGCGTTGACGAACGTGGCGAGCGGGACGTCGGAGGATACGGCGACGGTGATAAATTCTGGCGCGGTGCCCATCTTTGTGCAGTTGTTGTCTTCGCCGAGCGAAGACGTGAGAGAGCAAGCGGTGTGGGCGTTGGGGAACATCGCCGGGGATAGTACCAAATGCAGAGACTTGGTGTTGTCACACGGCGCTTTGCACCCGTTGTTGTCGCATTTGAACGAACACTCGAAATTGACCATGTTGAGAAACGCGACGTGGACTTTGAGTAACTTTTGCCGAGGGAAGCCGCAGCCGCAATTTGAGTTGCTGAAGGACGCGTTGCCGGCGTTGGCGAAGTTGGTTCACTCAACCGACGAGGAAATCTTAACCGACGCGTGCTGGGCGTTGAGTTATCTGAGCGATGGAGTGAACGATAAGATTCAAGCGGTGATTGAAGCTGGCGTGTGCAGAAGGCTAGTGGAGTTGTTGTCCTCGCAGTCCGGCGCGGTTTTGATTCCGGCGTTGAGAACGGTTGGGAATATCGTCACCGGGGACGATTACCAAACGCAAATAATCATCAATTGCAGAGCGTTGCCGTGCTTGTTGGATTTGTTGACTGGAGAACACAAGAAATCCATCAAGAAAGAGGCGTGTTGGACGGTGTCGAACATCACCGCCGGAAACAAAGATCAAATTCAAGCCGTCATCGACGACAAATTGATCCCGCCTCTGATTTATTTACTCGGCCATGCCGAATTCGACATCAAAAAGGAAGCCGCCTGGGCTATTTCGAATGCTACCAGCGGAGGGACGCACCAACAGACTCGCCTGTTAGTCAACGAAGGGTGCATCAAACCGTTGTGCGATTTGATTTCGTGCTCGGACGCGAGAATCGTCACCGTCGCGTTGGAAGGTTTGGAAAACATTTTGAAAGTTGGCGAGGTAACGAAGGAAGAGGAAGGGAGCAACTTATTCGCGGCGTTGATTGACGAAGCGGATGGGTTGGAGAAGATCGAAGCGTTACAAAACCACACGAACAACGACATTTACGAAAAAGCAATGCGAATTCTCGAACAGTACTTTGGCTTGGAGGACGAAGAGGATCAAAACTTAGCGCCGGGGATGGACGCGAGCGGTTCGCAGTTTACGTTTGGTCCTCCTGCCGGTGGTGGCGCCGCGCTGCAAGGTGGATTCAACTTCTAACAATTATAACAATACTTAGTAAAGCTTGCGCTTGTTTTTTTTAGCCGCAAAGCGCGCGCGCTTTCTATAGCTGACAATGATGCGCAGCAGACTACGTGAGCATTTTTTTGACGTCTCACGCCGCGCAATTAACTAAAACAACACTAACAACAACAACAACAACATTTGGGAATATACAATCAAATACCACTGAATCTATAATTATTATCATCACAACTTTACGCTCACGCTCACCGCGTCGTCTTTTTTCGTCCACGATTTGTCCCACACGCTTCGGTCGTATTCAAACGGTGCTTCTTTCAACTCCGTCGTGTACCCGTTCGCATCTAGATACGCCAGAAAATCTGGAGCTCCCGGGTATATGACGTTGTCGGCGATAACCACGGTGCCTTTTTGAATCATCCCAGCTTCCTCTAAACTCACCAAATCCGGTTTCAGACACGGTTTACAGTGATCCATAAACACCTGATCTGCAACCTGTCCTTTCAATAGCCTCTTCACTTCCGGTACGCTCGCGTTCGCGCTCCCGGTGATGACTTTCACCTTCGTCTCGTCGAATCCGGCGTACTCTAACAACGTCACCGCAACCTCCGCGTGTAACGGCTCCGCTTCCACGCACACCAACAAAAACTCCGGGTCTTCTAAAGTTCCATTCTCTCTGCTCTCGTCCATGGTGGCAATCGCCGAGTACCCTAAAAACGTCCCGAACTCGATCAGTTTAATTGGTTTACACTCCCTTTCCACGTCTCGTAAAATCTCTTGCTTTACTTTTCCCAGGTTGTACGTGGGATAAAACGACCAGAATAAATCCATCGCGTGTAAGATTGATTTGGGATCGCCTCGCGTTGCTTTTTGCGTGACAAAAGCTATGATATCCGACGGTTGCGCGTTCGGCCAGTCTTGGTAAAACGTCGATGCCTGTTCGTTGTGTTTCATGAGCTCTTCCGCGGCGTTCGCGGCGTTAGGGGAAATGAGGAGGAGCATCGATGGAATGGAAACGCGGACGAAGTTTGCGCGCGAAAGTTTGGCATTATCGCAAGAAGAAGATTTGGACGACGTGCACGCGAGACGAGACGTGTTCGTTCTTTTAATCGTGGCGATACTACTACTAAAGATGGATGCTTTCTGCGAGGACATTTTTCTTTGCTATTCTCTCTGCTATCTAGATGTGAAGTTAATAAAGTCCAACCTTGGAGCTCCTGCCTTTGGCGTTGAACACTCGCGTGGATTGCCCGCCACATTCGCACTGCCACTCGTACCACACCGCGCTCGAGCTGACGCACCTCCACACGCGTAAAATGATTTCATTCGGGGATTGAGGATCTTTAGACCTCATGTCGATAGGCATATCGATCGGAAAGAAGATCGGGAACCAACTGAACATGAGTTCGTTCGTGTCTTTGTTTCTCGTGTGCGTCGGGAGATGGATGGAACAGTTGACGGATTTTTTTGCTCGCGAGCTCTTGTAAAGGAGCGCGTCGAAATAGCCAGCAAAGCCGTGGAGAGTGGCACACTTGTCCTTCAAAGTGAACGCGATGACAGCGTGGCGCTCGTTTCGAGAATACGCTTTTCCTGTATTTTCCTTCGATGATATTCGTCTCGGATGCTTGAAGGTGAACACCTCTCGCGCTTCGTCCAGGAGATGGTGTCGGTACAACTTCACCACGTGCGGAGTTTCTTTTGCCTTCAAGTCTAAATCGCGAGAAACAGTCGATGAACACGCTTGATGGACAGCAGCACCCGTCATTGGCGCGAGGTAACTCGTATACTCTTGCGGTATGGAAATTCCTGTTTCCGGTTTCAAACACCGCTGCGCGCCATCTAAACATTCCGGCGAGAGTTCGTTATCGCCGAAGGATCCTAAAAGTTCCGAAACGAGAACGTCGCACTTCTCAGGCGCTTCCCATATGCGACCATCGCTGTGAAAAATTTCTGCATTCACGTCGGCCCAGTTTTCGCTTTGAGCTCGGTGGCGTAAAGTGTGCACCGCGTTCGGATTTTTCTCCACCACGTAAACTTTCAATCGATTCGAGACCGAGGCTTTTACCGCGGCATTTATGGTTGCTTTAACGAGTGGTCCTCTGCCAGCACCAACGACGGCAACGCGAATGATATCACTCACGGTATCTTTGATATCTAGCAAAGCTAACTCGATGGCATCTTCGTAAGCGTCGTATTTTGAATCGTCCTTCTCGAAGACTTCGTACGTCGCGCTCTCTAAATTATCCGCCAACGGTTGTAAAGGCGCTTGCACTTTGTCCCGGTAATCGCGTTCGATGACTTCTTGTTCAGAAAGGGGTGGCACGTTTTCAAATAAGTGCGCTATATACCTGAAATATTCTTTCATGGGGTGATCTTCGTTGCTCCACTCTAAAGACGACTGAGTAGTATGCGTACCGCGAGTACTTTCGTGAAATTGTATATCTTCGAGGGGAGTATCTTTATCCACGTTTGGATTCTTCACGTACTCATCACCAGACGCTAAAATAACCTGTATGTCTCGCTTGAAACACTCCGAAAGAAACTCTTGCATTTTTTTCGGTAACACGGGATACTGGTGTTTGTTCGGCGTAAAACAAAACGTATCCACACACACACATTTCACCGGCTCCGCGAACCATTTTGAGTAATCCCAACTGGCGTCGTCTCGAGGCACCATCTCGTATGCGCACATCTTTCCGAGGAGACCCGTAACGTTTGCCACGTCCCGTTCCTTATCACGTCTTGCGCTTTCGAAATCCAAACCGTTTAAATGGTTCGCCGCGGATGATTTCTCTAACACAGGCTCGTAAACCCCCGCGTTTCGTATGCAAATACCTAAATTTTCGTGTCCGTGACACGCCGCTCGAAACTTTTGCCAAATCGCGTACGAATCGTCATCGACCGAATCAAATTCCAACCACACTCTCGTCGAATTCACCATCGAATCTTCAAAGTGCGCGTTCACCACTCTCGCGCATTTCATTAAAGCGTGCTCTCGAAAACTATTCATGTCTCCTCGTACCTTTTCAATATCGTTCTCCTCTCGCGAGGACACCGCTTCGTCAAACGTCTCGAAAGCGCTTCTCACATCGTCGTCGAACCTCGGCCTATACGTCCGAATAATAACCGCGTGTAAATTCAAATGCGACGCGTAACTCAAATCCTCCTCGAGTTTGCGACACATAGTCTCGCACGTTCCGTGTTTCTTATTCTTTCCGCCTTTGAAATGCTCGTAATAATCGCCGGGGCATCCGAACGCAGACACCGCGACGACTCGACTCGACCAACTCTCCGCCGTGAGTTGAAAATCACACGGTCTTTGAATAAAATCACCGTCGTCCTCTTCCGAAGAAGAACGAGACGCTTCTCCACTCCTCCTCCTCCGTCTTCGGTTTCTGCGGTAAAACGCGTCGTCTCCATCCAACGAACACGCGATGAAATCGAATCCGATGCGCGTCGCTTTCTCCAACGCGGTTTTTATGTCGCCGTTTTTAATGTCGGCAACTTCGCACCCGGAAAAGTTCGAGTCGCCTAAATCGTTCCGCGTGAACGAGAGCGGCATTTGTTCGAGACGCAGCGCGTGTATTATGCGCGTAGTGTGCGTCAAAGTTTGGGGAAATGTTCGTCACTTCTTGTGCTCAAAAGGACGATGATGAACGCGCTCTGTTTACACCATCATCATCGGAGGATATCGCTCCCGTTTCGCGCCACCGCTGCTCCTACATTGAAGACGAGGAAGGGATGTCATCGAAATCCTCCTCGCGCATCGTTTGGTGACGATGAAGAAGAAGAACAAGGAGATGAGAATAAAACACCGTTGTCCTCGCTAAACTCCGCCATCGAATTGCGCTCGAAGTTGCAAGAAGTTGCCTTGGTCGCGCAAACGAGGTACTGAAATAATGTTCTCGCGCTTTTGTTGTTGTCTTCGATGGGAGCATAAAACGCGCTTTTTGCTCGCTCTTTTAATCACGCTCTGTCTGTCTGTGTGTGTGTGTTTGTGTGTGCGTTTTGTATCTCTCTGATGTGCTGACGGTTCTTTCTCTCTTTCTCTCTGTGTGAACAACAACAACAACAACAACGAAACATCGACATCGATGATAAAAACAAAGTCCTCAAAATAACTGGCAAGATGTATTCGGCGACCAAACGGCATTTGTGTACGAACCGAAGTCGTCGTCCATAACCTGGGGTTTTGTACATTTCCTCGGCGGCGCGGTGTTAGGGCAATATCCGCAGGTGTGTTACGACGCGTTTCTGAGCGCGGTGAGCGAACGCACCGGGGTGACGATTATCGCGACGCCGTACGAGTTAGGGACGAAGCACGGTGAAATGGCGAAGAAGACACGACGTGCGTTCGAGAGGGCGAATCGAGTGGTGCAGGAAAGGAATGGGTTGGACGCGGGGGAGAATGTGCTGCCGGTGTTTTACGTAGGGCATAGTTTGGGCGCTAAACTTCACGCCGTGGCGAGTTTTTACGACGAAGAATCGAACGATAATAGTGATAGTAATAGTCGTAGTGGTAGTAAACAACACTTTCTCGTCGCGTTTAACAACGCGTCGGCGACGGACTCGGTGAAGATTTTAGAAAAATTCGCGAAAGAGTTGTTGAGCAAACGCGAAGGTGGCGGTGGCGAAGCGGCGAGTTCGCAATTCGACGCCATTTTCGATCGGTTGGTACCATTCGCGGAGGTGGCTGCGAAGGCGGCGGGATTGGAATTTTCGCCGAACGCGGTGGAGACGTTAGACGGCGTAGCAAACGGAAAGTTTAAATCCGATAAAGTCACGTTGTTGTCGTTTACTAACGACGAGCTAGATCAGTGCTCGAGTTTGCGAGAGGCTTTGGCGGATGGCGGAGTGAGAACGAATAGCGTGGAGATTCCCGGTGACCATTTATCGCCGGTATATTTAGATTTAGATAAATACGCGAAAATGAACCCGATGATGAATCGATTGAGTGGCGTGCGCATCGGCGACCGAGAGGCGGTGGAGAGGATTGCGAACGAGATGGTGAAGTTTTTGAAGTCCTAAAAGTATATTTGCGTGCATATTTCAGCTATCGTGTCTCTCTCTCTCTCTCTCTCTCAGTCGCTATTTACTAAATCTACTAAAGTACATCATCATATGACTGATTACGAAAGCTTCGCGTAGAATCGCACGTCCTCGTTTCCCGAAGCTTCCTCGTCCATCTGTTTCAAAACGTCGTCGTTCAACGTCCCAGAAAACCGACAATCGTTCATCCACGACTGGCAACTCTCCACTTTTGCCATCTCGCACGGTTCTTTCATGGCAGTTTTACGCGCGTATTCAAACTTAAACAGCTTTCTCAACTCGTCTGAAGAGAATGTCTTCGGGTCGTTGTCTTCATCGTCGTCATCCTTATTGTTCGTGGCGTTTTCGACGCACGCGAAACCCATAGATCGCGCCAACGCGCCTTTTTGACACTGGCGTTGGAATATTTTCTCTTCCAACGTGAACGCTGATAATAAACGGTAAATGAACGTGTTCTTCATTTGTCCGTCGCGATGGATTCGCGCGGTCGCTTGTAAATCGTTCGCTGGATTCCAGTCACAATCGAAAAGGACGAGTCGATTGGCGCCGATTAAGTTTAATCCTACGCCTCCGGCTTTCCTCGAGAGCAAGAAGACGGATCCTCCGTGACCGTTATTGAACGTAGTCACGAGTTGCGTGCGTTTATGTGACGGCGTCGTGCCGTCTAATCGAGTGAATCGTAATCCTGGCGAGGTGGATGAAAGCGCTTTTTCGATGATGTCCAGCGTGGACGTCCATCCTGACACGACGACAACGCGGTCGTTCATTTTTTGCGACAAATCGACGATTTTCTTCAACACGCGCAGTTTTACGCTCGTTTCCAACGGGTCCGTGGTGGTAGTTACTTTATTCGCTTCCTGGATGGCGAGTTGCAGTTCGTTCGATGACGACGAAGACGACGAAGATAACATACCGATGCCGTTGCATACTTTCTGCAAAACACCGCACGCTACCAGAGGATTGTCCACACGTTTCATGATCACTTGATCGCACACCGCCTTGTAACTTTTCTGTTGCGCTTCAGTCAGGGATAAGAACAAACAATACTCTGTCTTTGGCGGTAAGCCGTCGATGTGAACGTCTGATTTGGCGCATCGATCGATAAAAATAGCCGTTTTTTCGAAAATAGCCTTCGCTCTCGCTTTACCAATCATTTTCTCTTCCTCGGTCGCTTTCGTATCGTTCGCGCGTTCGGCGGGTAACTGGTACACTTTCCTAAACGTCTGGTAATCGTTCAAAACGCCCGGATTGGCAAAATCCATCAACGAGTAGAACTCGGCGAGATTGTTTTGCACGGCCGTTCCCGAAAGCAAAACGCGCATTTTACAGTTCAGTTTCTTTAATCCGTCGAGCGTCTTTGACCCGTCTTTCGCTTTCAGTCTGTGCGCTTCGTCGCACACCAACAACTGCGCTTTGTTTTCCAACAAGTGCGCGTTCGCGCGTAAGGTTTCGTACGAGCAAACTAACACCAGCCTTCGCTTTTGGTTTTCCAGCGCCCATTCCTTTAACAACTGCTTCTTCGCCGCGTCCGAGGTGTTGCTCCCATCAATCGCTTCGATTTCGATTTTTAAATCCAACCACTTTTTAAACTCGTTCTTCCAGTTACCGACCAACGTCGCCGGTACCGCGATAATCGCTTTCGTTATCGAACACCGAATGTCCCTATGAACGTCGTAACTCGGTCTCGGTGATTGTCTTAGCATCGTCCAAATCAACGCGATGACTTGCAAAGTCTTTCCCAAACCGACGTCGTGGGATAACAAACATCCACTCCTCGTTTCCGAAGTGATGTTCAAGCAACTTTCAAGCATGAACTTGACGCCTCTCTTTTGGTGCGGGCGAAGGAACCGCGCTATGGAAGGATCGAGGACGAGCGGTATAGGACCGATGGTGTTTGGTTTCTGACCGTCGTACAACACGCACGCGTTTGGTGCATCGATTGAATACACCGGCTTAAGCATATTCGCGGTCACGACGCGTTTAGTATTATTCGCCGCCATAAACGTTTTCGTGTTACTGAACGCAGTCGTCGTTTTCCGCTTCTTCTTCGTCGTCGCGTCGTCGACGTCCTCCTTGTCATCTTTTTCAAGAACGCCGACGTCGATGTTTGCAAACGCCATCCCACTCGCAAACTCCTTCTCTTCAATCTCGTTGTCGATTTCAATCTCGTATTGTTGCAGCGAACACTCCGTGCCTTCCACGATCGTCCCCGGTTTCCCTTTCGCTTTCTTCTCGCCTTTTTCGTTATACAGGACGGAATCGTTCGTTTCCACGTCTACTCGTAAAGCGCCGTCTTCAAACTTTAACGTTTTGCGTTTTACCGCGGTTGCTTTCCGCTTGGCGAATAAGCATCGCCAGTACCTGTGTTGTTGTTTCTTTTTACTGTTGTTGTTGTCCTCCTGCGTCGTCGTTAACGTCTGAATCGTCGTCGCTTTTTTGAAAAGATGATGATGATGAGATTGGTTTTGTCGTTCGCCATTTTGCACGTCATTGTTGTTATTCGTATTCGTAGTATTGTTCCCAAAAGGCGAGATGAATCCCCCCATATACTCTCTCTCAGAGACTTCTTTCCCTCTCGCGTCTCTTTCAAAAACCAGCAGAGAGCACAAACGCGAAGAAGAAGAGACAAAGAAGGAGAGAAAACAAACTAATTTTGTGAGGACAAAGGTTTCTACACATGTCGAGAGAAAACAAAACAACAGAGAAGATATAAAAAAACTTGAAAAAAAAAGGTGCTCACATTAATTATGCATATTTCCAGCACGCAGTGCGTTGATTTGAAACGAAAGAGAGAAACGAAGAAGAAAAAGAGAAAAAAGAGTTTTTGAGTGAGAGAGAGACAAAAAAGAAAAAATATTTAGGGTTTACAAAATTCTGAGACCAAGACGCTCCCCCGTTAGTGCGCTCGCTGCTCTGGCCTCATTGCATATCGCGGACATTTCTGCTCTCATAAACAAGAAAGAGCGCACAAGAACGAAGGAGCAGAGTTTAGCGCGCGCACACATATATATTCTTTTTCGCGCGGCTTGGTCGATTTAACTACACGAGTCGACGATGATGCGCGGGACGTACGGCACGGTGGAAGATGAGGACGAGGACGATGTGGAGCGGCAACGACACCTCTCGTCAGAATGGAACTTTGTCCCGAGGAGAGAGTTCTCATCGCAAAGACGCGGAAGCAACAATGCGAGCGGAAACAGAAACACCATCGCGACGCGCGTGGCGATGCTTTCTGTCGCCGCCGTGGCCTCGCTCGCGGTCGTCCAAAAGACGAGCGAAAGAACTTTGCTCGTGAACGACGACGGTGCTTCTGCGGCGTCGGCATCATCATCTTCGTTGGGGCCGCGGAGGAGGACTTCCAACTCGGGAGAAATTTTGGGATTTACACCTTCGAAAACTTTACAACAACGCGGGGGTGGTAAAGATGAGGAGGATGAATACGACGACGAAAAACCATCATCGTCCTCGCTTTTGAACAACAACAACAACAACAAAAAGGAGGAGGAGGACGACGATCGATCCTCCTGGTTTTTGGAAAAGATGATGCCGAGATTTGACTGGAAAAAGCACCACTCTCACAAAAGCGCTTTTCCTCTAGACGAAGATGAAGAAGAAGAAGAAAACGAACGGATGAGAAGCGGCGACGGCGCGTCTTCCTCCTCGTCCTCGTCTTCTGTTTTACCAAGGCTCGGGGGGTCGAACGACGATAAGAAAAAGAAGAAGAAGAAATCCAATCCTCCCGCTGAAAAGGGCGAGACGGCGTCGCTCGGCGGGAACAAAAGTAACAAATTGGAAGACGATATCGGCTTCGATTCGTTGTTGAAGAACCCGCCGAAGAAGAAGAAAGTGGAGAAACCGAAGCCGAAAGTTGTCGAAAAGAAACCGACGAAGGAGGAGAAGAAGGAGAAGAAGAAGAAGAACAATAACGACGACGACAAAGACTCGTCTGAATCGCCTTCGAAGAAGAAGGAGGAGGAAGAAACGCAAACTTCTTCTGTTTCGGAAAAACCGAAACCGTACGATTCTACGGATATGTTATCGAAAGTCCCGAGCTCTACGACGCTCTCGGCGGCGGATATCTTAGCGAGGGAAGGTCAAGATGCGAGTTCTTTACTCGTCGACGATGCGCCGAACGATACCGAAGACGCGTTATCGCAAGATATTGGTTTGAGTTTGGACGACGGCGCGGCGACGCCAAGTTCGGGAACGTTAGCGGCGGCGGAGACTGCGACCACGGCTCAACAGCCGACGCCGACGATGTTCGTGCCGCAACAGCAGGAACAACCGACGACGACGACAATCGCGTCTTCTTCAACAACTTTCCCAACGCCCCAGGCGCCCATCATCACCTCCTCTTCGTTCTCTAACGGTGTCGTGCCACCGCGACCGCCGATGGTTGTTGATTCTAGCAGTACAGCGACGACGACGGAGGAAACGTCTACCGCGTCTTCTGGACCGGATTTATCGAGCATGGATGCGTTGCCAGATGAAGACGTCAACCTCGACGTCGACGATCCATCCGGTCGAATTTCTTCTTCTTCTCAGGAAGAAGAAGAAGAAGAAGAAGAAGATCGCGCGAGAGGCCACGTTGACGATGAAGAGGATATAGTCGTACCGGACGATGATGGTGATACTACTGAAAACGAGCAAGCGGAAACTGGTGAATCGGAAGAAGATCCGGCGCCAGCTGAACAACAAACTGTTGAGCAGTCGCAGCGAGAAGTTGCCGCCGATGCAGATGAACAACAGCAACAGCAGCAGCAAATTGAAGTGCAACAACAACAGTTGCAGCAACAACAAATACAGCAGCAGCAACAGCAGCAACAACAACAAGAACAGCAGTATTATCAACCGCAACAGCAGCAACCGATTAACTTTCAACCGAAAATCATCATTCCAAAGCAAAAGTCTTCCAGACGAAGGAGCAGCGGTAGCAGTCAGCAAGCCTTGGGCGTTTCTCAAGAAGATCTCGAAGAGAAGTTGGAAGAAGCTTCGGCGAGTGCGGTCGGGAACGTCGTGGACGCGTTTGTCGGGAAACTCGACAACGCGGCCAACGCCGCCCGGGCTGGGCCAAAAGCCATCGAACGCTCGTTATCGCCGATGGATCGATTAACCGAATCTATCGCTCGTATTTTAAACGATAAAGAAGAGGAAAACAACAAAGAGAGAAGGTCTTCGCGAAGAAGATACGACGACGAGGACGAGGACGATTACGAATACGACGAAAGAGATCGGAGACGAAGAAGAGACGACCGACGACGCGACGAATACGACGAAGAACGCGATTATCGAAGAAGCGACAACGCGAGGCAGTCTTTAGGTGAACCAATGAGCACGGAGGATAAACTGAACCAGAAAATGCGCGACTTGGGTGTCGAGGACGCCATCGCCGAGAAGCAGCGACGTGAAGACGACGCTCGAATGGGCGAGATGATTAAGCAAAAGTTAAGTCTGATGGATCCCGATATCGTCGAAGATAAACCGTACTTGGAACCGACGCAGCTCGAGATGAACCAAATTGTCGAGAGAACGCTGAAGAAGTTGGGCATCGAAGACATCGCCAAGAGAGAAAAGGATACAAAGATGGAAGAAAAACTCGAGCAAATCATCGCGGAGAAATTCGATAAGATGGGTTTGAACAACGACGACGATGATGACGAGGAAGATAACTTAGCGCCGTTTCGAAAGGGAAAGAAGGCGAGTCGTATCGAGAAGCGGGTGCAAAAGGCTGTCGCGGGTATCGAAAACAAGTTGTACGCGAACACGTTCGGCCAGCTCAACGGAAACCAACAGATGCAACCGCAAATGGGCGTTCCCATGATGCAACAACCGTACGGTTATCAACCACAGCCAGTCTTGTACGACCAATTCGGTCGACCAGTCGTGACTGCGCCGCAACCTGTCGTGCAGCAGCAACCGCAAGAGATTGCCGGTCACACGGAAAAGGACCGCGCGGAGGACGCCATCGAACGCATGGAGGCTTTGTTTGAAAGCAAGATGAAGGAAAAGGATCAACCTTCTCGATCGTCATCTTCAGCTTACGCGCGCGCTTCCTCGGCTCGTGGCGACGATGATATGCCCGAGAATCTTGATGATCTTTCTCTTAATGATGACGCCGATATTTTATCCACCAGACGAGACACCGGCGGCGCGGACCAAGAGCCTGATTTGGAGGCGTTGAGAAAGGAAGTCGCGCAAGTTGTCGCTCAGTCTATCGAAGAGAAGAAAGCGGCTGCGCAGAAACAAGTGTTGACGGCTGAGCAGCAACTGAAGGAAAAACTTGACTCTTGGAAAACGAACGAGGCGACGAAGGACATGGATGCGGATTTCCAAGCTATGCAGCAAATGGAAACGCAACCAAGCGCTTCTACTTCTTCGTTAACGACGGACGTACAAAGCGCGGCGGAAAAGGTCAAGGCGATGTTGCTCGGTGGTAACGGTGCAGACTTGACGTCTTCGTCTGTGTCCGCGGTACCAGAAGCGGCGGCTACTGACGTCGACCCGGTCGCGGCTGCTGCCATACCGCAGCAACAACAACCGGCGCCGCAGCAAGTACCTCAACCTGTCGCAACCTTTATCGATCCTGCGACCGGTCAGCCAGTAATGACTACTCAGCCAGCCGATATCGCCGTTCCATCGAGTGCCACTGCCGCCGTCGTAGCTCCAACAACCGAAGAACCCGTCGTGGAAGCCGCCGTTCCGACTGGTGAAGTCGTCGAGGAGAAACCGGCCAAGAAGGAGAAAAAGCCGAAGAAACTCTCTGACATGGACATCATCATGGGAGGCTTGAGCAACGACGACGACGACGATGACGACAACAACTCTTCCAAAAAGTCCAAGAAATCTTCCAAGAAAGCAAAGAAAGACCCGTGGGGCGACGACATCAAACCTTCCAAAGCCGAGAAAGAGGACGAAGAGGACGACTCGAGCGCGACGGCGGTTGCCGCCAAAGACGACTCGGTCTTGGACAACATCGGAGGCGAAGACGACGTCGACTCCATCTTAGCCGACTACGAAGCCGCTAAATAATAACACGAACAATAATAACCATAGTAGCGTCGAAATAAAGTAACGAATGTAATCTAATATATAGCATTGAGCCAATCTTAAACTGCATTAACATCATCCGCTCGTTTTTCACTCGAAATCACTCCTCGGAGACGTCACTCGTCTCTCCTAAACATGCCTTCGTTTTTAACGACAACAACTCGCGCTGCTTCTGCCGTGAACAACAACAACACCAAGGAGAAGAATAACAACGCGAGTACTAAAAAGAGTCGTCAAAAGTCTTTAAAACCGTCGTCGTCGGAGTCGTCGAGGAAAGCGAATCAAAAGCAGCAGATATCCGTCCCGTCCTCTACACCTTTACCGGGGAAAGAAATCATCCGGAAAAGCATCGGGACGACGCTTTCGCTGACACTCGCGGTCGGCATTGGATACTTCTTAGGGAACAATCCAACGTACTTGTCGGAGATTTTCGGGAAGACGTTCGGTGGTTGGCGTTCTGCGTCTGCTTCTTCCGAAGAAATGGTCGTTTTAAACGAAGGCAAGAACGAAACGTATGAAGAGTTGTTTTCGATAGACACTATGGACTCGGCGACGAAGGCGAACATGTGGCGAGTGGTGAACGACGGGGTCATGGGAGGCGTCTCGAATTCCGCGATGATGCCACCGTCGCCGAATTCGCCTGGGTTTAGCAGATTTGCAGGTACCGTTCGGTTAGAAAATAACGGCGGGTTCGCTTCGGTTAGAAGAGCGTTGCCGAATTCCGACGCGAGCGCGTATAAAGGCGTGTACGTAAAATGTAAAGCGGCGATGAAAGAAAGAGACGAGAAGAAGCAGTTTTTGCTGTTAGCGAAAGATGCGGAGTGTTCGAGGAACTTCGGGACGAACTTTAAGAGCGCTTTTACGGTGAAGAGCGCGGACGATTGGGAGGTGAAATTGTTTCCGTTCGAGAAGTGCTTCAAGAAAGGCGAGAGAATGGGAAGACCGATCGAACGCGGCCCGATAAACGTGAAGGAAGTGACCGAGTTAGGCTTGATGATTTTAAGAGGAGAAGAGGCGCAGGTCGGTAATTTTGGCTTGGACGTGGAGGAGTTTGGGTTTTATGTGTGATTCATGATATATAGAACAAGTATTTAGCGCGATTTTATATTTAGTAATACAACAACAATTTATTCATTTTCATTTAAGCGGCGGCGGCGGCAGAAGAGGCGCTATCGTCGCCGCTCCCTTGCGAGCGTTCAAACTCAACCCAATCGCCAAAGCTCGAAAAACCTTCCTCGGGTTCGGTGAGCGAGCATCCCATAACCGTGCGTAACTTTTTCCTTTTCCCAAAAGCAAACTTGAACAAAATTTTTGGCATGCCGAATAAACCGCCAAACGCAAACGTAAATCCTCGAAAGGCTTTGCCCGCGATTTGGGCAATGACTAACTTAATAATCACTTGTCCGAAATCAAACGAGCGTTTGATGTGTTCAGTCACCGGCACCGAGCGCAATCCTTTTGCCAGTTCCGTGCGCAACGTTTTATCTTTCGTCAGCATGATTGCCGCGTCTGCGGCCATGCTAAACATGGGCAACTTAACGCCGCCTTTCGCGCCGACTTGCGCCAACTCAATCATGGCGGTCAACCGTTCCCACTCGAATCGACCATCGACGATGATAACTTTGAGCAATCGTAAACGCAGCGCCGGGTCTGGGTCGGTCAAAAGACGTCTGGCGACGTATGGAAACGCGGCATCTAAAAAGTTAAATTCCGGGTCTAACGTCAAGCAAATCGATTCTTGCGTCAACAACGATCGAATGACCAAGGAAAACCTTTCGGGAACTCGAATCGGGTACTTGAACAATAACTTGTTGAACTCTTTCGTCAACCCCCGAAAGGAAAATCCGTTCGTGCCCGCTAACTGTTCCAACGCGTCTTCACCCCAAACCTCTTGCAACCCCAACGCGACATCCGCGATGTCCGCTTTGTTCTTATCTAAAAAGCCGAGCGTTTGCAACGTCTCCGAGAGTTGCATGTAATCTCGATTCATCGTGTGCACGACGGCATCAATCAACGATTCTTGGTTGGATCTCGAAATCTCCGCGACGTTACCGAAATCGACGTAGGCAATATCACCGTCTCTCAAGGCTAACACATTTCCCGGGTGCGGATCGCCGTGAAACAAACCAAAATCTAACAGTTGTCTCAAGCCGCTTTCGACGCCGTTTTGGAGAAAAATGCGTTTCGCCTCGTCGCTGCCAAACGCGTTCGGCGCGGTGCACCGAACACCTTCTTGCCAATCCATGACTAAAACTTTCGGACCGGAGAGTTCTGGAACGACCGCTGGTATGTGTACGGACGGATCGTCCGCAAAATTGTTCCGAAAATCTCTCAAGTTTCTCCCTTCTTGGATGAAATCGAGCTCTTCCAATAATTTCTCCGCGAACTCGTCGACTAAAAGCGTCGCAGGGCACCCGACGTTTTCCAAACAGAAGTTGTCAAACAATTGCTTCGCCGCCGCTCTCAACACGAACAAATCTAAAATCACCGAGTCTCTCGTGTTTGGTCTCAAAACTTTTATCGCCACGTCCCGTTTATCTTTTTTCAGCGTCCCTCGATACACCTGTCCGATGCTTGCCGCGGCGACTGGCTCTTTCGTAAACGTCTCAAACACGTCGTCAATTTTCTCCCCCCACTGCGATTCCATTATCTCCCTCGCTTCGGACGTGGGAAACGCTGGAACTTTATCTTGTAAAGTCGTCAACTCCTCCATAACGTCTTCCGGCACTAAATCCGGCCTATTCGCTAAATTCTGCCCGAGCTTCACGAACAGCGGTCCCAAGCTCGTCAACGTCGTCTTCACCTCTTTCGCCCATAATCTATCGTTCGTCACCCCATCCGCGCTCTTTTCGGCCGTTGACCGATCGATTCTTTCCAACTCTTTCCTCTTCCCGTTCAACTTTGAAAACTTTTGCGTCAAAAACAACACTCGTTTCGCCAACTTTGCCGGTCGTCTTAACGCTTCTCGCCGAATCGCCTCGGGGTCGTATCGAGTCACCACGTTACAAAAATTCGCGTCAAACTCCACCGTCTCTTTCGTTCTCTTTCTCGCTTTTGCTCTCGAAAGCTTTTTCTGTTCTGTGCTTACATCGACGTCTTCACCCGCGATCCTTTTAATCGCCGTACCGCTCAAGAGTGGTTTTTCCTCCTCCTCTTTATCTTCTTCTTTGAAAGCACCATCTTTAATACTGCTATTGCTATTGCTCGTCGTCGTCGTCGTCGTTCGAAGAAGTAAAACGCGTCGTTCTCCTCGTACTTTTTCTCCTTCTTCGCTTTTAAAACGTGGTCTTCTTCTTCCTCCTCCTCTGCGTAGAATTCTCGTCTTATCCGTGTTCTTCGAGAATCCAACTTTCTGTTGAAGTTTCACGGGATAAATCGTTCTCGACATCATCATCATCATCATCGCGTAATCTTTCCAGAGCGCTTTCTGTACTACTCACCCGAGAGAAAGAAAAAGAGAGCAGCAGAGAGAGAGAGAGTGGTGAGAACACACTCGATAAAACGCGTTACAATAGCGGTCGAGTGAAAATAAATCTCTTTTTGTTTATTATAGTATTCACAACAAGAGACGACTTTCTTTTGTTTGAGGAGAGAGAGCACACGAGAGAAATGACAAGTGTCTTCTGTGTTTTTCCAAAGAAAAGAAAAGTAAGCAAAAAAAAAAAAATGTATTTAGGGTATCAATGTGAAACCCTAAAACAGCACGACCTGAAACGAAGCAAGCACTTTTTTTACGACATCACACGTAAGCGAAAAGTTTAACGCGTACGAGTACTGCGCGACTCCTTCAGAGAGAGAGACAGAGACAGAGAAATGACGACGACGACACCACCAACAACTTCTTGTTGTTGTTCGCATTCTTCGAGAAGGACGTTGTCGTTAAAAAAGAATTCCTCGTCGTCTTTGTTTTTTAGCAGAAGGACTGTTGCGACGACGGCTGCTCGCACTCCTAATCGTCGAAAAGACATCGTAACGGCTTCTTCTTCGTCGTCGTCTTTGTCAAAGTCGTCGTTTCATCGTCGTCAGAGGAAAGAAGAAGAAGACAACAACAATAACAAAGAAAAAAGAAGAGGCGATTTACTCCCGCGAAATGCGGCGACGTACGGGGAAGAGCCGCCGCAACAACCGTCGCAATTTCGCGACAGGAAATCAGGAGGCGGCGGCAGAGGAGGCAGAGGACGAGGTTCGAACGGCAGAGGAGGCGGGAGAACGAGCGAGAACAAAGGAGGACGAGGAGGACGAGGAGGACGAGGAGGACGAGGACGAGGAAGAGGCGTAAGGAAATCTTCGGACGGGAAGTCGCATCTCGGGTCGTCGTTGGAGTACGTCGAGGACAAAGCGTTCCCGAGCGTGTACGACGAAAAGCCGAGAGGAGGAGGAGGAGGCGCGTCGTCGCAAGGAGAGTATAACGATGATTTAATCGACGATCCACCGATTAAAATTTTACCGTTAGGAGGGTTAGGCGAGATTGGTATGAATTGTATGCTCGTGGGCGTGAACGATAGGTACATTTTGTTGGACGCCGGGTTGATGTTTCCGGACCACGAGGAGCTCGGGATACAAAAAGTGTTACCGGACGTCAGTTTTTTGAAAAGATGGAGAGATAAGATTGAAGCGGTAGTGATTACGCACGGACACGAAGATCACATCGGGGCGTTGCCGTGGGCGATCCCTGCGCTCGATCCGAACACGCCGGTATACGCGGGTATTTTCACCATGCAACTCGTCTCCCGACGCATGCAAGAGTTTAACCTTTGGAATCCGGACCGGTTTAAAGTTATGGAAATGGGCCAACGGTTCATGGCGGGACCGTTCGAGATTGAAGCGGTGAGAGTGACGCACTCGATCCCGGATTGTTGCGGGTTGATTTTTAGGAGCGAACACGGGACGATTGTTCACACCGGAGATTGGAAAATTGACGAGGATCCCGTGGATAATCAAATCTTCGATCGAACGGCGTGGGAACAAGTCGGGAAGGAAGGGGTGACGCTGATGATGTCAGATTCGACGAACGTTTTGTCCCCGGGAAGGACGACGTCAGAGTCTGAGGTGAGGGAAGCGATCATGCAAAAAGTGGTTGGACATAAAGGACGGATTATATCGACCCAGTTCGCGTCAAATATACATCGATTGTACGGTATTCGCGACGCCGCGCAAGCGACGGGGAGATCTATCGCGTTTGTTGGACAATCTTTGAATACGTATTTGGAAGCGGCCAAGAAAGCTGGAATGGCACCGTTCGATCCAGAAAAGCTCGTTCCTGCCGAAGATATCGATTCGTACGACCCGTCGAAGCTGTTAATTGTAACCACCGGGTCGCAAGGTGAACCAAACGCTCAGTTGGCTCGCGCCGCGTGCGGCGCCTCCCCGTTACTCACCTTACGAAAAGAAGATTTGTTATTGTACTCGGCAAAAATGATTCCCGGCAACGAGAAAAAAGTCATGCGAATGATGAATTCAATAGCGAAAATCGGCCCAACCATCACCATGAAACGCGACGACGGATTACACTCCTCCGGTCACGCGCATCGGGAAGAGTTGGACGAAGTTTTGAAGCTCATCAAACCGGAACACTTCTTACCGGTTCACGGAGAATACGCGTTTTTGAAAGAACACGAACGGTTAGCCAGAGAAACCGGGGTTGTTCACACCTCAGTCATAGGAAACGGAACCTTACTCGGGGTCACGCCTTTGAAGAATAAGAAAGCGCACGGCACGTTGGGCAATTTCCATCGAATCGGATCGGCTCGATTACAAACGATGTTCAACGATGGTGGGAAAGGCTCGGGTACCGCGGAAGATTTAGCCATCGAAGAAAGAATGCGAATTGCTACCGAAGGCGTCGTCGTGGTTGATTTTGAAGTCATAGAAACCGCTGGACACGCGATGGACTCGAGAGCGCGAGTCACGAGCCGAGGAATGTGGACCGATAATGGACGCCTCTTGCGACACTTGAAAGAAGCCGCGGTGAACAGTTGCGCCGGGATGAATTACGACTCAAAACTCGCCGCGGTGGAAAGAACCGTCGCTCGGGCCATCCGCTACGCCTGTCGCTCCTACTGCAACAAAAAGCCAGACGTCATCGTCGTCGCGCATCGCTTGGCCTTGAAGAAAGGCAATGGCAAAGGAATATCATCTCCATCGAGCGACGACGATTCAGACGACGACGATGAAGATGACGACGAGGAATCGAGCGGGTTCTCGGACGAAGACGAACCTTTAAAAGAGGAGGAAGAGGAGGAGCAAAAACGGTACCGCAGACGCGTCAGTCGTCCGGAAGGCGTGCGACCTTTGCGAGGCGATTACAAAGGTCCCGGTGCGGGAGGAATTGGTCGAGAAAGGTACAGAGATAGCGGGTACGATTAATACTGAGACAGAGAGAAAGAGAGAGAAAGAGACGTAGAGAGTAATTGACATTGCCTACTATTTATATATTCACATCTGAACGAAATCACACAAAAGCTGCCCTTTTCTATCTCAAACCTAAGAATAATGTCGCGTTGTTGTTGCTTTGTGACGACTTTAACAACGACTTTATCAAAAGCGAGTCGTATTGGTCATCGTAAAAGTAGAAGACGAAGAAGAGGCCTACGCGCCGCTGTTGTTTCGTCTTCCGCGCGCGCAAAATCTCTCGGGGAAGAAGAAGACAAAGAAGAAGAAAACAGTTGGAACGGATTGGAATTGGACGACCACCTTAAGGAGGAAAAGAAGACAAACGAACAACACTACGCGTTCGTCGGGACGGAAAAACTGTACGGCCACGCGAACGTTTCGAAACTGGAGAATACACACGTAGTTATCATCGGTATCGGTGGCATCGGCTCTTGGTGCGCGGAAGCTTTAGCGCGAACATCGATTGGAGAGTTTACTTTAATTGATTTAGATTTCATCTGCGTGACGAATATCAACAGACAAACGATGGCGATGGAATCGACGGTGGGAGAATCGAAAGCTTTAGCGATGAAGAAAAGGATATTGGACCTGAATAAAGACGCAAAGGTGAATTGCGTCGAAGATTTCGTGAGTAAAGAAAACGTGGAAGAGATTTTAAAACCCCTAGTTGGTTGCGGCGAAGGACGGAAGGTTGAATACGTCGTCGATTGCACAGACAACGAACAAGATAAAGCGGCAATCATCGCGTATTGCGTGAAGCATAACGTGCCCGTGATGACCACCGGTGGTGCGGCTGGGATGACGAATTTTCCTCCGAGTGGCGTCGCGGTAGAAGATTTGCAAAAAGCGACGTTCAACCGATTGTTGGCGAGCGCAAGGAAGACGTTGCGGGACAAGTACGCGTTTCCGAGAGGCGTGAAGAAATTCCCCAACGGAAAGAGAATGAAGAGCGACGATGTGGTTGCTGGAGATGGTAAAAAAACAGAAACATTTAAAGAGAGGAAATTCAAGGTGATAGCGGTGTACGCGAAGGAGCTGAGCGAGAATTTCGCGGTGAAGAATAGTAATACTAGTAGTAGCGATAGTGACGGAGGCGTGCCGTCCGGAGGGAAGATTAATTGCACCGATGGAAGCTCGGGATCTGCGGCATTCGTAACTGGAGCGATAGGGTTAGCAGCGGCGAGTAAGGTAGTCGTGGATGTGCTTGCGAGAACGGATGCGCAGAGAGAGAAGATCGGTCAGCCGTTCACGAGTGGATGGCAAAGTAAGGTGTGGACATCGTCCGACAGAGGAGGAGGAGAAGATGCACACGCTCAGAAAGCAAATGAATCTACCGAGAACAAAACAGACAAAGCGAAAACGATACCAACGCCTATGGGCAACAAAATACAAGTGGACGACGAATCGCTTACGGAGTTTATTGGCGAGGACGTCCTTCACGATGCCTCGAAAGATAACCTCAACTTGAACGAGATTTTCGATGCGCATTGTCACTGGCACTTGCATAGCGACGACAGCGAAATTGAGGCGATGGGTAAAGAAGTGTATAAAATGGCTTTAACGTGCACGCAACCCTCCGATTGGCAAAAAGCGCTCAAGATATCGAAGGAATTGAACTATCCCATTGCTTTAGGTGCCCATCCGTGGTGGATTCACGAAAACAAATCCACTTTTCATGCTTGGATCGAAGAACTCGAAACGCTCGCCTCGGCAACGCCACTATCTATAATCGGCGAGATTGGTTTAGATAAAATAGCAGTACCGCTCGACGGAGTTACACCTCCAGATTACCCGTTCCAACTCGAAGCGTTTACGAAGCAACTCGATCTCGCTCGAAAGCTTAACAAGCCCATAGCTGTGCACTGCGTGAAAGCGACGTCGGATATCCAAAGCGCGTTATTCGAATGCAAGAAAATGCCGCGCGCCGTATTGTTGCACTCGTACAGCGGCTCCTCGGAATGGATGCGACAACTGATCGGCATGAAGCTAAATAAAGGTGAACACGTGTATTTTGGGTTTTCATCGGTGGTAAACTTGCGAGGATGGAAGAAAACACTCGAAAACATACGAAAGTGCCCTGACGATCGCATCGTCGTCGAATCTGATTTGGTGAGTTGCGAAAACGTAGAAAACGAGTTGCGCAAAATCGTAGCGTTTATCGCGAAAGCAAAAGGCTGGTCGGTGAAGGAAACCGCGCGAATTACGAGAGAAAACGCCGATCGATTATACGGGTGCTTATGATGATAAAACTATAGCTCTTATATTATTTGCTGAATGCATTAAAAATATATATTCTGAACGTCGTTCTCGGAAAACGCCAACGCGCATCCGGGGCATTTTCTCTGCCTCGTCGCGATTCTCGTATCGATGCATTCCCTACAAAACATGTGAAAACACTTCGTAATCACGCACGCTTTATCTCTTTGCTTACACACATTGCACCCCATCATCGTTTTATACGCGTCGATTTCTTCTTGCAACGCCCCAGCACCGCCTTCTCGCGATAATCGGTCGCATTTTTTCTTCACGCCGGCGTTTTCAATTTTCAAATCGTCTCTTTCCTTTTCTAATTTTTTAATCTCTTTTTGTAACTTCGCCTCGTCCGAGCTCAACTGGTTGCATCGACTTTCGACGATACTTAACTGCGACTTGAGTTTCGTCAAATCCGTTTCCAATTGTTCAATTTTCAACTTATCGCTCGATCCGGCACCGGAAGCGCCGCGCGCCTCGGATTTCGCCGTCTCTAACTCTTTCGTCAACTTTTCCACATCCGCCTCTAACTTTTGCGCTTTCTCCGTCGCCGCTTTCGCTTCGACTTTATCTTTCTCGTTGCTCATTCTAACTTGTTCGTAATCGTCGTAATACTTTTTCGCCTCTCTTTGCGCCGCGGCGGCCTCTTTCTTCATTTTGTTCACTTCGTCTTCCTTGTCGGACAGCTTTTGTAAAATCGTTTCGCCGTATTCCGTCGCTTCGTCCGCCATCGAGGCTAAACCGCCGAGCTCCTCGGCTAACTGATCGAGCTCGTCCGATTTCTCTTTCGTTTCGTTTTCTAATCTTTCTCTGTTTTCTTTTTCTTGTTTCAATTCAGCCGTAACCGCGGCTAAATCTTTCTCCAACGTTTTCGATTTCGACGCCGCTTTCTTTTCCAGCGTAGCGACTTTCGCTTCGAGAGATTTGACTTGCGTTTCAAACGTCCGGTTTTGCTCTTTCGCCTCGTCGCGTTCCGTTCGCGCTTTCTTCAACTTTTCGTTTTCGTTCTTAAACGCTTCCATTTGCTGCTGAACAATTTTCAATAAAGCTTGCGCGGACTCTTCCGTATCTTTCCCTTTGCCTTTCTCCGCGCCAACCGCGTCGGAAATTTTCTTCTCCGCCTCGTCTCTTTCCTTATTCGCTCTTTCGAGGAAAGACTTCAACTCTCTCGAGTAATTCTCCGCCGCGTTCAGTTTCTCCTCTTGCGCTTGCGCGTCTCGATTCGCGATTTCCAACTTCAAATTCCTCGTTTTAATCTGGTCGTTCTCTCTCTTCGTTTGTTCGAGTCTCGTGTCGAATTTCGTAGATTCAGTTTTCAAAATCTCCAGCTGTTGCGATAACGCGGTATACAGAGGCGATTGGACAACTAAGGCTTCGCTGGCGCCATTTTTGCCTTGGTTCTTGATAGCTTTCAACTCCGATTCGATCTTTGCGTTCTTTTCGCGCATATCGGCGAGAAGCTTTTCGGACATTTTAAATCTCGCCACCGCTTCGCCTAAATCCGCTTTGAGTTGTCCGAGTTGTGTGCTATCGGTTTCCACGTTCTTCGTTGGGGCATTCGAAGACGGCGGCGTCGTCGCAGCAGCACCAGCAGCAGCTTTCTCGCTCGCTTTCATTTGCGCCTTGGCTCCGGCTAATTTTGCGTCTTCTTTCGTCGCTAACTTGATGCCCAAATCTTTATCGACCTCGCCCGGGTTGGCGCCTTCGTATTGCAAAATTTCAATTCTCCGTCTCAAATGCATCACGTCCAAACGTCTGGTTTCCAACAACTCCTCGTTCTCCTTCAACTTCTCCTCCATCTTTGCCTTCGTCGCTCTCAACGCGTTCGCGATTCGCTTCGCTCTCAACGCATCCGCGGCTAAGTAATCCGTTTTTTTCTCGTTCGCCGTCGCGTTCGGATTCTTCTTCGCCGCGATAACGGCGCTCGCAAATCGCTCCTTCGTCTTTGCCGCTCGACTTTTCAAGTCGGCTAAAAACTTTGCCTCCTCTGTCGCGTTCACCTCCTCGTCCTCGTCGCTTTCTTCCTCTCCCTCGTTCTCCATCGTCTCGTCTTCCCTCGTCGCGGTATCGCCGTCTCCATCCCCGCCGTCGCCGCGTTTCCTCTTCTTCTTCGCCCGCGGAGGGTTGAACTCCTTCTCAAACGCCGCTTCGTCTTCTTCGCTGACGTTCTTCAGCAAAAGTCTTCTGAACGCATCAAACCTCCTCGAATTGATATTTCTTTTCTGACTTTTATCATCGTCGGTGGTGATTGCAAAGTTTTGTTCTTCAAGAAGCGTCTCGAACGCCGATTGCAATTGGTTCCACTCGTCCGAAATCGCAATCACGGTTTTCTCGAATGCCTCTGATTTTCGCTTCTCTTTGAGAAGTTGACGCTCTAAATCCGAGACTTCTTTACGTCTCGCTTCGATCTGAAGAAAGAAAAAGAAAGAAAGAGAAAGAAAGAGAAAGATGTCAGCGCGCCGTAATTCTCCCCAAAATCATCATCATCATCCAATCAAACGCAATATACTACAAACAAAAACAATACAACACTACCATACGAATACGAATGCACGAGTACTACTACTACTACTAATAATAAGAATAAGAATAAGAATACCTGTCCGTGCTGTTGTTTCTTTTGAAACTTCAGAAGCGAGCGCTCTTCGTTCGTGAACTCTTTCGCGTTGTTCATTTTAGAGAGAAAGAGCGGAAAATTTGTGTGGCGTTAAAGAAAGAAGAAGATCTCTGTGTCTTCGAAAAAAAAAGAAAAAAAAGCACGCAGCCGAGAGAGAGAGAAGAGAGTGAAAAAACAAAAAAAATGAACAACAAGAGCTTCTTCGTGCATTGGTAAGGGGGTTTCGTCGAGTTGTTTAAAGTGTGCGTGTCGTAAAATTGCCAATGGCGAAGAGGAGAAAAAAATTTTACATGTACTCGTCGTCGCGGCACAAAACATTTTCTCTCTCTCCGTCTGCTTCTTTCTCTCATCACTTTAGCGAGGAGAAACAAACGGAGTTTCATCAGTGCATGCTAAGAAGAAGGAACAGCGCGCGTTTCGTTTCTGTCGCTGCTGTCAAAGCTTCTGTTGTTAGTATCTCTTCCGTCGAAAAAGCAGCGGCAGGAGTACAACAACAGCCATTTCTTTTTGCAACATCATCGTCGTCGTCTGTAAAGTCTTTCGTGACGGCGCATCATCGTCTTATAAGCGGATTCGTTTCGACGACGACACCCGGAACAACGACCGCGCGGAACAACAAGAACAACAACAACAATTTCCAAAGAAGAATGCGCTCAGAAGAAATTCCTTCAATATTATTGCCACCACCAATTGGCTTCGACGAAGTCGTCGTCGAAGGCAAAGGGAAAGTCTTGCAACGAGAAAACGAGGTGTTTTATAACCGACCGCAAGTGGTCAATCGAGACTTATCGCTGGCAATCGTAAGAGAGTTTCAAAAGAGAAGGAAAGAAGAACACGAAAACGACACGGATCAGAAAACGAGACGAGGGAAAGGGATGTATAACAAAGTACCGCGAGAGAGCAAGATCATCGCGCATTTGGTGAGCGAGCGAGAGCGAGAGCACATGTTCGCGACGAAAGAGACGACGCGAGAACATCCGGCGACGACGACGAAGACGGAGGATGATGAAAAACAAAAAGAGTGGGTGGAAGTGAAACCAGGGACGTTTCGATGGCAAGTGGTTGGTGCGGAAGAGAAACGAGAAACGGCCGACGATGCTGCTGCTGCTGCTGCTGAACAACCGAAAGTAATAATAGAAGAAGAAGAAGATGAAGAGAAGAAAGAAAAACCGCCGTTAGAACCGATTACTATTTTAGAAGGCATGTGCGCGACTGGGCTGAGAGCGATTCGGTACGCCAGGGAACTGGACGATGTCAAGTGTATCGTCGCGAACGATTTAGATCCAACTGCCGCGTTAGCCGTGGAAAATAATAAAGAATACAACGCGCGAGAATCCGAAGAGGTGAAACGACGCGTGGACAAAATCGTAACCAACTGCGGCGACGTTCGCGTGGTTGCGTTGCAACACGAGAAGTGTTTCGACGTGGTCGATTTAGATCCGTACGGGACTCCATCGCAACAGTTAGAATCGGCGGTTTTAGCGCCCGTTGAAGGTGGTTTGTTATGCGTCACCGCGACAGACATGTCCGTTTTGTGCGGCAACAACGCCGAAGTTGGATGGACGAAATACGGGAGCTACCCTTTGAAAGCGAGATATTGCCACGAACAGTCGACGAGGATCTTGTTAGCGGCTATTCAATCTGCCGCGGTAAAGAATAGACGTTATATTGTTCCCGTGCTTTCTACGCAGATTGATTTCTACGCTCGCGTGTACGTCAGAGTGTACTCCTCGGCGGTCAACTGTAAAGCGGCGGCGTCTAATTTGTCGTACGTGTTCCAATGCGTCGGGTGCGATTCGTTCGAATTACAACCTTTAGGAAAAGTCGAAGAGAGGTCGCACGAACGAACTGGAAAAACGTACACGAAGTTTATTCCAGGAAAACTCTCCGCTGCGGTGGAACACAACGAACACGGCGATCGCAAGTGTCACAACTGCGGGTGGGGGATGAACGTTGGCGGGCCGATTTGGTCGGCGCCAGTGCACGATAAAGGTTGGGTCGAAAGCGTTCTCAAAGACGTCAAAGAGAGTTCGGATGAACGGTACCCAGGGAAAGAGAAAGTTAGAGCGTTACTGACGAACTGTTCGGAGGAGTTACCGGATACGCCGTTGCATTATTGCTTACACTCTATGGCCGGGACTTTAAAAATTACGCCGCCAACGCTGGCGCTGTTTCGATCGGCGATTATTAACGCCGGGTATAAAGTCAGCGGCGTACACTGTAATCAATTAGCCGTCAAAACCAACGCCCCGTCGAACGTTTTATGGGACATAATGAAGTGCTGGGAGCAAGAGCACCCGGCGCAGGAGGATTTCAAAAATGGCAAGTCTCCCGGCGCCTCGATTTTGAAGAAAGAACCGGTAGTAAAAGCAAAATGGACGCGAGTGAACGGGGCATTTAGTAAAGCGCAGATGGCTGGCGAGACGCGATTTCCAACCAACCCAGAGGAAAACTGGGGACCTAAAAACAGAGCAACGGGAGGGAGAAGTAACAAGAGAGAAATTTCGTCGTGCACCGCTCCAAACACCAAGAATTCTAGAAAACAAGCAAAGAAAAAATTTTAATCGAGCGACGATGAAGAAGATGAGTTGTAACGCGAACTTTTTTTATGTGCCCAAAAATAATACTTAGTATTCAAAAGATCTCGCGCAAGGCGTTTTGTAATTCGGCGATGAGTTCATCCGGATAATCGACGATGAGCCTATGCGGCGTACCCCAGTACTCTTTAGCGATTCCTGTTCCCTCAACGTCTTCGTCCGTGTACAAATTCGGGTCGACGCCTCGAATCCATTTCTTCGCGCACCTAAATTTGCCGTTGTTCGAGCACAATTCAGGCCAACGTTCAAAATCCATCGCGTGGTATCTCTTATCGTTTTTCGCGGCCACGCATAGCATTGGCGACTCCAATCGCTCGTTCAAGTCGTATTTCTCCGTCGTTACTTTGTAATCGTACGTTTCGACTTGAACGAAATCCGATCGAATGTTCGGTAAAATCCTCGTCTTCATATCCTCGGTCATCTCCGGATTAGATCCGTATCTTCTCTCGAACGCCTTCCAAAACAGTTTTGCATCTGTAATTTGCGCAATTCGCGGTGCTATGATATCTGGATCGTAATATTCCGAACACAAATGGTTCGGACGATTCCCGCAACACGCGACCAAGCTCGGATTCGCGCACGCGTCGTCTCTTTCGAGACGTCTCCCTAACTCAAACGCAATCCATGCGCCCAACGAAAAACCGAACAAAACGTACCTCTGCTTCGACAACTCCTTCGAAAACAGCGGCTTCAACTCCGCCATCATCTCGTCCACCACCTCGTTTACGCTTTCCAAAGCCGTCTCGTTGTACCGACTGTTTCGTCCTTTCATCTCGATCGGTATCAATCTCACTCTCTTCTGCGTATTTTCTTTCAACAAGCACGTGGTCAAATGGTTCCATTTTTTTCCGTGATAACACCACGCCCCTAAACCTGCCTGAGGTATCATTATCAAATTGATCACGTTCTCGTCCTCGAGCGAAATGTCATCGACGTGTTCGCGAACGATGTACTTGGACTCCATGTCAGTGTTTTGTCTCTCTCTCTCTTTTTTCTGAAGAGAAAATCAAAGCGTTTTTTTTTTATTAATAATTTGTTGAAAATTTCTCTCGCATTTTTTGTCCTCAACCACCTCAAAAGAAATCATGGCGTGTCCTTTGCGACACTACCTGGGCTATTTCTACTGGCTCGCCGCGTTCGTCGGCGCGATTGCCGTGGTGTTCGGAATGAAAGATTCTCGACTTTACGATGTTTCTTCGGGTGGCAGCGACGAGAGCGCGAGTAAGACTGCAAAGAAGAAAAGGTAAAGAGAGAATTGGAAACATTGAAAGAAGGGTTGATTGGTGGAGGGGAAAAGGCAAAGAGCAGACGTTTAGAGTGACTTAAAGTTAGTATTAGCACGTAGCAGAATGTGATTTTTAATGTGATTTAGTAGTAGGATGTTTTTATATTGTCATTAAAGGTATAGCCCATTCTCTGTCTCTTCATTGTATTCCTTCTTTCTCTTTCTTTCTCTCTTTCTTTAACACCGCGCGACGCCATTTAGCCGTTTCTCTTCATCCAGCGATCGCATATATGGTATTAAGACGGGGCACCTAAGTGCGCGCACACTCTCAAAACGTCCGCGAAAACACCCCCTGCGGTGACTTCGGCGCCCGCCCCGGGGCCGCGAACCACCAACGGTCCCGCTTCCGTGTATCGCTTGGAGATGTACGAGATGATATTATCCGAACCTTTCAACTGCGCGAACGGATGATCTTTCGGGTACTCTTTCAATTGCACCGAGCCTTTCTTGTTCTCGACGTCGACGACGCCGACGAAAATGAGCTTGTTCCCGTTCGCTTCGGCGGCGGCCATTTTCGCCGCGATTTCGTGGTCGTAGTCCGGGAGCTTTTGCATGAACTCGTCCACGGATTCGACGTTTTGTAAAGGTTCCGGAACTAACGATTCGATCGGGATATCGCTCAATTCCAAGGATAAGCCGCACTCGCGCGCCAAAATCGTCACCTTTCTCGCCACGTCAACACCGGACAAATCATCTCTCGGATCCGGTTCCGTGTACCCGTTCGCTTTGGCCTCGGCGACGACGTCGGAGAATTTCTTATCCGGCGTTAACGTGTTGAAGATATAACTCAACGTCCCGGAGAAGATGCCTTGAATTAATTTGATGTCATCACCGGCGTCTTCTAACGATTTCACGGTGGAAATAATCGGTAAACCGGCGCCAACGGTGGCTTCGTAAAAGTAATGCGTGTACGAATCTCTTTGAATGTTTCTCAAGGACTTGTAATACTCGTACGGTCCCGAGTTGGCTTTCTTGTTCGGCGTGACGACGTGAATACCTCTGCTGAGCCATCCTTTGTATTGCAACGCGACGGCATCCGAAGCTGAGCAATCGATGATGACTTGATTCGGTGAGTTGGATTCTTCTACGTGATCGGTGAACTTTTCGAAATCCGCCGCTTCGTTTTCGTTGGAGTATTTATTCTCCCAGTCGTCCAAGTCGATGAAACCGCCGGTTTCGGCCAAGTGCATTTTGCTACCGCCGGAAATAGCGACGACGCGTAAATCGACGCCAAATTTATCCAATAAAGTTTGTTTTTGCTCTTGCATTTGCGCCAACAAGGTTTTGCCGACCAAGCCGGGACCGACGATCCCAACCGATAACGGAGTTCGCGAGGCGTAGAATCTTGAGTGCACGGCGTTGACGGCCTTGATGCAATCAGATTTCTTGATCACGACGGTAATGTTGTATTCACTCGCACCTTGGGAGATGGCGATGACGTTGACCGCGGCGGATGCCAAGGCGGTAAACAACATCGCCGAGACGCCCGGGACGTTCGCCATATTTTGACCAACCGCGGATAAGATGGAGCAGTTGTTCAAAGCGACGACTCTCGAGACTCTCCCAGCGGCGATAGCCTTCTCGAATCGCTTGTTCAGCGCCTCCACGACTTTGTCGGCTTCGTTTTGGCGAACGGCGAAACAAATCGAGTGTTCCGAGGACGCTTGCGAAATCATAACCACGTTACAGTTGGCATCGCGAACGGTACTGAAAACCGCCGAGGCAAAACCTGGAACACCAACGAGACCGGTACCTTCCACGGTGATTAAGCACACGTCGTCGATGGTGGTAATACCTTTAATCAACTCGCCCGCGGTGGACACGCGACTACCAACATTTTTCGTGCCTTTTTTGGATTCGTCGGCTGGAATCTCGCATCTCGCCGCAATCAATGTCCCCGGTGCAGATTGATTGAAGTAGTTCCTGATGCAAATCGGAATTGAATATTTCATAGCCGGTAACGTCGTTCGCGGGTGCAAGACGTTCGCGCCAAAATACGCCAACTCCCACGCCTCATTGTAGGACAAGCGTTCCAAGCATACGGCGTCTTTCACGCGTCTCGGATCAGAGGAGTACACTCCATCGACGTCGGTCCAGATGGTGATATCGTCCGCGACGAGTAACGCGCCAAAGATGGTCGCGGAGTAATCGCTCCCGTTTCGTTTCAACGTCGTAGGAAACCCCTCCGGCGTAGACGCGATGAAACCGGTGCATACGACGATCGTATCTTTATCGAGGCTGCCTCTCATGTGCGTTAAATGATTCCACAAATCCAAGCGATAGTTAGACTTATCGTAATCCACGTCTACGCCTCCGTCTTCGGCTTCGGTCACTACCAATATTTCTCTGGCGTCGATCCAATACGATTTTCCTCCTTTACATCGAATCGCCGCGGCGGTCAATCGCGCCGTCCACAACTCCCCGTGACCAACCACAAAATCCGCAAACGTTTCCGTCGAGCACCCTACGATAGAAATCGCCTTCAACATCGACCCTAAATCTTCCAACTCTTTATTAAAAGATTCCATGTACTTATCGAATTCCTTCGGTATCGTCAACAAATCCGTCGCCGTCGTCGTGTGTTTCTCTCTCAACTTTTCCAACTCTTCCACGTAATCCCTCGATCTCGCCGCCGCCATCGTCGTCGCGTTTATCAAGCAATCCGTCACTTTCGGTTCCGATTTCGTGATCACCCCCATCGCGGATACCACCGCGAACGTTTGGTTCCCGTTTTTCGCGCTGTCGATGAGTAAGTCGCAGACGCCGGATATTCTCTCCGAGGAGCCGACGCACGTGCCACCGAATTTATGCACTTTCCAACCAGCTTCCGCACCTCTGGGGAAGGTGGTGACTTTCTCGTCCGGTAACGTATCCATAAAGGCTCGCACGTCCGCCGGTACCGCTCGCGAAAAGACGCGAAGACTTTTTTTATTCCCGCCATTCCCTTTATCTCGTTTCCTCGCATTGGACGATGATTTTGACGATGATGAAGTCACCATCTTCCCGTGAGTATTCTTTCGCCACGACAGCGACGCCGTCGACGACGACGCGGACGACGACGCGCTCATAAAACGCATCATCATATATATATATATATACAAAAAGTAGTGTTTTTCTCCTCTCTCTCTCTCTCTTATATATCTCTGTGTTGGTATTTATCTCATCGGAGGGACGAGCGAATGCAGAAATCTGGATGCGCGAAAACCTCAAGACGAGAAGAAAAGATAAAGTTGTGTGCCATTTTTCGTCTCGTCCCAGGAAAAGGATTTGTGGCGGTCAATTAATACTACTTTTTTTTACTCCCATATATATAATAAAGAAGGGGTTTTGAAAGAGCGCTGCTTCTTTTGAGAGACGTGTCCTTTCTCTCATCATGTCCAAAAAAAGAAAAAAAAAACTCTCTGCAGAAGAGTTTTGAAAAAACTTTGAGAAAAAGATTGGAACGAGAGAGAAGAAGAGATCTCACAAATCATCATCATGCGGCTTCTCCAACTCTCTGTCGTCGGGGCGAGACAGACGAGTTCCGAGTGCGCGTCCACTTCTTTTGTTTCTTCTTGGAATTTTAAGAACAGAGGACGGAATGGAAAAGGAACTGGCGTTTTTGGGGGGTTTGAAGCGTTCCAGAAGAAGAAATTAACGCGCGGATTTTTGGGCGGGAAAAAAAGATACGATGATGACGATGGGATTAACGGTGTCGATGTCGCGAGAATGATGGGAAGAGGAAGAGGACATGTACACGTCGTTCGAGCGAAACAGACGACGGAATTGGAACGAGATCGCTTGGATATTGAAATATCGAGCACGTGGGACGAATCCATGGAGGACGATTTCGAGTTCGACGAAGACGGGCAGTTATTGGACGCGTTCGGGGAGGAAATCGATACGACGGAAGTGAAGAAGGCGATTCCTGGCGATTTTTATTCCTTGATTCAAGTGCCGAAAGACGCCTCCTCGGCGGAGATTAAAAAGGCGTACAGGAGGTTGCAGAAAGCGTGTCACCCGGACATCGCGGGAGAAGCTGGATCGGACGTGTGCATTATTTTGAACGAAGCGTACGATATTTTAATGGACGATACCGCGAGAGCGGCGTACGACGCGGAGATGAAAGAGCTGGAACGCATGACGCAAGAGTTTATGAAACGAGGCGCCGCGGACGAAGAAGACGATGAAGGAGGCGGGTATACGGGCGAACCTCTCTCGGAATTCAAAGGCAAAGATCCCGCGATCGGGTACCCGCGCGCGGTATTCGTAAACGAGTGTCAATGCATCGGATGCAAACAGTGCTGCCACTCGGCGCCGAAAACGTTCGCCATGGATGATCAATTCGGCCGCGCTCGCGTTTTCGCCCAATGGGACGACGAAGAAGAAGACATAAACATCGCCATCGAATCCTGCCCAGTCGATTGCATTCACTTTGTCAAAGAAAACAACCTCCCAATTTTAGAATACGCGATGTCGAAATGCGAACGCACTTCCGTCGCCTCCATGATGTCCGGCTCCGCGCGAGTCGATGACCCTTTCGACGTCGCCAACCAAATGATCCGCCGAGGCGAGGAACGCTACGGCCGATTAGGCCTCGACCCGAACGAAGCGTTAAAAGGTAAATCATTAGTCGGCAGAATGAAAAAACGAATCCGAGACGCGTGGTTACAACTCGGCGAGAAACCTCGATTGGCGTGGACTTCGTATAAAATATTCAGAGGATTCGGAAGCGAAGACGAGGAGTACGACGTCAGCGTCGACGATTTCGGCGAAGTGAGAAGGAAAAAAACAGACGAGGAGGAGAAGAAGACAAAGAAGAGCCGGTGGTTTAACTTTAATTAGCAGTGTGTAAGAAGATCGTAAGTAGCCCTTTGTAAACAACAACTTAAGCGTGTGTGTGTGTAAAATTTTCATCCAAAGAGCTCTCGTGTGCCGTCAAAAAAAAAGCATGCGGTTGTGCTTTTCGACATCAACATCCTCGTCTGCTTTCCACCATCATCGCAGCAACTTTCACAGAGCGCAAAAGACGAGTTCTTTGATCGTCGCGTCGTCTGAATCGTCGTCCAAAATGGAGAAGACTTCTCTTCTGGCCACGCCTCTCAAATGCATGATTCCAACGTGCGTCTATTTGGATTACAACGCGACGACGCCTATTTTCCCGGAAGTGTGTGACGAGATGCTCCCGTTTTTGCGCACGCACTTTGGCAACCCGTCCTCGATTCACGCGTACGCCGTGCCGTGTTCTGTAGCCATCGATGTAAGTCGAGAAAGAGTGAGAAAAGCTTTAGGCGCGACAAATGGAAAGAAGGAAATTGTGTTTACAAGTTGTGGCACTGAAAGTGATAACCGAGCGATAGATATCGCCTGCGACTTGTTCAATTCTTCCGCGTCGTCTGATGAAGCAAATTGTGTTCTTCCGCACGTGATTTCAACCGCGGTGGAACATCCAGCCGTTCTCGTGTATTTAGAGAGCGAGCGAAAGGCGAAGCGACTGACGTACTCGTTAGTGCCGGTAAACGAGGAAGGCGCGGCGGACGTCGAGGCGTTCGAGAAACAGTTGGCGGAGTTTCGCGACAGAGTGTGTTGCGTGACTATTATGCAAGCGAACAACGAAACGGGCGCTGTGCAACCGGTGAGAGCGTTCGCAGATTTAGCGAAAGCAACGAATCCGAAAATTTTGGTGCACACGGACGCCGCGCAGTCGTTCGGGAAGGTGAAGCTGAATGCGGATGATTTGAACGTGGACGCGATTACCATCGTGGGACACAAAATTGGCGCGCCGAAAGGCATCGCGGCTCTATTTTTGCGGGAAAGTTTTCTTTCTGAAAGAACGAAAGAGATCGATAGTAATGGTGGTAACGTTGACCCGTACAGATCGTTTTTAAAAGGCGGCGGACAAGAAGGCGGGAAACGCGCAGGCACGGAAAATGTCCTTCACATTGTCGGTTTAGGGAAAGCGTGCGAAATTGCGGACGAAGAGTTTGACGCGTTTGTGGCGCATACGAAACGCATGCGCGACTTGCTTTTCGAAAAATTAAAAGCTTCGACAAAAATCGGTGATCGAGTGTTCGCCAATGGGCCGAAAGACGACGCGAAACGTTTACCGAACACGCTTTCCGTCGCCATCGAAGGTGTCGACGCAGGCGCGTTGTTAGTAGAATTAAAAGATCGATTGGCCGCCAGCGCTGGCGCCGCTTGTCACTCGAGCGAAGACGGCGGAGGCGCAATCTCTGGCGTCTTACTCGCCATGCGTTTAGAAGAAAGTTTAGCCAGAGGTACTTTGAGATTGTCCGTGGGAAGACACACGACCGAGGAGGAAATTTCGAGAGCCGTAGAAGCCATCGAAGCCGTAGCGAGTAGACAAATTGAAAATAAATGAGGTCGCCTGTATTTTTATTGCCGCTTCTCCGTGTTATTTATTACATTATCGCAATGTCTAATGTTCTTTTCTGCTACGTTTCTTCTATTCGTCGTCGGGGATGAGTGTCGCTCTCGTAAACTTTACAGCGTGAGCGCTTCGTATTCTTCCGCCAAAAGACTCTTACTCTTCCCTCTCCTTTTTTCGCGTTTAGTTTTCGCTCGCTCCCATCCACCGCCGCCGCCATAATCGTCTTCGTCTGCGTTTAGTTGCGCATTTTTGTCGTCGAGCCCTTTTTCGTTTTCGTCCTCGTTTTCTTCTCCTTTACGGCGGAAGGACAAACTCTCCCTCTCTTTCCTCTCCTTTTCTAATTCCTCCGTCAAACTCTCGCACGCAAACTCGATGACTTCATCGTGACTCATACTCTCCATCTTTCTCCCTTCCTCTATCGCCTTCTTCAAATGTCTTCGAACTCTCCCAATATCTCTCGCGAACCCGGTCTTCTGTGCAATCTCAAAAATCTCGCTCTCCGCGTCCGTGATCAATCGCAACGAAATCGGCCCGCCTGGAAAATCCGAATCCGCGGTCCCAACCATCCTCGCGCTATTGTAATGTTCGCACCCTCGATCCGCGTCGTACGCTAGATGATACGCGCAATCCTCGTCCATGATTTCCTCTCTCACCGACATGTCATTATTTCTCATTTTCTTCTCGCCGCCGCCGCTACTACTACTCCCGCTCTCGCCGAAATACGGCGACAACACCCACCGCGGCTGCCCCGCTCGATGCACGCATATCCGCATTTTCAACAACCTCGCGCACGCTTGCACTTCCATGTTCCCGGCCCACGACCCATCTTTCCTCATTCGCGCTAAATACACGGACCACTCCTCGTCGTCCTCGACGAACGGCCTGAAGTCCTCCTCGTGTTTTTCCATGTACTCGCACACCTCCTCTCTCACGTCCAAGTGGTGAATCTCCGACCCATCTCTCTGGTCGCATATCGCTCGAAAGAAACAGTTCCCGTCCGCGGAGACGTCTTTTAACGTTAAATTGACCCTGTGTAATTGCTCTCGGAGGATTGCCATGTCGTCCGACGACACGGAGGAGGCATTATTCTTCGCATTGCTACTGCGAGAAGCATCGGTATTCGTAGTGTTGTTCGTGTTCTTCTTCTTCTTTCGATTGTTTTTCTTCCCCTGCATTTGTGCTTTTGCCTGCGAACCGACAAAACAACGAGAGAACAAAAACACCGAGGAAACGCGTTTCTCTGCTTCCCGTTCTTCCTTTAAAGCAGTGTCACCGAAACTCTCTGCCTTCTTCGTTTATTGTTCAAACGCGCCTCCTCTTTTTCTTCTCTTTTCAAATCCTCCGTCAGACGCTTCTTCTTCTTAAAGCCGCTAAAGAAAGCCCCTTCGCGCGTTATGGAAAGAATGGAGAGTTTTGAGTCTTGAGTTCCTTTGCAAAAGAAAACAAACGAAAGAAAAATTCGTCATTTTTGATTGCGAAACAACAACAACAACAACAACATCATGCCACCGAAGAAGAAGACGACAAAGACGACGAAGGCACGAACACCACCACCAGCAGAAACGAAGAAACGCAAAACGCGATCGAAGACGCCTCCTCCTCCTGAAACGACGACGACGAAAACAGAGGGAGAAGAAGAAGAAGAAGAAGATGGTAACGGTGCAATTGTTGAGACGACGAAGAAACGAAAGACTTTGACACATCCGAGGAAAGAAGGCGTGAGCCGAAGGCGGACGACGTCGTCTCTTGAAGCGCCGATTGTTTTACTCGAAGGACACGCGGGTGCGGTGAACGACGTGAAGTTTAGCGCGGACGGGAAGTTCATCGCGACGGCAGGGAGCGATGCGTGCGTTCGGTTGTGGTCGTATGATTTTGATGATGAGGATGAAGACGAAGAAGAAGAAGAGAAAAAACCAAAGAAGAAGAAGAACAACATCGAAAACCGATTCATTTTAAGAGGACATAAGAACGCGGTTCTTTCGCTGGCATTCCTCTCCGATCAATTTTCGATCGCTTCTGCGAGCGCGGATAAATCGATACGCGTCTGGGACGTGGAATACGCAGAGCAGGTGAAGAAGTACGATAAGAGTCACTCGAGAGCGATAAACTGCGTGAGCGCGAACGAACGAGGGACGAGTTTAATCGTCTCCGCCTCGGACGACGGGTTTTCGAAAGTTTTCGACGCGAGAGTGGCGAAGAAAGAGGTGATGCAGTTGAAGCACAAGTATCCAGTCGTGTCGTGCGCGTTCAGGCAAGATGGGTTAGAATGCGCCACGTCCGGGGCGGACGGGATCGTGAGAACCTGGGATTTACGATACGCGACGAGTTTTCAAGAAACCACGAACGAGGAAGTTCGAGCGCGAGTGAAGAATGATGTGTTGTGTTTAGATACGAAAATGACGGCGTTGACGATGAAAGAGGGACACGAGGATATCGTCACTGGTCTCGCGTACTCGTATCCAGACGGATTCGAACTCGCCTCGGTTGGGATGGACGGCAAGTGTAACTTGTTCGATTTAAAACCTTTCCGAGAAAACGCCGACGCGAGAGTCGAAATGACGTACAAAGGCGTCCAAACCGATTTCGAAAAGCGCGTGATCAAGTGTTGCGCGAGTTCTCCTTCAATTTCAGCGAACGTGTCCTCGAAACCAACGTACGTCTCGTCCGGTTCAGCGTGCGGCAACGTCTTCGTCTGGGACCAAAAAACCGGCAAGATTAAATACAAACTTCCCGGTCACAAAGGCAGTTGTTTATCCGTCGCGTTTCATCCGTTTGAACCCGTATTAGCCAGCGCGGGTGCGGATGGGAAGGTGTTCTTAGGTGAGTTAGCTTTGTAACGTTTGCATTCATTGATATGATGAATCATTATTATTATTATCGTTAGTATCGTTATTATTTAGTATATTATGAACCGAGTGGAAACTTCACAACACCGAGCGCACCAGAACACCGAACAAAAACGAACGAACAAAAACGAATGCCACAAACAACAACAAAAGCATTCGCCGGTGAAGCCGCGTCTTTCCCTTCCTCCCCTCCTGCATCTTTCGACAAATCGAACCCGTACGAAGACCCAGTCGCGTTCGTCCAACAGAGAGAACACGACACTCGAGAGCGCATGATCGACGTCGAAAAAGCGAAACTGATCCGAGAACGTCTGCGAGAGTGCTACCGAAACGAAGGCGTGAACCATTTCGAAAACTGTAAAGACTTAGTCGAGAAGTACACCGAGGCGTTCGAGGGGAAGAGTTTCGCGCGGATTAATATCATGAGAGATTCTAAATAATAATTCAGAGAGCGATTGAAGTGAGAGAGCGAGCGAAGTCGTCGCCGCTCCGTGTAGTAATTAGATAGGGAAAGAGGGGAAAAGATCGAGAGAAGAGGTTGGAGTTCTCTCCCGACGACGACCGTCCTCCACCGCGACTCTTCTCAAAGAAGAAGAGAGAGAAAGCGCTGAGTAGGTCGTCTCGAGAGTCCATTGTTTTGTAGTTGTACTAGTTTTGTAATTGATATACTCCATACGTTATATGTTTAATAGTCTACTTTACGAGAGAAAGAGACACGAAAGGTCCTTCGAGAACTTCATTTCGTGCGAACACTTTTGCCGCTTCATTATTTATTTATTTATTCGCGAGGAGAGAGAGCTTCTTCGAGGAGGAGGAAGAGGAAGCGGAGGAGGAGTTGTCTCTCGTTTCTGTTCTTCTCGCGCGCGAGAGAGAGAGAGCGTTTTTGACCTCTCTCTCGTCTCATCGCATCTCGGGAAAGATTCTGTTGTTGTTGTTTCGCTCGTGTGTGTTGTGAAAGGACGCGAAGATACGAATCACCATCCGAGAGTATTGAAAGAGCGAGACAGACCAGAGAGACACCGCGCTGGCGAGTAATACGTGATGCCGAAAATGCTCTCGCGACACGTGGGTGCCGCCATCGCCGCGAAAATGAACGAACGCGCAAAAAGGGACGATGAAAGGAAAAAGGAGGACAAGGAGGAAAGAAACGAAGAAGAAGAAGAAGAGAGCGAAGAGGGGGAGTTTTTTAAGCGAAGAAGAAGACAATCGTCGATGCATGCGGCGTCGTCGAGAGAGGATGAAAAAGATACAGCAGCGCAGACGATGATTCGAGTGAAAGATCACAAACGACCCGGGATGATGCGGACGGTGACGTTCTTTAGCGGGAAGAGCGGCGGAGCGAAGACGGCAAATCCGGCGGCGAAAGCAGACGGAGAAGAAGAACTAGAGGGAGAAGAGGAAGAAGACGAGTATCAAGTGGCTTTAGATCGAAAGGAGGAGCTGGACGTGTTGATGGAGGATTCGTTCGACGTTTTGTTAGGCGAAACCAACGACGATGGTGCGAAGGAAAGTCAAACGTACCTGAGAAGAACGAGAACGCACGCCGCCGCGACGACGACGACGACGAGGAATGTCACGAAGACTTCCTCCGAAGATAAATACAGGAAGGAATTTCAACGAAGTAAAACTCTCGTGCATCGACGAACGCCACTTGATATCGTGGACTCGTTTGTCGATGACGGCTACGAATACGGAAAGAAATCGATGATGAAACGAACGCAAACGAGGGGAGCGAGTCGGTACGAGTTGCCGAACCCAGAGAACACGTGGTATCCAACCTTAGATATCGTCAACAAAGTGTTTAAGAAAATTTTAAACGCAGTCGCAAAGAAGTTGACAAAACAGGACACGAAATTAGGGAAATACGCGAGCGGTGTGAGGAAGAAACAGGTCAAATGGACGATGGAGGTTGCGAAAATTGAGCCCAAACGAAGGCACGACGACGCGGACATAAGAATGGACGATCGGAACTGGGTGCGAGGCTCGAGATTTTTTGAGTTTTCGCAGACGAGATTCTTTACGACTTGGATCGCGACGATGGTTTTTCTCTACGTCATCTCGGAAGGTATCGATAATTGGGTCGGGGTTGCGACGGTGAACCAGATTGGCGGGTGGCGCTTGGCGTTTTTCAACGCGGTACAGCTCATCATCAACATAACGTTTCTGATTGAAACGATCGTTAAAATCGGTGGTGCCGGGCCGGTGGTTCGTATTACGCACAAAGAAATAGTTTACAACCACGAGTTCGAAGAGGAGACGGAGAAAATAGAGGAGACGTACCGATTAGCAAAATGGGAACCGTGGTCGTATTTCTTAAACTTGAGCAACATCTACGATTTCTTGGTTAACGTTTTAATCATTTACGGTTATTGCGTAGACGCTTTGCCGGGCGTTGACGACGGATGGTTGAGTCCCGGGAGAATCACCGCGTTTCGATTGTTGCGAATGATTCGCGTGTTGAAGTTTTTCTACTCGTTTCGAACATTTTCGGTGATTCTATCCGGTATCGCCGCCGGGATCAAAGGTATGGGGTGGGTGGTTATTTTACTTCTCGTCGTCATGTACGTGTACGCTGTGTTAGGCGCCACCTTATTTTCAGAGACCGACCCGATGCACTTTCGAGATTTAGGGATTTCGTTTCTGACTGCCGCAAACGTAGCCACAATGAACGATTGGCGGACATATTTGATGACGACCATGTACGGATGCGAACACTTCGGATACACCGAGGATGATTACATGGAGTACTGCCCGTATGTGTTAGATGACGACGGGGAAACGAAAATCTACGCCGAGGGGCAACCAATCGTTGCCGGCATGTATTTTCTGTCCATGATCTTAATCGTTGGTAACATCATGATGTCCTTAGTTATTGGTATCATTACCGCGAAAATGGACGAAGCGAACGAACACGTCGATCAGTTGAGAAACGAAGAGAAGAAAGAATTCACCTCGAGAACGATCGGGGCTGTCTGGAAATCGCGCAAATCGTTAGACGATAGTTTATCACTCGTACACTACAACAAAATCATGTCCATTTTGCACTTGTTTTCGGGCATCATGGATGACAAGGAGAAAGATCAATTTGGTACTCCGGATTCGCGAATGGAACAAATACAAAGCTGGATGGCGAGAAATATAGTCTCCACGAAATGGTTCGAATCTCTCATCATGCTCGCGATCATCGCCTCGGCCGTTATTAGCGGATATGCCACGCAATTTTCGCGCTATAGCGATGATCACACGATGGTAGACAACTCCCCCAACTGGATTAGAGACGTCGAGTCGACTTTCATATATCTCTTCTTGTTTGAAATCGTAATCAAGTTCACCGTATACTGGGATCCGCCAGTGATGACTTTTTTTACCGGGAGACACAAGAGTTGGAACATATTCGATTTAGTCACCGTTCTGGTAGGTTTAGGCGGTGAGATTGCTGAGCGTGCGTTCGACGAGGCGCAATCGTTAGCGTCGTTTACAAGAGTCGTCAGAGCGTTGCGTTTGGCGCGTTTGGTGAAAGTCATGCGTATGGTCCCGCAATTGAACATCATCATTCAATCGTTAGTACTCGGAATGCTTTCTCTGATTTACGTGATGATTTTGATGGTGTTTGTATTTTACGCCTATTCCATTATTGGTGTAGTGTTATTTTCCGAGAACGATCCGTTCAATTTCCGAACCGTTCCGGTTTCCTCTTTGACGTTGTTTCAAGTATCCATGTTGGAAGACTGGACGGCCGTGTTATGGGTGAACATGTTCGGCTGCGACGTCGATAAATTTGGCATCAAAGACGACGGCGTTTACTATCACAACCTACAAGAAATGGAAGAGGATCCTCCGTATCCGTGCGAACACCCGAGAAGCAATCGAACAACCGCGTTTGTGTATTTCTTCTCGTTTGTGATTATCAACGCGTTGGTGTTCGTTTCCGTGTTCATCGGGGTCATCGTCAATGGGATGCAAGAAGCTACGGCTTCGATGATTATTCAAATCAACTTGAAACGAAGAACTGATGCCATCAAAGAACACTTCGAGGTCGGGATACAAAAGTTTAAAGATTTAGAAAATACGTTTCACTTGATGAATTGGAAAGGTCACCAGAAGATGAAACTTTCGCACGTTGAGGAGCTTTTGACAAAGGTCCAAGTCGAGCACAAACCGGGATATTTGCGACGCGTGATTCAACTGTGGAGCGCTCAGAATAGGAACTCAGTGGCGAACAAAATAGTCATAAGATGCCACAACGCTAAGAAAGCCGCGACGTATAGCATGAAAGAAGGCAAGCTCGAGAGGATTAGATCCATTCCAGGTGGAGAAAATTCGAAAGCAAAAAAATCGATACCGATGAGCCCGAGAAAGACGGATACCAACACCGTCCGCAGTCGAGATCACATCTCCTTCTCCGAAGGTCTGGAGCAACAAATTCAAAACGACGACGCGAGCAAAACATCGAAAATAGCCATCGATTTCCCAGATTTCATCTTGCTCGTTTGCTTGTTAGAACAAGCTGAGTTTCTGGAAAAGTCGTACGCGCTCCACCCGAACTCGGGCAAAGAAGGCTGGGAAAGCGAGTCCTCCGTCGTTTCGGACACCAGCAGCGAAAGCGAATCCGACAACAACGAGGACGAGGACGAAGAGGAAGCCGAGCGCAAACTCCAAATCCAAAAAGAGGAATCCATCCGAATGCGACTCAAAGCCTACCGATTAGGAGGACACGAACGCGCGCAGGACTCCTCCAAGTTCCGCAAACCGCCTCCCCCCTCCTTCTCCGGCCATGGCCATCCGTCGAAGCGCGTCTTTCGTAAACTCAAATTATTGGCGAAACAGTTTCGCGTGCGAGCGGAAAATACGTTAGTCAACGTCCAAGAGAAGTTGTTCGAGGGGAGTAACCGAGTCATCGGAGAAATAAAAGTTTAATACTGCAGATGAAATATTTTATACTCGCGTAGTTTCGATTTTTTCTTGCATCGTGCGTGTGAAAGAATTTTGCTGCCAAATTTCTCGCTTCTGTCTGCCCCACAATTTCTCCTCTTTTGCTCAATAACAACAACAACAACAACGAGACAAAAATAACAAAGAGAAAACGAGAGAGAGAGAGAGAGAGAGTACACGAAGAAAAAGAAACAATAATAATGGTCAAGCCAAAGGTACGACGCTCCTCGCGTGATGCTACTACTACTAATAATAATAATAACATAATGTTTTTGTGATTGATGATGATGCATCATCTTTGCCCCCAAAATTAGGGAGGAAAAACCGATCGAATTCTCTGATCTCTCTTGTTCTCTCTTTCTTTAAGCTGACATTTCATTACTTTCTTCTTCTCTTAAATGAATGACAGGACAACACCTCTGAGAACAAAAAACGCCCGAAATCGAACGACGAAGTAATCGTCCCTCGAGACGTCTCGTTACCTCTGGATGTGAATTCTCGCCTCATGTGCCGATTTCGCTCGGGGGATGAATTTTACATGGTAAAAATCATCGAAAAACGAGACGATCCGGACAAACCCGAGAATGCAAAACACGTGGAGTACTACGTGCACTACGAAGCGTTCAACAGACGCTTGGACACGTGGGTGAGCTTGATGGATTTTGATTTAGGGACGCTGGAGAAACCGAGGACGAAGGAAGTCGCGGACGCGCAACCGAGCAAAGAGGACGGGGAGAAGGATCCGAAAAAGAAGAAACAGAAGAGAGAGAACAACGAGAAGAACGATGTGAAAGTAGAAAACGACGGCGTCGCGGCGGAGAATAAGATGAAAGGCCACGGGGGCGGGCACGGGAACGCGCATCCCGACCCGGAGCACGCGGAGTTTGATCCGAGGGCGTTGCAAGAGCACGAGGAGTTCACAAAAGTACGGAATATTTTGAGCATCGAGCTTGGAAATCACGAGATGGACACGTGGTATTTCTCGCCGTTTCCTCCGGAGTATAACGGGACCAAGAAGTTGTACTTTTGCGAGTATACGTTGGCGTTTTTCAAAAGGAAAGAGCAATTGCAAAGACATTTGAAGAAGTGCACGGTGCAACATCCGCCGGGAGAGGAAATCTACCGAAACGGAAAGATTTCCTTCTTTGAAATCGACGGGAAGAAGCACAAAATGTTTTGTCAAAATTTATGTTATTTGGCCAAGTTGTTTTTGGATCACAAGACGTTGTATTACGACGTCGATCTGTTTTTGTTTTACGTCTTGTGCGAATGGGACGAGAGAGGATACCACGTCGTCGGGTACTTTTCCAAGGAGAAGTGTTCGGAGGAAGGGTATAACTTGGCGTGTATTTTGACGTTACCGCCGTACCAACGGAAAGGCTACGGGAAATTACTGATTGCGTTTTCGTACGAGTTATCGAAGAAAGAAGGAAAAGTCGGGACGCCGGAGCGACCTTTGTCCGATCTCGGGTTGGTGTCCTACCGAGGGTATTGGACGAGAGAGTTGCTGGCGTTGTTGGCGGATCCAAACAGACAGTTCGTGTCGATTAAAGACTTGTCGGATTTGACGATGATTAAAACGGAAGATATCATCACGACGTTGCAACACTTGAACTTATTGGCGTATCAGAAAGGCGCGTACGTGATTTGCGCGGCGCCGGATTTGATTCAGAAACATTTGAAAAACGCCGGGGGACCGGGCGTGCGAGTGGACGCGAAGAAAATTATCTGGACGCCGTATAACGCGGATAAAGAATACGAAAAGTATCGCGGGTAATAATTTTGACAACAAAACAAAATGTAAACTACTACAAACTACTTCACTTACTACTAGTATTATACACCCCCTAACGCTACGTATTTCGTTTCTAAAAAAGCCTCCATGCCTTCTACGGCGCCTTCGCGTCCGTAGCCGGAATCGTTCATACCGCCAAACGGCGCCTCGGGCGCAGATATAGCCCCGGTGTTTATGCCGATGATGCCGAAATTCAAACTTTCGGAAGCTCTGGTCGCTTTTGATATATCTCGCGTATACGCGTACGCGCATAAACCGGACTTGGTATCGTTGGCTAAATCATACGCTTCTTTCTCCGTTTGAAAATCGGTCACAACGGCGATCGGTCCAAAAATTTCTTCTCGCCATACCAGAGCCTTCTTTTCGTCCTCTCTCCCCGCCGCGACGATGCGTTCGCGTTTGATTTCCTTATCCATGCGTAGAATTTGCGGGTACACGAAATTTGAATCGACGTCATCTGTCGACCACCACGGCGTGGAAACTTTATCCTTCCCTCCGTAAAAATCTTCGCACGCTCGCGCGACTTTCTCCTTCGCTTTCGCGTTGATCAAAGGTCCCATGGAAAACTGGCCTTTCGGGTACGTTTTCGAGTTATCCCCGACGGATAATTTTCCCGCGCGTTCTTTAAACTTCTCGTAAAATTCCTCAAACACGCTCTCGTGGACGATGAACCGTTGCGGACTGACGCACGTCTGCCCGGCGTTTCTAAACTTTGCCATCATCGCGCCGGAAACCGCGCTGTCGATATCAGCGTCCTCGAATACGATAAAAGGCGCGTTCCCGCCGAGTTCAAGAGACAGTTTCTTCAACCCCGCTCGCTTGGCTAACCACTTTCCAACTCTCGTCGACCCGGTAAAACTAATCTTCTTCAAAGCGTCGGATTCCGTCATCGCTTCCCCAACCTGTTCGCTTTCGTTCGTCACGATCACTTCTAAAGCTTCTCTCGGCACGCCCGCCTCGTACGCCAATTCTACCAATTTCAACGCGCACAAAGGCGTCACTTCACTCGGTTTTAACAACACGGAACATCCGCTCGCCAACGCCGCGGCGACTTTCCTCGTCACCATCGCCGCCGGAAAATTCCACGGGCATATTAACCCAACCACCCCCACGGGTTGCTTAATCACCGAACACCGACTCGACGTCGACGTCGACGACGGCATGTTCCTTCCGTACGCTCTCGTCGCTTCCTCGGAAAACCATTCGACGAATGAATTCGCGTACGCCACTTCCCCCAACGCTTCGCTCCTCGGTTTCCCGTTTTCATAGGTCATCAGTTTCGCGATGATTTCTTTCTCTCGATCGATTAAGTCGTGCCATTTCTGTAGTATCGAAGCTCGGGTTCGGCTCGTGCGTGCGTTCCATTTGCCTCCTTTATTGCCTCCTCCTCGATGAAAATTTTCCTCTAAAAAATTCAGCTTTTCCAAGCACTTCGCTTTAATTGTCGTCGTCGTCTGCTGAACATCATTCGTTTTTACGAGAGAGACCACGGTGGCGATGGGTTGTCTCGTCGCCGCGTTCCTCACGACGACGATATCCTCGTTTTCCACCGCGCCTCTTTCTTTATCTTTATCTTCTTCGTCTTCTTCTTCTTCGTCTTCGAGAGGGAAAGACGTTCTCACGTAGACACCGGATTCGTTGTCTCGTCTCGAGAAATATCGAAAGAATGTGTGCTCCTTTCCGGTCCTATTCTCGAGAGAAGAAGACGAAGAGGAAGAAGAAAAGAAACGAGGACACAAAAGATGACGTTGAAAAGAAAATCGAGGAGAGCGACCGAATGAGAGTTTTGACGACGCGTGGAGGAAGGAAAGCGCTCGCTTCTTCATGTGTGATGTGTTTGCTCGAAAAGTGATGCATTTTCCCCCATAAGGAGTCTCACCTAAAGCCGCACACATAGAACTTTGAGAGAGAGAGAGAAAGAGAGAAAGAGAGAGAAGAATTAAACGCACACGTGCGCTTTAAGAGCGTGCAAACATTCAGAGCACCGCGCGTTACGGAGAGATACGCATGAACACCAACGAAGATGATCTTTTCGCGACGACGATACCGTTGGCGGTCTGTCTCCCCGCCGCTCGAACAACACGAACAAGAACAACGTTTGAGAAGTCTAACGATACGAAAAAGAGTGCGAAAGACGAAGAAAACGACGACGAAACAGTATTCAGCGCTTCTTCTGCGAATGAGACGATTTTATGCGCGTTAGAACAGGTCTCAAAAATCTCGGACAAAATGTGCGAAGACTTGGAACGAGAGATGGATGGTGTGCTCCTAAAACTGCTCGAGATGGACGAGCGAGTGCAAAAATGCGAGAAGAAAGTCAAGAACGCACAAAGGATAAAAGAGGATTCACTTTTGTTAGTGGTGGAGTCTTCGAGGGAGTACCCTTTTGGAGTGGTGGAGAAGAGTGGGAGGAAAAGCGGCGGCGGGATGTCTTGGTGTCGGTACGACGATACGGTGCGGGAAGCGCTCCGCAAAGCGAATGAAAAGAGACCGAAGAGGAGGGCGTTTAAAGATTTGGAGAGGATGGCACAGGAGGCGAGACGGTACGGGGACAGAGCGAGGGCGTTGGCGAGGTCTTTGATGAAAGGTGGTGATGGGGGAGGGAGAAATGAATTCGTTGTCGACGCGAAGCGCATCCTCCGTCGCAGAGGGTCCTTGGCGGACGTGGTTCCGGCAAAGACGGCGTTCTACGATTGCGAAGCGTTGCGTTTTGGAGGTAAAGGGAAAGGCGGCGAAGGAGACGTTTTAGAAGAAGAAAAAGAAAAAGAAGAAGAAGAAGTCTGGAAGGACGGTAACGAGGCGGAAGAATTGAGCGATGGTTTTGCGAAAAAACTTTTTCTCTCTTCGCCGCCGCCGAAATCAATCGCAATTCCGGAGGAATTCGTTCGAAGCGCACGCACGCGGGATGCCGATGTAAACAACGCGAGCACTTCTGCCGCCGGTGACGAAGAGAGCGTCAGCGCGAAGAAGTCGTTGGAAAGCGTGTTCAGTTTTCGTCCGAAGGCTTCAGATGCGCCCGTTGTGGTCTTTCCTGGAACGTTACCGTCGCCCGGACCATCCGCGTCAAAGAAGGATACCGGGGAGAAAAGTAAAGAAGGCGACGGCGGAACTGATTTGTACGAGTTTACGCTCACGTCCGAGAATCCGTACAGTCCGAGCGCGTTTTTACGAAATCCACCGACGAGGGCGACGAGGAATGCGCAACCGCCGAAAAAAAAGAAAGGAGGAGGGAGTGCCTCTGCATTGACGAGTCAAAAACGTAGCGTTGGAACGAGTAGCAATAGCAGTAACGACAACGTCAACAGGCCGGCGCCGGCGTCCGTGCCTGCGCCTCCGCCGCCACCGCCACCCTCGAATACCTCGAGGCAAAAAATGCCTTCGCTTGCCGCAGGCGACGATGGACGCGGCGCGCTCATGGAAGCTATAAGAAGAGGTGCGAATTTAAGAAAAGTTAGTGTTTTCACGGATCAGGATAAAAAGCCTCGAAAGTCGACCGCGACGAGTGATACCGACGACAAAACCAAAACAGGCGCAGGGGGGAGGACAAAAAAAACTGCCGCGGACGCATCGAGAGGCGGCGCTCAAATGAGCATGATGGAAGAACTGGCGAGTCAGTTGCAACGACGACGGTCGACCGTGGTTTCGTCGCAAAAAGACAGCACTTCTAGAAACGCAGCGCAATAATTGATTCGCGCGCAAAAATTATTGCGCGATGATGATGCGCTTCTCCTCATTCTTCTTTTAATCTCTCTACAAATCTACGCTTCTATTATCTAAACTGCTCTATTCTATTATTATTCTTTTATTAAAGTTTTGACCGCATTTTTCCTCTTCCAGAAATTCGAGGCGTTTTAAACATTTCATCCAGCGGTAGCGTTTTGTATTGCGCAAACGCCTTTTCGCGCTCGATTTTTCGCGCCTCTCCGTAGGATTTCTCCCACCCTTTATCGATGATGTCCAAAGCGACTCGAGCTCTCTCTGTACTCCTGCTCTTCTCCATCATCTGTTTCGCTAAACGAATCGCCTCTGTCATAGCCTCACTCTTACTCTCAAATACCTTCACTTGTGCCAATCCGAAACGAACCGCGTCTTCCCCGCTCAACGCTTCACCGAAAACGCTCGCCAACTTCGCGTTGGAGGCGCCAACCGCTCGCGGAAGTTTCGTCGATAACCCCCAAGACGGGAGTAAGCCTAAATCCATATGCGTGTCAATAAAAACCGCATTTTTGGTTACCAACACGATATCCGCAGCTAATGCGATTTCAAACCCCGCGTTTATCGCGATTCCGTTCACCACGCAAACGATAGGAATTTCGCACTTTTCCATCGCGTGTACTACGTCTGCGTCGTAATCAAATTCAGACATTTGGAACACATCTTTCGCCGCGTGTAAGTTTATCCCGGACGAAAACGCCTCGTCTCCGTCGCCGGTTACTATAATGCATCTCGCTTTTGTGTTCTTCTCGTTCTCTTCCTCCTCATTCGCGAGGATAAACGCCGACGCCAACAGTTTCAAACTGTTCTTATCTAAACTGTTTCTCGTTTCCTTTCCCGAGATGGTGACGATTTGGATTCGTTCGTCCTCCTTTAACGCTCGCACGTCGACGCGACTCATTCAAAAATGGTACGTACCACTGCTCCGTTGCTCCTGCGCACAAAATCGCTCTCGTTGCGTCTCTCTTTTCTCCTCTGAAGTCTCTTTGACGGGCTGACTTTAAGTTATAAGAGTAGTTGTGAGGTGAAAATGTGTCAAATTCTCCATTATATCTGCGCGCAGAGAAACACAGAAACACACACACATAAACGCGCAAATCATCATCCTCGTCGTCATGTTTTCTGTAGCGACATCATCATCAACAACACCAACGAGAATAGCTTCTTCTTCTTCTTCTTCTTCTTCTTTGAAGAATACTCATACGAAATGTGCTACGAAAAGGCAGCCGCAGCAACCTGGACGTCTTTGTTGCGTTATGGTCGCGAAGAACAACACCAACGACAACAAGAACAATCATCATCATCATCATCCTCATCATCATCGTGTAAGGAAAGCTGCGCTTCTCGGGGTCGCAACGACGACGTCGTTATCGATGATGATGATGCTTCTTTCATCCCCCGAAATTGCTTTCGCGGAAGTCACGTGCAACTTGGTCACCCCGTGCACCATGCCCCCGCCGAACGGCGAGCCGAGATACATCATGCCGTCCTCGCAATACGACCCGGCGAAAGACGCCGAGGAGAAGTTTATGAAACAATTGGAAGCGAAGAGAAATAAAACGGCGGCGACCGCTACTGCTGCTGTTGTTGAAGAAGAACCGAAAGCTGTCGCGCCCGAGGCGGCTTCCGAGTAATCACGAGAGACCGAATCGCGTAACGACGATGATCTGTAGAATACTGAGACTCCCGAAGATGGCCCACAAATCGACCGAGAAGAGTTACTAAAATCAGATTCTCAACAAAATGAAGCTCTTTTAGCAACAGTTGTGTATGTTGAGTCCGATGTTGGAGATTCGGACGTAGTGCGTAATTCGTTAGATTTTGTCTTCATAATATAGTTTTTACTCTGTTGCACTCTCTCGTTGAATACTACTGCTACTACTACGCGCAAAACACACGCAATACTCATAATAAAGGAACCACGCGTTACACTCCCTAAAAAATGTTGCTGTTCATCATCTGATATGGAAGACGTGGAGTGTTTGCAGCCTCAGGAGAAAGAGGAAAACTTTAGGGAAATTCGAGATGAAATCGAAGCGTTGAAAGCGATATACAACAACAACGAAGAAGAAGAAGAAGAAGTTAAAGAAGATGAAAAGAAGGTCGTCGTTATTAGTCGAGAAGATTTTGGAAAAGAAAACGAGTCGTTTACGTCGTCTGAATCGTTTTCAGAGAAGAAGATTGCGGTGACGTTCTCACCCACAAATCGAATGATTTTGACCTTCGATGGCAACTCGTATCCTTCGCGAAAAGCGTTCTCGATCGATGTGTTAAAAACGCCGGATAACTTTTCGTGGGACTTTGAAAAAATGGTCACAGAGATGAAAGACGATTTATACCTGTCAAAGAAAGGCGAAGTGTTCGCGTTTGATTTCATACAGAAGTACGAAGAAATGTTCGCGCGAGAAGACGCGCTAGCGAAGAAACGAGAGGCGAAGGAAAAAGAAGAGAACGAAAGGTACGCCAGAGAACGCAGGGAGAAACAGAAGAATATGAGCGAAGAGGAGAGGAAAACGAAAGAGGCGATATTTAATAACGATCATTTGGTGAGTTGGAAACACGAGGGTGATCCGAACGTCACGCCGTTGTTAGAAACCGAGCTGGCGGATGACGTTCGGAAGCGCTTCAAATCTCACGAAATCGTGTGTTACGAAAAATGCAGATTCCAAGCGCACACGGTAACAAACGTCCAAACGATCAAAGAAATCAAAATAGCGTTAAAGCTCATCTTACTGGACAAAAAAGTCCAAACTGCCACGCATCCGAGAATGTTCGCGTATCGAATACCAAACGACGACGATTTCAACGACGACGGTGAAACCGGCGCCGGGAAGAACTTGGCCAACGTTTTGCGTTTGCGAGGGAGCGAGTGCGTCTTCGTCTGCGTGACGAGATGGTTCGGTGGGTCGCACTTAGGACCGCAAAGGTTCAAAGTCATAAACTCGTGCGCGAGCGAAGCTTTGGAGAAGGTTGGCGCGATAGGGTTCCAGAAAAAGTAGAATAGTTAGCCGATGTAATACCGCAGAGAATATTCGAAACGTGAGCGTTTAAAGTCGCTTTTGTTAGAATCCCGCAAAAAAAGCCGCCGCGTCTTTTCCCGAGAGAAACACAAAATCAATCCAATCGCGCGACTCTAAAACCACTTTCCGGACGGCATCGAAAAGCAGAAAAAGCAGTGGCATCGGCGGAGTTGTCGTTCGTCATGTCGTCGTTACCATCTTTACGACGAAAGGCGGAGACTACTCATCGCGTTACGTCACGACGTGAAGGAAAAAATCAATCCGTTTCTTGCTTATCTGTTCACGTGAATACGAATACTGTCGATGGAAAAGCATCAAACAAGAAGCAACAAAACGAAGACGAGGAAAAGAAGACGAGAAAAACGGAACACGGGGAGGCGACTTTTTTGACGCACTTAGTCGCCGGTTTTTGTGGCGGCGCGTTATCGAGAACCGTCACGTCGCCGTTAAATGTTGTTCAGGTGAGGAAAATGACGAACCAGCTCACTGGTTCGAGTAAACTGGTCCCTTCGCTGGTAAAAATCGCCAGGACTGAAGGCGTGAAAACGCTGTTTGCCGGAAACGCGACGATGGTTCTACGATACGGACCGAGTAAAGGTCTGAATTTTGCGACGTTTCATTTCTTTAACTCGAATTTACACGCGATTTTGGAGAAGCGGAGGGAGAAGAGAAGAACGGCTGAAGCGTCGTCGAAGAGTAGTAGTAAGAATAGAAGAAGGACAGCGAGAAAAAGCGTAGAAGTTTTAGAACAACCAGAGAAGAAAAAAGACCAGATTTCGATTAAAATGCTCGCCGGAGCGTTGTGTGGAGTGAGCGCGTGTTTGTTGTTGTATCCTCTCGACGCGTACGCGACGAGGAAAGCCGCCGGGAAGATTGCGGAAAATTTTACCGGGCCGTTTTCTGTCCCGTTGGGAGTGCATCACGTGGTGAAGAAAGAAGGCTATGGTGGTTTAATGCGAGGCTTGACGCCGGCGTTGTTGGCGATTGCGCCGGAAGCAGCGTTGACGTTTGGGACGTACGATATCATCGCCGAATGGTACAAGGACACCTTTGACAAAGAGTATTGCGAGCCGCACGTTTCGATGTGCGTCGGCGCGATTTCCGCGACTACCGGGCAACTGGCGGCGTTTCCGATGGAGTTGATCGCGAGAAAAGCGGCGACCAATAGGTTTGCATTATCTTTCCACGACACGTTTCGGTTGATGGCGATGAATAGAGGTATTGGGAGTTTGTATAAAGGCGCAAAGGTCGCGGCAACGAGGTGCTTGCCGATGAGCGCGGTTTCCTTCGCGACGTACGAGATTGTGAAGCATTTGATATTATCGAGCGATAACGCGATCGTCGAGAAAGTGTTTAAAACCCCACAAGTTGTATAAAATAATCATAATCGTTCCAGTACATTATCCATACCTAGGTATATACATACTCTCGGTAGATGACTAACAATCAATACAAACTAATCTTTCTACTAGTAAGTGTGCGCTACGACAAACTACTTTTATCGAGAATCATTTAATACAGAACCTTCTGAATTTCTCAATCGAGCGAGAGCTTTGCTCGGTGCGAGTATAACACCATCGCCAAGAATCCATGCATGGCGAGAAAGTAAAGCGCAAAAAAACTGCGAAAGCCTCGACTAGACAAAAGCGCTTTACCTCCCGCCATGGCTAATCGATCGTGTGTCGCTAAATTTGATGAACCTCCATCCTCGCTTTCCGTGCGTTTGAACGCGTTGAACGGGTTCAATCTTGCCAAGTATTTATCGCGGTATCTGCTCACGACGCCGCCTTCGTCGCCGCCTAAACTCGCGCTCTCTAAATCACCGTGACCGCCTCCACCGAAACCACAACCGTATCGCTGTGCGCGTTTGCGCATGCCATCTGAGATCGCCAAACGGTCCACGCCAATCGTCACGCCACCAACGCCGCACGAATACCTAGCGCTTTTGTTGGCAGATTTTTCCGTTTCTAAGGAATCGCTCAAAGGCACGCCAGATTCGTCTACGCGAAGAATTTTGACTGCCGCGGAGGCACCGCCTGATATCTTTGACGCGTAATATTTCTGAACGTACCGAATCTTTTCGAAAAGTTTGACGTTATCTTCTTCGAGTTTTGTGACTTTGGCGCTCGTCGAGGAGAGTTCAGTCGTGACGCGAGCTTTCTCCTCGTCGAGTTCGGAGACTCGGCGTTTGAATCGGTCTCTTTGCGAAGCTAGAATTGCAATCATATCCGTATCTGTAGTCGTTGTCGTGGTTGTCGAGGACGATGATGGGTCGTGTGTTGCGGCAGATGATGTTGATGTCGTTCGCTTCGCTAAGTCGTCCTCTAAAACTGAAATAGTTTCCGCGGCTTGCATCAATTTCGTCTCCGCCGCGACCGCTCTTTCGACGGCTACTTCTTTCTCCTTGTTCGCGTCGTCTTTCGCGCGTTTCGCAACGGCAATCTCTGCGGCTAATCTTCTGTTCTTGTCCCGAACCGCAATCAGCGGTTTACCGCCGTTGCCTTCGTCTTCCTCTCCTTCGCCTCTTTCGTTGGTATCGTCGCTTCCCCTAATCGACATAGCTTCGGCTACGTCACCATCTTCAGAATCCACCAGCGCTTGTAACACTCGCACTCTTTCTCTCAATTCCTCGACAACTTTCGCACCGCTCATTTCCGCGTTGCTCTGTTCCTTCATCAGTTCTCTCTTCGTTTCTTCCAATTTCAATTTCGTCTCCGTTAACTGTTTCGTTAAACTCGCGACGTTCTTTTCCGCCTCTTTCGCGACTGCCACCGACGCGTTCTCCATCTCCTCCACATCTTCCGCCAGTTTTGCAATCATCCTCTCTTTCACTTGTAGCTTTTCCTCCAGAGCCGCGACGCCGAGTTCCGGGAGACTGTTGTTATTACTCCTCATCGTCATACCTACTCCTCCGCCGTTATTGATGACGTTGTTCGTCTTATTCACGAATTCCTCCTCGCGTTTCTGCAATTTCTCGGCTTCGAGTTTCAAGCTCTCTCGATCTTTCGCCAACGTCGACTTCATCTCCACCTCGTTATTTTCTAAATCAAAAATGCGACTCTGCGCCTCGTCGTGTCTCTTCCTCAACTCTCGTAAATTTTGTTCCGCCGCGGCGAATTTCTTCCTCGCTTGATCCGCAGCGTTTTCTGCCGCCGATTTTCTAACCTCCAAAACCTTCGTCTTCTTCTCCACTTCTCGAGTTAAGCGCTCCTCGAATCCTTCTCGTTCTTTTTCCAACAATTCTGAATCCACCGTGCTTTGCTTGCTCCTCTGCAACTGTCGGAGAGACACGTCCAACTCGCTCCGCAACGCGGACGTAGATTCGATTTCTTCAATCGCCGAGAGCAAGATGGAATCCTCTTCCTCCGATGACGACGACGATAAAGAGGAGACATTCTTGCCAGTCTCCCTGTTCTCGTCCTCGTCATCCTCCTCCTCGTAACTCGTCTTCACTCGTTCGCGCAAACGTTGCACCTCTTTCAACAGCGCCTTCACCAAGACGTCGTCTTTTTCCTTGTTTTTGTCATCACTCGCATCATCAGAATTTTCCCGCTGCTGCTGCTGCGCTTTCTTCACGATTTCCATCAACTTCGCATCCGACGCCTTATCCTCTCGTTTCCTTTCCGCCTTCGTTTCCTTTATCTCTTTCCTTTTCTTCTCTTTCGTTTCCTTCCTGCGCTTTTTTTCCTCTCGCATGAGTTTCAACTTTTGGACGACGTTTCTCCCTTTCAGCGTTGTTCTTTTGCTCGCGTCGTCGTCGTCGTCGTCGAAAACGACCAAACCGGTGTCTTCTAACCGTTGCACCACGTGCTCTTCCACCGCATCCAACGCGCTGTTGATGATTTTGTCCATCGCGTTGCTCATTCTCTCTCTCTCTCTCTCTCTTTGATGGTACTCTCGTTCTTGTAGTTGTTTTGAGGGATTTGGCTGCACGTTCGTATCTTGAATAAAAAATACGCGTAAAGAAAGCTTCACAAATAATGTCGCTTTTCCGCGCATCATCGTCCTCCTTTTCGCGACATTTTACAACACGAACGAAAAAGAGATCTGAAAGAAGAAAAGAAACACGACCGCGAATGTTGCGTTCAATCGGACGAAAAGTGTTCGCGTCGGTCGGATATTCCGATGCAAAAAGCGGCGATGTCAAAGAAAAAACGGGAGAGGAGATACGAAAAGAAAGCGCAGAGGTGAGGAAACAGAAAGTGTACTTGTTCACGAAATCGCGATGCGACGGCGACGCGACGATGAAATCAATCTTGGGAGGGAAAGGTGCTGGACTCGCGGCGATGACGAACCTCGGGTTGAGAGTGCCACCGGGAGCGACGCTGAGCGTGAACACGTGCAAGGAATATCTCGAAAGAGGGAAAGAGATATTCAAAGGCGGGTTGGAGGAGTTGATTTTCGAAGCCGTGGACGTGATCGGCGAGGAAGTGTCGAAGATATTCTGGAGAAAGAGTACGGATTTTGTCGGCGAGGAGTTGCCTTTGTTGTTATCCGTGAGATCTGGGGCAGCTGCGAGCATGCCTGGGATGATGGATACGGTGTTGAATCTAGGATTGAACGATCGAGTGGTGGACGCGTTGACGGCGACGTCTTTTACGGAGGAATCTGGGAAACGTTTTTTGTACGACGCGTATCGACGATTGTTGGATTTGTTCGGAGACGTCGTGTTTGGGATTCCGCACGAAGACTTTGAGAGAAAACTGAGAAAGTTGAAAGAGTTGAGAAACGCGCAAAACGACGTCGATTTGAACGCGGATGATTTACAATCTTTGTGCGAAAGTTACAAAGACGTCTACGACGCGCACGATAAAACGTTCCCGCAGGATCCGGAGGAACAGTTGATGTTAACCATCGAGGCGGTATTCAAGTCTTGGAATAACCCGCGCGCGCGCGTCTACAGAGAGGTGACCAAGACAACTGGCCTAGCGGGAACTGCCGTCAATATTCAAGCGATGGTGTATGGGAACTTGAACGACAAGAGCTTGAGCGGAGTGTGTTTTACCAGATCCCCGGCAACAGGCGACGATACGATCTACGGCGAATGGTTGCAATCTTCGCAAGGCGAAGACGTGGTAGCTGGTATTCGAACGCCCGAGCAAATCGAAGATATGGCAAAATTCGGATTCGGCGACGCTTTGGAGGAGTTGAAAGAGGCTTGCGATGTCCTCGAGAAGGCGTATAAGAACATGATGGACGTCGAGTTTACCGTCGAAGATAACGTGTTGTATATTTTACAGTGTCGGGTGGGCAAACGAACTGGAATCGCGGCACTTAAAATCGCCACTGATCTCGTCGAGAAGAATAATCTGATCTCTCCGAGAGATGCCGTCGCGAAGTACGTCAACGTCGAACACATCGAACAAGTCATCCACCCGACGTTTCGTCGCCCGACGTTCACGTCTCTGGGAGGCGGTATCGACTCTTGGAACGTTTTGGCGGAAGGACTAGCAGCCAGTCCAGGGTGCGCGTCAGGACGCATCGCGTTTACATCTGCGGATGCTATTAAAATGCACAAATTTGGCCAGAAAGTTATCCTCGTCCGAGAAGAAACGAGCGCAGAAGACGTTGGAGGTATGCACGCGAGCGAAGGATTTTTAACCGCGCGCGGCGGGATGACGTCTCACGCTGCCGTCGTGGCGCGGGGTTGGGGGAAACCGTGCGTCGCGGGAACAAAGTCCATGCACTTTGTCGATCACGAGTATCATGTTGCTCCGCATCCTCGCCTTGAGCATATTGACCTTACCACGCATCCCGACGCGCTCGAACCGGCCGATACGCCAAGAACTATCGTCGAACGATCGGTCGTGTTCGAAGAGTATCCGGACGTTTCGTTCAGAAAAGGCGATTTCATATCCATAGACGGCACGCGAGGCGAAGTCATCGAAGGTGAAAAAGAGTTGGAACCGTTGGGAACCGCCGTAAAAGACAACAAAGCGTTGATGGATTTCATGGAATGGGTCGACGATATCCCATCCGAGACCGTCGTTTACGCGAACTGCGATACGGAGAAAGAAATAAGGTTCGCCATGGAGACGTTTGGGGCAAAAGGTGTCGGTTTATGCCGCACGGAACACATGTTCTTAGCATCTCCCGATCGCGTTCGATGTGTTCGCCAGCTATTCCTCGCGAGCGACGAAGACGCTCGCGCAAAGGCTTTGGCGGATATCGAACCGATCCTGAGATACGATTTCGCAAACCTTCTTCACGCCGTGGGACACGAGAAGTCCATCACGATTCGTTTGTTAGACCCGCCCGTGCACGAATTTCTACCGAAAGATACCGAGTTAGACGATCCGGAGATCTTGGAAGAAATCACAAAGTACTGCGGCGTCTCCGAGACGACGTTGCGCGCGAAAATCGCAAAGTTACGCGAAACGAACCCCATGTTGGGAAATCGAGGATGTAGGTTGGGAATCTCACATCCGGGAATTACGGCCATGACCACTCGCGCTATCGCGCACGCGTATTACGACGCGCACGAGAAAACTGGCATCCAACCGGTCGTCAAAATCATGATCCCGCTCGTCGCTACGGTCAGTGAATACCTCCAACAAGTCCACATCATTGATCGCGAGATGCACGCGGCGTATTTGGCGAGACGCCACACGCTTCGCTTCGCCAAAGAACACTTTGAAAGCCGATTGGCAAAAGAACGCGAATACGAGCTCGATTACCATCCGTTTAAAGTCGGGTGTATGCTCGAAACGCCCCGATCTTGCTTAATCGCGAAGAACTTGATCGACATCGAAGATGTCGGCGAGGAAAACTTCCCCCTTCGAGCGTCGTTTTTCTCTCTCGGCACGAACGATTTGACGCAAATGACATTCGGCTACTCGCGCGACGACAGCTCGTTTTTCCAAGCGTACGAGCGCGAGAAAGTCGCCTTAGTCGACCCGTTCGAAATTCTAGATTGGGACGGCGTCGGTAAGCTCATCAAAATCGCCTTAAACGAGATCACCGAGGAGGAAAAGGAGGAGGAAACCGACAAAGACGAAACCGGCAAACCGAAAAGTCGCCCTCGTCGTCTTCGTCGCCTCGCCGAAGTCTCCGCGTGCGGCGAACACGCCGGAAACCCAAAATCAATCGAATTTTTCGTGAGAAATAAAATAAACGTCGTCTCGTGTTCTGCCTTTCGCGTGCTCGGTGCGAGGTTAGCCGTCGCGAAAGCGCAGATTCACACGGAGGAGGACGAAGAACGCGAAAGAGAGTGAGTTATACGAGAGAGAGAGAGAGAGAGGAAGCGTTTTACGAGAGAGAGAGAGAGACAAAAAAAATTTCTTCAGAAGAATTGAAAAAAATTTAAGTCAAAAAATCAGTCAAAAACGTCACACGTTCCGCCGCAAAAAACACTATAGACTCTCTCATAATACCACTAAAGAAAGAAATATGAAGCGTACTCATCGGCATCAAGGAGGACAAAAAGCAAAACATCAAAGTCACCTTTACATCGCGTTTGTGGTCTGTTTTCTTCTCGCGTTTCTGCGTCTCGCGCTCGCGCGAGATGAGACAGAGGAAGATTACATCATGAACAATCGGATGGAGGAAGACGAAGCTCGAGAATCGGGGATGTTCGTGCCGCACATGGTGGGGACGACGCGGGGTCATCATCGACAGCAACAACAACCACCGCCGCCGAATGAGAACAACAACCATATGCCAGTGTATGAGCAGCAGCGCGAGCAACAACACCATCGACAACAGATGCCACCACCGCGCGGAGAAGAACAAGAGCAGAGTGCGCAGCAGCAACGAATGCCACCACCACCGCCGAATGTGGTGCCTGAGGAGTTAGAATTAGAATTAGGAGAGGAGGAAGAGCACGCGCATCAGCAGAAACCGCCACCGCCACGTGATGATGATGATGTTGATGACGACGCGGAGGATGACGCTGAGTCGTTTCCGGATGACCAGCAGCAGGAGCAGCAGGAGCAGCAGGAGCGGCGACAACCGCCGCCGCCGCCGACGAAGCGCGGGCCGCCTCCGGGACAACAGCAGCAGCAACAACAACAACAACAGCAAGACGACCAAGAAAAACAGCAGGAGAAAGGAAAAAAGCAGCGCTTAGAGCAACAGCAGCAAGCGCAGCAGGCGAAAGAGAAGAAAAAACTCCCGACGCCGGAAAAGAAGCAGTTGAACGAATATTTAGACCACGTGTTAGAGGACCAACCGGTGAGACGATTAAACGTTCTGGGTACGTTCTCAGACGCGGCCGGGCATTTGGAGAGACAGTTTTTGTCCAAAGCGTCCATGGAAGCGCACTCTAAGATTAAAGAGTGGATGGCGGATGCCGGTTTGAGGGTATTCACGGATGCCGCGGGGAACATTCACGGCGTTTTGGACGCGACGACGCCGCCGTCGTTAGACGAACACGGTGAGAAGATGATTCGTAAGGAGATGTTTGTTGGGTCGCATTTAGATACGGTCATCGACGGGGGTATGTTTGATGGTGCTTTAGGGGTCGTGGTGGCCATCGCCGCCACGAAAGCGTTGAGACGAACGAACCCGGTGAGAGAGTATAACATTCACATCATCGGTTTCTCGGACGAAGAAGGCGTTCGTTTTGGGTCCACTTTCCTCGGTTCGCGAGCGATTGTTGGGACGTTGCCGGACGACGTGTACGACGTCGTCGATAAGCAAGGCGCGACGTTCTTACAGGCGTTGAGGAACGCCGGTTTACCGGGCACAAAAGAATCTATCACATCAGCCAGACTTCCGAAACAATCGTTCGGAGCGTACGTGGAAGTTCACATCGAACAAGGTAAAGTTCTCGAACTCGGGGGGTTTCCCATCGCCGCCGTCGCCGGCATCGCCGGGCAAACCAGACTAAAAGTCATCATCAACGGCGTTCAAGGACACGCCGGGACGACGCCGATGGTTGCCAGACGCGATTCAACTCCAGCCGCGGCTGAAGCCGTCCTCGAAATCGAAAAGAGATGTAAAAAAGGCGGCGTTGGCGAAGCGTTGCCGGAAGTCATGCTCGTGTGTACCGTCGGTGAATTTCAAATCTTCCCAGGCGCAACCAACGTCATTGGTTCTCGAACCACGTTTTCGGTAGACATCAGAGCGCAATCCGACCGCGTTCGTAAAAACGTTGTCCAAGACGTCACGCGGAAAGTGCAACTGATTTGCCGAGCGCGTGGTTTAGAGTGCAAAGTCCAGCGCACCCACGAAGCCTCTGGCGTGACCATGGATCGAAGACTGACGAAGCAACTCGAAGACGCGTGCGATCGAACGACGGAAGAAATGCACCGCCGTGCCTACGATCTCTACATGGAACAACAACGTCTCCAACGCGAAGAAAACGACTACAACGACGACTACAACGATGACTTCGGCGACTTCAACGACGATTACGATGGCGACGGCGACGAGATGCGAGACGAAGACCAAAGCGACGATTTGTTCTACTACTCGGACGCGCAAAAGAAAAAAATGAACTCCAAGCAGCGCCGACGAACCAACAACAAACGAAACAGAAACGACCGAAGCGGTTTCACTCGAGAACCCGTCATCACTCGTCCGCCAACTTTGGTTTCCGGCGCCGGCCACGACGCGCTCGCCATGGCCGATGCCATGCCCGTCGCCATGCTCTTCGTTCGATCGAAAGACGGGAAATCGCATTCGCCGGAAGAGTACACGTCGCCGGAAGATATCGGCATGTCCGCGAGAGTCTTGTACAGATTTTTGCAAACCTTCACTTTTCCCGAAGACGAAGAGAACGATTACGTCAGCTATTACGACTTACCATAAATAAGAAAACTACTCTAGTATTTATTATATACACGTGTAGTATTGCGTGTGTGTGCAAGAATACGATAATAGGAAAAGAGAATAAAGAGTACGAGTACTACTACGCATCAAGACATATTTTAAACAGTAACACATCAAGACGTTTTAAGATTTTTGCTTTTTTTTTTTTAATTCGTCGTTTGATGAGAAAAGGCAACTCTTCTCTTTCAAAAAATTTCCTCAAAATCAATCACAAATTGACACACGCTTTTTGCGCTTTTTATTCTTCTCTCATATTTAGAAGAAGAAGAAGAAGAAGGTTTCGTCGGTGTTTTACAAAAACGATCATCGACGATGAACGACGAGGAAACCTTGATCCCTGGAGGAGAGGATGGGAGTACTACTACCGCGAACACTCAAAGACGACCTCCGCGTGTATCAACGACGAATTCGAATCAAAATCAACATCAATCCGGTGTGTCCGCATTCGCGCGAAATTCAACGAAAAAGTCGAGAAACATTCACAACAACACAACGTCGTCGCCTCGAACGAGTGGCGGCTTAAGTGTAGTAGGTGGTTTTAGAAACCCTCGAGAGACGTTTCAGAACATCGCGGCGACGGCTGCGGGGACTTTAGAAGATCGGAACACTTTGATGAATTCGAGTTCGAGCCCGAGAGAATCTGCCCCGGCGGTTGTCTTCGGGGCGACGGTTTCGGACAGAGAGACGAACATGGCGAGTTTACGATTACGACGAATGACGGCGTTTGAGTCGCACGATTACGACCCAATCGATTGCGACATCGAAGAGGAACAGTTAAGAAGCCGAAAGAGAGCGGAATATCAAAACGAGGAGTGGTGGAAGTGGACGCTCTCGGCTATCATCGGCGTCGTGATGGGTTTCGTGGCGTTCGTCGTGGACGGGTTGGTGGATAAGTTGAACTCGTTTAGGTTTGGGATGGCGATGAGATTAGTCGTCGGGGATGGAGAGAACCAAGACGCGTCGAAGTTTTACGCGTACATCAGTTCTCTGTTTGTGACGTGCTGTTTAGCCGCCGTCGCTGGAGGGCTGGTGAGTTACGTGGAACCTTTGGCAGCCGGCAGCGGGATTCCAGAATTGAAGACGTATTTAAACGGCGTGCATTTGAAAGGGTTGTTGAGATTGAAAACACTTTTGGCGAAATTAGGTGGCGTGGCATTTAGTATTGGCGCTGGTTTGATTGCCGGTAAGGAAGGACCGTTCGTGCACGGCGGCGGTTTGGTTGGCGGCGGTTTGTGCTCGTTCGGTTCGCACTCGCTCGGGTTCAAAACCAGAAGACCGAACCATTTTAGAAACGATAGAGATAAGCGAGATTTTGTGGCTATTGGTACCGCGACGGGTGTTGCGGTTGCATTTGGCGCCCCAATCGGTGGAATGTTGTTCACCGTAGAGGAAGGGACGTCGTTTTATAACTCGTCCATGTTGTGGCGAGGCTTTTTGGCCACGTGCGTCGGCGTGTTGACCTCGCACTGGTTAGAGCAGTTGGACTTCGACGCCACAGATTTCGCGCGCGCGAAATTCGGGACGCACAGAGATTTTGGTTTATACACCGACGACGAGGCGAACTACTCGAAACAGTACTGGTGGTACTTTTGGGAGGTGCCAATCTTTGCGATGATTGGATGTTTAGGCGGCTACATCGGCGCGTTGTTCGTCAACTTGAACGTACGAGTGACCGCGTGGCGAGCGAAATACATACCGGTAAACGATAAGTTCAGACGATTTTTAGAAGTCATCGCGGTCGCCGCGTTAACTTTTACGGTCATGTTTGTCTTTATGGCGGCGAGTCCGTGTTTAGAAATCCCGGCGCCGCTGAGAGACGGACACACGAATCTAGCCAACGAGTTGGACAGGTTTGAGTACGGCGAAGCGAGTAAGGAGGAAATTCGTACGGATTTCTTCTCGAAAATGTATTGTCCGGAGGGATATTACAGCTCTTACGGTCAATTGTTCTTCGTTCCTCTGTCGCAATCGTTCAAATTTCTCTTGCACCTGGGCGAAGTTGGCGAGAATGGGCAAGCGCACGAGTTTTTGTTTCGATTTGATTTATTAGTGTTTTACTTCTTAGCGATGTTTTCGTTAATGACGGTGACGTACGGCGTTGGTGCGCCCACGGGTTTATTCGTCCCGTCTTTGGCGGTCGGCTCAGCCATGGGCCAAATTTGTGGGAGGATCGTCAACTCTGTCAGCGGTTGGATATTAACCGACGTGCAAATAGATTTACACGCGTACGCGGTTATCGGGGCCGCCGCGAGTTTAGGCGGGGCGACTCGAATGACCATAAGTATTACCGTTTTGGTCATGGAAACGACGGGATCGATGCAATTAATCATTCCGTTAATGTTGACTATTTTCTGCGCCAAAGCAGTCGGCGATCGGTTCTCCCATGGGATTTATGACACGCACATCAAAATTAGAGGCGCGCCGTTCTTGGAAGAACCGGAATTAGCCGGGCCAGCCGGGGATAAATTACGCGTCAACGAAGTCATGGCGAAAACCATGATTACGATCAAACCGCGCATGCGCGTGAGGGATTTGATCGGTATCTTAGCCTCGAACGATCACGGCGCGTTTCCGGTGACGGAGAATCCGCCCACGAAGCCGGGAGAGCCGTTCGAGTTACACGGCACGATTACCCGAAATCGTTTGTTGAAAATGATCACGCACAGAATAGGTTTCTTCGATGGGAACCCAGAGTCTCGACCGGCGGACGTGTACGGCTACACCACGGCCAAAGACAGAGACGACTTGCTAGATAAGTTGAAGCAGATTCCGTTCAAGTCACCGCACGTCGCCGAAGTCGCCGCGTCTTTATCGTCCGTGGAGATGGACTCGGCGTGGATCGACGTCTCCCGATTGATGCAACGCCACCCGTTCATCACCCACGCGGATGCGAGAGTCTCCAGAGCCTACCGCATTTTCCGAACGATGGGTTTGCGACACTTGTACGTGACTCCGGATAAACCGTTAGTCGTCGGCGTCATGACAAGAAAAGACGTCATTCAAGAAAACACGAGCTTAACGTTGGGCGAAAAAGCGGAACGAATCATGGCGGAGAGACGATCGAGTGGCGGCGGTGGTGTTGACGGCGAAGCCGAGGGCGCGGATGCTTTCCCAGGAGGCGCGAACTTGTACTCGCACGACTACGCCGACCGCTTCAAATCGAAGAAGAACGAACCGTCGTCCGCCCGCCGCGGCGTCGACGAGCGCGGCGGCGGCTCGACCGCAAACGACGACTGGAACAACCAATTCGGCGACGACGACGACGACCACCGCTCCGACGAGGAAGAAGACGAACGTTTGCCGTATATCCCGTATTACCAAGGAAACGCAGGCGACGACGACGACGACGACAATGATGACGACCACCACCGCGGTAACCGCGACGCTCAAAACGCCGCCGCCGCCGAGGACGGTACCGAAAACACCGCCGATACCGAAGGATCAGGAGGGAACGGGGGATTCACCAACATCTCCGGTGCCTCCATCGTACGAAGAGCAAACGGGCCGGATAATTTGTAATACCATATACTACCACACGACTCACATTCGCGCGTATATATATACTACTACCGTAGTAGTACCAGTGTGACTCTTTTCTGCGTTTTATTAAAAAAGAGATGATGTTTGACAGTTGTTTGAGTGCAAAATCGATGATGAAAACCCAAAAAGAAAAAAAGGTGAAAAAAAGGTGCTGACGCACGCATTTTTCTTCGTTTGAATCGCACGATTCTCCCACATTCTCAAAGTGTCATCATCGCTCTAAAACTTTACCACGACGTCCGAAAAAGTGTCTCTCTCACCGCCCTTACACGCTGGTTGTTGTTCTCTTCTTCCGTCTCGACGACAGAGTGTTAGTATTAAACGCGCGACTGTTGTTGTTGTTGTTTCGTTTTGAGAGCGAGAGTGTTGATCATCTCATCTTCGTTCGGGAGAAACGATCTACAAACAGTTGACGAACGACGTCGAAGATTTTTTAGCACGAGGAGTACACACACACGCATAAAGAGTGAGAGACAGAAAGACACAATCATCCAGAGAAGAGAGAGAATAAAACAGACAAATATACGAATAATGGGCGCGTACCTCTCGCAACCGGTAAAAGAGAAAGAAAGTTCAGACGGCGGGAACGTGAAAGTGAAGTTCGGGACGAGTGCGATGCAAGGCTGGAGGACAAGCATGGAGGATTCGCACTGCGCGGTGCCGGATTTAGACGAAAACACGTCCTTCTTCGCGGTGTTTGACGGCCACGGCGGGAAGGAAGTCGCTTTGTACGCAGGGAGGTACCTTCCGCAAATATTGAAAGATACGAACGCGTACAAGGAAGAAAACGATTTGAAACAGGCGTTGGTGGAGTCGTTTATGAAAATCGACGAAGTCATGAAGGATAAAACGAACGCGCAAGAGTTGGCGGAGTTGAGCGGGAGGAGACGGTTTCGGGAGGAAGAAGAGGATGCGGATGAAAAAATGTCGGCGGGAGGCTCGAGAAACGTGAACGAAGCCATTCGAAGGGCGCTCAAGGAGAGGTTGTTGGCGGAAGGGACGCCGAGCGAGGAGGTGGATTTAATCATTCCGAGTTTAACGAATGACGACGACGAGGAGGAGGAAGAAGAGGTGAATAAAAAGAATGGCGAGAGAAAGGAAGGAGGAGAAATCGGGAAAGATAGTTCTAAGAATACGGCGGCGAACGAACAACCCGTCGCGTCTACGTCTTCTGCCGGCGGCGGTAAAAAGAAGTTCGTGCCTTTATCCGAGGAAGAGTTGAGCGAATGGGAAGGTCCAGTCGCCGGCGCGGCGGCGGTTTCGGTCGCGTTGAGAAACGGGGAAATTATATGCGCCAACGCCGGCGACTCGAGAGCGGTGTTGTGTAGAGACGGTAAAGCTATCGACATGTCTCGAGATCATAAACCTACGGACGAGGACGAATGCGAGAGAATTGTCAAGGCGGGAGGGTTCGTGGCCGACGGTCGCGTGAACGGGTCGTTGGCGTTGTCTAGAGCCATCGGCGATTTCGAATATAAAAGAAACAACGTCCCGGACGACTTGCCGCCAGAGTTATATTGCGTGACTGCTAATCCCGAAGTGAAAACGTTTAAATACGAACAGGACCAAGACGAGTTTATAATAATCGCCTGCGACGGCGTTTGGGACGTGATGACCAGTCAAGAGTGCGTGGACTTTGTTCGCGAGCGGTTGTGTTATAGTTCAACGAAAGACGGTGTGGTGCCGCCAGAACATCTCTCGAAAATCACCGAGGAATTGTGCGATGCGTGTTGCGCCACGGACACGAGAGGGAGCGGATTGGGATGCGATAATATATCCGCGGTTATCGTCCAGTTTTTAGATTCCAAGAAATATAAAGAGACGACGGAGAAATATAAAAATAATACGTCGAGTGTAGAAGGCAAAGGAACGAACCAAGCGCTGGATGATGATGCGAAGGAGGCAACTGCCGCCGCCGCCGTCGGTAATACTAACAAATAATAATTGAGGATGTATACTACATGTAGTTCACTAATATTTAACAAAATAGACATATAATATAAAAGCAATAATTCTTTGATTGATTAATACTAAAAGAGACTACTTCTGTACTACTTTACGCGCCTCCTCGACAAACTCGCGAACGAGAGGCCTCATTTTTCTTCCTCTAAAGTTAATGCACCAGTTTGAAATTTGTCCTGGAGACATCCCAGTCGCCTGCGACAGAACCATCTTCTCTTTTCTCGACGGATACGGGTGATGAACGTTCTCGTACATCCAGTCTTTTAACGGCTTGGTAATCCTTCGAGTGGACGCCGCGCTTCCCGGTTTCAACCGTTTCTTCTTTTCTTCCATCATCATCCTCGCGTCGTGGCACAATCTCCTGGTATCATCATCCTCGACGCTAAAACTCTTACCACCACCACCCCACGACGCGACGGCGACGTAATCCGTCATCTTCTTCACCCGCTCCAACCGTTTGTTCATGATCCTTTTCACATTTCGTTCCGTCTGCGTGGCGATGGATTTTTTACTACTCAACGATGTTAAACAGTTCTCTTCTTTTTTGTCTTCTTCTCGTTTGTTCATCGTCGACGAGACATCTCGAAGCGCCTCTCTCAGCGCGTTCGTGAATTCCCGATTATTATGATGATGTTCTTCTTCTTCTTCTTCTTCTTCTTCTGTATCTCTCCTAAACAGTTCCACCCGTTTCGCGATATCGTCTCTCCTTCCCTCGAACGAGGAGGAAAACCCGTTTATCAAAGCTCTCCTCTTCCTCTGCGTCTCTTCTTCTTCTTCTTCTGCGTTCATCGTGGTGATGCGTCCTTTGATCTCGCGATTGTTTTTTTAAATGTGTTTGACCTTCTTTTTGCAAAAAAAAAAGGCGTTACGAGTACTCGTTCGGTCGCCCTATTAAATTCTCAGCCGAAGATATTTTTTAGACAGATCGAACGAGAGAGCAGACGAACGAGAGAGATAACGTGACCTGACCTTTCCGTGACCTTTCCGAAAAGACGACAGCACAAAAATCATCATCGTCAGCGCAGCATCCTCTTCTTCGTCGAGCGCACTGTTTTGTGCACACGACGCTTCATCGCGTTTTAACGAAAAAAAGGCGATCTCTAAAGATGACGATCTCGATGACGAATGCGGATCAAAATCGAGACGACAAAGTGTCCAGAGGGAACAACAACATCACCCCGATTAAAATCAGAAAAGTTATTCCAAAAACGGAGGACAGACGAGACAAAACGACTTCTCCGGGGAATCATCATCATCAGCGCTCGGAAGAAGAAGACCAAGAAGACTCATCGCCTCAATCGCGATCGCGTTCGATGACCGAAGATGACGATCAGGTGTTATTAAATTCGAGAGGTCAAAGTCCGAGGAGAAATTTACAGTTCACGACGGCGACGAGCAACAACAGTCGAGAAGGATCGTCCGTGGCGAGTTCGGAGGAGGATTTGCAGGTTGCGAATGGCGAGCGGATTCGAGGAGAATCGTCGTCGTCGGGGAATAAGAACGAAAACGATTCAGACGAGAATCCTGAAGAGAGAACCAACATAATAAACAACGGAGGAGAGAGTAAACAACAAAATCAAGGTATTAAAAGCAACGTCGTGCAACGGATGGGAAGATGTTCGTCCACTTCGTCTATGATAAGTTCGACGGCGAAAACGGACGAGTACGGATTTCAGACCAAGCCGTGCACCGTCGCTCGATTGGACGGGTATTGTTACGGGTTTCCGGTGGACGAGAGGAAAGAGAAGGCGTACTCGAAAGCGAGGAAACAGTTGATGAAACAAAAAGACAGAGCGAGCGAGAGTTACGCGAGGTACTCGAAAGCCAGGAAGGTGTGGAAAGAGGCGAAGAGGACGAGCGGGAGTTCCGGGAGTAGCGTGACCAACGTCACCAACTCGGCTATAAACGAAGCGTTGAATCAGTGCCAACGCGAAGTTGCCAGAAACGGTTTACCGGAGAAAAAGAGAGCGAAAGCGTGGTTGGACGCGTTATCCGTGAAATCGAAGCGGGATAATTGCGAGAAGACGTACGAGGAGTACTCGCAATTGAGCGAAAGAGAACGATTCGATCGCGAACGCGCGAGCGTCAGAGTAGATTTGATCAACGTGTTTCCGGATCATCCGAGATACTCGCTAGGCGCCATCGACTCGATGAAAGAACGCAAAGAAGAAGGAGAAGAAGAAGAAGAAGAAGGAGGAGAAGAAGACCAAAAGATACAGCACGAATTAGTTACTGAATCGTTAGATAGGTTGAGATCGAGTAGCGCGCGCGGCCAATCGTCGATGACGAGTAGCGGGAACGAGTCTTCGAGCGGCGGCGAAATGTATAGCAACTCCGCCAGCCCAAGATTTTCGCAACATCAAAATCACATCCAAGCGATGAACAGTTTTGGAGAGACTTTCGTCGGGTCGCCCCCGCGTTCGCCCCACGGGTTGAGAGGCTTTAAAAAAGAAGACGACGAAGAAGGCGTCTTCGTCTTCGAAGGCGACGCTCTTAAACGAACGACGAGTAGCGAAAGTGATGGCACCTCAAACGATAGGGACGATACCGCTGATACTACTAAAGAGGAACCGCAAAACGCAATCATGCAACTCTTGACGGGTTCTTTCTTTGAGAAATTGAATATGTTCCCGGCGCGAGTATCGAGCATCAAAGAGGAGGAAGGGAGAGAAGGTAAGAAGAAAGCGAACAACAACAACAACGACGACGACGACGAAGATGAAGAAGAAGACGACGAAGATCAATTTAGATTACCGGAAAACTATATGGACTCAACATCATTACAATATTTCGGGAAAATGGAACGTGTTTTGATGGCTTTCAGCGCGCGCTCGCCGAGAGATTTGGAAAAATCACACGTCGTCGCAGCGGCAATGTCTTTGCTCGTTTTCAAAGGCAACGAAGAGAATGCGTTTTGGACGTTAGTGTGCCTCGCTGAAGACGTCAACTTGTTTTTGGACGAAGCAGAAGTGACGACGGAGACGATTGTGTTGGAGGAGCGAACGAGACACAACTCTTCCTTGGAACGCGTGCATACTAATTTGGTCGGGAAGATCTTCACTCGCATAGGCGCTGGATTCTTCCCGCCAAACGTCGTCTTACGAATCTTGGATGCGATCATCCTCTCTCCACCGCCGTTGTCCTCTCGCTTACTTCATCACATCGCGTATGAGTTCTTATTTCATCACGGCGAAAAGTTAAAAGATGAAGAGAGGACTTTAGAAATCGCCACGGAGGCGTTCGACTGCGACGAGTTAATCATCAATGGCATGAAGATGATGAGCGCGACGGAAACGATGAAAAGTAATTTGTCCTTACGGATTCTCGCCAGACAGCGGGTTGAACGCTCGAGCGGTGGCTTTTGCGGTCCAGACAAAGGCTGGTCAGTCTCGTTGGTTTCCGCCAAGAGAATGAAAGATGGCGACGTGTCTTCCAAGAAGAAGAAAATGTTTGTTCCAACCAGCGGTTGGAGCAGCGACGAGGACGAGGCGATCATGAAAGCCACCCGAAGTTGCGATTTCTTCGGACATTTTTCGCCGTTGCGAAATCGCAGGAAGTCGCAAGATGATTTTCTCCGGGAGGAAGAAAAGAAACAGCAATCGCGAAGCGTTCAAGAAGTCGTCAACGAGATCAACGAGTCGGGATCAGAACTTGAACGAAAAAAAAGCGAGGACCCGCTGATGATGACCTTATCGCCGGTGAAAACGATTCCTTCGCAAGACACTCTGAATGAATCTGCGGATATCATGCGGTACAAATTCGTCATTCGAGGCCCGAACGATGTCACGTGTACGATGTACCGTAACCGCGCCGATCTCGTGCGTTTACACGAGATTTTATGCGAGAGGAAAATCACGGCGCAGCTCTCCATGTTGAGACTCCCGAAATCATTCACGAACAAGTTAACCGCTGGAATCACCAAAACCGGTTTCAACGAGTCGCAAGAGTATTTCGTTCGCCTCTCGAAAGCGGGCGTTCCCGGGTTGCAGAAAGTCTTCGAAGAGTTTTTCGAGCTCGACTCGCCGGATTTGAACGAGTATTGCTACGAGTCCGACGATACGCAAGGCAGCTTTGATGATTACTAAAAAAAATTGTATTAAATATAGACGCCGTAGATGAATAGCAAGAATTGTTGTGTAGTACATGATGAAATACCGTCTTCATATCAATAACATAATTTAAAGAATCGATTATTTATTTAGTCGTACACGCACACCCCGTAACTCTCCTCCATGGCCACTCGTAAGGCATAATGTTCCAGCCCGATCAAATGCACGGTATTAACGACCGCATTCTTAAAATACCTGCCCCCACCTTTACTCGAAAATCCGTATAAATCTAATCTCGTGCACAAACCGCTCGCGAGGACGGACATGGCTAATTTAAACCCGCCGGTGCTCGCGTGTTTGGTTTTAATGTTCAACTCGTCGTGGTATTTGGCATAGACGTTCCCAACCATCTCCGAAGCCATCGGTGTCTCCCACAACAACTGTTTACCTCTAAAAGTTAACTTTGAAAATTCCTTCTTATCGCCGAACATCCAATATTTCGCGGCGTCTTTCCACATGTAGTACTTGTTCGCTTTTTGTCCCTCTACGCCGTATTGTTTCTCATCGCGTCTTTGCTTCCAATAATACACGTCGCCTTTCACCCCAATATCCTTCTTATATGCTTTCAAAGGCCCGTTGTACCGAAAAACGGTGTCGTGATTGTCGATTTCCGGACCTCGTCCTTTCCCTAACATGTTATCCGCCACGGCGACGAGCGCGCACGTCCCCAACTCGCCTCGTTTCAAATCCGGAAAAACTAAGGAGCCATCCAACCCGGGCATTTTCTTATCTTTGAAATACTGTTCCGGACCTCGCTTAAAACCCATATCGTCGCCTTCCAGATGTCTTTTCACGCACGTTCTCGTCCACATCGTGCACGCCGAATCCGATTGCCACATCTTGTAATGTTTCAAAACCTCCTCTCGGACGCTCTCTGGAGGCGGCTTGAAATCCGGTTGCCTCGATTTCGCCAACGCTCGGTTTCTGTCCGTTTGAAACGCCTGGTGCCCTTTCAATAACTTCCGAAGTCCTATTCTAGTAGTAATGTTTAAAATGTTGCTACTCTTCGCCTCATCGTCGTCTGAATCCTCCTCCTCGCTCTCCTCCAAGTCGAACGACAATATCCTCCTCTTCTTCATAGTGACCGACAAATCTTCCATCGTTCTCTTCGGCGCGTACCCGCACATTTCCGGCACTGTAACTTTCTTGCATTTCTTGCAATTATCCACCTCCGTTTTCGGTTTCTGCACCGGTTGGTCTAAGTGATAATCCAAATCGCCGTCTAAATCCGAGTGCTCTTCCCCGTCATCTTTCGCCAACGACTCTTCGATTGGCTCCTTGGCCACTTCAGACGGGTCCACGTGTTGTTCTTCGTACGACGTTAAGCCAACGTCCGGGGCGTCGTCGTCCACCGAGGACATTTGATTCGCATCATCCGCAACGTTTAATGATAAAGAAGAAGAAGAAGATGAGGAAAACGACCCAGCTTTCCCGAAAATCAAGCTCAGAATGAAAAGAATGCCGAAAGTAATCGAGAGAAAAATCTTCGGCGACGTCGGTTCGTCCTCTTTAGATGATACCTTCGTCGCCCTCTTCTTAGTCTCGTTATAACTGTTGTTGTTGTTGTTGTTGCGAGTATTCGACATCGTTATTTTCTTCTTCTTAAAAGCTCCTTAATAAAAAAAAGTGATGATGATGATGATGAGAGAGAGAGATTTTACTTTCGCGAGTAAAATCTTCTTCTTTTTTTGTGTTTTTTGAAGAAAAAAAAAGGGCAGCCAGTCCTCCTCAAAACTTCATTTTTTTTTTAAAGCAACAACAGAGACAACAACAACAACGAAAACATCATCAGACGGCTCTAATTAGTACTCTTGTTAAAAGTAGTAGTAGTAGTACATTGGGAAAAGACTCGGAGAAGAAGAAGAAGAGCAAAATAGGAAAGACGACGACGAGGAGTACGCGCTACTTTTCATAAACAATACCAATGGGTCCGTCGTTCGTCCCGATCAACCCGAAACCGTTCTTACAATCGTTAACCGGGAAAAAAGTCCTCGTGAAGTTAAAATGGTCCGGCATGGCGTATAAAGGTTTTTTAGTCTCCACGGACGCGTACATGAACGTGCAACTCGCAAACACGATGGAAATAATCGACGGAGAGGAAACCGGGAATTTGGGGGAGGTTTTGATAAGGTGTAACAACGTCTTGTGGATTAGCGGGGTTGATGAAGACGAGGAAGAGGAGGAAAAGGAGAAGAAGAAATGATGATCGTCCAGTGAAGAGGACTGATGACGATACTTACCGTAGCTTCTTTGTTGTAAGATTTTTATATTACCACCTTCTTAGTATATTATATTTCTTCTATGCGTACGTGCGCGCTCTCTCGTCGTGTTTTCTCTTTCTTTTTCTTCTTCTTCTTCTCATCGTCATTGTCCATTAAAGGCGCCGGCCGGTAAGACGCCGTCGTCGAATTTGCAGTTGCTGAAATCCATCTCCGGATGGCTCTCCATGAACTTTTTCATCAAACCCATCTTGCTTTCTTGGTCGCTGGTTGGTTTCCCGGCGGCTTTTTGCCGTTGGTCGTACATCATTTTTTCCACGGTCGATCGCGTTTCGCCGTCTAAATCGGCCAAGTTGGAGTTTTCCGGGACAACTTTCTTCGTGTCTATTCTCGGGTCGCCTTTTATTACGTTTTCCCACCAACTCATTTGGTTGGATTTCGTGAGCGTTAATCGGACTTCGCGATTGTCCTCCAACGTCCAAAACGAATCGTCCGGTTTAATACTTTCGCATAATTTGGACTTTTCCGGAATCCTTAACGCGGGTTCGGATTTTAAACCAAACTTAAACGTCGTCGCGGTAAACTCGCAGACGATATCTTTCGCTCGCGTGCCAACCGGTACCGGCAAACGCACGTCCACCTCTTGCAACGTTTGCGACCACACGTAATGTTCGGCTTCGCCGCCGTTCAACGGAGACGGGTGCACCGTCCCTGGTTGCAACGCGTGAGGATCCTCTTCTTCCTTTTCCACTTTCTCTGTATTCTCTCGAGCGACTTTTTGTTGCTCGTCTTTCTCTTCCTCTTCGTCGTTACAAATCACTTCGTTCCCGTCCTCGTCCAACTCGACGATTTTCTTCTTCGCCTCTTCCATCTTCTGCACCATCAGCGCCTCTCTCACGCGTTCTTTCCTCTCCCTCTCCTCTTCCGCAATTTTTTCTCTCATCTCCTCTTCTCTCTCTTTCTTCTTTACCATTTCTTTGTGTTTGCGTTTTTCCGTTTCCTCCTTTTCGCGTTCGAAAGTAGTCTTTGATTTTTCCACCTCTTCTCGTTGTTTCTCCAACGCTTTCAGGACGGATGTTTTCCCTCTGTTTTTTTCCTCTTCGTTAGTAAAACTCGAACGAGAAAAGAAATCCGTTTTCCTTCTCAAAAACCCGAAATATGCTTCGTGCATGATATCGATCGCGTTTATTCCGTGAACGTGTTCGTTCGACGCGATCGAGCTGCACTGCGAAGCGACGTTCATGAAGAACGCGTCGAATTGCGCTTCCATTTCTGTCGGGATGAGGAAATGATGACTTTTGCTCATCCTTTTTATGTTTGTTTAATGTATGTGTGTTTCTTCTCACTTTTTCTCTCTCTTTTTATAAACTCTCTCTTATATACTGATTCGTATCGCGTATTCTCTCTCTCTCTCTCTCTCTCTCTCGTTCTCAGAATGAAGTGTTGTTGTTATGGTTGTACCGCTGCTCGTTTTACCACCGAGTTCTTCTTCTTCTTATAAATCTCTCTTATATAAAGTGTTGTGTTGACTCTTTCGTGAGAAATGTTTCTTCTTTCTTCTTTCTTCTTCTTTCTCTTGAAAATGTACGTTTTAGGGTTTTAAAAAAACCCTAAACTTTTACCGTTGTTTTCTTTCCCCTCCTCTTTCTTTTACACACACAACACATTTTACAGTGAGCTTCTTCTTCTTCTTCTTCTTCTTCTAAAGAGTGAGAGAGAAGAACAACTCTCTAATAAGAAGAACGAATAACAACAACAACAGCGGCATTTCAGCAAAAGAGACTTTACGGAGCGAGAGAGAAGCAGAGAGATTTAATAATAATAAGTATATTATTACTTCGTGAAAAAACATTCGAGAAAGGATAAAAACGTAATACGAGGGGAATTTTTGAAAATCGAACGCTGAAAGAAGAGATACAAAAAATGAATGCGCTCAACGAACAACAACGCGCGACGAGAGCCGCGGATGTGGTGGAAACTTCGTTGAAACGGTTTTCCGAGAGCGTCCAACGCATCCTTAATCTCTCTTCTTCTTCTTCGAAAGGAAGAGATGAAGATGTAGAAGACGTGATACACGCGTTGTCGCAGTTGGAAATGCACCTCAAATCTGCTGAAAGCAACAAAATTTTCTGGACGGAAGAGCTAGGCAAAACGTTGTACGAGTCGGTGGCGTCTTTCCTCGTCACGACGACGGGGAATGAGAACGAGACGATAAACCGTCACCACGCTCGAGCGATGCGCGTGACTTCTTTAGCGATTCAATCGAGCAAAGATAAGGAGATTTTCAAGGAGTGCTTGAACGGCGGGTCGGAGACGGCGAAGAAACTGTTCGTAAACGCGTGTTTGAAAAAATTGTCCGGCGGCGTTGAAGGCGGCGGAGACGAGAAGGACGACGAAGAGAAGAGCGCCATCGACGCTTTAGTGTCGTTGTGCTGCGACGCCAAAGCGATTACGAAAACGTTTTTGGTGACCAAATTGAACGTGGATGTGAAAACGAGTTCAGTGAAAGCTCGCGTGAACGCGTGTAAAGTTATCCAAGAGATTTGCGAGAAGAGTTCGCTCAGTTGGGATTGTACCAACGCGGTGAAGAAATTGAAGCAGTTATTGTTGTTGTCGGACGACGATGCAGAACCAATGGTGAAAGATGCGAGCTTACGCGCGTGCGTGGCATTGCGGAATTCCAGAGTAGACGATTTCACGGAAAGGCAAGGGATTGAGCGCGCTTTATTGGAAACGAACGGGATGAGTCCTAAGACGAGGAAAGCGTTGGAGCGAGCGTTTGAGGGTGGAGGATATGTGACGACGACGACTACTAATACGAGACCTGGCGAAGATCGATTGTTAGAGATGCGCAGTCCGATCAATCCGAACGAAACGACGCCGGCGAGACGATTAAGGAAGCAATCCGAACGGTTGCAAAAGTTTCAATCCGACGACGCGTTGCCAAAGGAGGCGTTTTTAACGCAGTCGACGTCCAAGTCCAAACAAAAGCAACAAGCTGAAGAACACGCATTAAGCTCTTTAGAGTGCACGCAACACGTCTTGGAAACGATCGCCGAGGAGTTGCATCAATCTTCCTCGGAATGGGAAAAGAGAGTTCTCGGGTGTAAAAAAATCGTCAAATTATGCACCTTGCAAAACAACAAGTTCCGACAGTTTTGTAAAGACGCTTCGATTGTGATAAAGAAACAAAACGGGTCGATCAAAAAGTTTGGCGAAACAAACGCCGTTTTACTCATCCTCGATAAGTTATCGTATGCGGTGCACGACAAGCGCTCGTCGGTCGCGCGCGCGGGATGTCAAGCGGTTTTGTGCATGGCGCAACGCCTGAAAGGCGATTTGAGCGACGAGTTTCTCGATATTCTTTTACCTTCGCTTTTCAAAGCGATCATAGTCTCGGTGGGCGTGATAAGTGATAACGGCGACGCGTGCGTCTCGGAAATTGTTCGGAACTGTTTCGGCGGTAGCAGTTTGGACGATGAAGGTCCAAAGGTGCACCTGGCGCGCGTGTTTGCGGAAGAAATCGTCTCGCCGAAAGTATCGAAAATTGCAAAGTTGAGAGCGAAATGTGCGTTGTACCTCTCCGAATGCTTCGAAGTTGGCTTGGTTGGATCCTCGCACTTGCCAAAACCTGTTGCGGATATCGCAAGCGTCGCTATTGAGAAAGCGCTGGAAGACGCCGACGCGACTGTTCGCGGTAACGCCAAGTTGGCGTACGAAAAGTTTCATCGAGTCGTGGATGAATCGTATTTCGATGCGTTTACGCAACAGTTAGACCCTGAAATTAAAAGACGTTTAGCGTTAGTATCATCTTCGGAGAAGAAGAATAAGAAGAATAAGAAGACGATTATGGCTGGTTCGGATGAGAAGAGTAATGAAATGTCTTTGCAAGACGCCATGCGAGAACGGAAACGAAAGTTACAACAAGAAAAAGAACAACAAAAGGACAACAACAACTCGAAAGGTGAATTGACGGAAGTCATCGAGCTCAACGCGATTTTGGCGGCACAGAATAACATGAAGGCGTACAACGATAGAATCGGGCAACCGGTGGACGATGACTTTACGATTGACTTGCCGCCGCGAATGTTATCGATTCAAACGCCCATGTCGATTAAGCCGGCGTTGAAGAAACACACGGCACTCGTCGAGGAAGCGAGCAAGAGAGCGACGACGACAGCAACAGCAACGATATCGACGAGAATGGCGGCGATTAAAGAGAGTGAGTTTGATGTCGACGTCGACGCGGAAGAAGGCTTTCGCGATAACAACAACAACAACAACAACAAAGACGACGACGATAGCATCGACTCCTCTCTCCCTCCGAGAGAACGATTAGGTCGCTCGCTCGCTCAAACGGAAGTTGCAGACTCGCCACCAGCTCGCGCAAAAGCTGCCGAACGTCTCCGAGATGCTTTAGAAGATATGGAGCAACTCCTCTCGAAGAATACCGACGACGACGACGACAAAGAGGGCGTCGAAGCGATATCGGCAGACTTCGTACTCCGAGCGGCGACGACATTAGCGCGATTTTGCGCGGACGATGTGACGGAGTCTCGATGTTTTGTGCCCGCCTTGGAAGCTATCGTCGCGTTAACCAACGTATCTTCGCTACGCATTAAAATTGCCTCTTCCTCCTCGGCCATGGAGGCGTCGAACAACTCGTTCATGAAAGAGTTCAAATTCGCTTTCGCGGAATCGACGAAAATTTTAGCCGGACCTCTTTTCGGGCGATTAGCCGGGCAAAATCCAAACGCGCGAACGTCCGCGCAAGAAGCACTCATTTCTTTAGCGCGCAACGTCGATCTAGAAACCGGCTTACTTCCTTCGCTACGCAGAGCATTCGTGTCCATCGAAGCGACTGAGTCAGACGTGGAGAAGTGCGACCGCGCTCGAACCGGTGTCGCGCAGTTTTCCGGATACGCGTTGAGTACGAAGAACTTGTCCAAGAAGAAGATTGCGCATCTCGCGGAAGGCTCGGACGAGTTGAAGAACTGGGCGAATACGCTGGCGAAGTGTGCGAGTCGATGCGTTTCGGTGTCTTCTAAATCGAATTTGTACGACGCGTGCGTGGACGCGTTGAGAGTCGTATGTTTTGAAATCGATCAAGAAACGGTCGAGAAAATCGTCGCGAATTACGAAGCTATCAAAGCGGACGTGCTTTTGAAGAAATCGAACGCGGATGTTTTGGAAAGATCATCGAAGAAGAAGAACAAGAAGACAAAAAAAGCGTCCTCGACGACGCCGGAAAATATCGACGGCAAGCCTGTCGACGGCGGCGAGGAAGAAAACGATGCCTCGACTTCGCTCGCAGGAAGAACACCGGGTGCGTGCTTGGACAAATCAACCGGTCGCAGCAGAAAGAGCTTTGGCACGCGAAAGACACCAGTCAGTACCATAAATACGGACAACAGCATACCAATGACCATATCTCCGTCACCAATTTTGGGAGGCGGTGATGCCTCGACGAGGATGAACGTGAACGACAACAACAACAACAACAACAACGAAGCCTCGTTTGGTTTAGACGTTTCGCAAATGAACAACTTAATGCCGCCGACGACGGTGAAAAAGAACTTATTGCTGACGAAAATGAGCGGTCAACACTCGTCCGTAGTCAAATCCGCTGCTCCGACGCCTGGTCCCGTTTCTGCGCGCACAACACCTAACGCTGCTCCGACGATTGCTCGAGTAACGGGGAAGCCGCAAACGCAATCGCTCGGCGTTGGCGCACGCGTGATGCGCGCGTTGGACTGCTTAAAAAAAGAAGAGGATGTGAGCACCATCGACGATCGTCGAGACGTGTTGCGCTCTCTCCTTGAAATGGTCCAATTGGAATATTCGGCGTTCAAACCTTTCGTCACTTTACTCGCGCCGACGTTGGTCAAAGTCGCCGAGACAGATCTCGACGGCGTCTGCCGATTCTACGCCCGACGCGTCTTGTTCCGAGCATTTGAAAGAGCAACCGACGGCGACGACAAAATCGAAAACGAGGAATCCGGAATCGTCGATGCCGTCACCTCTCTCGTCCCTATTTTTGTCGATCAAACGACCCAAACGAGTTTGCGCTGTTTGAAACTCCTCCTTGAAAAAGTTACGAGAAAGGAAAGCGTAGAAAAAATACTCGATTTAGTCGGCAGCTACGTCTACGAAAAGGCCGGCGTCTCTTCCTCTCCACCATCACCGAACGCGAAGAAAGAAGCGTGCGAATGCGTCGCCATCGCGCTGAGTAAACTCTGCGACGAGAACGAAGAAGATAAACAAATCCTCCTCTTCTTGAACGCTTTGCTCGAGCGAGACTTGTACTCGCTCAACGTCTTCGGCGACGAGGAAAAGAAAGTCATCGCGAGCATCGCCAAAGCTTTGATGAAACAAAAGAATTTTAAAGAAAAAGTTAAAGAAGAAGAGCAGCGCGGAGGCGCTCTGAATCGACCGTTTAAGCAGTTTCAAAGCCTCGTCGTTCATTAAAGGAGCGCTTATAAAAATACGAATAGTCAATTTTGAGTAAAAAGTCCAACATTTTACGTTTTACGAGATCTCGTCATTAAAACACAAACACAAAACACATTAAAAGATGGGCGGCGAGAACACCAACAACGCGCCTCGAACGCTGAAAGACATAAAAGACGCCGAGGAAAACGAAGAAGGCAATCAAGAGGACAAACCGCAGGAGTGGTACGCGGGAGGCGCGTCGTCCGGGCAAAACGTCATCGATCCTTCCAAACATCAATCACAGAAAGAACATCCAGAAAACGGCGACGGCGAGGAGTTCACGAACGACAGTCGATACGGAAACATGTTTCGAGAGGCGTTGAGACACGGGGCGAGACATCGACAGGACGATACCGATGAAGATACGACGACGACCAGAAGCCAAAGGGAAGTCTTTTTCAGCGGAAGAGGGAGGAAGATGACCGAGGAGGAAAAGGAAGAAGAAGACGACGCGTTGGACGGCGACTTGAAAGAAGAAGAAGACAAAGAAGAGGAAAAAGAAGAGATGCGGATTGAACGCGTGGTTACGTTTTACGACAACGGGTTCACGGTGGACGACGGACCGTTGCGGGATCCATCGGAAAATCAAGAGTTTATCGAAATGATTGGTCGAGGGATGTGTCCACCGGAATTGATGCACCCCGGAGCCTCGGCGAGGAATCCGGTGAAGATTGATTTGAAACGAGAGAGAAGGGATTGGACGCCGCCGAAAGGCGTGAAGGCGTTTAGCGGGAGCGGGAATAAGTTGGAAGGAGCAGAGGGAGAAGGAAACGACGAGGGTGTTGGTGGTGGCGGAGATGGAGGAGGAAAAGCGCTCGAAGAAATGAAACCGTGGTCGGTGGACGAGAAAGAACCGACGACGTCGATTCAAATTCGTTTACGCGACGGGTCTCGCCTCGTCGCCAAGTTCAATCTCTCGCACACCGTCGCGCACATTCGAGACTTTATTCGACAGGCGAATGGAGAAGCGTCTGCGACGAGGCCGTTACAACTGAGCGGGTTCCCCCCGGAAAAGTTGGACGACGATTCCAGAACGATCGGGAACGGGTTGAAAGGGTGCGTCGTGCAACAAAAGTAATAATTCGAAGAAAAGCTGTTGTAAAATTAAAGAGAAATATCTGCGTGAGAAATATCTTTCCATTTTGGATCGAAAATCATCCAAAATTACATCATCATTTAAAAGCACGCACGATTAAAAGACGGCGTAAACGACGACGATGATCGTCAAAACCATTTCATCGAGCGCGATCAGGAACGCTGAGACTGTTCTTTTCCGCAACGGTAAAGGTAACTTCGCAAAGAAGCGTTATTATCATCAGCAACAACACACCCAAAGAAATCATCATCATCACGAGACACATTTTACCTTCCCCCGTACAAATACGAGACACAAAAGAACGAAAGCCTCTTCCGATGATGCAGAGGTGACAGAGAGTGAAGATACGAAGGAAGAAAAAACATTCACGGAAACCTTCGAATCGTTCTTCGCAGAAAAGGAAGAATCCATCTCAGAAAAAGAAAAACGGTTGAACGATGAACGAAAGAAAGAGCTGGAGATGAAGCAAAGAGTGTACGATCGAGACGGAACGTACGTCTCCGAAGAAGGGTCAGATTTTTTCAAAGATCCAGAACAGATAAAAGCGGTGGGCATTTTTTGCGCGTTCTTGGCGTCGTTTTTAAGTTTAGGGAACATCGGCGCGGCGTTCTTGTTACCGATAATATACGGGAAGCCGTTGCAGTCGTGCATAGGAGGAATAGTGTTTGGGTTACCGTGTCCTGGTATTGACTTTTAAAACTTTTAGCGCGCTCGCTGCTGTTGTATTTATATATTCACGGATTGATATATTCGCTTATTCTTTTTATTACCACTTTTTATTTGTTTTACTTTCTCTCTTATTCCATTATGAGCTCACAAGCGCGCGATGCCGTCTTTCAAACTCGGATCCGCTCGTTTTTGCTTCACCAACTCTAAGCCAAACTCCGTGGCTTTTGGCGTGTTGCCTAAATACAAACCAACGTACTCTTGAACCTCTCCCGCGCTCGCCAAGGAGAGCAAGAAATCCACTAGAGTTAAATCTTCGGATCCGTTCAACGTTTTCATCGCGCGTTTGCACCATTGTTGCAACGCGCGCTTGTTCTTTGGCGCCGGAGGCGCACCCCAAGAGTCGCCGTCGATTTGGTTCATATTATCCGCGATAGAGTTGTTGTGGCTTCCTGGGTTGGATCGCGGCGCGGAGCCGGCGCTATCGGGACGATCGAAATCGGATTGCACTTTGCGTTGCGAACCTTGCATCTGTCGCGGCATCATCATCGTCGGTCGCTTCGGCGGCGGCGGTTGTTGCTGTTGAGGCGGTGGAGGGTTACTACTACTTGCTAATTTTCCAGTCGCCCACGCAGTGCCGATGGCGTTTTGCGGCATACCCAACAGTTCTTCGTTCTTCGCAGCCATTTCACGTTGGCGCCGTTCCTCTTCTTCTCGTTGAATCTCCGCTAACGACTTTTGACCATCGTTACCGCCGACAGTACTACCACCACTACCTTGCCATCCACCCTTCATGTTTGCCATTCTCTCGTTCGCTTCGCGTTGCAAAATCTCTTGCCTTTTCCTCGCTTGCGCTTGCTCTTGCGCCATGACTGCCGCCAAGGAACCCGACGCCGGTTTCGCCGGTTGTGCTCGAGCGTTTTGCGGCGCGCCGGTACCCCACGGCGTTCCCAGAAGACCACCTTGGCCTCCTGCGGGCATATCAGGCGCATTCGCTCTGCGTTGTCTCTCTAACTCGGCTTCTTCTCTTTGAATGTCCGCTAAACTTCGTCCTTCATTGACAACGGCAGCTGGTTTTGCTCCGCCCCAAGCTGGCTTCTGTTGCGCTTGTTGCTGCTGCTGTTGCTGCTGTTGCTGTTTTTGCTGTCTTTCCATTTCTAAACGTTTTTGTTCTTGCTCTTGTTTTTGTCTATTTATGCGGGCATTTTCTTCGCTTTGTTTCTCTAAAACGAGCATCGCCCGCTGTCGATCTTCCATCTCTTGTAACGACATGCCCATACCTTTGCTTTGACCTTGTTGTTGTTGATGATGCCCTTGTGGTAAACCACCGGCACTACCCATTATACTTCCTAATAAACCACCTCCAGTAGCTGGTGATGGTGATGGAGCGACGTTCGGCTTCGGCGCAACCACACCGGCGCGCGGTTGCGGCATGCCCTTCTTGACTGCGGCAACGCCGCCTTCGATATCAGCGAGCGACTTTGTCGGCCCGGACGGCGCGGCTGGGTGACCAGACGGCACCGCTGCACCCATAATGTTACTAAGCAGCCCGCCGCCGCCGCTGCCACCACCTCCGGTAGGCTGTCGCTGCTGCTGCTGCTGTTGTTGTTGTTGCTGAACTGGCGCGGGAATCGCTCGAACTCCTCCGTTCATGGCGTTCAAGACTTGATCGTACCGCCATCCCATTTTTAACAGCGCCTGAAGAGGAACGTACTTGAAGTTTATTGGTGCATCAGACGGTCTCAACGGTAAATCCATCGGGAAGAAGCCGCCTTGGTGCCACTCTGTGATCTCATCTCGCGTAAATGGTCCTTGCGGCGCGCCCGCGGGATCCAAGTACATCCAGTTCGTCGGTATAGACACCGGCGCCGCCGGTTGTTGCTGCCGCTGTTGCTGCTGCATCATTTGATGTTGCTGCGCAACATTCGGTGCGTTCAAATCTCCGAAAAAGCCACCGCCGGAAGACACGTTTGGAGAATCCTCTTCGATGACAAATCTCGATTGTTGTCTCGGTTGATTCTTCGCCGCTTCTTGTTCCATTAATTCCGCTTTAATATCTTGCGTAAACGCGTCCTCAGTAATTAAACCATTGATATCAGCTTCGGTGAGCTCAATCTTTTCGCTTTCAGGGACGACTCTCGCCTCTGACCTCGTCGTGCCCGAGGCGATTTCCTCGCGCATCTGGCGCATCTCCTCCTCCGTCAACGCCGGCATGGCACCGCCCAAAAATGAATCTCCAACCTCCGTTCGGTCTTTTAATTGGTTCCCATCCAAAGCCCACTCGGGCACACCGTCGTATTCATCTCTCCTGCCGCCTCTATTTTGTGTAGAGTACGATCCTTTCCCGTCGCCAACTTCGTATCGATCTTTCTTTTTTCGTCCCAAAGCGTCTTCGCCGTCTTTCCACGCCGGACCTTTCAGTTGCCCTGCTGGCGCCCCCGGATTTGTCTTCACCCTGTTTGCGAACATGGTCAAATCCCACAACATATCTCCAGGTTTCACCGATCTCAACGGCACGGTGTCTTTATCCACCTCCGCCGGCAATTCGCAGGCGTTCGCCGCTTCCAAATCTCTCAAAATTTTAACCAGTTCCATCGCCCCGTACACGTGTTCAATGTTCTCGCGATCCGGATTCGACTCTCTTTCGTCTTTAAACAACTTCTCAAACTCTGTCGCGTGTTCCGCGATGCTCTTCTCAAATTCCTCCGAGATGCAACTTTTCTTCTCTTCGATTTCGAGCTCGGCTTCGTTAAACCCGGGCGCGTACGGTTGCGCCATGTTCACTTCGTACCCGCCACCAGGGCCGCCTAAAACGTTCCCGTGACCTTTTCCTTGACCTCGACCTCTTCCAATAGAAAACCCAGATCTGTTTTGGTTCGGTCTCGACGGTCCATCTTTACGGTTTCGGTTATAAAAATCGTTTCCTCCTTCTCTCTTCTCGTACCCTCGCGGTGGTCTCAAACCAGGGATGGAATTCCTCTCGCCTCCTCCCCCTCGGTCTTCTGAAATTCTCCCGCCTCTTAACCCCCCCATACCACCACCACTTCCTCTCGGTTCTGCATACTCTCTCCTCTTGTGGTCCACGGATGCGCGTCTGTTTGTCACCGTTTGAAAGTCTCGATCGTCTTCTTCTTTCCACTTATGCGTCGATTCTTCTTTCCCGGGTGGTTTCGGTTTCCCTCCTTTTTCTCCTTTTTCACCTTGCGTTTGCCACCCCGCGTTGTTGTTTGATGCCGTTTCCGGTCTCAAGGAGAGATTCTCGAGCGCATCTTTCGCCGCAGCGGTGGTGGTCGTTTCTTCTCCTTCTGAAGGGACCGTCATGAATACTTATGTATACGGAAAAGAATGCGTTTCTGATGTGATCGGAATTCTAACAAGATCTGCGCTCTTCTTCTCAATTGCTCTTTTCTTCTATTGCAATAAAAAACAAATAAAAACGCGACTTAGAGAAAACGCTCCTTTCCTCGAACAGGCTCGATGTTCAGATGAAATCTCTCTCTCCTTTTCGCTCGTCTTATTTCTTTCTTCTAGCTGCTCCTCTCCGGTCGTCGCTCTTTGTCGTCGTTCGCAGAGAAGCTCTCTTTTTATGACAAAATTTCTTTCACAGAGAGAGAGAGAGAGAGAGAGAAAAAGCACCCCTGTACAAGGTTTAGGGTATAAGAGAAAAAAAGAAGGGGAAAAAAACGTACCTTTTCAACACTTTGTTTTGGGGCGAAAGAGAATACGAATATAACACACGACGATAAATGATCATCAACGGTATTGCCAGAGCGAACAAAACGTGTTGTCGGAGGTGTTTTTCTCGTCGAGGTGGTTTTGCGACGAGAAGTGGTTTTGCGACGACGACGACGAAAGCGGTGGTGGTTTCGTCGTCGTCCTTTTTGTCAGAAAGGCAAAACACGGAACAACGGTATTTGAGGATGATGCAAAACAGAGGGAGAAGGAGGACGCCGCGTGATGGGTGTTGTTATTATTATTATTATTATTATTATTTGAACAAAAACAGTAACAGCAGAGCACTGTTTACCACCACCAAAGCTGCCACTGATGATGATGAGAGCAACGACAACAAAAGCGCGTCGTCTTTGATGAAAAAGATGTCGTTCAGGACGAAAAAACCTTCCCAAACTGGCCAAATTGCAAAAATTTTAGCCGAAATGGTTATACGAGGCGGCGATGTGATTTGTTTGCACGGCACCGTCGGTGCCGGGAAATCTCTGTTTGCGAGAGCGTTTATTCGTTCCGCGTTGAACGAAGGTTTGTCTTTGTCCGTCACGTCTCCGACGTATCTGATTCAGAACACGTACGAGAAGGACGACGAGAGCGATACGATGAAAGGCGTTCAAAAGGTGCACCATTTTGACCTGTATCGATTACCAGACGAAAAGAGCGTGATGCAGTTGATTGATTTAGAGGATACTTTTTCAAATACGAGCGTGTCAGTGTTCGAATGGCCGGACAGGTTGGGGTCTTTGATTGAAAAAGCGGAGAATAGAGTGGACGTGTTCATATCGGCGTCGGCTGAGATAAACTCGAGCGAGGATGATTTTGAAAACAAGTTTGGAGCGGTTCACGAGGCGCATTTACTCGCATTGGACTATGAAAGTGAAGAGATTGATAACGACGACGACGACGACGAGGAGGAGGAGGAAGGTGATAGCAATGATGACAATCATAACCCAAAAACGATTAGAACGATAGAACTGAAACCCGTAGGTGCGAGCATCACGGAAAGACTCGAAGAGAGTTTGTTTAGTAAAAAAACTTAATAAAGAACACACATACAGTGTAGTAGCAGTAACCGTATTCAATCTATCGCCATATATTGTACATCTACACACAAAAGCAGCAAAAATTCTATTCGTATTATTATTGTTCTATCATCTCTTTCAAATCGTCCAAGTCTTCTGGGATCTCGTTGTCTTCCCACTCGCCCTCGTCCTCGTTCAAATACGCTTCGTCAAACTCATCGTATTCACCGTCATCATCCTCCAAATCGCCAACAGCGCCGCCAGCTTCAGTATTGTTAAGCCCTTTTGCGGCAGCAAACGCTCGAATAAGTCCCGCTTCTAACGGGTTGAACGTATCTACGTTATCTATGGTCCCAGACAAACTCCCCGCTCTCACAGCTGCGCCAAGCGCGACGACTTCGTCCGGGTCCACTAAATCCAACTCTGGTTTCCTCGAAAATGTGTTTTCGACAAACTTTCTCACACAAGGCGTTTTTGTCGCTCCTCCAACTAATAATACTCTATCAAATGGCCGTCCAGCCGATCTCGTGCTAATCTTGTTTCTATTTTTCTTCTTGTTCTTCGCCTCTTCGATTTGCCTGAGACGTTCCAAGTTCACCCCGGCGCTATCCGCGCATTCCACGCACGGCTGTCGCATTCGTCGCAAAACGCTCGTGCAAGCTTTCTCTAACATCTGTCTCGTAAACGCTACCTCTTTCCCATCTGGTGGTAAAGGCACGTTCACAACATCCACGTCGGAAAGTTTCTCTCTCGTCCTCCTGGCGTTTAACAACGCGCCTCTAAAATCAACAATCAACCCTTTCTTATCGCACTCTTTACTCATCCATTTCGCTACGGCTACGTCTAAATCGTCCCCGCCTAATCTAGAATCTCCCCCAGTGGCTAACACCTCCAACGTTCCACCGCCAACTTCTAAAATCGACACGTCGAACGTGCCGCCGCCTAAATCGAAAACGAAAATCGTTTCGTCCAAGTCCGGGTTCATGATGTCCACCCCGTACGCCAAAGCCGCGGCTTCCGGTTCTCTCAACGTCTTCACCACTTTCAAGCCAGCCATCATCCCCGCATCTACGGTTGCATCCACTTGCGTCTGATCAAAATACGCAGGAACCGTAATCACCGCTTTTTCAATCGTCCCTCTCTCGAGACCTCGATACCGCTCGGCTTCGAGAACGAGTCGCTCGATAACCTTCGAGGATATTTCTTCTGGAAGTAAAGAAACACCTTCGCCTAAATTCGGTACTTTTATGCCCACTCTTTTTGTCTCGTCGTCGAAGCAGCACTCGTACGATACCGATTTCATATCCTCCTTCGCTTTCCGATATTTCCTTCCTATGAGCCTTTTCACCGAACCGAACGTGTTTTTCGGGTCGGAGCGTAAAAAAGGAACCGCATCGTGTCCGGTCAAAACTTCACCAGAACTCGTGAAATGTATCACCGATGGCATCGTTCTCGTCGTTTCCACGTTATTTATTGTCGGTATCGGGACGATTTCCGTTTTCCCAGAGTCCGTGACTATCGCGACGGCGCTGTTCGTCGTGCCCAAATCGATGCCACAAATGCCAGACGAATTCGAATTGGTGTTGGTGTTGGTGACGACGAGGAGTTGATTTCTTCGTCTGCCGTGCGACGATGCGGTCTTAGTACTCGCGCGAGAAGATGCGAAGCGATGCTGACGACGATGATGATGCACTATTGGCAATATCGTCGCTGAGGCGAACATTTGTGTATCTTGCTTTACGCGTTAAAGAAAGCGCCTAGGGGAATAATTACTGTTAGGTAATGCGAAAGAATTTGGGAGCAAAAATGGTGATATTTTTGTACAATGCTACGCCTTCTACGTAAACATCAGATGTGGTATTATTATTACAACGCACGCCCTAATATGCATCCCTGCGACGTTTCGTCGTCGTCTTCTTCGTATTTCTACACACCACTACTTTCTTTGCCGCGCGGCTTTTTCTATTGTATTCATTTCATACACCTTATTTTCGTTTGCTCAAATCCGCCCACGTCTTACCGATTCGTAAATCCGCAAATAAAGGCACTTTCAAATTGAAGTGTTTCCCGACATCTTCCATGGCTTTCCTTGTCTCCCGACCAACCATTTTAGCGAGATTTTCGTCGCATTCGAACAACAACTCGTCGTGTATGGTTAAGATTAAATCGGTTTTTTTCAACAAGGACTTCTTGCGTAAGTTTTCGAGCGCGGACATGGTGGCCATTTTAAGGATGTCAACCGCGCTGCCTTGCATCAAGGTGTTGATGAAGACTCTTTCCGCGGTAGCAGCGTGCGAGAAATTCTCGGATTTCAGTTCTGGTAAATCTCTGAAACGTCCCGATAACGTTCTCGCGCGCGGCGAATCTTTCGTCTTTTCTAAGGCAAGGATTTGCGATTTCCATTTTTCGACGCCCAATAAAGTGGTACCTTTGAGATCATCGAGCATTTTCGTCGCTTCGTTCTCAGCGATGTTCAAGCTCTTTGCAAACAATTTCACGCCGGAACCGTAAATGACACCATATACGAGATTTTTCGTTTGTTTCCTCTGTTCGTCAGTCACCGCGTTGTAATCCACGCGCATCCATTTCGAGGCGATTCGCGTAAACGGATCCGCATTTTCCTCTTCGAACGGGTTAGAACTCAGCGCGGAAATCAACGTCGCGTCTTCGGAACAGTGCGCGACTAACCTCAATTCCAATTGAGCATAATCACACGCGACTAAAATCCGCCCTTGTGGAGCTTCAAAGAGCGAGCGCAGAGATGTGGGCACTTTCTCATCAGAAACGGCGCCGTGAGGAATGGAATACAAGTTTGGATTAACGGACGTCGTTCGTCCAGTTTCCGTATCGGTTTGGTTCGCGAACGCGTATATGCGGTCTTTCGTCGTTGCTTTCGTTCGAGAAATATCGACGCCATCCTCATCGACTTCGTCTTCTTCTTGTATGGGACGAGATGCGACCAATGAAAGCTCCTCGGCGGTAGCTACGTACTTACCCAAACTCCTATGCTCGGATATCAACGCCGCGACTGGGTGCGCCAACTGCTTCAAACACTCCGCATCAACTTTGAACTTCTGCCTGCGTTTAATTTTGTCATTTTTACCGTTATCGTTATAACGTTTGGTGTTAAAATCTGGAATTATTGCATCGTCCGGCGGCGTCAAACCTAACGTTTCAAACAGTAAAATACTCACGTCCGTGGACGAGTTCAAATTCACTGAGGGCATTTCGGGCGAATACCATTGCATGCAAATGGTTTCGATCTCATCTCGTCTCGCTTTAGCTTTTGCGATGTGTGGTTGGAGTGCTGCAGCATTAATCGGTACGCCGACATTTTCAATATCGGCCAACGCTCGCGCGAAGGGCATTTCCAACGTTCGCAAAGCCTGGTACACGTCGCTTTTCTTGCACATGTGCTCAAACGTCTCCGAGACGTGCCAAATGGTCGCCACAGCTTTAGCTAGCTCTAGCCGAAACACAGAGAGTTTATTTCGGTGCCTATTTATTTTTGCTCGGGGATCGTACGTCGATTGGCGTTCGATTTTCGAGACGTTCAGCGCGGGTGAGAGGTCGCCGATGAACGTTCTCAAGATGGCGTCGCACAAGGATGTTTCGTAGGTCATCGCAGCAGATGACATATTCAAGACTACCTTATTGTTATTGTTACTTTCACTAGACGACCGCAACATTCGCGATGACCCCCATGCGTTTGCAGAAGAGACGCACGGTGTCGTCTGCACGTCCGGTCGCAACAACCACGCCATGATGCGAAGATCCAAAACACGCTCGCCACAAAACGCAAAGAAATACTCGTGTGGTTGTTGGGCTACTGAACGAGCGGAATTCTTCAATCTCGATTCGCGGTCTTCGAACGTTTCTGCACCGAGTAAACTTCTCAGTTGCGGTTTCAAATCAATCGTCATTTTCTTCGACCGAGCGTCTCGCAAAATCTCAATCGCCGTGGCAACGTCGCACGCCGGTTTGTCTTTCGTTTCGTTTACGATTTCCGTCGCTTCGTTGCCGGCCTCATCTCTTGACTTTGCGCGTAAGCGCATGAAATACACGCACTCGTCGCTAAATGCTAAGAAGATACCAATCGGTGGCAACGAAAACGGTTCCAATGGGTTTGGTTCGAAGAGAATGGCGTATTTTTCGGACTCGCGCCATTTCTTTGTCAACGCGGCGACTTGTTCCGCATCTCTGCAGAAGACAATGCTCGGGGTTTTGTCGTCGAGATCGAAATCGTCGTCGTCTTCCTCCGTGAACGGCGTTGGATATCTTTTCGCGCGCTTGAAAGAAGAAGCATTCCTCGCGTTCTCATTTTTACCTTCGACCAAAACGTGGTCTTTTCGTTTTTTAACGCCTCCTCTGCAACCTCCCGCCCACATGTCTTCCGCTTCCGCTTGCTCTTCTTCTTCTTCTTCCTTGAGAAGCATCGTGGTCGTGGTGGTCGTAGTGTTATTGGTCGTGTTATTCTCCTCCTCCAAACAAAACAACTCTTCCTCTTCCATCAACTCACGCATTCTCTGTTCCGCTTCTTCTCTCGCCGCTTTCGCTTCCTCGGCGATAAATTTCTCGCACGCTCTAAAAATCTGGTTCGCCGTGTGTGCCGAGTTTTTCACCGTGTTCAAACGTTTGATGGCTTTTTGCACTCTTTTGACGCCAAATCCGACGACATCTTTTGGCGATTTCATTCCCGCATCTAGTAACGCTCGCGCTCGAGTCACATCTATGCAGTCTCCGACGCAAGTGAGTGGTAAAATATCTTCTCTGCCACCAACCATGAGCCGTTCCGCAGCGCGATTTACCAAATCGCCTAAATCCTGCCATCGCATGTACACGCACACGGACGAGACGGTGAATCCTAAACGAACCGATTCTTCCTGTAACTTTTTCAACGTATGACCGGTGATGGAATACTTTTTACATATGTGATCGACTTTGACTTCTTCGACTAAGTCGAGTAAAATTAACGCGTTGATGAATCGAATGCACAGCAGTCGTTGCCTCGCATGATTCTCGTCTCGCGGGTTGTCCATTTTACCTTGTTGTAAACGACTTTCGACGTACGCGCGATCAATACCGACCATTTCCAGAACAGACTTTTGCAATGGATCTAAGTTTGAGTACAAATCCATGAAGAACTTTTGATTTAATGGAGGTAACGGGTTAGGCGGGACCATCTTCTTGATGACTTTGCCGTTCTTTTGCACGATTTCCTCTTCGCGCCAATCCAATGTCGGAGTAATCAGAAACAACAAGTGCAGAGGCGTGGCTAAGACTAAAGCCTTCCTGGCTAACAACAAATCTTGTTCGACGCGTCGAATCGATTCGACTTTAACCATCCCAGATTGCGCCGCGGCGTTTCCTAAATTTGAGGCTGAATATGTGTGCGTTTTCGGACACCATTTCAATAACGCTTCGTCTTGCAACCACTTCAACGCCTCGACGGCGATGGATTGCACGTAATCGTCGAAATCGTTCAACGCGGATAATAGCGTTTTCTGCGCGTAGCGTTTGACTTCTCTCGCGTGTCGGACTAAACCTGAAGCACATCCCTCCAACATGACACGCCGCATGCCAGCTTGTGCCAACGCAGATTCCAACTCGGGCAAATCCCCTTCGAGCATGTCGCGCACTTCCTCGATTTTCTTCTCGAGGACTTTCTCCGGAACGTCTTGACCGACGAAAACGTAAGCGCTGCCTCGATCGTCTAAGCCAGCTCTTCCAGCGCGACCGATCATTTGCTGCAGATTTCTCGGTTCCAGTTTTTGCGTTCCACCGACGAGCAAGTCGCGAACGATAACCCTTCGCGCGGGCATGTTCACGCCCGCCGCGAGCGTGGACGTGGCGCATACGATGCGAACCAAGCCACGTTTATATGCAACTTCAATCGCTTGACGTTCTTCTACTTGCATGCCAGCGTGATGGAACGCAATACCTGAAATGATGTACTTGGCGATATTGGAAATCGAACCATCTTTATCGTTCCTCGGTAAAGCGTCGTAGGCGAATTGTTCTCTCGCCTCGACCGAGTTCCCGATACCTAAATTAACATCAACAAATTTCATTTTCGCCAACTGATCTGCGAGTACTCGACATTTATCTCGCGTGCCGCAAAAGACAAGAACCTGGCCATTTTCCTGTAACGTTTCCATGCACAGTTTACCTACGTGTACCACATCGTTTCCTTGCTCTAACGTACGAACGACTTCGCCCGACGCACTGTCGATAATATTATTTCTCGATTTGACGAAGACTTCCAACGTCACCGGTCGATAGTTACTAATGCTACAAGACGCGTCCAGCCATTCCGCCAGCGCATTTACGTTCGGTAACGTCGCGGACATGCCAACAATCTGTATCGGCCTTTGGTTATTCATTGTATTTTCACCTTCTTTAGACGGTGGCGAGAAGATGGAGTACCCGCCGTCCGAGGACGAGTATTGCGACACGTCGCCCAATACCGTGTTTGTATTTGCGGCATCTCCAGGCGCGCCACTCCCATTCTCTTCAGTCGCGTACACTAACTTCGTCAACAAACACTCCAAAGTCGCACCTCGCCCTGGTTCTTGAACCATGTGTAACTCGTCGACCACCACGCACTTCAAATCTTTCAATCTGTGTTGTTCAATCATCTTCGTCACCAGAGCGTTGGCTTTCTCCGGCGTGCACACAATCAAGTACGTTTGCCCAGTTCCAGATTTCGGTATACCGCCGCCACTCCCACCAAAGTGACGCAACACGCGCAATCGGTGTATGCTCGACAATAAAATCTCCAAGTCTCTCGCTCTTTCCACGCATAAGGACACGAATGGCAACACCAACAAACATATGCACCCTTTGTATTGCGTCAATCTTCTCGCTAACAAAATATCCGCGACTAAGGATTTCCCACCGGACGTGGGCGCGCAATACACGATATTTTGACCGTGCGTTAACACGCCAGGGGTGTTTAGCACGTCCGATTGCCAATCGTACAACTTCTTGATCCCTTTCCTGTGTAAATATTTCACGAACGATTCCGGCAAGTGCAACGAGTGCAACGGAATAGTCTCCGCCGTCGTCGTCTCCGCGAGCTGTTTCTTCTTCTGCTCTTTCTTGAGTAGCGTCGGGGAATCAATCGGAGGTAGCGAGGCTAAAAAACTCTTGGAATGTTGTTGTATTGGAAGAGGAGCAACTGCGTTTTGTTGCTGTTGTTCATTCTCTCCCAACGCGGCGGCGGTAAAATCTAAAGACCTTCGTCTTCGCTTTGAAGTTTTCAACGAATCTCTCCTCGTCCCGACTGGACCAACGTTCAGCATCAAAAATTGCGCGTCGTCATTTTCGTTCTCCTCCTCCTCCTCTGAGAAGAACCGCGGCGAAGACAACATCACATCCTCGTCGTGCATTGTCGTCATCTCCTTTTCGATGTCTCTTTCAATCTGATCGTTTGTTTTCGCCGGAGAAATGTCTCGCGTGACGTTCTTCATCATCTCTCTTTATTCTTTTTTCCCCAACAAAAAGAAAGAATTGTTGGCACGCACTCAAAAATTATATCTCGAAGACATCACTGTGAGTGCGTGGCGACATTTGCGACAAAACGCGGGCTTAACGTTTTACTCTGAGAGTAATAGCAGTGGAGTAGTAATGGTGATAGGAAAACAAGAGCGACAGCAAGAGCAACGAGTGGTGTGTGGTTGCGTCGTGCATGGTAAAAAATGAGGATTTCTTTTTTTTCCAATTTTTTCTTCCCCTTTTTTTTTCAAGCAATCGAAGAATTCTCTTTCTTCTTTGGATCGAAAAGTCGAGCGAGTGCCCAGATTCGATGCGATGAATAAATTCGAAAAGTTAAGTTCTATCAACAACAGTATCTATCATCTCCTCGCAGCGCGCGCGGCGAGGGCTACATACATAGTCTGCTGAAATTAAACAACGCATGTAATAATAATAATACTAATAGTTTCTTCTAATAGATGCTAATAATAATACTAGTTTACTCATTTCTTATCGTTTAACAATTGATAGGCGATAATCGCGGCGTCTGGGAAACGAGTGACAAAATACAACGCGACGAGGCGTTCGAGTTTGACGTATTCGTCTTCGCCAGGTTTTTCCACAAACGGCGCGCCATTAGCGGAGAGCCAGCTTTTCATTTCGCGCTGAATTCGAAAGGCTTCTCCTCCGTGTCCCATGGGTGGATGGGTATAGATGTTACGAATGCAAAGGACTAAACCTGCAAAATCGTTCGAGTACGCGCCGGCGCTGAGTTGTTCTTGCTTTTTGTCCTCTGGTATTTCGGTTTCCAGGGACTCTAACGAAGCCGAAGATACCTTTAGAGTTTCCATTTTACCTCCTTGGATATCTTCTTCGCTATCGTTGGTGTCATCGGGGGCAATAACTCTCTCTTTCTGACGTCGTTCTCGGGCCGCTCGCCGTTTCTGGGATCTCGTCAGTGGTCTCGCGTTGTTGCTGCCGCTGCTGCCACTATCTTCCGCTCTTCTTCGTTCTGACCTTTGTAATAAACTCGACAGGATGTGATCTTTCCAGTTGTTGATATTATCCGTCACTCTCCTCACGTCGGCTTTTCGACCAACCCATGCTCTCTCGACTAAATTTTGTGTGGTTTGATCTCCGATTAAACTCTTCGCTCTGCCGACTTTGCCCGGGTTGGATCTATCGGCAACATCCTCTATCTGCTCCATACAAAACTCTGGATCACACAGTTGCATCATTGACACGAACTCCGCAGAAGTTGGGCGTTTTTTTGGATTTTGATGCAGCGTCTTTCCAATCAGATAGTTGGAGACGACTTGGACGTGCCGAGGTAAATTCGCGACTTGTAAAAGAGTGTTCAAATTTTCGTACCTTCCTTCTCTTTTCTTGTGATTCATCCTCGTAATCGCGGCGACATCGTCCTCTTTGATTTCCACCGAAGAATAAGGAGACCACGCCCCGGTGAGCACTTGAAAAGCCAAGCACCCGAGATCCCAGACGTCTCTCTTCGGAGTGAGTTGCACCACCCCAGATCCGTCCCAGGAGAGCTCTTCAGGGGGTTTTCTCAACGGGTTTTGCATACTTCCAGTGCCCACAGTGGAAGGACCCATGCCATACTGCGACGTGAAACTTTGTGCCTTTCTTTGAGTTCCTTCGAACGATTGGAAGCGATCGTCGAATTCTTTCGCGAGGCCAAAATCCGAAATTTTAAAGATTTTCGTTGGTTCTTCTCCTTCTTCTTCGAATATCTCGTCATTCCTACTTTTCAAACAATTATCAGCCTTGATGTCGTTATGCGCGACTCCAGAGGCGTGTATTTCCTTCAAAGCGACGGCTATTTGCTTCACAACTTTAACACGTTCCTCCCACGGGATTTCTTTAACGCTTTGACGAGCTTTCTTAAAATCTGTATCTTTTTTCTTGAGCGCAACCCCGCCGTTAACTAACCAGGATGTAAGCGTCTCGCCGCATAATTCCGTTGCCACGTATGCGGCTTTGTTTGAGTCATCATCGTCTTCGTGTACATTTAACTCTGCGCCGAATAAACGAGTGATTCTTCTCGATGCTATTTTTCGGTGAACCTCAAACTCTCTTCGGAGTAATTGTCTTCGCTCGTCCGCATTTTTGCTATCCGCATCGAGCGGGATTCTTTTAATCGCCGCATCGTGCGGTTTGATTTTGCCTGTTGTCGGATGTTTCTCGTCATAATACCCTTCATAGACGACAACTCCAAGTGAACCCGTGCCTAAAACCTTTTTCCTGTCGTACCAAATCGATTTCCCAGCGTTTACCTCACCCTCGTACCGTTGCATGTACGCGCTCATCCCTCTTTTCACTCTCGTATCTTTGAGATACTGCGCGTACGCTTTTTGAAGTTCTTTCTGACGCAGTATTGCTTTCTCAATCACCGAGTTCGGAAGGTTCGCTTCGGTAATTTTATTTTTCAACGCAAAGTGGTCATTTTCATCCATCGCGCGAAAGAGTTCTTTACAATCCTTGAGCTTTTGCAATCGATTGGCCATCATTTGCATGAGTTCGGTAAACTCATTTGATCTCGAGTTAATATCAGCGAAGGAAATACCTTTACCAACGTAGTCCTTCCATTCCGGAAGGAGAGATAACTTATCCCTCTCTTGAAAATACGCGAATCGTTTGCTCGCTTCCTCGTTCGCTTTGATCACGCGATGTATGAGAGTGTCGATTTCCTCCTCATCTTGCGCGAGAATAGGCGACGCTTCGTCGTCGCACAAAAATCTCAACTCGTTCAGTTTTTCCTTCATGTCTTCTAGATTCTGTTCTTCAAACGTCATGATTTTCTCGTACGCTTCGACATTTCCCATTACTTTGATGAAATACGGATCTTTCCTCGATAAACCGGCTCGATCGAGTTCATCGATACATTTTTTAATTTTCGATTCATAGACGTATCGAAGTACTCCTACGGGGATTACCGAATCGCTTGCCCACCACACTAAATTATAGGTCAAAAAATCCGAAACCGTTTCTTTCGCTTTTGCTACGTTATAAGCACGTCTAAATCTTCGCAAAATATCCTCGACTTGTGTCAAAGGCGGGAATATTTCTAAATCTGAAGAAGAGAGTGTCTCGACTTTTGCTCTTCGCGATGCTTCTCTGCTTGTTATATCGCCTTCCGTCATCTCCCCGTTCAAAAATTTCTTGGTATCCAAGATGGCAACTTTCGCTCGAGTGCCAAAGTTCTCAAACTGTAGCAACTCGTCGGTGCGTGTGTTATCAAATCCCAGCTGTACGAAAAATCGAATCGCGCGACCGAGATACCCGTCCTTCTTCTTGTCCCCCACTTCGTCCGTTTTTGCAAACGTCCACGCGATATCATCAAACTTCTCTTTCGCTTTGCTCGAGGGACACTGACCTGCTTTCAAGGCTTCTATAGTCGCATCTAAATCTAAATCAGCATCAATAAACGCTCTCTCCTGATCCATAATTTTATTCCCTATTCGGTTTTCCCATTCGATTAAGCATGCCTCTCGAGTCAATCTCACGGTTTCGTTTTGTAAGGATCGCCATTTATCGTACGTATTGTCGAGGGACGACATACTCTTATTATCTTCCACTTGTAATCCACAAACGGCAACGTCCACGTTGGTTTCTCGCGCGAATCTGAAAATGTCCGACAGCTCTTCCACCGCTTTCTCATTTCTTGCTTTCGCCGGCAAAACGAAGGCGACGACTAACGGATTATTACTCGCCTCTTTGTTAAAAAATGGAAACGGGAAATACGTCGGCGCGACGACGTGCGGATCCACCAACTCTTTCATCTGATGCGTAGATACCCATTGCGCCGAGTTGTTCTTATTATTACTATCTTTTACCTTCTTCCGAATAACCAAATCGCGCTCTCTCGAGTCTGGTCTCGAAGCTGTGCCGACTGTCCCTAAAAACGTCTTCTTTAACTTTTTCGAAAACGTCCAATCGGTCGCGTACACGAAACTCGCGTCCCTAAGCATTTGATTATGTAAACCCTCGTGCATTAACAAACTTTCCTCTTTCGGTAGCCCGACGATGGTTAACCATAACTGTCTCCTCTTCTTCAGCGACATCTTCAAAGGCCATTTGGACCACCAGTCGTTCCCGGATTGCGAACTGTAATACAACAAACTATTCGCGCTCATATAGTCTAACAACTGATTACCTTGTACGGTCATCTCCATCGTGTTTTTCGCTTTCAACTGATAATACTTGGTTAATTTCTTCGGTGTTCCGCTAAATGGAGGTGGTTTCCTTTTCGTTTCTCCTTCGCCGATGACGTGCGCCAACACCGGCACTTGCGTCGGAAACCACGACTCCATCGACGTCGCCTGCCTCAGCCACATCCACATCCACGGGAAGTTATTATTACTCAATAGATTCTCCTCGTCGTACTCTTTCTTCGGTAAGTGTCCTCTGTACCCACTCAATATCTTATACACAAACGTAGGAAAGTACGAGTTTATCGCGCCAAATGAAGAATCCCGTTGCACTCGCAAAACGTAATCTGTTCTCGTCTTCTTTTTAGAATGAGTAACAACATCTGTTTTATTCTTAACGACGACGATCGGGTCCCAGAAGTACTTGTAGCACCACCACGCGTTTTCCGGTGCAGGTTTCCCTAATTCAATCGCTCTCGCGTATTCTTGTTGCGTTTGGAAGTTTTTTAAGTGCACTAAAGACGAAGACGAAGATGAAGAAGACGAGCTGTTGTTGTTGTTGTTGTTCGCCGTCGCAGTCGTTGCCGATGATGATTTTTTCAAAGAAGAAGAATTCGAAGTCGACGCTAACGAGCGGTGACTCCTCGCTCTTCGTTCTCGCGAAGACGACGACGACAGCGAGGAGAGCAGTAACTGCACTCCGCGACGACGAGTGTTTGTCGTCATCTCTCTTCTTCTTCACTCATCGTTGTTTCACGTGAAGTACATACATAATGTATATAATTTGCGAGAAAAATTTTGAGGAACAAAATTGTGTAATGCGGGAAAGCGTTTTTCATCTGCGGAAGAAAGAAAATCGCTCGTCTTTCTGAAATTTTTGGTCTTTTGTGGGACAGAAGAGAGCGAAAAAAACCTCTCTTTTTTGTGTCGTTCTCTCGAACACTCTCTCTCTCGGGTGTTTTGAGTGATCGTCTCTCTCGAAGAATAAATCAAATCTCTTTACACTTACTCTCTCGCAAGAGTATCGCTCTCTTTCATAAAGGAGTGTTTATATATCAGAACGCTGTTATCTCTGTTATACTACTCTTCTTATCAAGGCACAGAAGAGAGAGAGAGAGAGAGCAGAAAGCGCAAATACTCTCTCTCTTAAAAAAAGAGATCGAGGATTAAACCCAGTCGACCACAAAAGCACAATCAAAGAGAGGGCGTGTGTGTGCGATCATCATCGTCTCGCGAGAGAATATATTTCCCTAATTTGAGAGAAGGCACCTCGTAATTCTCTCTCCGTAATTTCAGTCTTCTCTCTCTCGAGGAGTAGTAGCGACGAGAGAATGGTCGCGGCGGCGCTGAATAACAACAACAACAACAACACTTCCTCCGAGGAGCAGCAGGAAAACGCGGGGACTATTTCTCGTAATCATCATTCTCACGAAGAAAAAGCTTCATCATTATCGTTGTTCGAATTGGAGAAGGCCGACGGGATGACGATGACGGTGAAAATGTCGAAGAATCCATCTCTCGATGCTCGAAAGGAACAACAACATGAACAACAAGAACAAAAACAATTGCTATTAAAAAACACCGCGGCGGGACCACACGTTCTCTCTTCATCGGAGACTCCAACGAGTATCGGCGACGAGACTTTATTCTCGCAACAACAGAGGTTAAAGAGGAAAGCTGGGGAACTGCCCATCAAGACGAAATTCGTGAGCGCGTCGACGCTTCGAGCAGAAGGCGACGGATCCGAGGCGAAGACGACAGCAACAACAACAACAACAACAATAGTAACACCTACTATTGTTGCCGCAGAATTCGACGAGAATGGTGTTCGCAAATCGAAAAGGTCCGTCAAGCCAAAGATTTTGTTCGACGATACCGAAGACTACGAACGCATCAACACGTACGAACGACCGGGATCGTCGAATAAGAAAAACAAGAGAGGAAATAGCAAAGGAAACAGTAATAATAATAACAAAGAAAACGGCAGCACTAAAAAACGAAAAATGGAATCAGCCGCGGCGGATAAATCGAACGCAGGCGCCGCCGCCGCCGTGGTCAAAATAGACTTTGAAGAGTTGAGGGCGAAGAGAGCGTATATCGGCAAGAAAGTTGAAGTTTTTTGGATCGGCGAACAAGTGTATCATCGAGGAACGATCGTAAACTACGACCAAGTGGTGAAAAGACACTGCGTGAAGTACGACATGGTGAAAAGAGAGAACGAAGGGGTGTTGGATTATATCGACATCGAGGCGGATACGCTCGAATGGTGCGACGCCGACGACGAAAAAGATGAAAACAAAAATAACACGACGAAAACAAAGAAATCAAAGAGTAAAGTCACGTTACCGGCGCAAGGTAAAATGTCTGAGATTGTCGCGCAGATGTCCGAGAGCTGGCCGAAAGTTGGTGCGCACGTTTGGGGACGCGTGAAAGGTCACGGATGGTGGCCAGGCGTCTGTAAAGGCAAAGAATCATCCGCGACAAGAACGATCGCGTTCTTCGACGATTCCACGGCTAAATGTTTGCGCGCTGATCTCGTACCGTACAACACCTTTTTTGATGTGTTGAAGAAATCGAAGGCGTCTAAATCATACGAAAACGCGGTGAAACGATCGATGGAATCTGCGGAAAAGAACTTCACGGAAAGGTTGAAGAAACGCGTGGCGAGAAAGCAAGAAGAGTTTGCGGAGATTCGAAAGAAATACGCCGCTTTGACAAAGAAGCGACAAGAACAGCAGACAACAACAACAACAACAAAACCAACAGCAGCAAAGAATAAATCAACGCACAACACCAAGAGCAAAAAAGGAAAAACGAAGCATAACATTAACGCGAACAACAAAGTTATCAAGAACGACGCGGATTTATTGGCAAACGTTGATATGAATGGAAACTCCTCCGCCGCGAGACTCGCTCGTTTGGGTAAGCATTTCGACGCGCTGAAAGATCGCGTCGCGCCATTGGCGATAGCCGCTTCGCAGCACTTGCGCGTGCAGCTGCAACTTCAAGAACACACCGGAGGCGAGAACAGAATGGCTCAAATGACTGAACGCGAACGGGTCATTCTCTTGGAAGAGCTCGAATCGTTGAAGTCTTTCTTGGTTACTACTGGAAGACATTTGGAAGTAATTAACGCAGAGAACCCGGAAGATGTTGCCATGTTTGGCTACGACGACGACTTTGACAACCAGATCGCAAACGCGACGTTCATGACTGTTGGTGGCGACGACGTCGTCGGTAAAACCGGAGAAGAGGAAAATTTGGACGATCCCGACGAGGTTGAAGACGGCGTCGACGACGACGACGACGTCATCGTCGACGACGATATGATTACCGATTTGGGGTTAAGTGGCGATGATATCGTAGATAAGGATGATAATGGCGACGACGAGAAGACGGTTAAGCCAGAAGAGGCAACGAACATTGCAGACGCGCTTGACCCGACGCCTCTCGACGCGCTTCTCTTTCAAGAAGAAGAAGAAGAAGAAGAAGAAGCAAGAGGAGAGCAGCCGAAAACGCCTCACTACCCGACCCGAGATGAGGAAGAAAATGAATTGAAGCACACGTCCAGCGACGACCGAACGGAGAGAAACGACAGCGACGACAACGACGCGTCTTTGCCGTTGAATGAAAATTCCAAATCCATCGGCGGCGACGCCAAAGACTGCCAAGAAGAAGAAGTTCGCAACACCGCTTCCAAAGTCGCAATCTAATCATCAGCATTAAACATAATAAAGAAACACGTTTTGTACTACCTATGTTATACATTTAAGTATTATTGTTTTATTAAACTACTACGTGCTCTCGTATTTGAACTCCAAAACGGAAAACGAACCGTCGCCACAAAACTTCACAACAAAAACAAAAATGTCACACAAACCTCCTCCGAAATGGCTCCCGTTGGAATCCAACCCATCCGTTCTGAACGATTTCAGCTACGCGTTGGGTCTTTCCACCGCGTACGCGTGGTCGGACATTTTCGGTTTCGACGACGAGTTATTGGCGATGGTGCCGCCAAACTGTCGAGCGGTCGTGTTGTTGTTTCCAATCACGGACAAGTCCGAACGATTTCAAAAAGAAGAGCGAGAAGATATTGAGAACGGGAAAAGGGCAAACGAAGTCTCTTCGAACGTGTATTACATGAAACAAACGGTTGGAAACGCGTGCGGGACGATCGGAGTGTTCCACGCGATCATGAACAATCGAGAGGACGTTTTGACAAACCAAAACGAAGAAGACGAAGAAGAAAACAAAAATTACTTTCGAAGATTTTTCGAAAAGACCAAGGACATGACCCCGGACGAACGCGCGAAATTCGTAGAAACAGACACGGATTTAGAGTCGTATCACGCGACAGCGGTGAACGCGGGAGATACGGAAGTGCCTTCTCTGGATGCGAAGATTGATTTACATTTCATCGCGTTGGTCGAGCGAGACGGGAGATTGTACGAGCTGGACGGGAGGAAGCAAAGCGCCATCGACCACGGGGAAATCGAGAGAGGAGATTTGTTGAAACAAAGCGTGGAGAGGGTGATTAAAGGATTCATGGAGAGAGCGGATGGGAGCATTCACTTTGGCGCGTGCGCGTTGGCCGAAAATAGCGAGTTATTTTGAATTCATTTTGTACTAGGAGGTTTTAGATGTAATAGAATAAAAAACACAACGCTTGAAAGAAAGACGACGAAGGAAAAGAAACGCTTTAGTATTATAAAAGTTGATATTGTGTTGTTATTAACTACAAATTTCTTCTTGCTCGCTGCTAGTGTGATTATATATATTATAATATATATGTATATCAAAACTCCGTTCCTTCCTCTGGTTGCGGTAACTTTCTGTTCTCCGACCTCGCCATGGCGTGGAATATCGCCCCCAACACGTCGCTAATCGAATTCTGCGGCGTCCACCCTCTCGTCACCCCAATCTTTCCTAAATCAACTTTCCCTGTTCGCCCATCCACGCACGACGGTAAGTTAATTTTCGTTATGAATGTCACCGTCGGCGGTTGCATCGGGTACCCTTCCCCGGCTTCTATGCGTAAAGAGTAGATGCGATTTTCGTAAGACGATTGCATCGGGCCTAAGATGGTACCGTTCCAATATCGCAAGTCGTCGTTGTCATCTGTTGTTTTATCAATAGTAGTAGCATTATTGTAGAATTGTTAAATGTTAGGAAGAAAGAGAATGTGTTGTTCGCATAAATGAGTGGGTTTCGTTCTGCATCGAATACCGCGCTTTGCGAGTAAATCACACAAAAGCACAACGACGATCGATGACACGAGAGAAAAAAAGAAATCGCGCGCAAGAAGAAAAGACTATATACTCCCTCTCGCGCCGGTTGGACGAAGAAGACAAAGACAAGAAGGTATTACCGTCGTCCGCTAACCCGAGCGAGCAATGGTGCGAGTTCACCCCGGTCCCTTTCTCCCCGGCTTCCAGTTCTTCCAAAAGCTTAAACGTTCTCGGGACGACGACTTTTTCTCCTCCTCCTCCTCCTCCTTTGTTCGTCGTCGTCGTCGTGGCGCTCGTCGTCGTGTTCGTGTTGCTGCTGTTGCGGTTGTGCGTTCCACCACCACCGAAAAACATGATTGATGTGGCGTCTCTTTCTCTTTAAACGCTCTCAACTGTGTGCGTGTTGTGCGTATCAACGCTCTGCTAAAAGAGAATCCTCTCTGATTATTCTGTCGTTGTTTTCACACAAGACTCTGGCGGTTTTTTAATAACGAAGAGACATTTTTACATTCTTTCTCAAATAATCTGCACGCTTTAAAAAAAAGAAGAAAAACGGCTTTTTAGAATTCGAGAGGAAAAAGAAGACGACGAAGAAGATAATGGGGAAGCAGGTATCCGGCGCGCAGAAGAGGAAGAAGAAAAAGGAGAAAGAAGAGCTCGCCGCGGAAACGGAGCGGTTGAAGCTTGGACCGACGAAGTTATGGACCGGGTTGGTGTTGCATCAGAAGGATGTTTTCACATCGCATGTGCTTCCGAAATTGAACGAGACGGATCGGTTTTTCTTTGCAGGGGCGAGTGGAGGAAGTTGGGAGGTGCTTGCGTACGCAAAGGTTCGAAATTGAGTTGGAATATTTATGAATGTACATCCATTTCGACTTTGGAGTTTGCGTGGAACAACATGGAATGGGGAGAGAGATTTCCATGTGGAAATGTGAAGGACCAAGCCTGGTTTTGCGCTCAAGTTGCTGGAACGAACAAACTCGAGTTGCTCAAGTGGGCGAGAGAAGTGAAACAGTGCAAGTGGGATGAATGGACGATTACTGCGGCAACAGATCAAGGTAATCTGGAAATGTTGAAGTATTGCATCTCTAACCATTGCCCGTGTGATGTGAGAACACACAGGCATGTGATACTACAGGCATCAAGCAGTGGTCGCGTGGACATCGTGAAATATCTCGTTGAAAAAAGAATGATATCCTCCTATGAGGATAAGCTCAACTGCGTGGTAAGTGCTGCAAGGCATGGCCAACTCGGTTGCCTCAAATACTTATTGGAGAAGGCGAGAGCGCCTCTCGACCATTTTGTCTATATCGCTTACGCTCGTTACTACGAGCAAACGGAGTGCGTAAACTACTTACGAGAAAAAGGGTGCTCGGAACCAACGGACGAACAATACGCTACAATTGTCGAGGACATAGAAGCGCATCCAGACTCTTAGAAGAGTCGCGGCAGCATAACGGCGGAAGGCTTATACAGAGAGAGAGAGAGAGAGAGAGAGAGAGAGAGAGACACGAACATTAGTACAAGAGAGAGAGACACGAAGAACATTATCAGTATTATTTTTAATCGCAAACTATAGTATTGCGTATTTCATAAAAGGCTACCCTACTTAAAAAGTTTGCTGGCATCTTCGTACGCGCTCCCAACGCCGATACCGATTCCAAACGCCGCCACTGCCGTCCTCGCCGTCGTCCCTCGACACATCAACATCGCCAAAGTGGTCCCACCAATCGCGCCGTAGACGATTCGTCTCAACGAGACGTCGATGGCGGCTTCCCACTTCGCATCGAGTTGGAGTTCTTTCGCTCTTTTCTCGGTCATTACTCGTAATAGTATTATTATTCCCTCTCTCTTCTCTCTGCACTCTCTCTCTCTCCGACTCTTTCGTTCTCAAAGTGCGACGACGACAAAAAAAGTACCGCTGCGTTTATTACGACTCGTATATGCAGAGCTACTAAAATACTAAAGTTCGTCTCAAAGCGTATAAGAAGAGTTGTTCTTCTGTTGTCGTGGAAGCAGAGAGAGAGAAGAGAGAGAAAATTTTGTATCTGTCTTTTTTGAGTGTGTGCGATGACTTTTGTCAAAAATTCATCTTCGTTTGTTGCAACAAAAAACTTTTCTCTTGCAAAAATCAAACGTCGACAAAAGAGACGAAGAAGAGAAGGAAATTTGATCAAATTGAGAGAGAGAGAAGAGAGATCTCGTTTTCCTCAGATTTATTCTCCGTCGTTATTCCAGAGAAGAAAACGTCTACTAAATAACGCGTAAGTGCACACGAACACCACGAGAACAAACCTACTTTTAGAGAGAAGAAGAAGAAGACTTTTTTAAGAAGTCTCTCGAAGTCACTCTTTCTTTTCTGCCGCGCGTAGAAAAAGAGAAAATAATGGGCTGCGCGCAATCGACTCCGAGTTCTTCTCAACATCATTCGAGATTGTTTCGTCAGTTATTCGGTAATACCTCTTCACAAGAAGAAGAAGACAACAACGATGAGAGAAGACGGACGAGAGGCGCTTCCTCCTCTTCCTCTTCTCGACAACAGAGAAGAGATGAACGAGATGAAATTTTGAAAACGAAAGTCGTTTTACTCGGCGACAGCGGGGTTGGGAAGTCCTGCATCGTCAATCGGTTCGCCACGAATACGTTTGACGTTGATTCTCGAGTGACGGTTGGCGCCGCGTTCGTGGCGAGGACGATTGAAGTCAACAAAAGCGATAAAGATGAGAGTTTAATAAAAATGAAAAAGCCACCACAAGCAGGGCGAAGAGTCAAGTTTGAAATCTGGGATACCGCCGGTCAGGAAAGGTACGAGAGTTTAGCGAATCTCTACTACCGCCGAGCGCACGTGGCGATAGTCGTGTTCGCGCTGGACGACGAGAAGTCGTTCGAGAAGGCGAGATTTTGGATCAACGAATTAAAGGAGAAGTGCGAGAAGAGAGACGCTTTGATTATTTTGTGCGGGAATAAAATGGACAAGATTACGGACGAACACGAGGATAGGATCGAGGAGCCTTCTTCTTCTAGCAGAGGAGGGAACGGCGGTGACGAGATTGTCGAAGACGACGACGGCAATGCGGTATTCGTATCCATGGACCGCGCCAATCGCATGGCGAACGAACTCGGGTGTCACATGTGCGTCACATCTTCGGCAAAAACCGGGGAAGGCGTTGAAGAATTGTTCTTCGAAGTCGCGCGCACGTTGTTACTGAAACAACGAAACGGTGGCGGAAAATCAGAAGCGACGAATGACGGTGGCGCAACTACTGCGAAGAAAATGAAAACGAAGAAAACGAAGAAGAAAACCCGAAGCAACACAACATCGACAAGGGAGAACGCAGAGGAAGAAGGAGAAGAAGGAGGTCCAACGCCGCCTGAAAACGACGGCGACGCGAATACCGCCGCTCTTACCGCTCGCGAATTCGGCGCCAACGCAAAGACGAAGAAAAAGAAAAAGAAAAAGCCGATGCAGGGGGAAACGAGCAATCCGTCCCGTCGTCCTCTTCACGACACGTGAGTGAAAACATAATTGTAACTCGTTTTGAAATCGAGAAAGAAAGAAAGAAAGATGTACACGACAACAACAACAGAAGAACTCTGACATTTTCCTTCTTCCATGCATGTTTTTTTTCTCCTTTTTCATTCAACTTCCTCATTGAGAACAACACACGTCACTTCTGTGCATATTCATTAAACACAGAGAGAGACAGAGACAGAGAAAAGGAGCATCATCATCGCGTCATGCGAAACTTTACACTCCTGAATAACAATGTGTTTTGCTCACGCGTAACGTCGTCCGCGTCTAAAGATGATAGTAATACGAGTAAGAAGAATCAAAAGTCGAGCGTGAAGTCGTTCCAATCTCTGACGTTCCGAGAAAAACACTCAAACACGAAAGTGTGTTTAATCGGCACCATGCATTATAACCCGCGCTCGATCGAGCTCGTACACGAGATGACCTCAAAAGCCATCGAGGACGGCACGTTTGGATGTTTAGTTCTGGAGTCGTGCGAAAAACGATGGGAGAAAACGTTGGAGTTTCAACGTCCAGGAACTATTAGGCGTCAACTGTTGGATAACGAGTTTCAAGCGGCGCAGGAATTGGTGGAGGATCAATCGCAAGTCTCGCTCGGGGACCAGTCCATAGACGATCTCGGGCAGAACATGAAACGGATATTCAAGGAAACGCTGGAAGATGTGAAGAGCATCGACGGTTGGAAAAGGGTGAGAGAGGATTTGGTGCGGTACTCGGCGACGGAATTGTACCCGACGAAAGAGTTCGGGAAGGACGTGCAGACTTTATCGTTGCAAGATTTCTTGTTAGACGGGAGGTTACTCGTGGCGTTGCCAATTTCTTTGTTTCGGTACCCGTTGGCGTGGTTATTGAAGTCGCCAAAATTAGTCGTGCCTTTGCTTTCGTTTTATTTCGGGTTGGCGAATTTGCCGGGGTTGGTCGAGGCGATGGAAACGAGCGGCGGCGGGGACGTTCTAGCGACGGCGGCATCTGGAGGAGTTGGTCTCGTGCAAAGCGCAGATATCTTGGACGAGACGTTGTCCGTACTTTTCCTCTTTTTAGACGTGTTCCAAATCGTGGTTTTGTCTCGATTGATGTTAGTCGCGTTGTTGGGAGAACGCAACGACGTGCTCTCGGAGAGTATTCGCCAGAAATGCGAGGAACAAAAAGGAACTGAGAAAACGGTCATTGCGATATTAGGTGCCGCGCACTTGAACGGAGTACAAAATAGATTGCTGTAAAACTGTAGATTATGACTAATTTATTTAAAGTAGTATACATGTTAGTTCGACAACACGACCTATCGCTTCTAATAGCTCTCTCTCCTGCTTCTAAGTGGTAAAATTTTCTAAGTAAGTAGATTAAATTAATTCGCGTTTTTATTCGCTAACTCTGCGTCTCTGTCGTCAACTCCAACGTCTCCGGTACTAACGGTCCCCATACCGACGAGATTGAACATCGCGTTGACCACGTGCCTCGGCAAACACGGACACGCGCTCTTTTTGGAAAAACCAATCTCCCCTTTCCGCAACGGCGACTGTTCGTAAAACGCGCCGCAGAAAATGATAAAAAACACCGCTCCGGCACCGTCTAAAGACGCGTGGTTGTTCCATATGAAATAATTTACAATTTCGCTCAAAAACTTGTTACAAGTAGCCACGACGGACACCGATGTCGCGCTCAACGCGTCTCTGATGAGCATGGTAAAGACGCCCATCCCGACGCCAAACACGCACGAACAACCCAAAGCCAACACCGCTCTGTTGGTAAACTCTAAAGCGTCTCCGTGCACATCTTCCAAATTACCAGCGTGCGATAACTCCCCCGTAAACAATGCCAACATAAACGATATCGGTATGCTTATCAAATTCATCAAAAATGTTCTCGACCAACTGTTCATCTTGTAGCGGTTGATGGTGTCCTTGGCGATGGAACCTTCCAAACACGCGAAGACGATAAAAACGACGCACAATCCGTACGATGCGGCGTTGGACAAAACGTCTCCGTGGACGTAATAAATAGCACCTAAAGTAATACCAACCATACTCATGATTGATTTCGCTCTCGGTAACGCTCTTCCTAAAAATATATAATCGATCATCGAAAAGCAAATAGGCGTCGTCGACTTGAACGCGATGAACGTCTCCAACGGCGCTTCTTTCATCACCCACATCCCGGCGCTCAGTAAACCAAAAAACGCGATGGATAAAGGTATAAACCCAAGAACAGTCTCGCGATTGATGTTGGATATTTGTATGACGTTCATCGCGTGCGCTCCGCCTAATAAACACACGCAGGAGACGAACTGAAGTATTAAAATTGTATTCGGGAGCTTCAAATCCGACACGGCGAGTTTGTTCACCACGGAGAGTTGCGAGCCGATGATGCAGTCTGTTTAATAATAATCGCGAAAGGTGGTGGTCAGTTGAAGCAGTGCACGTAAAGGCCCGCAAGCGAGAAGAACAAAACAGATTACGAGAACTACGAGACGCGCTTTCGTCTTTTCATCATCACATTCGGGAAAAGAAGAAGACAAAGAAGAAGAGAGGAATACGAACAACAATAAACGTACATCCAACGATAATCGACAAGACTTTGACGTTCATCCAGAGATACTTCGTTTCCCCGTAGGCGGTTTCGCCGGAGGAAAGCTTTTCCGAAGAGGCCACTTCTCGGTTCATTTTTTAATTAATTAATGAAGACAGGTTGCACACGCGAAAATGAAAAGACAACACAAAAATCATCTGCTACTACTCTACTACTGCTATACACTTCGCTAATACACTCTAACTACTAACAATTAACTAAAGAAATACGCGGAATCCCTGACGGTTTCGATGTCCAAGTCCCCGTACTCTGGAGGAGGCAAAAACTCACCGGCAACTTCCGGATAGGTTGATTTCAACTCTTCGTATAAGTTGTCCAAAAGAGGCGTTTCGTGCAACTCGATGAATTTTTCGCGGAGGATTCGAGACATGACCGGGACGTCTCCGGCGTGGGTCCAGAAAGAATCGTGGACGCCGGCGAACGTGATGTTTGCTCGAGAACACTCTAAAGCGGTCATCATCATGTGCGTGGAATCGATGGAGTGGATGTAGTTTGGCGGGAACGCCGATCGCTGTTTCGATTTGTTCACTTTTTGCTTCTCGTCTTCCGATCTGAGGACAAAGGTTTGGAGCAACGTGCGGACTGACTTTTGCGTTTGATTTCGATACGGTTGAAGGACAGGAAGACCGAGCGGGGTTGTCCATTGGACAGGGGCGTTGACTTTCGTCACGACCGAGGCGCAATGCGTGAGCCATCCCATGACTTCGCGAGCGTTTTGAAACATGTCGTTCAAAGCGTCCAAAGTTCGTTTTGCGGCGTATGCCGCGACTCGGTACCGGACGCTTTCGCTTTCGAAACCGACGCGTTCTTTCAAGCGCGCTGAAATCTGCATTCGAGCGCCGACAAAAGTGACTCCATAGACGGATGTCATGACCGTTTGTTTGACGAGTTTTCGATCGACTTGGTCGATGAGAAGTTTTGCCAACTTCATTCGTTCCACGGATTCTTCGTCTTTGTAATCACAATTTTCGATGTCTTTTTGAACGATGTCTCTCAAAACATTCGCAATACCGGTGTAAACGTCCGCACCACGATCGGCGGGGACCAAATTTACTGCTCGTCCACCGGCGAAATCTCTGCCCAAGGCCGCGTAGTGTTGTAAACCGTTGCACGACCCGTCTTGGTGAACGGGCAAATTACACATGTACTTCGCCGGGTCTTTCGAGTTGATCGCTTTAATTATTTCCATGCACGTGGCCAAGCATTGCCACGGGTCATCGGCGTCTTGCCACCAAGACCCTTCAGGGCCGAGCGGATCCTCCGCAGATTTCTTAATCTTCTCTAAGTTTAGCTTGCTAAACTCGACGCGCTGATGTAAAGGGAGTTTATCCGCTCCACCGCCGTATAAGTTCGCGCACTGAATAAATAACCAATCTAAACCGTTCTCACCTAACGGTTTTGCATCGGCAAACTTCAAAGTACCTCGACAAAAATCAGACCCTATGTGGTTCAAGTGCGCGTGCATGGTATACGCGCGACCGCGGAAATCAACGTTATGCGGAAAGTATATGCGCTCTTCGTTCTTCATTTCTCTGGCGACTTGAAGCTTGATGGCAAAATCACACCTTTGTGAATGCAACTCGCGATTGGTTTGTTTCGCTCGGTTGAAAGCTCTCATGAACTCGCCAACTTCTCTCGAGGACGGTAGCGCCGTCGCGTAGAGAGGTCCATTGCGTTCGCGCCGTAATCGAAACTCGCTCGAAGGCCAGTTCGGTAAATTTAACTCTGCTCGAGGCGGTATGTTTGCGATACCACCACCAAAACCACCCGCGTACTTCTTCTCTCGCCAAACTTGTTCGATGACTTCTAAAATGTCCGTGTTGATCACCCACGCGGTCGAGCCGAGCACATTCAAGGCGCCAAAAACGTTGTCGTATTCGCCGACGCGTTCTGCTAGAAGTTTCATTTGCCCATCCGAAGGACCGTCTCTCGAGTAATTCCCTCGCATGACGACTGAATTCGAATTTAAATAACCACCTTTGTTGTACGATTCCCACGGTCTAGGAGGAACAATCATCGGTTTGTGTCTCGTAATCGCGCTCCTCGCTCTCGCCAACGTCGCCGAATGCACGAATCGGAAAAAAGAATCGTGCCAATGCACTGTCCCCGATCGATTGTTCGGACTGGCTTTCTGTTTCCATCCCTGGTACGCGTTTGGTTCCAACGAATAGTCGTGATAAAAAGCCGGCACCTCAATTTTCTCGCCTGTCTCCGCGGTTTCCGGTCCTGGCACTTTAATTTTACACACATCCAAAACGATGGCGATGATTGCCGCGCCGACTTTCAAGTGAAGAACTGAACCCCAGTCGGCGTTATCTAGCGCTTTCTTCGCTTGTTCCGAAACCGCGCGAACTGATTTCAATTTCTTTGTCGAATCTCTTTGGAGCATCGTGCTCCTAATATCGCTTTCCTTTATCAAATTCTTTTCGCGAATCTCTCTATCGATGTTTGCGATTTTCTCTTCCCGTTCTCTTTCTGCAATCATTTCGTTTTCACCGGCGTGTCTCTCTTGGTTAAACGTTTCCACGATATCTTCCATGTTGATCAATCCGGCGCGGTATCGCGCCGACAATAACTTTTCCCTCGTTTGCAATCGCGATAAATTCACTTCGGCTTCAATCACTCGGCCTAGCGAGCTCGCCAGACGAACAAACTTCACGCTCCCGGCTTCGCCGTGTTCACGTGAATGGTCGCGAAACACATCGCCTCTCGTCTTTTCTACCCCACGCATGAGCATGGAAATTATCGTGTGTAACGAAATCACGGCTATTTTATCCGCTCCTAATAATTGTAAATACGGTCCGTACACTCTTCGATCGAAGCCGGGCACGCCTTCACTAATCATGTTTTGTTCTCGTTCTACACCAACCATTAACGGCTCGTAAAACGACGTCAACAACTGTCGCACTGCTGGTAAATTCGCGCCCGCGCCAACTTGTGCCATCTGTTCGCTCATCTCTCTGTATCGTTTAATCTCGTCGTTCACGCTTTCGTTTTCCACCCGTCTTTGCCTTTCCCGTCTGGCGACGAACTCGAGATTTTCCGGCGACTCTTCTTTAATCCTCAGTTGCGATTTGCGCTCGACTAAAACGCTAAACAAACCTCTCATAGGTAACTCTATTTGATTTCCTAATAATTCCTTTTGTTTCTCTTTCTGTTTCTTCTTCTTTCGTTCCACGAGAGCGCCAACGTCCCAGTCGTCGAAATCGTCAATCGCCGGCAACGGAGAATCGAACGATTGCGGTGGCACCAACGCCGGACCGATGACTCGATTGTGCGGAGACCGATATCGGATCTGTCCTGTTGGCAGAAGCTCCACGTCCTGCTTATGTCAGAATTAAAAAAGAAGACAAAGAAGAAGTGGTGAGTAAACAACGACGAGAAAAAGAAGAGAAGAACGACGCACATAGGATCCGTCGAGGAAATTTTTATCGTCCATGGAAAGTTTCTGTTCGGGCACCGCTGCCGCCGCAGAGAGAAATCTTTTGAGGAGGAAGAGCGACGACTGAGGATGAACATCACCACCACCGAGAGACGACGACGACGACGACGTCGTCGCGGTTACGCTCGAGAGCCTTCGCTGTAGTCTCGCCGCTGCTCGCCGCATTTCACTGCCGACGAGTTGTTAAATTCCAATCGACATTTTTTATTTCTTCTTCGCGATTTTTTTCTCTTTTTTTTCTGAAGAGTCTCTTCTAAAGTCTGATTTGCTGAGGAGCTGCCCCCCCTAACAAAATTCAACTTCATTAAAACATACTACAGAGACATAAAAATAAAATGGCAAAGGTAAGCGCATAGCATTCTCTTTTGTTGTCGTCTGCGATGATTATCAGCTTCTCGAGAGAGAGAGAGAGAGAGAGAGAGATGATAAAGCATAGTTTGTATCGCGCGCGCGTGAATGGAGCGAGAAATACCGCGCTCTTTCGCTTTTTGCTTGCGCGCGTTGGATGATGATTTTTTTGGGTTTCCGCCTAAAATGTAGAGGGACTCTGAAAATTTCTCATCCTTTCGAAAAACGGCGCGTGAAGGATGGATGCGAACGGCGCGCGCTCGATGATTCGTCGTCGAAATGTTGATGAAATACGTTTGGACGAGTTGATATCGAGTTTGCATGTTTTTTGATTTCATCGCGCGTGGTGTTCGAGAGGGCCTGAATTTCGTTTTTTGTCTCCGTTCTTTTTAGGTTCCTTCCTCTCTCTTGAAGGGCTTTCGAGGTGTTGGATGCGACGATTTGACCGCACGCGCAGAACGTCTTTCTTCTTCTCCTTTTTTGCTCGCACGCAATCATCACTCACACCTTCTCTTCTTTTTCATCTCCTAATAATCAAAACAGAAAGGAGCAAAGAAAGTCAAATCTGGGACACCGTCCTTTTACCCGGCGGATGACATCAAAAAGCCGCTCAAGTCGCAAGCCAAGTCGCAAGCGAAGAACCAAACGAAGTTGCGCAAGAGCATCACACCGGGGACCGTGTTGATCGTCTTAGCTGGTCACTTCAAGGGGAAGAAGTGCGTGTTCTTGAAGCAATTAGATTCTGGTTTGTTGTTGGTGTGCGGCCCGTATGGCATCAACGGCGTGCCGGTGAAGCGATTGAACCAAAGATACGCCATCGCCACCTCCACCAAGGTTGACGTTTCCAAAGTTGATTGCAAAGCGTTTGACGATAAATACTTCAAAAAGCCGGCGAAGGACCGCTCGGCCAAGTCTGAGGATGGTTTCTTTGCCGCGCCGACGGCGAGAAAGGAATTGCCGGCTGAGTACGTCGCGGCAAACAAAGCTTTGGACGCCTCGGTTGGCGCCGCCATCGGCGCCGTGCCGCACTTGAAAGAGTACATGTCCTCTTTGTTTTCCCTTAAAAGTGGCGACAAGCCCCACGAGATGGTCTTCTAAGTATTGATTGTAACATTTCAAGTGGGTGATAGAGAGAGAGAGAGAGAGATGTGCGAGAGGGGATAAATTTAGAATTTGTAATAGCGGAACGAAACTAGAGATAAAAACTAACATTCAAACAACTAAAAAAATTCCTACGTGCCTAAATCCTCGTTGAAGTCGTCTTCATCGTATACCGTGTCGGTGAGGTTTCTCGTTCCTCGCTTTTCTATTTCTAAGTGCTTCCTAAGTTCGCTCTTCTGCAACCATTTCTTCTCGAAACCGGTGCCTCGATCGACGCCGTCCCAGTGTCTTCCGGGTTCGATGCCGTATCTATTCCTTTCGACCGCAACTGCTTTGTTCCTCCACGAGTGCTTTGGAATTTCTTGCGGAACTTTAAACCCGTGTTTTTTAGCCAGTTTCTTATCCACGCCTTGCATCACGTTCAGCTTTTTCTGTTGCTTTTCAAGTTCCTTTTGTTGCCTCTCGTGCGCTTTCTTCGCCATGGGGTCGCCGTATCGCACTTCGTTCATTTTCTCCGAGTTCCACGTCGCGTCTACTTCCGAACGAGCGAACGGCGCCTCGCTCGCTTTCCTCAGCTCCACCGCTTTTTCATTTTCAATCTGTTGTTGCTTCAAACCTCCTCCCCAAACCGGTTTCTCTCGTTCCTTCTTCGTCTCTTGAGCGCCTTTGGTTCTCTCTTCGATTTCTTCTTGCGTTAACAACCGTCCGGTGGTTTTATCTCTGACTAACGTTTTCGCATTCTTCCCGCTCTTCTCCGCGGACATCTTCTCGATGCGTTCCTCTTGCTCTTTGCGCCTCAACTCGGCTTCTTTGACAATTTCGGACGCGGACACTAAACCGGTTTTGTTCTTTGTCGCTTTCACTGGCGGTTGCGGTTTGACTATAATGTCGCCGTCCGAGTCGTATTCGACTTTTTGTTCCGGTTCCTCGCTTCTCTTCGCTTCCGTTGTTTTGGTAACTTTTCGAACGATGACGTCTCCGTCCGAGTCGTATTCCACCACTTCCGTTTTAACGTCATCATTTGTCGTCGCAGGTTCTTCTTTTTCTTCTGCGTCATCGTCGTCCGAGTCGTGTCGTTGTCTCCGCTTCTTTGTCTTCTTCTTTGTCTTCTTCTTCTCTTCTTCTTCTTCTTCTTCTTCTCCATCCGAATCGTGCCGTCGTTTTTTCTTTTTCATCTTCGTCTTCTTATTGTTGTTCTTATTATTATCATCATCGTCGTCATGCGGTTCCTCTTCCTCCTTCGCGCCTTCGACGACGGTCACCCACCCTGAATTCGAATTCGACGAATTCTTCTTTGTCTTCTTCTCATCTTCTTCCTCCCGTTTACTCCTCGCCACGTAGTGCGCGTCGGTCACAATCACCGGAGTATTCTCAAAATCCTCTTCTAAAGCCGTTTTATTATTAGTATTAGTAGTATTGTAGTTGTCCTCGTCTTCGTCGTACACTTTCACTCCTTCTTCTTTCCTCTTGTTCTTCTTTGTCACATTCGTCTTTTTCTTCTTCTTCTTCTTTACCTTCTTTTCTTCTTCTTTAACTTCTTTGCCTCCTCCTCCTCCGCTCAGAAGATAGTTTCGCTTCAAATACTCCAACTTTGACTGACTCATCTCACATCAGAGATAGACAACAGAGCGCGTTGTTCAAAGCAGAGAGTAAAGAAGAGAGGTTTTTTTCTTCTCTAATTTTATACGTCAAAAGTCGTCTGGTTCTTGTTCGTATGAATGAAGTTGTGTTCTTGTTGTTCTCGTTCTTGTTGTTCTCGTTCTTAAAGTTCGAAAGCAAAAAAAAAGAAAAGAAGCTTTTTTGTTTGATGTGTTTGATTTTAGAGAATGACAATGAAACCACCACACTCGTCTTGAAGCAATCTACAAAAAAAGTTAAAAAGGAAAGATGGTGGTACCAGCAGCCGCAGCGGCCGCCTCTTCGATCGCCCCAATGGCAGGCTCCGCGTTAATAAACGAAGCGTTAATCGCGTACGGCTACGTCGCCACTTGGATCGGTCTCTCCTCGGGAGTGATTTTATTCAACAAGTACATCTTATCGTTTTTCGGGTTCCCGTTCCCGATTTCTTTAACCATGATACACATGTGTTTTTGCTCGTGTATGGCGTTTTTAATCATTCGAGTGTTTAAGCTGGTAAATTCGAACGATCTGGACAGGCAGACGTACGTGCAAAAGATCGTCCCAGTCGGGGCGTTGTTTGCGCTGAGTTTATGGCTCTCGAACACCGCGTACGTGTACTTATCCGTGGCGTTTATTCAGATGTTGAAAGCGTTGATGCCGGCGAGCGTGTATACCGTCGGGTGCTTGATGGGGATCGAACAGTTCACGTACGCGAGGTTGGCGAACATGTTCGTGATTACGTTAGGAGTGTGCATTGCGTCTTACGGGGAGTTGAACTTCCACTTGTTAGGGGTGTTGATTCAGTTGGCGTCGGTGTGCGCGGAAGCCTTTAGATTGGGATTGGTACAAATAATATTAAACTCGGAAAAGCTGAAGATGAATTCGATAACGACGTTGTATTACGTGTCGCCGGCGTGCTTTGTATTTTTGTTGATACCGTTTACGTTTTTAGAAGTTCCGAGATATTTAGACACAAACACGGAAGTGAATACGAGTCAACCGCACATTTTGTTCTTAAACGCGTGCACGGCTTTCGCGTTGAACATGGCGGTGTATTTGTTAATCGGAAAGACGTCGGCGCTGACGATGAACGTCGCCGGGGTGGTCAAAGATTGGTTGCTGATTTTCATCAGTTCAGCGTTGTTTGATGCGCCAATCACAAAGTTACAACTTTTTGGGTACGGGATTAGTTTTGTGGCGGTGTGTTATTATAATTATTCCAAATATAAAGATCGAGAGAAGGCGATGTCGATGCCAAAGATAGACGCGAAATCCGAGGACGGCGCGAACAGTAGCAGCACGGAACGAGAAATGAATGCCAAAGCTTAAATAATTTTGATATATAATTAACATGGACATATTTTAACATAAAAACACAGTAATACAATTTACAGAAATACTCAGAATGCGTTTCTTTGTTCAAAACGCTTCGTCGTCGTCGTCAGCGACGCTCATCTCTCGTTTTTGATGAGCTTGAATGGATTGCAACGAATCGCGTTGGATGCTCGCAAGCTGCTCCGATAACGATCCGTTGCCAGACTCATCATACGATGATCTATTACTATTTTTCTCCTCCTTTTCTTCGTCTCGTTCTTCCTCTTCTTCGAATTGCTCGCCTTTTTCCTCCATCTCCGCCTCTTTCTCGGAGTTGACGATTTTCAACGCCGTCTTTAATACTCGCGGCTTGACGTTCACGGAAGTCGATTTACCTTCAACCGTCGGCCCGCTGTAGGATTCGATAAAGTCTTGATCGACTGGTAAAACCTTCGGCGGAGAAACGAATTGAATGTCGTCGATCGCCGCTCCGTATTCTGTCGCCGCGGCGAGCATCTTTTTCGGAGTGACGCCGTACAACTTGTCGGCGAGATCTTCGGCGCCGCTTCGAGAACACGAGAGAAGCGAAAAGGTAACTTCGACCGGTTCTTCGTTACTGTCGTCGGAAACGAAACGTCCAAGCGCTACGGAACTGAACCAAGCGCCTAATCTCGAGCTCTTGCTGTCTTTCTCTCCTTCTTCTTCTTCTACCGGTCGAGTCGAGAGATCTAACCACATGAGTTGATCTTCGTCGGCGCCTGTGAGGGTGACGATGGTCTTCGAGAACGAGTCCGCGAACTCTGGATGCGTTGAAATCTGACTCGCAGAGGTGATTCCAGCACCAGAGATGGCAACCGAGGCTTGCACTTTAAAATTCGGCGATTTTCCTTTGCACGAGGCGACTTTTGTCTTGCCTGCGGCGGTATTCTTCTCCTCCAGCGCATCTTTTTGTTCTTCAACTTCTTCTAAAATTTCTTTGAATTCTTTATTGTTGTCGTCGTCGTCAGTAGCAGCATCGAGGAGACCAACTTTTGCTTCCGCCGTGCTCTTAGACGAAGTAGATGAAGAGGAAGAGATGACAACGTTACCGGAGCGATGTAATTTCTTCGTTTCTTCGTTCAAAACGTCTTGCGCGACGTCTGCTTCCTCTTGCGCTCTCACCGCTCTCGCTTCGAGCTTGGCGGCTTCCTCCTCGAGCGCTTCTTTTTTATCCTCATCTTTTTCGGCGAGTGCAGATTCTTTCGCTCTAAACGCTTCTCTGAACGCGTTCGAAGCGCCAATCTTTTCTTGCGCGACGAGTTCTCTCGCCGTCTCGACTTCTTCGGAAACTTTTCTTTCGGCTTCAATTTCAGCGACTCGCGACGCAGAAGTCGCCGCTTTGACCGCATCGTTGGCGTTTTCGATTTGCCTCTTTTCTTTCACGAGTTGTTCCTCTGTTTTTGGCACTCGTTGGATAGCTTCGAGACTTATCGTGGACTCTGTTGCCAAGACTTCACGAATTTTCGGCGCGGAAAGATAGGTGACTTGTTTCAACATGTTAATTCCGCGACTGTTGTTCAACACTTTCAACATTCGCTCCGGAGCGGTGGACATCAAAGACTTCAAAATAGTCTCAGCATTTCCCTCTTTCTCTTGCACGATGATTTCAAATCCAACTTCGACTGCACTGGAAGAAGAAGACTTCGACGGAGCAGCGACAGTGGCAGAAATAGATTTGCCCGGGGCAGCGACTTCTTCTTCACCAAGCACGCTATCTGCGTTGGTACTGTGTAACGTCGTTTGTCTCTCCGCGATTGCTTTCCTCAACTTTTCATTCTCGGCTTTCCAGTTGTTGATTTTATCCTCTAAAGCTTTCTTGTTCTCCGCAAGTTCAACGTTTAATTGCGTCAACTGTTGATTTTCTTTGTACACCTCCGAGTGTTGATTTTCGAGCTTGGCGACTCTTTGTGCGAATTGAGAAATGTCCACGAAACCTTCGTCTTGGGACTGCTTCATTTCGCCCAAAAGTGCTTCTTCTGACATCGCGACGTCTTTCAAGGATTTAATGACCACGTCTTGCGGTCGAACGTGGACAATATCGGCGATGGCTGATTTCAAAGCGGCGTTTTGCTTTTCGTTGGAGAGCAGCTTTTGCGCAGTCATGCCGTTACCAGAAATGGACATTTTCGCTTTTACCGCGAACAATTTCGGCACGTCGCACCCAGCCGAGACCTGCGTGCGGTGCGGCTGGTCCGCGTTCTCGCACGTGTGCGCACACGACCCCCAGACGTAACTCAACGTCTTCCCGTCGAATACTCGGTTGTACAGGACGTTCTTCACTCCTCCGGTCCTTTCCGAAATGCCGTGCGTGAATTGACCGGTGCATTTGGACATGGATGCGTTCGCGACATCGTTCGAATCATTCTTTTCATCGTCACCCAGAGTAACAATCTTGCCAATCTTTCCTTTTCTCGAAGCTGGGCACTGGTCTTCTTCGTGCGGCGACACGTTTTCGCAAGCCAACTCGGACACCGCGCGATACTTGCCCGTGTTGATCTTTTTCGTAATCGCCGCGGACAATTCTTCCTTCTCTTCGTTGCCTAAACGGCCTACGAACGAGTCCGTTTCACCACTCGAGTGGAACGTAGTCCACGAATCGTATCCTAACGACGGCGACCCATCGTCTTCCTCGTCATTGGTCGGTCGCGGTTTCGGGTACAAGTAAAACCCAAACTGTTCGTTCGGTTTCATCTGTTCGTGTTCAACCTCGAAGGTCCCGCACGTCGTCATTCGCATTTCCTTCGCCTGGTCGAAATCGAATTCCTCGCTCATGCTCTTCGTGATCAACTTCGCGCCGATGTATTTCCAGTTATCTTGCATTGGGAACGGCAAAGCGTTGTTGTCCTTTTGTTGCAACAGAGGTGAACAGGAGGTGTGCAACGTGAACACTTTCTTTCCTCCTTGGTGATGATTCACAGCGGCACTATTTGTCGCTCCTTCACCGAGTTTTAAGGGAGAATGACGTGAAACAGCATCAGATGACGACGACGCGCTGGTCGCAAACAGCGCGAGCGCGCCCAAAGACGCGCCGATGCTGACTTTTCTCATCATCGACGATGAAAATTTCCCCGCTGAAGAAGATGAAGACGAAGAGGAGGAGGAAGAAGGGACGATGAGCCTCTCGGACTCTCCTTCGTCGTATTGATTCATCGCGATGAATTAATAACAACACTACTACTATTGCTTCGAGAAGATACAGAGGGTGATGACGACGACTGTATCTTTTGTGCGTTTGAGAAGTGAAGTGGAAATCAATCAGAAACGGAAAGTGGCGCGGCCTTTTTTGTCTGTGAGGTGTTTGGGGTGTACAGAGAATTTTTGTTCGCAAATTTTTAGTAGTAGTATTAGTGTATTATAAGTAGCAGGAAAAGTATTAGTAGTTTCACGCTCATTCTCTCTCTCACACAAACACCTTTCTCTCTCTTTCTCGTTATTAGTAGTAGTAGAAATAGTTTATTATTATTAAACTCTCATGGTTTGCAATCTTTCCTCTAAAGCGTCGGCGTGCGTATTGCGCAGCAGAGGAAAGTTAATCTCCTCGTCGAGTTGTTTCAACTCTTGAAAGATGAGTCTTCTCACCGTCTCCTCGGACATTTCGCCTCCGTTGTGTTGCTCGAACGCGAACGTGAACGGCGCGTTCGCTACTGGTTCGTCGTTCGTGTCGTGTAACGACGCCAAATACGGGTGCTTTAAACACTCCTCGACGTTGATGCGCTTTTCCGGGTTGAAGATGAGCATCTTTTCAATTAAATCGCACGCTAACGGGTTCGCTTCCGGGTATAATCGTTTAAAATCCATCGGTTTAGAATATGGAAGTTGACGTAAATATCGTCTGGCTTTATCCGAAGTCACGAAATATAAATCCTGCTCGTCCGGGGTGCCGATGACTTTGGTAATCAGATTCAACTGATGGACGTAATCTTTCCCCGGAAATAACGGTTTTCTACCCAGTAATTCAGCTAAAATGCACCCGCAAGACCACACATCAATGGCGACGGTATATTCTGCGCACGATAACAACAATTCAGGCGCGCGATACCATCTCGTTACGACGTATTCTGTCATGAAATCTCGGTTTTTATCTTGCGTGTTTGTTCGCGCTAAACCAAAATCGCAAATTTTCAAGTCGCAGTTGGCGTTTAGCAACAAGTTAGACGGTTTCAAATCTCTGTGTAAGACGTCCGCGCTGTGAATATACTTCAATCCTCTTAATAACTGGTAAATGAAGTATTGGCAGTGGTCGTCCGTTAACGGTTGGTCCGAGCGAATGATTTGATGTAAATCCGTATCCATCAACTCGTACATGACGTACACGTCGTTGAAATTATACTCCTCTTCTTTCGAGGGAAGCATGCAATCAGTAATGGGAACGACGTTTTCGTGCCTCAAATGCCTTAAAAGTTTAATCTCTCTCAGCGTTCGTTTCGCGTCCACCACGTTCTCAAACGCGTTCGTTATTTTCTTAATCGCCACCTTTGTGTTTTGCTTTTCGTCCTTCGCCGAACAGACGATGCCGTACGCGCCTTTGCCTATAGGTTTAATCGGGACGTATTTCTTCTTCACTTCGAACAGATTTCCACAGACTACAAACTTTGTCAACTCGTACGGGTCATCTCCTTCGTCTTGTTCTTCTTCTTCTAGGTCGTTCTTGTTTGTGTTGTTTGATATTATCTTCTTCTCGTTATTACTATTGTTGTTAGTAGTAGTAGTAGTAGTAGTATCCTCTGCGCCTCGTCTTCTCGGCGTCGGCGTCGAGGTCAACGACACGTTGTTCTCCTTATCTTTCCGTCGTCTCACTTTCGATACCTTCTTCTTCCGTCGTAACGCGTCGTTTACGTTGTCGTCTTCCTCCGTATCCTCGTCGTCGTCGTCATCCTCGGAACTCCTCTCTTCGTCGCTACTAATGTCGCCGTCGTCGTTTCTCTTCTGTTTCTCGTCTTCGTCGCTGGACGATGCCGCTCCGTCGCCTCTTTGTTCTCTTCGTAACAGTAAGTGTTCGTAATCCTCGTCGAACGGTGCTTTGTCTTCTTTTTGTTCTTCTTCTTTTCTGTCGTCGTTGTTGTTGTTCATGTGATGCGTTTCTTTCTCTCTCTCTTCTGTTGTTGTTGTTCTTGGTGTTCAAGGTGTTCTCTCTTCTGTTGTGAGAGAGAGAGAGTGGACTCTTCTTCTTCTGTGGTCTTTTGATGATGATACTCTCTCTCGAGAAGAAGAAGAAGAAGAAGAGTTCGTTCGTCGAAGAGTTCTGGCAAGAAAAAGAAAACGGAGGACAAAAAAGAGAAAAAAAAAAGATTTCTCCTCCAAGAAGAAGGGAATCTTTCTCTCAGTGAAGGGGCTCTCTGGCCAATTAAATCTTGTTTCCCTCTCTTTTTCTCTCTTTTTTCTCTCTTTTTCCTTATTTTGCGGCTTAATAAACACCCGCTCTTTCTTCGACCCTCTGCGCGTCTGCGCGCGCGTCATCATCATCTTCGAGAGAAAAAGAGAGCACACACAACAACAACGACAACAACAACAACAAAGCACGACGACGCAAACAAAAGATCGAAAGAAGTGTGAAAGAAGCTCTTCTGCCGAGTTTAAGAATCAGTTTGTCTGAATCGTCGCCGTCAAAAGAGAGAGAGAGAGAGAGAAAATCAACAAGGTTTTTAAAAGACGGAGGACGGATCTTCTCTGTTTTGTCTGAGTTTTGTTCCGTACAACGCTTCGCGCTCCGACGTTTAACTCGTAGTATTATTATTGAAGAAGAAGAAGAAGAAGACAAAAGATGGCGACGACGACAAATACGAACGTCGAAAGCATCTTCAATAACGATGACAATACTAACAACACAAAAGAAGAAGAAGAAGAAGAAGAAGAAGAACGAGAGAGAATACTACCGCTGAACGAGAATGAGAAAGATGCTGCTTGGGCGCTCGAAGAATTCAAATGGGACTCGGACAAAGCCATTGGGGAAAAAATAACAACACTCACAACTCTAAAGACTGGGAAAAAACGAGTCGGAGGAAGAGGAGGAGGTTTGAAGAGGAAACAAACGATGGGGACGGAAGATGGCTCCAACGACGACGACGACGATGAAGAAGAAGAAGAAGAAGAAGAAGCGGACGTGAATGACTTGCGCAACTCGCCTCGCTTTCGACCGATGGTGAGAACGAGTGAAGAGAAAGAGGGAGACAAGAATAAGTATCTCGAAAAACGACGAAAAGAAGAAAAGAACTTTACGACCGATTCGGCGGATGGTACCGCAGACGACGGCGCGAGAACGAGCATCGCCGCAGCAGCACTCGCAACGACCGGTTTTGTCCCGGTCAAATTAAGAAGCGAGGCAGCGAATGGGACAAAGTATAGAGTCATCAAGCACAAAGTTTTTTGCAAAGTGAATGGGTGCGATGAGGAGTGCTTGTCTTTGTATTCAATTCGCGTCAAGGTGTGCGTGTTTCATTTGAAAGCGGATGAAGTGATGTTTAACAACGAATTGTGTCGATTTTGTCAAAAGTGCACGAAATTTCACAACGTGGGTAATTTCGAGGAAGGTCGGAGAGCGTGTTTACGTTCCTTGAATAGATTGGCGTTCAAGCGAGTACCGGCGAGTGCGCAAGAGAGCGCATTAAATACTTTGGCCTTGTACGATCGAATGATTATGTCGCAAGCGGGAACTGGTGAAGCAGCGCCAAATGGAGGGGCAAACTCCGATTCGGCAACGAATACTGATAATAATAAACGCGAAGTTTCTTCGGTACTTCCCTCGAATGAGTTGACTCGTCAACGGCGAATCCGCGATGCACTCACGTTGCTCGGTGCAAGTTGGCATCAAGGCACAAGGAAGAAAGAAAGGAAAGAAAGAATGACAATCAAAGAAAGAAATGAAGAAGTTCAGCAACAATCACAAGGAACCCAAATAGATCAAAAAACCCTCAGCGTGTCACAGCTCAGAGTTATACGCTTACAGTGCGCGCAAATGTTGCTGGACCATCTGCCCGAAAATTTTGATCCTTCGACAAATGCGGAGGAAAGACGAAGAAGGGAGATAATCAACGCGTCGTATACGCGAAGTGAAGGTTACGATCGATTAATGCATCTCGACAACGAGGCTTTTATCACGCTCGCTGCAGAAATTAAGATTCATAACAAACAACCTCACGATTTGAGCGCTTCCATCGGCGAAGGCGTCAAAAATTATTTCGCAGAGAAATCTGGGCATCCGCCGGCGAGATTAGAATTCACCGCGGAACCAGGATGCACGAAGTTGAACGTGGATGCACTGATCCCACCAATGACGTCACGTCATTCGTTTTTGAGAAATCGACGAGGAACGTCAGACAAAGAAGTTGCAAAAGAATTGGCCAGTTACGCCATCGATACGGACGATGGAGGTTTGGACGATGTGGATATAGATGTAATCATTGGTGCGGTGCGAACGCGACGAAGAAATGGCGAATGGGAATTGAGCACTAAAATTCGTAAAAAGCACGACTGTCGTTCGGCCAAACACGTGATGTGTACAAATCCGGACATTTTAAATTCGTGCGAGAATGAAAATACTTTGATTGTCACCGGCGTTCCTCCAGACGTCGTAGCTGTCGTGCGTATCAACGGACAAGTGGAAAGAGGAAGTGTAATCGCTCGTTTCGGTGGTAATTCTCCAGTAACGGAAGCATCGACGAGAAAAACAACGACGCGCTTGAATCAGAGTAGTAGCGAAAGTAATCAGCAACAGGAGCGGCCGGATGTATTGCAAAACTCACAGTCAAATTACGTGTACGTATCGGTACCTCTCGATTACGCGGAAGGTCTGATGACAATCAATCTGATTTGGCCAGAAGGACACGAATTCGCAGGTTCTGCACTATGTGATCCAATCATTATCCTCTTGACGCCTGATGTTGATCTCGCGCAAGAACTGAAAGAAGCGATGGATGAAGTGCATGCGCTGTCCTCCGAATTTTGCTACACTTTTAAGCGATACGTCGGCGCGTGTCTAGTCAAGGATGGTGACGTGCGATCGTTCACGAACCCAAATTTTTGCTTAGTACAAAAGGATATAACTTTGTGGGCTTTGAGAAACGGATTCCCTAAGCTTTCTAAGCGATTGCTAAAACCACAAGTTCAGATGTTGGAAAATGCACGGTCTTTGGCAGCTGCGGACGGAGTGTATAAAACATATGTGTACGCGGCGACGTTGTCTGATTCAGTGGAAATCGTTCGCGAAGTCATCGCCTTGGGCGGAGAAAAGAACTTGTTCGGTACGGTTTCAACCGTCGGCAACAAAGAGACGAGAGATACGGCTTTGCATATTGCCGCGATGAATGGGAACACGAACATGGTGCTTGATTTTTTGTCCATAGTATCCTCCATAGAATCTTGGTTCACGTCGCGAAACTCGAGCGGATTCTCGCCGAGAGACTGCGCAGTTTTGGCGCAAAGCTCGAATCTTTCGAAAGCCATCGCAAAAGTTTTGGACGATCCGCTCTTGATTGCCTCGAATGCAGTATGCCTCGCAGTGAAGGAATTCGTGTCCAAAGTAAAGAGCGGGGCGTATACCGCTCCCGATCATGCACCTGCAATCGACCACGTTGAGGAGCTGGAAAACCAGAGCCAAGCGATATTCGCTCGCGCTTCAGATTTGGTTTTCGAAAGCCTGACTGAAATCAGCACAACTGTTTCACAAAATGAGCTCGAAGAAGCTCGAAAAGTTGCCACAGTCCGATTGCTTGAAATAACAAACATGCTACTGCAGCACAAAGCGTGCTTCTTGAAGCTTTTCTCGTTAGCTATTGAGAGAGACTGCAAATTGCTCGAAAGTTATAACGGCGCAGACAGCATGGACAAATCTTTCGACTCGCCAATCCAGTCTGGCGCGGATTCGTTTTTCGTGGAGCTGTTGTCAAGTTATGATAGTGGCCAGGGACGAGGCTACGTCCCTCAATCGATCCGCAAAATTTTCGGTAAGTTGAGTAATGCACTCGCTTCTTTGAAGTACAAATCGATGCTTGCTTTTGAAGATCCGTTGATTGAAAAAGCATACGTTCTTGAAAATTCCTTCTATCGAAAACGCGTCGATCTCGTCGCGTTTTTGCTTATATTTTCGGTCATTTGCGCTCGAAGGATCAAATTTTCGGACGGGACGTTTTCGGATTTCGTGTTCACTTTCTTCCGCATGGGCGAATCGTCGAGTTTGTGCTTTTACATCTCGAGGATGATCGGCGTGCTGACGTTTCCAGGAGCCATTTTTGCGCTCCTCGTGTATCCGAAATTTTACACGCGACACCGAGAAAGCATCACCATGCTGGTTCGATATATGAGTCCATTAATGTGGTCGCTTCGTTCTGCAAACGAAACAGCTCCGGTGTCAATTGCCAGGGTAATGTTCATGCGTTCGTCAGCTTGCGTGTATGGATGTCGATTTGAAAGACACGCGTTTGTGACAATGATGAACTACTTCTTTCCATTCGCTCGAATGCTTAAAATATTTGAGGGCCAAGCCGCAGATTTGACATTCTCGACCGTGGTTGAAGATTTGGACAGAAACGGGTGCAACAGAATTTTGTCTATGGGATCGATAGGCTTGAATTTGGTCGTCTCATTCTTGGTCGAAGCACGATTTCGGCGTAAGTTTGCGGCGAAATACGGCGTCAATTGGATGAAGATAAGTTGGATGACGTCGCCCCCGCTTCCGCCCGGGGAAGATGAAAAGTTCATCAAAGATATTCGCGAAGAAGTAGGAGCTTTCGATAGCGACGAAGAAGATGATGTCAGTCATAAAAGTCTCAACCGTCGCAACCGGTTTTTCAAGTTCATTTCTGAGCAAAGAAAATCCTTGCATGCCAAGGCTTACTTTGCGTTTCCGAATCCGAGAGACGAGGGTGCGTGCGTCCTTGAAAACTCAAATTTTCGAAGACCTTACGATATCGCCATCTTTGGCTATCTATATCTCATATGGGGATCTGAACTTTATCGTAAGTATTTGAAATGGGGTCATTCATTCGATTGGTATGCGTTATCTATGTTCACAAAATGTGACGTGACCGAAGATACCATGAGAATAACAGGTTATGAGAGGCGCGTCAGCGCTCTTTTTCTTTTAAAAGTGTTCTCCTCATCAGTGCTCGTGGGAACGTCACTAATCGCCATCTTTCTTCCTCGCGTCTATTGTCACAGTCGCGAGTCCTTCATCGCTGTTCTTAAATTATCAGCCAGCGTGGCACCAGCCCTGAAAGTGGCAGAATCACCAGAGTTTGTCGTGGTCATCATGTTTCGATTATGCGCGGTGCTCTTGTCGGTTCGTTTTGAACGAGAGGTTATGATTGTATTGACGAACGCTTTCATCATACCTCGAGCATTAGAATGGTACGTTGGAACAGAGGAATATGGTATTATCGACGTCAGTGGTGATTCTTCAGTCGTGACGTGTAAGGGAAACAGTGGTTCGTTAAATCTGGGCATCTTCAGCGGCAACTGGTATAAGTGGTCTTCCTTTTTTAAGTTCGTCTTTGTCGTTCTGATGTATTTACAAATCAGTATCGTCTTGACCCTCGAAAAGCAACGTCGAGAGGCCTTTGCGAGGAAGAGAAGAATCAAGCAGCATTAGCCAAGATGCGCATATACGTTGTAATTTACTACTACTAGATACTATAGTACCTTAGTTCTTATGCTACTCGTACCATTAAAGTATTTAAGATTATTTATCCATATGAATCAAGTCAAATAGAATTGCCAGAAGAGCAGATGCGACAGAAATAATACAACACAAAATGAAGAAATAAAAAACATACAGACATGCAGTTTTGTCTCGACAAACACGGCGAGTGGGTTGCCGTCTCCGCGAGCGACGACGAGAACAAAGAAGAGGAAGGAGGAGAAAATGGCGGCTTCTTCGGGAGGAAGAACGAACAACACGTCAAGAAAATCGCGAAGACGTTGGCCGATTCAACGACTTGGTTAGATATGTTGAACGATACGAAAAGAAACGCGATGTTTCAACGAGCGATTGAAAACAGCATGGAGAAGATAACGTCGGTAAAGAAGCGCAACGCGGCAAATGGTGGTGTGGTTTTGCATGTTTTTGACGTCGGCAGTGGCACCGGGTTGCTCTCTTTATTCGCCGCGAGAGCGGCAACGGGAGTTACAGTTAGAATTTACTCGTGTGAGATGTTTTTACCAATGTTTCTCGTAGGAGAGCGAGTCGTGAGAGATAACGTGAGAGAAAAGAAAATACCTGAAACGAGTTCGATTCAGATGTTTCATACGAGGAGCGAAGACGTGGATGCGATAGCAAAGCACGAACTGGACGTTTTGATATCAGAACTCCTCGATTCTGCGCTCCTCGGCGAAGGGTGGTTGATGGTCTTGAAAGACGTGTTCTCGAGGGAGTTATTGAGGAGAGATCATTTCAGTATCGTTCCAAGTTCCGCTAAAATATGGGTTCAACTTTTACACGCGGAGGAGTCGGTGCTCGATGTTGACGTGAAAAAAGGAAGAGCTGCTTTGTTCGGCGAAGCGATAACGTCCGATGGATTTTCGCGATTGGACGTACAATGTCACTTTGACTCGCTCGAAAAGAGAGGGCGAATAAGAGCAATTTCAAAACACATCCAAGTATTCGAGATTGATTTCACGAACGATAAGGATTGGGGTCGGACAGAAGTAGTGCGCTGTTGTTGTTGTAGCAGCAGCAGTAGTAGTAGTAGTAGTTTTCGATCGTTAGGTCTCGAGATTAACGCCGTCGCAATGTTTTGGGAAATCGATTTGGAGGGCTCGGGCGCCTTTAGATTGAATACTTTCCCCGCGCAAAGTTATCGTAGACATTGGCGCCAAGTAATTGCGCCTCTAGAATGCCCGATTCCATTATCTGCGTCAGAAGAAATACCGATACAAGTAGAGGCAAGAATAGCAGACGATTGTTTGGCATTCGATGTGAAGGTTTCTGGTTGTGGGGATAAGGAAAAGGAGAAGAAGAAGGAGATGACGATGAAAAAACAGAAGGAAACTTTGATAGAAACAAAGCAAGAGACGTGCAGAGAGAAGAAGATATGGCTTCATATAGCTCTGGCAAATATATCCGAGTTCTGGAGCTCGCGAGCGCCTTTAGGTGATAACGTCTGCGGCTTAAATTTGACAAAAGCAAACGTTCTCCTGTGTGCGAAGTCAGTGGAAAGTAATAGCCCGGGATATTGCTATCAATCGTTCAAATGTGATTTGTTAGATGAACTTGGTCATCGATATTCCACGATTGAGGAAGAGCAAACCATATTTCTGTGGAAATCATGCGAGCTATTCGTTGATGATGCAGATGAGAAGAAGAGAGAAGAAGAAGAAAAGGAAGAAGAAGGAGAAGAAGACAACAAGAAGAAGCTACGTATTGACGTGGATGCTGGGCTCGAGATTACGGCGAATCACGTGGTATTTTTCTTCTCCGACAAAAGTCACGCCGACGAGTGGAAAACGCAACCTGTTCAAGTCGCGCGAATGGATCAAGAACTCATTGGTAATAAGTTTAGAATAATTGCTTCAAATTTAGACGCCGACGAAGGAGAATGCATTCGAGTGTTGAGAAAGTAGCGTGAAGATTTAGAAATCGCAGCCAAAACAGTGTACGAGTAGTAAAAATTAAGCGCGTATATAAATCCGTATTTTCCAATATTGAGATTCTAAATTGTATATGCGTTTGTTAGCTTTTTTGCTCTCTAATGATCACTTCTTGTTGCGTGCATTCCTTCCGCCCCGCGTCGAGGGGGGGGTGCTATTCTCCGCCTGCTCGATGCTGCGATTGGGAGTACTCGCGCCCGCCTCAACTCCTACTTGCATCGCATCCGTGGCATTGTTCGCCGCCGCCGCCGCTGCTTTATTTACTTCCTCTTGCTTTTGGGCTTTCTTTAACTCTGCTCTCTCCTTGGAAAAACACTGCGAACAGTAATCCACTCCTTGATTTGTTCGAGATTTGCTCCAACTCCCAGGCGACTCTTTCGTGCCGCACTTCCCGCACTGTTTATTCACCATCGAATTTAATTCTTTCAGATAACACTTATTGCACAAATAATTTGATTTATCCACCTTAGATTTCCTCAAATTGTCCGGGTCCAATTTCCCATCGCAAGCCGTGCATGGCTTCTGCTTAATGAGAGATTGCTCGTTCTCGAAGCACGCGCCACACAAGTGCTTCATTTTCTGCAACTTGGATTTCCTACACCCACCAACCTCGACATCGCAATTACACTCTCCACATTTCGATACCGTTTTCTTTCCTTTCTCTTTGCGATAGCACTGCTGACACAAGTATTTCCTCTTATCTGTCTTCGAGCGAACCCACGCGTTCGTCGTTTTATCACTTTGACAGTTACTGCACGTAATCGCTCGCGCGTTCATCTCCGAGGTGTAGCACTTTTGACACAACGTCGCCCCCCCGGGCGTCTTTTTCGACTTAAACCACGTCAAAGAATCTTTCGTTACGTGACAGGACGTGCACGTGTCTCTCTTCATCTTTGTATTTTGCGCGTTGTAACACGTTTTGCAGTAAAAATTCCCAGGAGAGTCTTTGACTTTGTACCGAAAACCAACCGGCGCCGGTTTCGAGCACTTGACGCAGTTGGCCGATTTCCTCCACCCTGATGGGGGTCTTTGCGTCTGACGCCTGACGAGGTTCGACTCTACCTCTTGGTTTTGTATTGCCAACGCTAGCAACGATTGCGCGTCGATCGCGTTCGGGTGGATGTTTTGTAACTGCGACAACTGTTGCGCCGCCGTGTATTCCATGTTGTTTTCGTGCCTCCCTCCAGTACCAATATTTCCCCGGTGAAGTCCAGCCGCAGGTGCTTGAGGAAGAGCTTCTCCTAGATTTCCTTGATGAAGGTGGTTTGGTTGTTGCTGCTGCTGCTGCTGCTGATACGTTCCGTGCCGCGCTGGCTGGTGAGGATTAGTATACATCATCATTTGCTGCTGTTGTTGTTGTTGTTGTTGTTGTTGTTGTTGATGATGTTGATGATGTTGTTGTTGTTGTTGTTGTTGTTGTTGTTGTTGTGATGGGTGCGCGGTTTGATGAAACATTTGCTGCTGCTGTTGTTGTTGTTGTTGTTGTATTTGTGGTGGTGGAAGCTCCAGCGCCGCTTCGACGACTTTATGGTTTTTATTATTATTATTATTATCCATCATCGCCGGATGATGATGCTGATGATGATGATTACTTCTCGCCGCTGCTAATCTCGTTCTGTTGTTTCTCTTCTCCTGTTCCTCCTCTTCTTCGTTCTCGTGGGGATTGTTCGCGATTAAATCGTTCACCTCCATTATACTCCTTCTTTCCTCCCCTCTTCTCTCTTCTCTCTTCTTCTTCAAACGACGACGACGACGCAAGAGAGAGAGAGAGAGAGAGAGAGAGAGAGAAAAAGCGCGCGCGATGATAAAGTTGTTGTTTGAAGAAGAAGGAACGAAATTTTTTTCTTTTTTTGGTTCTTCTTCTCCACCACGAATTTTGTGCCAAGTTGTGTCTTTTTGAATTTATGGCTTGCCAAGAGTCACCTTCAAATTCTTCTTGGTAAAGGAAGATGGATGTGAAAATTTTTGGGGGGTGATTTTTGACAGAAAAGAGAAAAACGAACACAAACACTTAACAAAAAGCCTCCTGACTTTAACGACGATTTAGCGACGACGAGAAGAGTTTGAAGGAGAAAAAGAAGAAAGAGAAAGACATCAGCAGGAGGAGGAGCAGAAGGGCGCGATTTTGTTGAAAGCGGCTCTCTTTTATATATGTAAGGAGAAGATAGAGTTGAATAATAGAAAAAAAGGACGATGATGAACGACTTCATGCGCAAAGTGTACATCGCGTACTTCGCGACGCACGTGCCGGCGACGATTTTGATCGACTCTCAAGCGATCGTTCCCGAGAAATACGTCCCGTCTTTCGCTCGACAGTTGCTGAAGTTCCACATCAAACAAAACGATGACTTCCTCATGCTCGAACAACCGATGTGGTTGAAAAGTTTTATCGTTTGCGAAGTCTTGGTGCAACTGCCGATGTTTTACGTCTTGTTGAGAAAGCTTTTACGTAAAGAGGAGACGAATATTCGATGGATGGGAGTTGGATATTCCAGTCACGTGATGACAACCATGGTTCCAATATTAACGGAAATCTATCGCAGAGGGAGTTTAACCTTGTTCTTGATTTACTTTCCGTACTTTTTTGTGCCTTTACTGTTGTTCTATTCGCTGGCGACGAGCCGAGAAGGGCACGTGTTCGAAAGAAAAAGACGAAGCGCAACAGCGAAGAGGAAATGACGAGAGAGGACAGATTAATGATAATATACCACGTTTGTAACTACTAGTATATATATATATGTGAATAGCTCGATGATTTTTCGAACATTTTGCGAACGTACCACCTTTAAATCTTATGTATTGCGTTCTCGAACACAACACGTTCAAACAAAGGCTGATGAAAGGCACCAAAAACACATATTTGAAACCACTACTTTTGTCCTCACACTTTATACCCCGACTTTATGCTCATATAGAGAGAGAGTATTAAATCATCATCATCTAAAAACGCTTAAATCACACAGTTTTGAAAGAGGAGAGGAGAACTCCGATGGCGTCGTCGACTTCGTTCACCGAAGGTGGACAAGGAGGAGGAGGAGGAGATGTCAACGACCCGTTCTATTTAGTTCGAGAGGAAATCTCCGATTCCGTTTCCACGTGCGAGAGTTCCTTCTCTCGAATACATAACTTACAAACACTCACACAAAAGAAGGAAACGTGCATAAACATCTCCTCTGAAATTGATTCGTTGTTGTGGCAGTTGAACGAACTCGATCGAGCGACAGAAGCCGCGGAGAGAGATCCGAATAGATTTCGAGTTTCGAGAGAGGAGTTGGAACGAAGGAAAGCGTGGACTTCGCAAACGAGAGAGAGGTTGAACGTTTTAAAAGGACGAGTGGAAAACATGATGATGAACAGTAGCAACTCCCTTAATAGCGAACAAAACAGAGTGAAATCTGTTCTAGATCAAAACCGAAACACGATAGACGATTACATGCTCTCGGATGAACGCGCGACGCAAGACCAGCTGTTCGCCAATCAAGACGAGCAGTTGGAGGATTTATCCCACCACATACGAACGATCGGGAACGTCGGGAAAACTATAGGCGAAGAGTTAGAGCAGCAAGGGAGGATGTTAGAAGATTTAGAGGAAGAAACGGAAGGGGTGAGAGCGAGAATGCAAGCCGCGAATCAGATGATGATTCACGTTTTTAAGAAAGCCGGCGTTCGAGCGCAGTTGTGCACCGTGTTCGCGTTGACGATTATATTAGTGTTGCTGTTCATGGTTGCTTTTGGATCCGTGTGATGAATAAATATGTATTTTTATTACTGACTACCTAGTAGGTACAACTATATAGCGCATGCGTCTACCTTCTACTTTTCTAATAATCGTCTAATCGTCGCAGACGTTCCATTTTCGTTCTTTATCGCACCACAATTTTACTGTAGACGGCTTTACGTTTTCGTTGTAATCCAACAATACATTCTCCGCGGCATCGAACGAAACAGATCTGACTTCAAAGTCGCGGTGTTCTCGTAAACTCTCGTACACCGCTCCTAATAGTAATTCTCTTCTTTTATCTTCACTTTCTTCTTCTTTGCCTATTTCTGTATACTTGCTTTTCAACGTCGCGACGAAATCGTCGTGCGTTCTGTTCTCCCTATATTCCGGCTGTTTCCTCGGCGACTTTAACAAATCCATCAGGGCTTTATCGTAATCGTACAGAAATGACGTGTGGTGTATGAATCTACTTTTACTTATGGATTGCGCGTTCCCCCCAAACTTCTTCTCGCCGAACACGTAATCGTTCTCTCGTAAACTAAAATCATCTTTGTCGCGGCGTAGCGGAGCGGAGGTTTTGGCGCCCGGTGGTGAAGAAAACATTCCTTCAACCGCTTTCCCGTAAAAGGTTCCCGACCATTCCATGATTTTCCTTGGAAACAACTCTAATCCTTCAACGGTGCCTTCGTTGAATATAAAACTGACAAACTGCGTGTTTTTATCCACGACGACGGTGCCGCCTCCCGTGAACCGTTTCACCAAAGGCACTCGCAACTGTTTGGCTTTCAACTCGTGCACGAGTTCCTCGGGTTTCCCGGATATCCCTAAAACGATCGTCTCTTTCTCCACGCCGTCGTTTATAATCACCCAGTCTTCTCGCGAGTGTCGAAACAACGCTTCTTCCACTCTCAGGAGTTTCCTGATGCATTGCAGTTGCGTTCGAACAAAGTTGATTTTTATTTTTTTATTCATTCTTCTTTGACTCTCGCCGTTACGAGTGATGATGACATTTGTGTTTGATGAACACTCTTTTTTTTGAACAACTAAAACAACGAGAGAGAGCAGACCATCATCATCATCATCGTCGTCGTCGTCCGAAGAACACGACGAGCAATACTATTATCGTCGCTTTTGGGATCGTCAAAATCTCAACCTCTCGTCATCTCATCACACTCTCTCGTTTAAAAAAAAAATGAAGAATTTTAAAGAAGAAAAAAAGGGCAAAAAGCGGCTCTAATAACACAATTAAATATTTCATCAGATTAAAGAGTTACTCGTTACACACACGACCAGGTACCACCACCACGTAATACTACTACTAATAATAACAATCATAATAACAATCGTAAGAAGAAAATGAGCGGAGGAGGAGGAGGAAGACGCGGAGGGGTCGGAAAAGGAGCACGACCACTTTCCGTGTCCGAAGACAACAACACGGACAATTCCAACGAGCTTTTAGAGCAAGCAAGTGAGTTCTTGTTGAATTCACCCGAGAAGAATACGAAGAAGAATAAGAACAACAAAGGGTCGTCTCCTAACGAAAAAGACACTATTAGCGAGAACAGCGAGAAGAACACGAGGAGCTCGGAGTCGGAGTGGACGACGGTAGTGTCAAAGAGAAATCATCTGTATTTGGACACGAGCAAAATGAATACAAAGTCGTTAGGGGAAGACGGGCAACAACAAGCCTCCCCAGTCGCTTTATCGCCGATGACGAAAGTCATACGAGAGGCGGAGAAGTTCGTCTCCAGAAATGATGCAGAGAATAATAACGCTACGACGAACAATAACAACAACAACAATGGGAAGGGGAAGAGTAACAGAAACTTGGATTTTGATTCCGCGACTAATAATACTACGGAAGAGGAGTGGCAGCAGCCGAAGAGCAAGAGAAAGAACAGCATCACGTCGCCACCACCGAAAGTGAAAATGCATCAGAAGAAGATTGAACTGCAAGACGACGACTATTTTTCAGAGAGCGGCGGGACGCCATCGCCGAGCGCGGGGCGAAAGAATCAGTATTTTGCCAACAAGAAGGTTGGTTCGACGACGACGACAAAGAAAGCAAACGGTAGTAAAGAGAACGAGCCCAACCGAGAAAAAACGAATAACAACAACGAAAACAACAACAAAACAGTGACCTTCAACACTACGGCAACGGCGATTGCGCCTTCATCTTTATCTTCTTCTTCAACTCCCGGATCAGAACCCGCGTTCGCGACGAGAGGGGACAACAAAGGACGAAGCGCGGTGTCGTTTCAAAATTTATCGAGACAATCTTCAGTAGATCAGATGGAAGCGATGTTCTCACCGAGCGACGCGTCAGATGCGTTCGGTATGCCATCGCCGTCTGGTTCGATGTCGAATCTGTTCGCCGAAAGTGGAGATGAAGGGGACGAGTTATCTCAGAGAGGTAAAAAAATAGGTAAACACGTGAAGATTATGCGTAAAGAAAGCATTTCACAAATCGATTCGATTTTAGAAGGCGAAGAATACGACCCTGCTCGACACGACGACGAGGACGACGATGATAGTGACGAGGACGACGATGATAGAAGTGAGACTAGTTTTGATTCGGACAGGCAAAGACGAAAGACGACGACATCGTCGCGGAGCCAAGGAGCAAAAGGAGGAGGATTCGGCTCTCCATTTAAGACGCGAAATAAAGCGTTCGCGAACGATGTGGACGATTCAGAAGGCGAAAGGAAAGAGGCAGGTATTATAGATAATAAGATGAATAACGACGAGAACTTGGACGAGAACTTGGACGAACTCTACGCGTTGAAAGATAAAGTAACGGAGAAGTTTTTTGCGTACAAAAACAAACCCGATTTCACCCTCCAGCAAGCGCAGGAGATGTTGAAGAAAGCAGAGGAGTTACTCGCGGGGGATGCGAAATCGGCGTTAGAAATCGACCAGAGGTTAATGCTTCTGGAGCAAGAGCTACGTGAAATGCGTCAAGATGCGACGATATTCTTTTACGGCGTGGGAGGCATTTTCTTGGCGTGGACCGGCATGAAAGTCGTCGGCTACGTTTGGTCCTTCTTCGGATGATGCTTTAGGTATAGTTAATCTATAATGTACCACTGGTAAAACAGATTATATATCAAAAACACACGAAACGCACAAATTTACGCTCGCGTTCCTGTTCCATCTTTATGCAACCAATTGAGAATTTTCGTCAAGTCGCCATCGCGAAGCGAAGGAACAAGTTTGGCGAGCTCTCTTCTCTCGGTTTCTCTCAACTTTTGCCCGTGTTCAGGATTGACCTCGTCCGCCGAGCGTTTCGCTTTTCTTGCGAGTTTACGCAACAACTCGTAATCCTCGTGCGCGAAATACCTCGTCTCTTCCGCTAAATCTTTTCTGCGCATGTCTCGAGAGATAGTTTCGCCCGAGCGGTCGAAAGTCGTCGACGACGAGTAATATTTTTGTATCGTTTTTCTCGTTGTTTCGCTTCCTCGTTTTATTCTACTCGTCGTCGTCGTCGTGCTCTTCAGAAGGAACGAGAGGAGGGACGATGACGACGAGGAAGCGCTTCTCACGAAGACCATTATCAAATAGATGATGACGACGAGAACGCTTAGGCTTCTGCGCTTTTGCTCTTTGTGCACGCGGAAGGAGGGAGTAAAAATATTTTGTGAGGAGGGAATACAACAAAACAAAACAAAGCGGTTGACAAAAATGGTTATTAAATATTTTTACTTTAATCCGAGCGGCTTGACGTCTTCGATCGGCCCGGATCGAATAAAATCGGCCCAATATGCCGGCAACAACAACGCCATGACGTGCGGTTCCGTTTTCCGTTCCAGCGCGACTTCTAACGTCAAGCATTCCTCTAATAACTTCTCTAAACCTTTTCTCGCTTTGTTGAACATGGGAGATAAGGATTGCGCGGCGCGTTCAGACTCGGCGGGAGATAACCAGACGTGTCTTTTCAGTTGCGGGACGCCACCCGCAGTGGCACCAGCTAAATCGTTTAACTGAGAAGTCAAGATTTCCTTCAAACCTTGCGCTTCTTTTAAGAGCTGCGCGGCTTCTTCCTGGTCGTTTTCGTCCGATCGACACGCTCGCCCGAACAAAGCGGCGAGGAGATATTGAACTTGCTTTACACCTCTCTCTTTCGCTAAACGTTCTAAAATCCAATCTTGTACCATGGCAGACTCACCCGGGCGTTGCCACAAAACATGCGCTAAGAGTAAAGTGTCGAAATCGGAAACCACGGAACGACCGTCCGTATACGCCGCCACTCGCAATAAAGTCACCGCTTTCAATAAACGACGATCGGAAACGTAAATGGGTGGTTCGCACTTGTCCTGTAAATGTGAGCGCAAATCTGTCATCAAATTAATCACAGAATCTGGAACCGTAGTTGATTCGCACGCTTTTTCTTTTACACCTTGAAAATCGCTCGGTTTCAACGAAAATTTTTGCTCGTCGTTGATATCAGCTCTCGCTTTCGTCTCAGACGCCTCGGAGAGTTTCAACAAATCTCTCAACGCCGTCGAAGATACTTGTTCTACCGAAGATCTCAGCAAGAAACGATCATACAACGCGTCTAACTCCTCGCTTTCTGGTAACTCGTTCGACGCGCCGACTAAGCACAACAAAGGTACCTCAATGCGCTCGTTACCGTTATCGAACAAGCGCTCGTTCAAGATGGTCAACAAAGAGTTCAAAATCGCCGAGTTCGCTTTGAAAATCTCATCCACGAACGCGACTCGTGCGGTCGGTAAATACCCGTCAATTTTTCTCACGTACATATCTTTCTCTAATCCAACCATACTCAATGGGCCAAACAACTCTTCAGGAACGGAAAATCTCGTCAACAATCTCTCGAAGTATTGTCCTTGAGTAAACGCCGAGAGCCTTCGACCAATCTCAGATTTTGCCGTCCCCGGTGGGCCTAATAGCAGTAAATGTTCCGAGCAAAACGCCGCTAACAAGAGCAATCTCACTTGCGAATCCCTCTCGACGAGACCTTCTTCCAACATTTTTGTCGCCTGTCTAATTTTCTCCGACAACTCCCCTTGCAACTGCAGCTGCGCGGCGTCGTCGCCTTGAGAAGTCACTTTATCTGCGCCTTCTAATATCGGTTTCAACATCTCAACCACTCTGGTTTTCACCGCGGTTTCTTCTTTACCGATTAACGCGTCCTGTTCTCTCTGTTTGACTTTCCAATCTGGTTCCGTCGAGGACGAAGAAGAAGAGGAGGAAGACATCGCTCGTGCGTTTTTATTGTTCTTCTTCTTAGTATTACTCTTAGTATCACGATGAGTTTTTGTCGGTGACGACGACGAAGATCGACTTTTGCATCTTCTCAAACTCGAAGATGATGAAGATATAAATAAAGAAGAAGTAGAAGAAAAAAGTAAACTCGCGGACATTTGCGACATGATGATGATACTTTCTATCTTTCGAGACGACGCGCGTTGTCGTCAAAGTGTTCTTGAGGGAGTTTTAAGAGTATTTCGTGCGCCACAGATTAGTTTTATTTGTGGATAAAAAAGAAGACAGACTTGACACGTTTCTCGTCAGACACTTGAAAAAGGCAGCAAAGAGCTTTTTTCGTGAATGAAAATTTTTTTTTCATCTTTCCCGCACTTTGTCGCTTCCCTTCAAAATTGAAAACAATACTATACACAACTCTCTCTGCGAATACTACTCTCTCTACTACTATTAAAAACTTTTGCTGAGTTTAAGAAGACAAACACTTTAGCAAATTGCAAAGACAGAGAGAAGGAGAGAGGAGGGCGCGCTCTGAGTTAAGGTTTTATTCCGCACACGTGGTGGTCTTCTTGACGACCGATGATGATGATGATGCAACAAAAACAACGAGTAATCCACCACCCACGAAACGACATTTTACATTCGTCGAAACGTCGTCGGTTTCATCACGGTGCGACGACGATTCAGACGACGACGAGAAGGAAAAGTGGAGGTAAATACGGAAGAGGATGCGGTGCGCGAAAAGCAGTAACTTCTTTCTCTTCTGTGTCTGCGAATAAAGAAGACGACGACGAGTCTAAAGATATCGATGTAGTCACGCTCGGAAATATGTGCGTGGATGTGTTTCATTCCGTGGAGTCTCTCCCTGAAGACAAGAACGAGTTGAAAACGATGGAAACTCTGAACGATTTGTTAACGAGAACGGAGAAAATGAAAGCGATGGGATGCGAGGAGTTGGAGGTTGGTGGCAACACGAACTTCTTAATCGCCGCGAGGAGGCTCGGGCTGAAAGCAGTCTCGTTAGGGCAGATTGGAAATGATTTCTACGGGACGTTTATGAAAGACGTCTTGCGCGAAGAACGCGTCGGGTTTCGCAGTTACGAGGAAAAGCAAAATTCTTCCACATCCTCCTCTGCTCCCAGTACTTCGGAAAGTCGAACGTTGGTTTGTTTCGTGTTGGTGGATGGATCTGGTTCGCACGCGTTTTGTTCTTCCTACGATCTCGGCCCGTGGCCGTTACTGGCGGAAAAATACAAGCTCGGCGCGGATGTGAAAGCGGCGTTGAGGAAATCAAAAGCTATGTTTGTAAACGGATTTGCGTTCGATGAGCTCGCACCGAACGATGTCGTCGACGCGGCGGATATTATTCACAAACACGACGGCACGGTGTTTTTCGACCCCGGTCCACGCGCGTTCACCTTTCACGAAACCGAGTTGCGCAAGAAAGCTTTGATTTCACTCATAAAGCGAACGGATGTCGTTTTAGCGACCGCAGAAGAGTTAGCGGCTTTAGTCGAACACCCAAATCCGAACGAGGAGTTGTTACAAAATCCTCGCACGTTGGCGTATAGCTTGTTCAACCATCCTCAATTTGAAGGATCGGGCAATTTAGAATGGATCGTCGTAAAACTCGGCCCGGATGGAGCGATTTTGTTTTCAAAGAACGATATGGATATCGATAGCACTAAAGTAGGCTCTCCCACGATTGACGTCGGCGATACGGTCGGGTGCGGCGACTCTGCGGCGAGTGCCATCGTCATGGGATTTCTCGAATACAAAAAATTGATGTCGACCAAGAGCGATAGTGGGAAAGATAGTAGTAACGGTAGTGGCAGTGATAATAACGGCAGCAGAAGCAGTAGTAATAGTAATAGCACGACGATGACGACGACAAAGGAAGCCAAACAACTTTCTGCGAAAGCGACTTTGGCTTTAGCCACCGCAGTCGGCGCGGCTACCGCGTCGAGAACCGGCGCGGGAAGAAACGTCGCCACGAAACAGTTAGCTCAAGATTTGTTAATCGCGCAAGGCGGAGAAGAACGTAAAGGCGCGTGTGAATACAGCGAGGCCTTGAGAATGTTGAAGAGATACGTCGATTGAGAATGTCATTAGTCGTGTATTATGTGTAAATAGAACGTGCGTGTTCAAAAATTCCGCTTCATGTTCTTGTTGTGTTTTCTTTTCTGCTTCAACAATTTACTCAATTTACGTACACAAAAAACACAGTCACACGCGCCTCAAAATTCTTCAAAAAATGATGCCGCTGCTTTACAACAACAACAAGGATGATTACGATTCGACGCCACTCTTAGCGACGACGACGACGAGAAAGAGCGGTAACGAAGAAGCAGCATCGAAGAAGAAAAGTTCCTTTCTCTTTCTCGCGTTACTGCTTCTAATGCTGCTCGCGTGTTTTGGAATCGCGTCTTCGTCGTCTCCAATTTTTGCCGCCGGTGATGATGATGGAAACGATGATTTTGGAGCGTCCTCCTCCTCGTTGGCGTCTTTGGGAGAAGAAAACAAAAGAAGCACGAAAGAGCGAGCGCTGTTACGGAACGAATTTAATAATGGAGAAGAAACAGCGACAAAAGCAAAAACGACGCAACAACAACAACAACAAAAGCGACTCAAATTCTCTTCAAACGTGTTCAACTTTTACCGAAAGAACGTGGCACCGAAACTGGGAGATTTCGGGAGTTTCGCGAGAGATATGATGCACGAAAAACCACCCGTGGTGACGAACGAGAACGAGGAGAGAGAGGTGGATTACGACGACATTCGCTCGAGCGGAGATAACGTGAGAGGAAGCTGGTAGGAGGAACTCTTTCTTTCTTCGTTCGGTATACTCTTCTTAGGAGCGAGAGTGAAAGAGATGAAAAGTAGTTGTGTTTTGTGTAGTAGAATAGATTTTAGCGCGTATAGAACTACCAGTAGGTACCAAAAACTCCATGTATAATTCCACTTTCGCGAATCATAGTGTTCTTATTATTATTTACAAAAATCGATGCGATGAGTTTACTTTAATCCTAAGCTACCGAAATCTAACGCATCGAGCGGGTCAAGTTTCTTGTTTCTGTTGTTGCTATTGTTGTTACTAGAAAAGTTGATTTTCGAAGGCGTCGACGCCGCGAAATCGGAAAACGGATCCACGTGTTGCTGCTTCGGCATCACAGCCGGTTGTGCTATCGGTGCCGTAGGCGTCGTCTCCATTCCAAAGAACAGATCGTCGATCGCGGCAGCTGGTGCCGGAGTTAGTGGTGCGCGCGTTGTTGGTTGTTGCGGCGTAGGTTTCGATACGTTTGCTTCGAAACCAAACAAATCTTCGGCGCTTTGGTATGGAGTTCCCGTAGACGAGGACTGATTGGTGTTGGTTGCTCCTCCTCCTCCTCCTCCTCCACTTCCTCCCCCCAAGAGTTCGTCGAGAGAGATTGTCGGAGAAGCCGTCGTGGGCTTCTGGGTATTACCCGCCGGTCGACTTTCAAAGAACAAGTTCGTATTGTTGGCGTTCACGAAGGCGTTGCCTCCTCGCGGAGGCGGCTTCAGCGTTGCACTAAATCCAGCCGAATTCGGAGGACGTTGAATAGGAGTGTCTCGGATGACAACTTTAGGAACGAAAGTTGGGGGTCCTTTGCTTCGTTGGTTCCCGCCTCCAGTCATGAACTCATCATTATCCCCATCGTCGTCGTCCTCGTCGTCGTCCTTGTCGTCCTCGAAAGCGTTGAGCACATTGCTCATAGCGCTCGTTCCAGAATGAGCACCGTCGTTTTTTGATTTCGGTGCTGGTGTTGTTGCTGATGGTGATGCTATTGCTGATGTCGTCGTCGGTGTCGCCACTCTAGTGGCGCTATCGTTATTATTATAAGTCGCTCTATTATTATAAGTATCGTTCGCAGAGTTCCTGTTGCGACTCGACGCCTTCAAATCCGCGTTGCTCATTCCACTATACTTCCCTCTGTTCATCCTCGCCTTCTCTCTAACTTCTCTCACTCGTTCCGGGTCTTCCAACAAAGCGATCATATTCGTCACTTTCTGTCTGATGTTAATCCCTTCGTCTCTCCCTTTCTCTGGATCTCGATGTTCAAACGTCTTCAACGGTTGCAAGTCTCTCCCTATTCTTCTCTGAATCTCTCTCACAATCGTTTCGCTTCCGTTGGCGATTAAATAGTCAATCACGGTCAACGCTTTATAGCACAAGCGCCACTCCAGGTCTCTCTTCTTCAATCTGTTTTCGAATAAAACTCTCAGAATGATTCTCGTGTCCGACTCTTCGTTGTTGTTGTTGTTGTTGTTGCCTCCTCTCCCTCTCACTCCTTCCTCCTCGGCGACGGTTTTCTCGGCGAGAGATTTCAATTGTTCGCCGTGTGGACCCCACTTCTCTTTATCCGTGCTCTCTAAGACGAGTTGTTCGCACTCCGAGAGGCCTTTCAAGGCGTAGACGCCTTTCCGGACTTTTTGTTGCAACGCGTGCGGGAGGAAATCCATTCTTCTTCTTCTTCTTCTTCTTCTTCTTCTTCTTCTTTCGTTGTCGTTGTCGAAAGAGTCTGACGACAAAATTTTTGAAGACTTTTTGACTGAAAATCCATTTTTTCAGATTTCTCCATTCCCTTTGTTAAATATATATAGTAATAGGCAAACCACCTACCTGTCCTCTCTCTCGTCGTTTCGAATTGAGTATTATTCGAACAAAAAGAGCGCATTTTGTCACTCAGCGCGAGTGTTCGCGTCGTCGCGGGTTGTTTTTGTTGTATTATTGTTCTGGATTTGATTTTTAACACGATGATGAACAACAACAACAAATACTCTCATCATCAAGCGCGAAGACAGCAGTTGTCCAAGTGCATTCGCGCGACGGGGTTAATTATATTTGGGATGCTTGTTTTGAGCGTCCAAGAGAGTTGGTATTATTCCTCCTCCTCCTCCTCCTCCTCCTCCTCCTCCTCCTCGAATTATACTCCCTCTAATGAGGTGCGAAAGAGAGCGAACGAGGAGTGGGCGAACGCGAAAGCATACGGAGCAGGAGGAGGAGAAGAGAGCGGAGAACACCACTCGTCCTTTCGGTATCAGTTTATGCATAATCATCATCAAAACAGTAATCATCACTCGCACAGCAGCGATAGTGAAGATCCGTTGGATCTGCGAAAACGATTGAAGCGAGCCTTAACGGCGCGTCCACCGGCGTTTGAGAGAGCGTTGATGGAATACGTTGAGAAACACAAGAGCGCGACGGAGGTATCGAAGAAAGACAGTGAGAATCACAAGTACATTGTATACGTATCTGGAGGGAACGACGGGTACGGGAATAGGTTACCAGGCGTGGCGATGGCGTTTTTGTGGGCGTTGTTGACGGATAGAGTGTTGTTGGTGCATTGGAGAGATACGTTTCCGAACCCGGCGAGTTGGGGGAAGTTGTTTCAACCGGGCGTGGAGATGGACGTGGATAAATTGAGAGATAGTTTGAGCGATAAGATTCTGCAGTACGTCCCATTTGGATCTTCCGCGTCGTGTGGAAATAGTAACAAAAAAGGAAGTAGCAGTAATAGCGGATGCGCGATGGTTGTTCGAGACGATTACGCGAAAATCGCATCGAAAGATTTAAATCAGCAGTACCCGGAGAAAGTGTTGTTGTTCAAATCGGACGATTACGCCATGCCTTTGCTGGTAAACAACGAAAATTACAAAGATCAAGTGAAGTCATTATTCAACAACAAGCATGCGAACGTGTTCGGGCACATCGCGAGATGGTTATTGACTCCGTCGCCAAAGATTCAAAAAACCGTCGATCGAACGTTTGAGAGTTTAGGAAAATATAATTTTGGCATGCACTTACGCATGCAAAAACCAATGCCGGCAGGTGGTGATAAAGGAGTGAAAGTGCCCGATCCGGAGGTTTTTTTCAAGTTTGCGCGAATGCGTGCCGAAGCGTTGGGATTTCCAGCCTCTGATACTGTGTTTTACTTAGCCTCCGACGATTCGCGCGCTCGCGATCGAGCGACGGAGTATTTTAGCAAAAGAGGATTAACCGTGCGCTTTATGGAAGGTATTAAATTTGGTAACGACGGCGACCGGGGGTCGGTGGAATCGTTACAAAATGCCATCGCAGAAATGCGCGTTTTGAGCATGTGCGATGAGATTGTCGGTTCGTACGGATCCTCGTTTTCCGCCGTGGCTGCGAGCTGGGGTGCGATTACAAAGTACGATATTCGAGCGGACGGTTCGTATTGGAACACCGCGTGGAACGAACCGTGTTGGCGATTCGCGAGCAGAGGACATAACGCGGCGATTAGCGATGCTGCGTCGCTTCCTTACCACGAAGGATGTCACGAAGGTATGTCCACGTTTAAAGATTGGCAAAAATCAAACTGGAATAAAGGCAAAGGACTTTAGAAGAGGTTGTGAATAAACAAAACTAAGTTTAGCAACTGGGTTTATCGCACGCGACTACACGTTACTTTAAAATGTTCAAAGATTTCTTTCCTAAAACTTTCTATTCTTTGTGCTCCCAAAGTTTATCATAAAACTTCTCAAAGTCAAAGTCTTCGCTACGCATTCTATCGCAATCTCTATTCTGGCTCACGCCTTTTGGCTTTGTGAATCCAATTTCGCATATTCGTCCAGTCGAACCGCCATGTTTGCAAAAATGACTTCCGGCTTCTAATCCGGTTTGCATTTTAGAATCGAACGCCTTCGATTTGCTTTCATCTTTGAACGTACAAAATGATTTACTCGCGGTTTCGAGCACTAGAACTCTCTTATCAGTTTTCCTGCCTAATTGATCTCGAATCTCTTCGTCAGTTGGGAACTGTCGAGACAGGGAAACCGTTTCGACGCTCTGCTTGATTTTGTCGCTCGTTTGCTCGTTAGTTAAGAACGAGTACTCGCGAAATTTTAAACCGGCGCGTTCCAAATTTGGTAAGTTCGTCACGTGGTCCATTGGACACTTATTATACGGAGGATGAATGTCCGCACCTGGAATGTAACATTGTGGAAGGACGTTACCCCAGTATCGATCGCACAAGCACGAGAATTCAGGAAGGATGGGAATGCGGTTCAAAATTTCCGCATATGCGAACAGATTCCTCAATACCAATCGATACCACGAGGCAAGTTTTAAATGATTTTCGATGCCAATCGATAACAACTCCTGCGGTGGTTTCTCTGAAGTCGTTATGAAGTTGCCTTCGTCGTGGTACTCCTGCGCATCGATCAACCATAACTGATGTTCGCGCAAGCGCTGTCGTTTGCCTCTCGCTTGCGAAAACTGATACGTCGTGTGTACCACAAAAGGTTCGACGTTTAAGTGCAAGTGCGTTTGCTGAATGAAGAAAACGTGACCTGAAGTAAACAAGGTGAGCGGTAAAGCGCCCAACTTCAAATCCTTCGACGCTAACGCGACGTGCAATTCGTGCCGCTCAGCGCCTTCCTTCCTGTTCTCGACGTCTATTTCGTCCAACCGTTGTGGTGGCCGCAAACCGGCGCCTTCGCGTAGTAATCTGTTGAATATGTCCTGATCGTGTTCAAACTTGTGTGTGGTTGTTTCTAACGCCACTTGCCAGTCTTTCAAGAACCCTTTCGTCTTTTCCGTTGGATTTAAGAACAAAATCCCGGTGTTGAATTGATCGTGCCAACATCCCCTAACTTTCTCTTCGTTCTTATAGGACAAGCAGTCCGTACTGACTGCCATGTCCACGTATTTCGCCATCTCGTTTGTCACGAACCACTCTCTCGGGTCTCTCATCCACGCCGTATCGCAATCGGATACTAAAACTCTAAATCCTTTCTGCATCAATCGCAACAAAAAAGACGCCTTTAAAGCACCGATTTGTTGAAACGCTTTTCCAACCATGGTCACTTTCGCGTTTTGATCGTGCAACGGCTGCCCACCCGTCGCAACGACGCCGTGCGTGTACCTCAACTCTTCGTCTCCTAAATACGGAATGTTGTTCTCTTTACACACTTTTTCTGTCTCCGCATCAAACGCGGCGACGATGACGTTCCCGATGTTCAGCTTTTGCGTGTGCGCGTACCAGTTCAGCATAAACTCGTGAAACCCGGCGGAAGCGAACGCGGCAAAGACTATGCTGCTTTTATTTAACGAGTCCACGTGTTCTACTCTTAGTTTCTCATGTTCTTGATGATTTGGTTGACTCTTATCATTGCTTTCGCGAACGTCTTTCCCTCCCGCCATCCGCTCCTCCATTCTTTGCTTTCTCAACTGTTCCTCTTCTTCATAGGACAATTCTTTCTTCGGTTCAGATACTCTTCTTCTTCTTCTTCTTGCATCTCTGTTATTGTTGTTTCTCGCGTAGTCTTCGTGATCAGTGTCTTGAACTCTTCTCGCCGCATCATCTCGTCTCCGAAACGCTCCGTCGTCTGCTGCTGCTCCTGCTGCTCCTGCTCCTGCTCCAAGATGAAGAGCAACACGATTGTTGACAGGACTCGCGGGAGTCCACTTCTTTTCCTTTTCCAAAAATCTCAACTCAAACAGGCCCGCGCACGCGAGGAATAAAACGAAGCAAAAGACAAATTTCCGTCGACGAGAGTAGGAATTTGATGATAAAGCTTTCGAGTGAGGATTCGCGCGTTGATGGTGCAAATTCGTCGTCGTCGTCGTCGTCGTCATCGTACTCTTCTTAATATGAATAAAAAGTAGTGCTCGTAGTAGTCATGGTTGGGTAGTCTCTCTTCGCAAAAACTTTTTGTGGTGAAGTTCGTTTCGAAAAAAATTCCCCTAAAATTATTAGAAACACACACAAGAGTAGTAAGTAAGTACTCCTGTTGTTTCAGAAGAAAAGAGAGACGAGCAGTAGAAAAACAATATATACATCAGAGGGGGTGAGCGAGCGCGCGCGTTCTTCTTCTTCTTCTTCTTTGTCTTCTTCTCTTTCTCTTTCTTTTTCCAAGATTATAATCCTAAGAAGACAAATGCATATTAAACCACATTTGATTGCTTCTCTTGAAAGACTTGGTACATCAAACCTTTTCTCTCTGTCTTAACGCGGTAATTTCTCGATGTGGCGTCGAGGAGCTCTCGATACCTCTTTATTATGAGCATCATAGGTATTGAGTTGCGTTTTGGATGAGTCGAACATTCGTACTTCCTATCTTTTCTTATTATATCACATGGACGAGAGAGTGTTGTTTAGAACGAGGTGTTTCGTTCCTTTTCTTTCTGTGTCTTCTTTTGGTGGTATTAAGTGTAATTGACATACTAACGAGGTCTTTTCTTGCTCCGCAGGTACGGAACAGCACACAAAAAGGAGCGCGTCCCTTTCTCCTTCTTTCTTGAAATGACGACGAAGTCAACTTCATCCGTCTTTGTCGCGCCCGTCTTGGAGACGCCGGCGAGAGAAGAAGATGAGAAAGAATACGAAGAAGAATATGAAGAAGAATCAGACTATGAACAAGACGAGAAGATTGACCCTTCCTTGCGTTCGCAGTGTTTGCCGTTAGATGCGATACTTCCTGACTTCGAAACGGAGGAACCGGTGGATGGATTTGAGTATTTACGAAGGGTGCGATACGAGGCGGCGACAATTCCACACGTCGTCGTCTCCGACGTAAATCCCCGCGATTACGACAACAAAAGAACGCCAAAAATATTAGAGAAACATGGATTTGTATCAACGAGCGCGAAAGCGCTGGGTAGAGAGAAAACCATGCGCATTCTCGAGCACGCGAGAGCGAACGCGGAGTGGACGAAACAGTTTTTAGAGTCGTTTTCTAATTTACGCGTCTCGATGCGACGCGCTTTAGACGACATAGAGGAAAAGATGAAGGCAGGCGCGAAGAACATTAATAGAAAATACATAGCACCTGAGAAACTCGAAGCTGTGCCAATGATGAGCGATGTTGTGGCGTTGGATGACGTGACTGTGAGCTCGTTGTTTCGGAAATATTGTTACTCGTTTACCGAGAAGGAAGATGAAAGTGAAAAAGAAAAGTTGAAGCACGCGTGGTTTTTCGCTCTCGCCGTTCGCGTAAGCATGCCACTCGATAGTGAAACGCAAGCGGCAGTGAGACGAGTCTCGAGAGTGTTTGCCAAACAACTTTCGTCGTCGTTTAAAGAAAAGGAGGAAGAGGAGGACGAAGAAGAAGAAGAAGAGGAAAATGCTGGTCGCAACGCCGCGTTGAACATTGGGTTGAGCATCGCATGGAAATACTTCAATCAACCACCATTCGACGACAACGAAGAGGAAGAAGAGGAAGAGGAAGATGAGGAAATAGATTACGTACATAGAAAATTAGAGCGCATATTGTAATAACAGAATAGTTGTGAAGTTCATTTTATTGCTTTTTCTCAAACTGCACCTTCTTCTCTCAACACCCGGGCGGCCAACTTAACTGCTGTCCTCCAATCACGTGCAAATGTAAGTGATACACCGATTGGCATCCATCCACGCCGTCGTTAATGACCACCCGAAATCCCTTCTCCAACTTTTCTTGTTTTGCCACCATCTGCGCGACGTACATGCAATGCCCTAACAACATCTTGTGGTCCTCGTTCGCTTTGCTCAGCTGCGACAGTCCGGCTTTGATTTTCGGAATGACCAAAAAGTGCGTCTTAGCGACTGGATTGACGTCTTTAAACGCCATGGCGAGATTGTCTTCGTATAAAACCGTCGCTGGTATTTCTTTGCTGACGATTTTATCGAAAATGGTCGGCTCCGTTGAGTCTTGCATGCCTTTTAAAATCGCTTCTTGCGCGTTTAACTGTTCGTCGTTTTTCGGGGTTGACGCCATCGTTCTCGTTTTTGGTGTTTTAGTTTGTTGTGTTTGAGTGCGAGCACGTCCTCGTTTTAACAAAGATGAAGTCGACGACGAGGATGATGTTGTTGATGATGATGCTATTCGTTGCAAAGTTTTAGGAGAAACAGATGATGATGATTTTAGGAATAAAACGCGCGCGATGGCCGACATATATTTATTCTTGAACTTCCTCGTGCAACAAATTTTGCCGTCGTCGTCTCTGCTTGTCGTTTGAGCTTCGAAAAAGAGAGAAGAGGGAAAATGCACCAAACACTTCTTCTTTACTCTTCTCTGCTGCTTTTGCAAAAGTCTTTCGTACGATTATTATTATATTTAACAATCATCATCGATCGATTGATTGAGAATAAGGTATTGCGCATAAATTCGGTGGTGGCCGTCGTGGTGATAGCATCTCAATCATCAACAGTTTGCGGTTAGGACGACGAGAGCAAGAAGAAGAAGAAGAAGAAGAAGAATTTTCCATTGGAGCGTAATAGGTAAATTGCAATCGATTTTGAAGAGAAAAAGAAAAAGAAGAACTCCTACGCAGCCGTAGAGAGTGAGAGAAGTCACGTCTCGCCGCCATGGAGGATAATTACGACGAGGAGGAGGAGGAGGGTGAAGATGTCCCCATCACCACCACCAACAACAACAACAAGGACGCTGCGAACACAGTTGCGAACAAGCAACCTACTGTTCCTACGGTCGAAATGAAAAAAGTTGTGCAACCGACGACGGCGATCGGGGGAACCGCTTCCGATAAAGTGGGAGATGTTTTCGTCCATCATCATCCGTCGATGAAACCGGGAAGGATTCTGCGATTTACCGAACTGATGCACCCTCAGAAATCTTTGGAGGAGGAGAGAGAAGTCGCGAGAGAGAGAAGAAGACAGAGGAAGAAAGAACGAGAAGAGGAGGAAGGCGAAGAGGGAGAAGCAACGAGAAGGCTGGAAGGAGAAAACGACGACGCCAGGGAAGAAACGGACGACTCAGAAGAGGAAGAGGAAGAGGGAGATAACAGTATGGAGGGTGATTCCGACAACGAGGATTTACATGGATTTCATTACAGAGGCGAGAAGCTTCTACCAAAAGTCAATCAAGTGATGCTCGATCAGGACTTGAACGACGATATCGATCGAAAGTGGAGACCGGGCGGGAGAGTGGATCGAGACGACGTGTCGTTAGCAGCGAGAGTAGCTGAGATGTACGCCAGCGAGAAGGAGGCGATGCGAGAGGCGATGGCGGATGCGTTAGATATTGATGAGATCAAGAAGATAAAGGTCACGGAGTTGGAAAAGGAGAAGTTTCTGGTCGGCGTGGAACAGAAAGATTGGGAAGACGACATCATGTGGGACGACGAAGGAGGAGCGGCAGATGAGGAGCAGAGAAGAAGAACTGCGGGTAGTGCAACTTTTCAGGCGAGTGCAGCGGAACGAGAACAAAAGGAAGGAATAGCGGTAGTAGGAATAGCAGAAAAAGAAAAAGACTCCAACAATGAGGAGGACGTGGAGGATGCGGAAAACGACAGTAAAAATCGCAAGTCGGTCGTTTCTGTGCCCAAGTTAGATAGCGCGACAATACATGCATTGAAAAGCTCTCACGTTAAGAACTGGGGTGAGTATACGGAACAACCCGATGACGAAGATTCAAAATCGACGGCGTCTCTGGAATACTTCGAAGCGCCTGATGCGAATTCGTTTCAAACCTTACGTCTGTGGACAGAGATCGACGGGAATAACAACAACACGAAGAACATGAAAGAAGAATCGCACAAATTTTCAAATCCAAACGCGGCAATGCAAGATCCGAATTCACTCGCGTCTGGAGGTTCAAAGGAAGATATCAAAGTTCTCGGGCAAGCCGAAGCGCGTGCGCAAAGCGGCGGCTCGCATCGATTAGCCGGTTTAGATAAACTCGTCGTTCGCATAGTCGGTCAGAGCGATTTACCGCCAGAGGCCGCAATGTTCACGGCGGAAGAATATGAAAAAGCAGACGCTGCTGCTAGGAAGCACGAACAAACCTATCAAGAGCGCGTTTCGAGAGAGCTTCAAGAATGCGGCGCGCTCGAAATGTTGAAACGGAAGAACCAGGAGTTGCTTTCTGGCGATTGGGTGGACGAAGTTTCATGGGACGGAAATCCAGTGCATGTGGACGATATCGGCGATCCTTCGAAGATGTTTAGCGAGCTACGAATAAATCCAAACGATCCCGATCTCGACTTGTACGCGGATGGCGAGCTCGACGGTTCTGAGTTTGCGAGAGCGACTGCGAAAGTTTGGAAATCGCGTGATTTACCGCCGGTAGCTGACTTTGAGAAAGCTCTGAATATTAGTATAGACGAAGCGTACGCACCAGAAGTTCCCGAGGAAGGCGACGCGCGCGAGCGTACTCGACCAGGGCGTTTGGAAGGAATCATACACTCCGATTTTGTGTACCAAAATCCTCCGACTTTGAACAGAGATCCAATGGATTACCCGCGACCTCCCCCAGTTTTAGAAGTGCAGCCGCCACAAGCGACGAAGAAAAAAATTGGTTTTATGGGTATTCGCATAGCTGGGCCTTCGGCAGACGAAACATTCAAGATTAACGTGAAATCGTTGACGCTCGATAGCGCCGTCGCGACGTTGAAAGTAAAGTCCTCCGAAACTGTGGGATCTATCATTCAACGCGTTCGAAAACGTTGGCCAGAACTCGAAGGTGATTTGTCCTTGTACTTTCCTAAAGCGGGAGTGGAGAAACAAGAACCGCTGGATGAATCCACGAGCTTGAAAGACTGTGGCGTCAAACCTCAAGTTGGTGCTCCGATATTATGCATCGAGTCGACTAAAGTACATGTGGTTTCGGAAGAAATCGCGACGATGCGCCCGATAGACGATCGCGCCTTGGCACCTCCTGGAGCGTTTAAGAAACCCTCCGATCTTTCCATTGAAGATGGTCACATTATGCTCGTCAACTATGCCGAGGCAGATCCCCCGCTCATCGCTAAACCGGGCATGGCGGCGAAGAAAGTGACGTATTACTTGAGAAAATCCGCGGGTGATCAAGGCGCCAGACCTTTGATGGGAAAAAGCGGGCAAGTGTTTGATTTAAAACCAAACGCGCCGTCACCCTTTCTATCTGGTTTACCTCCTGGTATACCTGTAAATGTCTTAGAAACGTCCATGTACCGCTCTCCACTGTTTGATAGGACGCCAGATATGGACGACGACTCTCAACCTGGAATGTTTCTGCTTGCCAGAGGACCTACGGGCAAATGGAGCATGCGGCAAGTGCCTCATTTCTTCGTCGCTGGCCAAATGGAACCACACGTTGAAGTCCCAATGCCAGGATCGTTAGAGTGTATTGATATTGAAGAACGCATGGTCAACGCGACAGTTTTGAAACATTTCTTAGAGCTTCAAAAGCGAACTACTCCGGAAGATGCGCATCTTCCGAAACTCGTCAAAGTGTCGGACATAGCAGCCACTTTGAATAATGTCTTGACTGAAGATCAAATTCGATCCAAGTTACGCCTCAGAATTTGTGCACCAGTCAGATCGAGAGAAGGGATTAGTAAAGAAGATTATGCGTTAAACCCAGAGTACCGATTCGAGCACGAAAAAGAAATTCAAAAAATGTGCACGCCTGAAGATATTTGCGCGTACGAATCTATGCGTCACGCTATCACCGAACTCATGCAAGATCGAACGCCCGAACAAGTGAAAAGAATGAAAAAACTTTTGGCAGTTGATTTTCAGTCCTTAACGAACGCCGTGACGATTTTAGTGCGACACGCGAAAGGAAAACGTGCGAGGGATTTAGAAAGAATCGAACTTTTGCTTCAGATGCAACCGTGGTCGGTCACTCGAGAGTTTCTCGCATACGCGGCTGGGAAAGGTGTTTTGCACATCGACAACTCAAAAAAGATTCGGAAAGAAACTGGGAAGTTCTGGCATTACGTCCGAAGACTCACGAAACCACCGCCGCCGGAAGAACTTCGTCCAAAAGTACAACCAGGAACAGTGACTGGTACCGCGGCAGATTTAAGAAAACTTACCATGCCGCAAGCAGCGCGCATCTTGAGAAACTTTGGTATAGAAGATGAAGTCATTTTAAAACTCGAACGATGGAAGCGCATCGGTTTGATTCGGGAATTGTCAGGCGCCGCCACTGCGGATGGGAACGCGACGCATCAGAACATGTCCAGGTTTGCGAGAAGTATCAAACTTTCCGAAGTGCAACAAGTCGAGGAACTCAAGGAAACGTCCAATTTTCTTTTCAAACGGCAATGGAGAAAACTCGCCAGGAGAGATCGAAAGAAGAGAGCGGACGGAGACGACGACGATTCATCATCTGGGGGTGATACGGACGATGGTTTAAACGCTTTGTGCTCCGATACGGAAGATAGCGACGACGAGAGCGATGAAAACCGATCGGATTCAGACTCGGACTCTTTGGCGGCAGAATTAGAGGCGGAGTTGGCGATGAAAGCGAGAGGACCAACTGAAGAGGAAGATGCTGCTGAATTAGACAAGTTGCGCAACGAACTCGGCGCTGGTATTGGTGCAGAAGATCCTGCAAAACTTCTGGAGCGCGGCATTATCCCAATAGGGAAGAAATTACGTTTGAAACGTATCACAACGCATACGTTTCCGGATGGTCGACAAGCGACGGTGGAAGAAGACATCACCGACGTCGCCGGAGAAGCTTGGATGCAAGTCAGAGCGCAAGGAAAGAAGGCGTCTGAGGAAGCGGCTACGCAAGCGCTCGCGGCTGTGGGTAGAGACAAACCTCCTGATGCGCCTGATGAAGCACCTCCTGAAAAGAAGGCGGCTCCAAAAAAACCAGTCACGTTTGCAGATAAAGCAGACGAGGAAAGAGCAGAGTGGGTGCGACTTCGAAAACGCGCAAAGGAACGGGCACGACGCGCAAAGGAGAAAATCTCAAAGCTGGCAGCACAAGGTTTACTCCTCGATGGCGAGTTGGACGATGAGGAGATGCCGGATATGAAACCAGTTCCTGGCCAAGGCTTGAAACTCAGTTTGAATGCGTCGAGAATCAAAGCCGCTGCGCAACGCAGCCACTCGACGCCAGGTAGCGGTCAACCGAGGAAAAAGCAAGTGTATAAACCGAGACCAGCCAAGCCTTTATGGATACAACTCAGTGATCTCACCGAAATAGTCATCAAAAATAGGCAGTTCGGTCAGGTTTTCGGGACGCCGGTACTTTTAGAAGATTACACGAATTATATCGAAACACCGGTGGATTTGAACACGATCCTCAAGAAAGCGCGAGGAAACGCGTACGGCACCGTCATGGAATGGTTCGCGGATATTGCTCTGATTGAATCAAATGCAAAGGCTTACCATGAATCCGAACAGGAGGTAAAGATGCGCATAGATTGGGTACCGGCATTGGCTACAAAACTCGTCAATTTTGTCCAAACGCTCCTCGATCGACCGTACACCAGGCGCGACTTGAAGAAAGCGGACCACACGTACTCGCCGCAGGAAGACGACGGCGACGACGATCAAGGAGAAGAGGAGAAAAAAAGTAGCGGTTTGACGCAAACGCAACCAAAGATGAAGATGAAGTTTTCGTTCAAGATGAAGCCGAAAGTGGAAGAAAGTGGTGGTGGTGGCCCGGCGGAAACTACGAACACGGCGACCGAAACAGGGGAGGACGGCGGCGCGACGACTGGTTTAGAAACGCTCACCACGGGTGGTGGCTTAGACGACGACGAGAACGACGACGACGAGGAAGAAAACGAAGCCGAGGGTGGTCGTCAAGGTGCTGGTGATGGGAACTTAGACGCCGCAGGCAACTTAGATTAATAATGTACTCTTTTGATGTCCCTTACTACTTTCTTGTTTAGCTTGCTTAAAATGAATCAGCTTATTAATTTAATATGCCATCATCAGAGGACAGAATTCAGAAAAGATATTTTCCAAATTTAAGTCGCGGGGTTTACAATTTAAAAAACCTCCCTCACCATGACTGAAATGGTCCCGCCATCCGCGCCAGTGCCTCCGAACAAGAAGGATGTGACCGGTTTAGAGTTCTTGGAAGGCATTTCTGTGCGTCGTGTTTCTGTTCTTTCTTTCCTGATTTTCTTCTCTTTCTTCTTCTTCTTTTCCCAATTGTGAAGATCTTGCCAGTCGACAATATTGGAACGAACTCATCCAAATTTCCTTCCTTACGATGATGATGAATCAATCAATCAATCAATCAATCAATCAACACAGGGTCTGTACATGAATCAAAAAATCGAGTTACTCGAAGCCGTGACTGGTATTAACACGAAAAATCAGTATCGCGTGATCCCAATCGGTCAAGAGATGCCAGATCCAATCCCGGACGCGTGGATGAAGGAATTCACCAAAGGAAACTTAGAACCTTTATTTAAGGCGAAGGAAGAATCGAACTGTTTGACGAGAATTATCTGCCCTGGCTACAGATCCTTCACCATGCCATTCGTCGATGGGGAAGGAAGAAGGTTCTTTTCCATCATTCGACCGTTTAGGTGTACCATGGGCATTCCATATATGTGCATCTGTCAACCGCAAGAGGCGGAGTTGTTAGACGCGAACGGAAACACGTACGCCAAGGCGATTGAAAGAACGCCGACGTGTTGCGGGCGTAACTTTGACGCGACCGACGATAAAGGTCGATTGATTTATCACGTGTCGTATAACGCGTTGAAGGCTGATAACGGGAAGTGCAACGCTTGCGCGCCGAGTTGCTTTAACGCGAACTTAAACATTGACATTCGAGATCCGTCAACGAAAGAACATCTCGGCGTGATGGTTTCCAAGTGGCCGGGTTGCTCTTGCGCTGGGCTAACGGATCGCTCGCACTTTGTGTTGAGGTTTGCACCCGGTTCGCACCCAAGACAAAGAGCCGGTTTAGTCGCGGCGATGGTTTTGATTGAGTTCGCTGTGTTTGAGTTGATCAGATCACAAGAGCAATAATTTTATTTTCGAATAGAGAGAGGCGGGCGCCGCATGTTTCATACTTGCTCGTCCCTTATTCGCTATGAGTTTCTACGTATTAAAATTAGCTTTGATTGAACATTCTGTTATAATATACTGTAATTACTACGCTATTGTGAATATATTTCACGTAAGAAAAATCCTTCTTAAGATTTAAGTTGCCGAACGGCGTGCCGCAACATCGGAAGTAACACCCCTAAACTCGACGACACCGCATTCGGCCGACCGGGTAAGTTTACGATTAAACTCTGGTTATTTCGCAACCCAGCAACTGCCCGCGATAATGCGGCGTGTTTTTCGTATCGCCGCGCGTGTGCTCTGAGCGATTCTGCTATGCCCTTCACTTCTCTCGTGAGTACGCTCTTCGTCGCCTCGGGCGTGACGTCTCTTTTCGCTAAACCGGTTCCTCCGGTGGTCAAAATCACGTCGCATTTCAGTTCGTCCGACATGTATACGATCGCTTTTGCAATCTCCTCTTCCTCGTCCGGGACGAGCTTGTATCCTTTAATGATATGTGTGCTACTTTTGCTAACATCATCAGTAGTAAAATACGTCTCGATGGTTTCTCTCATGACGACGTTACCGGAGATGTCTTCGTAAACGCCGTTGAACGCTCGGTCTGATACAGTTATGATACCGAAAGATATGTCACTGTTACCATCACCACTATTCGTGCCATCTACTCCTCCTCCTCCTCTGTTGATACATACCGCATCTTCTTCGATATCTTCGCAGCACACGTCTGAGAGCATTCTGTTGTTGGTGTTATTGTTACCTCCTGAATAATACCGTGGTTGTGTCAACGGTAATGTTGCTGCTTCCAAAGTCGTTGTCGTCGTCGTCGTCGTCATCAAATCTTTCGGGTGTTTCGCGTGCATCTCTTGCCCGCTCTTAAATTTCTCCAACATCTCCTCCGTCGCTTTCGACTGCCACTTCTCTTTCCATTCCTTTTGCGTCATCCCGTACACTTCCTCTTGACACAGCTCGTACGTGCTTTTCAGTCGTACATTTTTCTTCCCCAACAACAACCACTTGGCTAAACAGTTTCGACAGAAACCAGTCAAGTTCATCATCTCTATGTTTTGAATGGTTTCGTTTCTCCACTTCATGTGCTCCAGAAGTTTCCGAAACGCGAACGCCTCGGCTTCTGTTTGTTTTAACGAAGAAGAATTGAAAGAAGACAAAGAAGAAGTTTTATTAGACATCGTCATACTCTATTTTGAGCGTAGTATGATGATGATGCGAATTGATGAGTGAAGAAAAAAAAAAGTTGTTGTGTGTTTTTGTTGCAAAAAGGAGTTTTATTAAAAAGAAGACTGCAGACAAAAAAACTTTTTCGTTCAAAACTTCATTCACATAGAGAAAGAACAACAGTAAAACGACGACGTAAACGACTATGAAGAGGAGAACACCGCTCTCACCGCGAGAAATCTTGAGTAATACCGTTATTCGAAGAAGAGGAAGAAAGCTAGGAGGAAGAGCGTCGTCGGTTTTCGAGAATATTGACGACGAAGAAATGATTGCGACGACGAACAAACGAAAACGAGGCGGAAGAAGTTCCGAAGAAGAAGAAGAAGAAGAAAACGAGACGATTCAGACGACGACGACGACTTTTACGCGACGGAGGAAAATGAACGTCGATTGTGATTACGTTTCCACCAAAGGAGGAGGAGGAGAAGAAGAAGAAGAAGGAGGTTCGTCGAAAACGTTACAGTTTCGAAAGCGCGGCATTTTGGAAGAGCAACAACAACAACATCAACAACAAAAGCACACCAAAACGTCATCGTCGAGAATAAAGCTCGCGAGAACGACGACGACGACGACGGCAAGAAGAAGAAGAAGAATAGCAATAAGACCAAGGCGAACGACAATAGGAAAAGCATCCATCAAATCGCAAAAAGAAGTCATGCGCTTGCTTCTCGATTCGGAGTTAGAACCGCATCCCGAGGACGTAAAGGAAGTCGAAGCGCAGCAAAAAGCCAAAGAAGAGAAGGAAAGAACGGAGGCGGCGAAAAAAGCGGAAGCGGCGAGACTGGCCGAAGCGGCGAAAAAAGCGGCGGAAGAAGCGGAAGCGGCACGGAAGAAAGCTGCTTCGGCTGCTGCGACGTTACCAGCTCCAACGACAACGCCTCTGGTGAGTGAAAAACCAGCGGCTTCGCAACCACCAACGACGACGACGACGACGACGACGACTGCGTTTCCCTTCCCTCCGGCACCGAATCCTACAGCGCCCGCGTTTACCGTTGGTTCGAGCGCAGCGCCTCCATCGTCCTCGTCCAAGAGAACGTTTCGTAAGAGACGGTAGGTTTAGTAGTATTAGATTTTTAAATAAAAATACCGGTAGCTTCGATTCTGTTCTCTTCGTCTCTCCCCCTCCTCTCGACTCTCGAAAAAAAAAGCCCGCCAAAACATGGAAGTTTCTTTTGTAACTGTATTTTTCGAAGTACACGTGAGCAGAAAAATGACACCCTCCTTCTTCACTATTTTGACGTCACACGCGACGTATAAAATGGGGATTTCGAACATGGACGACATCATGAAGACTCCAGAGCGTCCGAAAAAGAACGGAAACGGCGACATCGACCCGGTACGTGTCTCGTTCGCGACGCGATTGGATTAAAAAAGATTTTCCCCGAAACCGATTTTTTCTCATCTTTTTGTTCCTCTAAAGTGTCGAAGAGAAAACGACGATTGATTTCGCTCGGAATAACGCGCAAGTCTCGCGCGTGCGAGACCGAAAAGCGCAAAAAAACTTCTCGGATGTGTACTTACTCTTATTCTTTATTCAACACACTACAGAGCATCATAAACTCTCCGTTTATGAATTTCGTTTCCAACTTATCGCCCATACGATTTGGCGCTTCGAGTTTGGGAGGAAACAACACCGTCGTGCCCATCTGTTTTTCCTCGCCTTCGGCGTTTAAAAGGTACGTTCAAAAGCGCGCTCTGTGCTTTCGTTTTCTGGGAGTGCATTCCTTACGGTTTGATCATCCCATGTTTTCCTTTTGTTTGTAAACGTGAATTTCGCGCGAACCATATCCAGGGCGTTTTGATTGCGCGTATATGCGTTTTTTCCTTTCCTTCTCTCGGCAAGGAACAAACGCAAACGTCGAAGGAGGAAAAGGAAGCTCCACGCACTCACTCAGATTGAACTAAAAATATCTCAACACGAAGAAGTTTTGCTTTTTTTTGGATGGATGTTGTGTGCACATGTTGCATTTTTTTCGTGTTTCAAAAATACTCACGACTTGTTCTCTCATTATTATATTCAGTCCGCCGAGAAAACGATCCGAGGATAACGGCAACCACAATCACAACAACACGGTTTCCTCCTTGGCGAACGATATGGGTCCCATCCCGGACAGTTTGATGGTTCCGTTTGCCCACGAAAAGCACCAACACGAAGACGCGGACGACCAGGACGACTTTGTTGGTGGTATTGGAGGAACCATGGGCGCGATTACGCTCGAGGATGAGCTCTTGCAGTTAGATAATAAGTTCAATAATAAGGTCAATAATAATAAGCATAATAATAGCGGAGGTAAGGGTGATAAAACAACCGCCAAGAAGAGCGGAGGGGACCAAAAGAAGAGTGCCAAGAAGAATGGAGGCAAAAACAACAACGCGTCTGTTTCGCCGCCAACTGGATCCTCAAAACGTCAGTCGACGACGGGTGCCTCACTCGAATGGAACAGTGGGTTCTCGAAAACGATTCGAGGCAAAGCGGCGGATTCACCGAGAGACCACCCGGTCGGGACGGAAAATAGAAAAGCAGGGGCCACGCCTATGGCTTCGACAAAGAAGTCCAGTAGACGCGATAGCCTCACCAGTAGCAACGATGAGCACATTACTCCACCAGTCGGAAAATCAAAAAGCGATGGTGGTAGTAAAGTGAAGAATACCCGCGATTTACAAACTCCTGGGTCGAACACAAAATTGACCTTTGCGGACAAATTGGACCAGAGTAAACTCGACGAAGGCATCGACTTCGACGGCGCGTCCAAGAAGTGCAACTGTAAAAAGTCGAAGTGCTTGAAGTTGTACTGCGATTGCTTTGCGGCCGGGGTGTTTTGCCGCGATTGCTCTTGCCAAAGCTGCAGTAACACGGAGGGTGATCTCGAGGTTGTTCGACAAACGAGATACCAGATTGAATCTAGAAATCCAAACGCGTTTGCGAATAAGATTGTCGACGACGATAGCGTGGACGCAAAGCACGCCAAAGGCTGCCATTGCAAGAAATCAGCGTGCTTGAAAAAGTACTGCGAATGCTTCCAAGCAAATGTGCGATGCCAAGACTACTGCAAGTGCGAAGGATGTAAGAACACGACCGATGGCGCGAATCCTTCGCAAAACGGCGGCGCCGCGACGGCGACGAAGACAACGATAACAACAACGACTACAACAACCGCAGTTAGAGAAGACGAGGGTAAAATACTCACAAACACCAACGAGGCGAAAAAGAAAGTCGAGGGCTTGAAAAAGTCTATCGTTGGGTCTGTTAGAGACAGTGATACTAGTTTCATATTGAATTCACCAGCTCGCGAAGCTGCTCGAGCCGCGCAACGCATGCTCGCCGACGACGTCTTCATGGACGACATGTCTTTCGTGAACTACGGACACGGGAACCTCGCTTCACCTTTGCGAACGTTGTTGCACTCGGAAACTGGCTTGTCTCCGATGTTTCAACGCGTGAATGACGATAAAGGTGCTACTGCCACCAACTCTAGACAATGCAAGAAAGAGAACAACGACGTGAACGCCAACAACAAGAGTAATAGCGTCGGGAATAACACCAAAGCGTCTTCGAAAACGAGAGGAGCCGCGGGTCGTTTTTCCTTTTCAAAGACGAACAGCGCTATGAACACGAGAAGGAAGGCACCAGTGCCTTTATTCACGGACGACACCAACAACGTCGAGGAGAAGACGCCGGCGAGAACGACTCGAAGCAGAGGCTCGCCTAAGTTGGTAACGCCTTCTGTTTAAGAGCGCGTGCTTTTGTTGTATTCGGAAGTGGAACAATTCCCCTCCTACAACTTTCTTTTGAGAAGTTGTTGTAATTTAATATGTGAATGTATGAGAGAGAGACTTAACTAAACTACTTACAAAACTCTAAATACATTATTGTTTGTGTCCCTATTCTTCTATTTGTTCTCTCTTCATAGCTTCTACGCGTGCGCGGCGCGCTCTCGATATTGTATGGTGGTGGCTCTCTCTAAACTACCAAAAGTTGTTTTCTTCCGACCACGTCTCGACTAAAAAATCTATCATTTCCCCGAGCTTAATTGGTTTCGGGAATTTCACGAACGGGATGAGGAGAAGGTCCTCGTACGTCGCATCGTGTGGTATCGCCGAGCGTTGGCCTCGTTTCCTTTTCGTGATGGAAAACGCCGAGGACAGTTTTTTGTTCGTCTCTCCTTCTCCTGTACTCTTGTTGTTGTTGTTCAAATTCCTCCACGCGTTCCTTTGCTTCTCCCAAATAGCAAACCCTTCGTTGATTGGTTTACTCTTTTTGCCGCTGCTCGCGTTATGAAGCATCATAAAACTACTCCCTTTTCCTTCTATCGGTTGCGACTCTAAACCACTGCCGCCATTACTACTCTCACTCGTCAATAAGATTTTTGGCTTTTCCGCCGTCCTTCGTTCTTTTTGTATGACCGAGTCCATCTTTTTAAATCGATGACGACGTCGACGTAATAGATTCTACCACACTTCTTCTCTTCCCGTGTGTATGCGTGCGTATTTATGTATCGGCTCGCGCAATCTCAGCACGCTTTTCGCGCTTTTCGCGCCTGTTCCGTTTACACGAGATTTGTCAAACTTTCGCGATTGAGTTTTCGTGTTTTACGACATGTTTAGTGAGTCAGTGTAGCGCTTGGAAAAGAGACATTTCTTCCTGCTCTCATCGCGTGCTCTCTCTCGTATTCGGCACTATTCAACACATATAAATCTAATAAAAATGTTCGCTGTCCAACAAACTTTTGCCACGAAGACTGTCCAAGTCAACAAAGTCAACAAGACGACCAAGGCGTCCTTCGTCCAAGACATGAAGAAGGTAAATATGCATATCGATTTGTTCTTTTTCTGCGCCTAAATTTGGGGGGTAATTTGAGCCTCGTCAGTTTTCCTCCTCTTACGTCGATATATCGTTAGGGAAATAAGAAATTCAATCGGCCCTCGCTCGCACGAGGGCGATGCGAGATTTATATTTCCTCAAAAAAAAGTAAAACGCGGCCACGATCGTATCATTCGAACGAATCGACTCGTTCCGCGTCTCGTTGAATTCGTTTAGTATTGGGTTTTGGCTCGCGCGGTTGGGTGCGAAAATTTTACAATTTTGGACGCGATCGACTGGAAAGGAGAGGAAAGATTTTTTTTGGATGAACCAAAATTGGATGTTTTTGCGCTTGCAAGGAGGAAAATTTTTCTCCTCAAACAAGGATGAAATCAAATGTTGCCGTCATGGAATAACGACTGACCGATTCTTTCTATCTTCATTTCAACGCGACACAACAGGCTGCCGTCGTTGGTGCGACTGTCCTCATGGTCAACCCGGCGTTTGCCGCTACCATCAAGTTGGGTGGCGACAACGGTGAACTCGGTTTCTACCCGCCGTCCATCACGGTCTCCAAGGGCGAAACTGTTGAATTCGTCAACAACAAGGCGTTCCCGCACAACGTCGTCTTCGACGAAGACAACGTCCCGGCTGGCGTCGATGCCGACAAGATCTCCCACGAGGACTACTTGAACGGCCCGGGGGAGAAGGTCACGAACAAGTTTGACGTTGCCGGTACCTACGGCTACTACTGCGAACCGCACCAAGGCGCGGGCATGCAAGGCAAGATCATCGTCAACTAAATCTATTAATTCTTTTAGTACTTTAGTTGTTTGTGATGAAAGGGGACGCGCGAGTGATGATGATGATGATGATGATGAGTCTTTTCATTTTTCTTCTCTCCTTCTAGTCGCTTTGAAGTTGCTTTATTAATATTAAACAAAAATCAAAATAATACAGTAAACTAAAAATTACAGCGCGCGCTTTATTTGTCAAACTTCATCGTTCGTTGTGTTCTAATTATTGACTATCATTTTGCTCATCGTTGTCATCGTCGTCAGTACCTTCGTAAACTTGCGAAAAAAAGAGCTGTTGCTCGATGGGATTTGCCGAGTCTACCTTGATCTTGACCGTCGTACCGAGCTTAAAATCGTTCTCACGAAGTAACTTGAACGGCGTTTCAAATCCAGTATCCTCCAACAAAGCCAACGCAAATGCATCAGAACGCATGGATTTCACCACTGTTGCTTCGTAGATGTTATCTGCGGATCCCATTTGACGAGAGAAGTATTCGGTGACCCAATACTTGGATATTTCTCGCTGCGTTTTGATTCCCACCGAGGCGTTTGCTCCAGCCTCACTTAAAACCAACTCTAACTTCTCGTTCGAGATTTCAGACGAGTGCCTTCCACTTCGCAAGTACGATTTGATTTGGTAGTGTGCCAATAAATCAGCATATCGACGAATAGGCGACGTGAACTGAACATACGCGCTCAATCCGAGCGAGTGGTGAGGTCTCGGGGTAATGCCTTGCGAACTCGCCGTCATACACGAACGCATGGCCATTTCCGCACACACGCCGTCTGGAATTGTATCCCAGGTTTCTTCATCCAGCAAACGAGGTTCGCCCTGACCGCGAAATGGCAACGCGAGACTGTTCTCAACGCCAAAAGTTCCAGCAATCTCTCCGGCTAAAATCATCATCTCAGAGACTAAAATATTAGACGCAGAGTTATCTCGACGCTTGAGAAAGATTTCCGAACTCACGTCACCACCTCTCGCGTCGGCGCTTGAAACGAAAACGTCGAGCTCGGGTAAAAGAATATTGATCGCACCCTCATTCTCGCGCTTATGATATCGCGCGACCGCACACTCGTTGAGCAGATGAAGATCATTTTTTGCTCTTCCTTCATCTTTAAGGTGAGCGTCGACATCTTCATACGTCATGCGAGTTACTCCAGATATGGTGCTCGGATAAATGTCGTACGATCTAATGGATCCATTGAGACGCGATATATCCGCTTGTACCGTTAATGCAACACCTTCGTTGTCGTTTCTTGTCGTCGTCTCATCATTGGCAACGCGTAAACTCAGTTTACCTCCACTTAGCGACTTGGGAAACATAGGAATCGATTCCGTGGGTAAATATAAGGTCGTTCCTCTCTTCCGCGCCTCTATATCGAGCGGCGAATCGAAAACAATAAACCTCGTAGGATCGGCCACGTGAATATATACTCGGACAAATTCATCGTCGCCTTCGATTTTCTCGATCGATATGCCGTCATCTATTTCGTATGTAGACTCGTTGTCCACCGCGAATACTTCTAGCCGACTTAAATCGACTCTCGAGGACGCATCGAGATCCACGTCCGAAGGTTCGCACTGAATAGTTTGCGCCAGCTGTACAAGATTTTCGTCAAATTCAACCGGTATGAGGTTCCTTCGAAGCGCCAAGTTCTCGTGTTCTCGCCAAATGCCAAGTTTCACCAACACCTCGGCTGCTTTCTGAGAAGTTTTTTGCACGTTGAGTTTTGCCAACAAATCCTCCGCCGATGCTTTTTGCCCGGGTGTGTAACACTCATCACCGGAAGCATACGCCTGTAAACTCTCTAAGCGTTGATGTCGAGTACCGTTGTTATCATTGAAAACCTCCAGGGATTTCGCTTTTTTCATCGTCGTTCTGTCATCGTCTTTCGCGAGCATGGCGTTTTGAATCTCCGAAACAAACTCGTCTTCCAACTTCTTCGCGAGAAGTTCCGCATCGAGTTTCTTCTGTAAAGCGTTCGCATCGTCTTCGCTCCTCGTCGTGTAGATGATATCACTCGCACTACTACTGCTACTTTTTCTACTTTTTTGTTGCTGATGTTTAAAGTACACGTTCGTGCTTTCTGATAAGACTAACATCAAAGTCGTCTTGGCTTCCTCTTCGTCTTCGACATCTGGTACAAGCATCTCTTGTAAATCTTCAATCGTATACGTCGCACCTTTGTTATTGCCTTCTTCTTCCTCTTCTTTGCATATTTCCCAAGTTAGCTTCAAGCTCCCATCGGTGAGAAGCAATTTTGCGCGTTCAATAATAATCCGCAAATCGTCTAAAGAGCGTTTCTTCGTCATAACAAACTTGATGTGCTTCTCCGATATGTTGTTATTCGTCGGAGACGCCGACGAAGAGTCGGCGACGAGGATGGACCATCCAGATTTACCCAATCGCTTCTCTAAAACGCCGACGTGGATTTCACCGTCTCTATCGTATAGTATCGAACGCCCCGTCTCTGGTTCTACCATCGTTGAAGATTTTTGTTGCTGTTGTTGTTGTTCGTTCGTCGCGTCGTTTGCACCGCCGCCGGCGGACGAAGACTTTGACTTCTTCGCTCTCAACAAAAAAGAAGAGCGACAGCCTCTGAGATTTGATGATGATGAAGTCGATGGTCTGGAAAATAAGAGGTCATTTCGTCGTCGCGCGAACGCGTCGTCTTTTTCGTCGTCGTTTGAGTGGACGCAAGAAGAAGAAGAAAAACAACGAGCGGCGGCCGATTGGTGATGACGACGACGACGTTGCTGATGTCTTCGTACATTGGAAAAGACGACGAAGAGATTTTTTGTAGACGACGATGATGCGCAGCGCGAATAATATCGACCACTACTTTTACTGCTGACGTTGCTTCGCTTCCATCTTCCTCTGATGTGTGTTGTTGTTGTTGTTGTTGTTGTTGTTGTTATCGTCGTCGATGTGGTCGAAGCGAGGAGCGTGCTCATCGTGCTTCGTGCTGCAAAAGTCAATTTGCGAAGCATACACACAGCGTGCTGCAGAAAAAAATGAAGAAGTTTGGATGAAAATGTTGCGGTTGTTTTGTGGTTGGGTTGTGTGATCACGTAATTAAAGCTGACTGTGCATTTTTTCGAAAGTAAAGAAAGATTATTGAGACATAACGAACGTCGTCAGAGAACACGCGCACGACCAAACACACACACACACACACAAACGAGAATGCTAATGCAGAGTCAATTTATATTCGGCCATCAGACGCGCATCGTGAGTCGCAGTAAAAACGGTACCATCATCGCCGCGAGTACTCTAAAACTCAGAAATCAGAGTAATCATCATCAAACTTTTGCCGTGACTCGTCCAAAATCTAACAACATACCAAGCAGCAGCAGAAGAAGAAGAAGATCATCATCATCATCATCATCATCATGGGTAACATCGACGATTGTGGTGGCATCGTCGTCGACTGGATTATTTGACTGTCCTATTTTCGCGGAAAAGGCGTTGGATAAGTTTCAGCAATCGACGAGTTCAACAACAAAAGCTACGACAGAAGAAGCGAGAGTTTTGTTCGAGAATAACTATATAATCTTGGACTGTCGAGCGCTCGATGAGATTGATTTCGAGGGAAGATGCTCCGGGAAACCAAACGTTATCGAAGTACCGTTAATAAACGCGAAAAGAGTGTACGATGCGGACGCAGGGAAGAAGGTATATAAGCAAGAAAAAGTAAACGCCGAGGCGTTCCTATCGAGCGTGACGGCGAAAGCAGGAGCGACGAAGGACGCGAAGATTATGATTATGGATAGTATAGGAGGCGTGAGAGCGGAAAGGGCGTTCGAGATACTCTCTTCGAATGGATTTTCGTCTCTTGTATTAGTGGACGGAGGTGTAAACGCGTGGAAAGCGGCATGGGATGCGACCATGCGCCGACGACAGTTGCCCGGCTCGTTTTCTCGCGGGTTCGATAACGCAATGTTTTCCGACTCCATGGTCAGTCACGCAGAAACGTTTGGAAGTGGAGGAGACGAAACGGCCTGGGTGGTATAGTAAGTATAATTTTTCGTTGTCGTTGTTGTTGTTATAATAATAGAAATGTAAAATATACGTTAAAAACGGATCTTCAACTCTCACGTCGTTTGACACCTGACTGTGGGAAGCTTGCATTTCAGCGTTTTACGAAAAATTCAAAAATCTCTCTCTCCTTTGAACAAACAAATTGCATCATTCTTCTTCACACTCTCTTTCCCAAAGAAACTCAAACTCAAACGCCGATATATCTCTTCTGTCGTTCGTTGTAGAAGCATCTCTCTCTCTCTCTCCGTGTGTGTGTGTGTGTGTGTGTAGCGAGATATACAAACAAGGGCCAATGAGTATGAACAACAATACCAAGAAAAGGAAGCCGATGGAAGAGCTTCAACGAAAAGCGCAGAAACTCCAAACTCTCGAGAGATTTTCGAATTTAAAAGTAGAAAATAGAGTCGTCTCGGGCGCGTCCATGGACGATAAATTCAGCGAACGGAGATTTATAAAGCTCGAAAACGTTACAAACGATGTGATTTCATCCTTGTCGAACGTTTTTGCGGGAAGTTCGTCTATCTTTTCGTCTTCGCGCGGAGACGCAAATTTAGAAACCAAAAAGTGGGGCACCGTCGCAGTGAGTTTAGAAAAGTCTCGGCCATTCACCACGGCGAACGGGAAGCACTTCTCCACGATATCGTTTGGTAATTTGGACAAGTCGGAATTATCGGTGAAACTTTTCGGCGAGGCGCACCAAGCGCACTGGAAAGAAGCGAAAGCGGGAATGTTGTACGCACTTCTAGACTGCAAGCCGTATCTCTGTCCAAAGACGAAAAAATTCTCGGTATCAATAGAAGACCCGTCGCAGATGATTAAGATAGGAAAGTCTCCGGATTTTGCATATTGTAAAGGAACGCGTGCGAAGGATGGGTTACCGTGCACAAAAGCCGTAAATCTGAGCAAGTGCGAATTCTGTGAATTTCACGCCGGCGGCGCGTTGAGAGCGCTGCAAACAGAACGTGTCGCTTTAGCCTCGGGGCGAGGTAAATTAGCCGGAGCCAATGGGAAAATAATTACCTCGTCGCAGACGTACAATCCGTACAGCAAAAATAATTCGGCAATCAATCAGTTAGGAGGGCAGTTTGCGGCGAGAAGTAATGCTTCTCGGTCGAGTCACTTCGTAAATCCAGGCGGAGGTATCGGCAACGTCGCGAAACCATCCGACAACATGAACACGACGTCGACACTCAATAGCATGCACAACCAGAGAGCGGGCAATCAGATTCTTTCTAAACTCGCACAAAAGCAACAACAGATGGGCACAATGGGGGTCTCTCAACGCAACGCCGCCTCACTTACGATAGGGAAAAATGACAACACGAGCGTTCACAAAATTCAAAAGAAAATGAGCAAAAACGAGGACAAAGACGACGACGACGATGATTCAGACGATGAAGAGTTGCTCGTTGAAGAAGCGCCGCGTGATGCGGCGTTGGATGCGCGCGTAGCCAAAGTTGCCGAGGCACAAAAGCGAGCGAAAGCTTTATTAGGAAACCAAGAGCTCAAAGCTTCGGATCCGAACAATACAAAAGTGCAGTCGTTTAAAAATAGGTTGCTTAACGTTGACCTCTTCGCTGGAAAAGGAGTAGGATTTGGTAAGGAGAACATGACGACGAGCAAAAGTGGTAGCACAAATTTAGAAAGTGCTGCATATGTGAGTCGATTAGAAGGTGAAAATAGTCGCTTGGTTCGAGAATTGAAAGAAACGAGAGACGAGTTGGCGCGTGCAAAAGCCGAACTCGTTCGACTCGGGAGCACTTTTAGCACGGGACGTGCAACCAATACCAATAACAAAAATAATAACACGGTTAGGAACGATTCCAGGAAGAAGGTTTCCACGTCATCCTTCTCAGACGCTTTCAAGAACATCGTCACGAAGGAAGATATATCGCGTCCTTCGCTACATGCAAAGGAAGCAGCGGACGAGGCGACCGATACAGTTTTTAATAAGATGGATGACTTAGAAAAGATGGACCAAATCAGAACCTTCTTAGAAGACGTTCGCGAACAAGACGTCGACGCGTATTATTGCAAACAGTGCAACAAATGGACTTCTTTCTATCCCAAGCAATCATGTGGGGACGAAGGGGCTAAGCACCCGATCGAAAAGAAGAAGGCTACGGCTCGATGGTTTACCTGTTCATCATGTGCCACGCACATTACTACGCTAAACCAGATAATGCCTCTGAAGTGTACGAAGCACGGGTGTAATGGTGGAACCTTCGCGCGAACGGGCAAACCTGTGCAAAGCGAAAAACGAATTTTAGGCTCGGATAGACTCGAGGATATTGCCGATCGAAAGTTGATGAAACCACGAGGAATCGAGCATGGATTTTCTCTTAGGACTTAGAGTATTTTTTCTCACGAGATACAGGTATTCGAGAAGTCATCATAGCGCAGCTTTATTTTTTCGAAGCCTTCTTGGCTTTGGCTTTCGCCTTCTTCGCCTCTAGTCGCAAGCGCTCTTTTTCTTGCTCTTCCTCTATGCGCTCGCGTTCTTTTCGCTCCATCAAATCAAGCTTTATTTTCAGCTCGTGAACCTCCCTCTCGTGCGCTCTTTTCACCGCGAGAGCTTTGTTTTTCCTCGCTTCTCTTTTCATCCTCGCCGTGTGCAAATTTTCTCCCCGTAAAGCTATAGCCTCGTGCAGTTTCAAACGCGCCAATTCTTCCCTAATCTCTTCTCGAGCGCTTTGTCCGCGATTTTGAACTTTGAAGAGTAATTCTGCGACGCTCGCGTTCTCTCGTGTGTTTGAAAGAAGAAGCAAAGGCGTTTGCGCGTTATCGTTTTTGGCGTGCACGTCTGCGCCTCTTGATATGAGCTCCATAACAATTCGGGCACGCGCGTCGTCGCTATTTTCTACGTCTTCGTCATTTGCATCATTTTCTTCTTCCTCTTCCTCGTCCTCCTCAACCTCTTCCTCTTCAGTTCTTCCCATATTGCTCTCGTCAGTTTGGAATCTGTTCTCGTTGTCTATCGTCGTTGTCTGCGGAGGAAATATTAATGCCGCAGAAACTGCTAAATGGAGCGGTGAATTCCCACAATCGCCGCGTGAGTTCACATCCGCGCCAGCTTCGAGAAGATATTGAATGGCTTTAAGGTTTTTTGCGTAGCACTGCACGTGTAAAGGTTGGTCATTATTGCGTTTACGAACTCGTACGTCGGCGCCCCTTTTGAGGAGGAAGTTGACCGTCTTCGAGGAAGTACAAGCGTGCAACGCACAAACTCCTTCCGCGGTATTCGCGGCAACATTGATGATGCTTTCTTCCGAGGTGAGAATCTCGTCGATTTCGTTGAGTTTATTCTCGAACGAAGCTTTCAGGAGTTTCTCTGCGTTTCGTTGTCGAGCGACTCTCCAGAGTTCCTCTTGGTCTTCTTGGTCTTCTTCGTTTTCTTCCTCTTCCTCTAATATCGCTTCTTGCAAGATACTCTCCGACGCGTTGATCGAGATTACGGCAGTGGCATCACCACGCGCCGCCGGCGCATCAATCGTCGTCGTCGTCGTCTCGAGAACGCCCACGGTGGTGGCAGACATGATTCTCCTTCGTCGTCGTTTTCGTTTGTCTCTTTATTTTTAAATAAGTAAGTGTAGGAAGTGTGTGGGTTGACTTCTTTGTTTTTTTTGCTTTCCTCTCTCGTGTATTTTTCGAGCAGCGAAGTGTTTAGGGTAGCAACTCCAAATCTGCGTTCGTAAGATACGGCTTTGCTTTTTGAAGAGAAGAAGAGATTTCCATCGGCGCGCTCCTCACGTCTGCGTTATAAATACACGCATCAAAAGCAACTACTCTTATATCGAAGATGTCCGCTATTGTTTCTTCTTCCGCGAGGTGAGTGTTTTCGTCGTCGTTCATCTCTTGTTCTTGCTGAAAGAGAGAACTCTATCATTCTTTTTCTTCCCTTCTTCTTGAGAATGGATTGCTCGTACAGAGAGAAACGTGAGAGAAGAAAGAGAGGAGGAAAAGAAAGAGAAGAAGGGCTCTTTTTCTCCCTTTTTCTCCCCTTTCTGGATGATCGTTTATTGATTTTTTTTTCTCGCGCGCTTTTCTTTTCTGCGCTCGATTAAAAGTAAAGAGTGACGAAGACGACGAAGACGAGGAGGAGGAGGAAGAGGACGCGCGTCGTGCGTTGGATGATCACGCCGTGATCTTCCTCTGAAAAGAGAACGTATCAAAAATCATCTTCGCAAGAGAGAGGAGGAGAGGAATTCTTCTTTTTCATCGTCGTCGGTTCAAAATCCACCAGAAAAAGAGAGTCCTGTGTGATCTTTTTTTTGGGTTGGCATGGTTGGGGGGGTCGTTTTTTTCGGTTTCTTTCTTTCTTTAAAAAACAAAGACTTAACATATATATTCTCTTTCTCTCTCCGCGCATAAAAACAGAATCACCTCGCGCGTGAACACCTCCGCGTTGAAATCTCGCTCGGTGTCTCGCCAATCCGCGCGCGCTTCTTTCGTCGTCAAGGCGCAAAGAGACGTGTGGTGGCCTGGAGTCGACGCGCCGGCGCACTTGGACGGCTCCTTGCCGGGCGACTTTGGCTTCGACCCGTTGGGCTTGTCCGTTGACCCGGAAATGAAGAAGTGGATGGTCCAAGCCGAACTCCAACACGCCAGATGGGCGATGCTTGGTGTTGCCGGCATGGTTGGCCCGGATTTGGCCCCGTGGGATACTCCGTCCTGGATTGAGGCTGGTAAGTTTGAATACTGGGCGCCGGCTGGTCCGTTGTTCTTCATCCAAATGGCGATGATGAACTGGGCTGAAGTCAGACGCTGGCAAGACATGAAGGACCCGGGGTCCATGAACAAGGATCCGTTGTTTGGCTACAACGCGAACGACACGAACACGGACGTTGGTTACCCGGGTGGCTTGTTTGACAAGCTCGGCTACGCGAAGAAGGATTTGGACACGTTGAAGTTGAAGGAAATCAAAAACGGTCGTTTGGCGATGGTCGCCATTGCCGGCTGCTTCGTCCAAGGCGCGACGACTGGTGTGTCTCCGTTGACCAACTTGACCTCGCACATCGCGAACCCGGGTGCCGTGAACATCTTCAACTAAGTTTTTTTATCGTGAGAAACGCTTGCGTGAATTTGTAAGAGAGAAATCACATCGTCATGTTTTATAAATCAATATAGTTAGAGAGAGAGAGGGAGAGAGAGAGGAGAAAATGTAAAGAGAGTGGAGAAAAGAGTGAGAGAGAGAGAGATTTGGTGAGTAAATGAACGCGTGCGTGTTGTAAAAAAATTTTGCTACAGAGCACATGCTAGGGAACACAAACTACAATACATTATAACTCGTCTTGGTCCGCAAACTGACCGGTTGCTTCGATCCCGCTTGTTCTCATACCAGATTCCGACTTTTCAATTTGCATGTACGTCTCTAAATCTATCCCTTTGCACGCCTCTCGTTTACACACTTTCATGAATATATCATCCATCATCGCTTCCTCTTGCGCTTCGTTCTCTCCGCCACTATCCTCGCTATCCTCGCCTTTCTTTTTTTTATTCTTTTCTACAGTCTTGGCGTATTTATACATCAACCGTTCTATTTTCTCCTCGTACGTGCCTACGATCTCTCTGCACGCGTTTTGCATCTCCGGCGGTGGGTAATTATACGTGATGAACCGTTTCACCTCTGAGCAGACGTTCGACATGCTTTCAATGACTACTTCTTCCGGACCGATAAACTTAGACTTGTCTCTGATATCCTTCCCGATTTCCGTTAAGGTTGCGTTGCAGGCCACGCACGTAGCTTTGTCCCCGACTCTTTTCGAGGGTAATTTCGCGCCTTGAGAGAGAGTAACAGAGAGTAACATCAACACCAGAACACGTGCAAAGATAGTAAATGAAGACATCATCGTTTTTTGTACTCCACCTTAAAGAGAGGAGGAGGACGCCCGTGATGGAGGAGGAACTTTTTTTGTAAAGAAATTTTCAATGATTTGTTTTCCTCACAACTCACTCTGTCAACAACGAGCGGTTTACGAGTACTTGTTCTGATATGCCTTAACACCTCTCTCTTTCTGTTTAAACGACGACACATCATGAAACGAACGAGAAACGTCGTCGCCGACGACGATGCAAATCCAGCAGAGCTAGAGAAAGGAGGACAGGGAGGAGGAGGAAAGAACCATTACGATGTCAACGAGGCCACGCTCGTGGCGAAACACTACTCCCAAAGACAAAACCAAAATTTAGAACAGAGAAGACAGTCCCCGATTTATAACTTGAGGTGTTTGAACAACTTTGTGAAATCAACTCTGATACAAACGGTGACAAAGAAGGACGACCGAGTGATGGATTTAGCCTGCGGAAAGGGTGGAGATTTGGGCAAGTTTAAGAAGGCTGAGATTGGGTATTATTGTGGGATTGATATTGCCTTAGAATCCGTTCGACGAGATGCCATCCAGAGATACAACAAAGGCGACTACACGTTTCCAGCGACGTTTATCGCCGGCGACGCATTCGTCCACGACTTGGAAGACGTTTTAGGAGAAAAAGTGAACGGTCTCTTTGACGTTGTTTCATGTCAGTTTGCCATCCACTACTCGTTCTCGACGGAAAAGCGTGCGCGCAAAGCGTTCGAGAACATAAGCAAAGCGTTGCGCCCGGGCGGGCACTTTGTAGGAACGACGGTCGATTCGAACGTTCTAGTGCGAAATTTAAGGCAAACGGACGGTTTATTATTCGGTAACGATGTCATTGAAGTCAATTTTGACGAGAAGCATTGTAAGAAAGAGTTTTTACCGCCCGGTTTTGGCATCGAGTATTCGTTTACGCTCGAAGACGCTGTGACTGATTGTAAAGAGTCGTTGGTTCCTTTCGTTACTTTTGCCGAGTTGGCGAAGGAGTACGACTTGGAAATCATGAGGTGGACAAACTTCCACCAGTACGTGCACGAAATGCTAAATCTGCCCAAAGAGGGAAAGTATCGATCCGTGCACGAGTTGTGGCTTCATTTGATGCAACCGCCGGGCGGTAGCCCGGCGGATGGAAAATCGTTGGTGCCCAGAAACGCAGACGGTCAGTCGCTTCTCTACGCCACCGCTGTGAAGCCTTTGAACAAATCTTTAAACGCCGCGTTAACAGAGCAAGAGTGGGAAGCCGCTGGATACTACACGACTTTCATTTTGAGGAAGAAAACGAAAGCAACTGCGGCGGATGAGGCGACGAAAGAAATACAAAAGGTGGTGAACGAACGACCGCCAATTCCGAAATCGCAACCGTTGTCCGCGAAAGATGTTCTCGTTTTAGAAGGTGCGGCTTAAAGAAGAATATTAGTCCATAAGTAATAGCTTGCGTAGTTAATAGCTCGTACACTTGTAGCATATTCATAGCAGTAAGTAATGGTGTATCTTAGTAATCGTGTGTATTTCTCGTCGTGGTAGTGTTGTTACAGATTTTTCTTCTTCTTCTTCTAAGTTTTCTATGTAAGCTGTGTTTTTGTGTTTCTCTCTTTTCGCGCGTTTCTTCTCCTCCTGTTCGTTTTTCTGATAATTATTGAACGTAGTCCAACGTGTTCAAATCAACGCCTTGTTGTTTAAAGAAAGCTTTGGTTTGTTCTTTATCTCCCATCTTCTTGTCCACCCATGATTTCACGAGGAAGAGGTTATCCGTCCATCGATCAGCCGCGCCGCGCATAGCATCCACGCCTTTAGCGACTTGTTCTTGCAACTCTGGATTGCTCTCTTCAAGCTTCGCGAGCTCTTTCAAAAGCTTTGCGTTTTCATCCTTCGCCGCTTGCAATGCCATCTCCGCGTTCTTTCTGTCCTGAGCCGACGACGATGCGTCGTTCTCTTTATTCGTCGTCTTTTCGTTTTCAATATCTTCCTCGATTTTTTTCAGCTGTTTTTCCAACGCTTTCAATTCCGCGTCGCACTGATTCTTCTTCTGTTCTAACTTGGTCGCGTGTTCGCTCGGAAAGGACCAGAACCAATTCGTGGTGCCGATTTTATCCGTTTTCACTAAATCGTCGTCCGTCAAAGTTTTCAAAATCTCCTGAACACTCTGCAAAACCACGCCTTTCTTTGACGCTAACTTCTCGATTTCTTTCAAGAGGAATGGCTCTTTCTTCTCGTGAAAGATTCCGAGAATTATGGCTCTCTTATCGGCCACGGATTTTCCTTTCGCCATTTTTCCTTCTTCTTTTTGTCTTCTTCTTCTTTAACTTCTTAAATTCTTCTTCTTCTTCTTTGCTTCTTTGCGTGTGTGTGTGTGTGTGTGTGTGTGTGTGTGTGTGTGTGTTCTCTGCCTGCGCGCTTCAAGTAAATTTTTGTTGAGAGGGATGTGAGTGCCAACTTTTCTTTTTGAATTTTTTTTCCTCTTCCAGTCTTCCGCCCATTTCGGTGTCGAGAGAGATCTATAAGACAACCACACACAAACAACAATCAGCACACAAAAAAAAGAGAAAACAGATATGTCTTCGTTCACGTGTACTACGACGGGGAGTACTTCTTCTTCTCGCGCGCACCAACACGCGTGCAAGTGTTGTCGAGGCACAGGAAGAGTCTCAATGCAACGAACGCAACACTCTTCATCTGCGTCGAGTCAAAGCGCGGCGGCGTTGACCGCAAAAAAAGTCGCATCATCATCTTCATCATCATCATCATCGTCGTCGTCGTCGTCGTCGAAATCATTTTGGACTTTGAGACGAGGCAAATACCACTGTTTAACGATCGCTTCGGCAAAGAACGCGATCACAGATGACAACGAGAACAACATCAACATCAACAACAGCAAAAGAGAAGGAGGGGAGTACACACAAACAAGAAGAAACGAAGCAGCGACGACGACGAAACCGAAATCGAGACGCACGTTTCTTTCGAGAACAGCCGCTGCGTTTGGTGCTTTGATTTTTGCGAGCGCGGCGGAAGAAAATATCAACAATAACGCGGCGTTTGCGTTGGAAGATACCGAGTGCATCGAGTGTGGTGGCACTGGTATCGTTCCGTGCGATATGTGTGGCGGAACCGGTAAATGGAAAGCTTTGAACAGAAAACGCGTGCAAGACACGTACGAGTTTACCGAGTGTCCGCAGTGTTACGGCAGAGGCGTGAGAGTCTGTCCGGTGTGTTTTGGTACCGGCGAAAGAAACGTGAAGGGATTGTTGCGGAGAGGAGAAGCGACTGAAATGGTGAAAGCTATGCAAAGAGGTGAGTTGAAACCCGGGGACACGAAAGCGTTGATCCAAGCTGGACGAGATCGAAAGCTCGAACTGAAAATTCAAGCCGCCGCCAACGCCAGCACTGCGGAATCGGTTGCGCAAGAAGAGTTTTAATATTAATATATTATTAGTTTTATAAAAAAATTGTAGCGAGATGTAAGAGAGATGAACCAACTTTTGCGTTGATGATAACAACTTAATTTAATAATGAGTACTACTGGTACCACGACTCGGTGATGATGTGGTCTTTGCGTAGAGGAAGACTTTTGTTTTTTTTTATGCATGCAAGGCCCAAAAATCTTTCTTTTTTCCTCATGCATGGCATTTTGGCTCTCAATTTTCAAATGCTTGTCGTCGTGGTCTCCTCTTTGCTCTCTCTCGTGTGACGTCAGAGTTCAAAAGAAAAACGCACGCACTTCTTTCTGCTTGGGAAAAGAACAGCACGAGTCTAGATCCGATCTGGCCGAATACTCTGTATTTTTAGCACGAATAGCCTCTCCTAGTTTCTCTGTTGTTTCCACCTTTGCGCGCGACGAGAGGTTCAGTCGTGGAAGAAGCAGAGCGTTTCATCGAACGCTCAAGATGGCGACGAAACAGCACAATCCAAATGCGAGCCTTTCTCGAGAAACCGCGCCGAATGGTATGCAACAACATCGACCGCAGCAGCAACAGCAGCAACTCCAACAACCAACGGCGACGACGACGACAACTGCGATGATGAATGCCTCAAATAGCATGGAAAATTCCTGGGCGCAAGCGTATAGCGCCGCGATGTATAATCAACAACAACAAAAAGGAGGAAACGTCACGCAGGAAACGCCGACGGGATTAGCGCCCCCTCACTTCCACAATCCACACCTGGCGGCAAGTTTAAACAACCCAGCATTTGCGGCACACTTACTCATGGCAACAAGCGCGTTACAACCGCAAGCGAATGGGCTCTCTCCGGACATGGCAGCGGTGGCCGCGGCAGGTATGATGATGGGAGCACCTCCTTTATATCCACAACAAAATCCACAAAAACCGACGAAAACTCTCGCTGTTGGTAATACTGGACACCCGCAAAAACAGGGTGCTCAAATAAAATTGGCAAATATAAAAAGAGAGATGAACCAGCACCCACCTCTGACAACCAACAACAACAATAACAACAATAACAACAATAACAACGCCATCACTAAAGACAGGAAGAGATTGAACAACAGTAGCGCTTCGTTGACGACGACGACGACCACAACGACCACTACTACTCCTCCTGATGCCACCATCATCAACAACAACAACAAAACCAGCAGAAACAAGACCGCGCAAGCCACCGTAGTATCACCGATAGCCACTATTGATACCTCGAATAAAACACCCACCGCGGACGACCGAGAGTTGAAACGGCAAAGAAGAAAACAGTCCAACAGAGAGTCGGCGAGACGTTCTAGACTCCGGAAGCAAGCGGAAACGGAGGAACTAGGTAACATATTAGAACGGTACGCGACAGAAAATATGAAACTGAGAGAAGCGGTGGAAAAGCTCGCTTCAGAGCGCGACATTCGCACGGAAAACGAAAGCGTGCTTGCAAAGTGCATCGAGGACGCGGGCAACAAAGTTCCAGACCTGAAACAGGTGGAGAAGCCGTTCGTCGTCTCCTCGCTCGAGTTATTTTCATCAAACAACATTAACAACAACGACGGGTCCGATACCACCACGAATAGCGGCGGCGGTGAAGGTACAAACAACTCCACCGATGGATAAAAAAAACTCTCTTCTTTGCATGTTGTACAAAACATTCATCATTGTAATTTTATAATTTTTTCACATCGAATAAAAAGGAGTGTGTCTTTTCAACCTTCTTTAATCTTTCTCGTCATTCCTCAACAACCTTTTCTCCATGGTCGACGACAACGACGACATCGACGCAGCTGCGATACAGTCGCTCGTAGAAATCGCGCAACTGAATCCAACGCAAGCTCGAAACGCTCTGAAACATTACGGGAACTCTTTGGAAAACGCGTGTAATGCGTTTTTCAATGGCTCTTTACAGTTTACCGAGAACGACGCAATCAAACTCCCCGCCGATATCGATATCGTTGACGGAGAAGAAGAAGAAGAAGAGGATGATGATTTAGTCATGATAGATGGAGATGGAACCGATAGAAGAACAAGAAGAGGAAACGAGAATAGACGTAGTCAACAACAAGAACAAGAGCAAACGAGGCACGAAAATGCTACGAATCAACAACAACAACAACAACAACAACTCGTGCCTTTGCTTCCCGTGCGAGCGGTGTTTGGCCTTCTCTCCGTGGCGGTGAAAATTACGAGTACGATTTTATCAAAGATATTACCATCGAACGTGCTGAGTTCTTTGTCGCGAGCGTTTCGAGCGCATCGTCTCAACCAACGGTACTTAGCGGCCAGCGCCAGAGGAAGAGGGGCGGTTGGACCGACGAGAGGCGACCCGATCGAAGCGGCGAAAGAGTTTCGAAGAACGTTTATGAACGAGAACGATGGAAACTGTTTGATAAACTTCGTCGAACTTTCGCATTCAGACGCGTTGCGAATGGCAAAGTCGGAATATAAGCTGTGTTTTGTCTACTTGCACTCTCCGATACACGACGACGCGCTCGGTTTCTGTAAAGACGTTTTGAATGATCCAAACGTCGCGAGTTTCGTCAACGAAAAGTTCGTGGCTTGGGGAGGCGACGTCTCGAATTCAGACGCGCTATTGCTCGCGCTCGGTGTCTCGCCTTCGTCCTTTCCATACTGTGCGCTGCTTAATTCGTCTGGCTCGCGCGTTTCGCTCGTCGTGTCTGTTGAAGGATATTGCGGCAGCGACGAACTTCTCGAAGTTTTGGAAAAGTCCATCGAAGACGCATCCGGTTCAATGAGCGAGGCGCGATCTCGGAACGAAGCCGCCGAAAACGATAGGTTGTTGAGGGAAGAGCAGGACGCGGCATTCCGGGCATCGTTAGCTGCTGATGCTGCGAAAGAGGCGAAAAGAGTTCAAGAGATGGAAGAGGAGGAAGCGCGCTTGAAGGAAGCTGAAAACGAACGATTGGAAAACGAAAGAATTGAAAGCGAAAACCGACGCAAAGAAGAAGAGCGCGCGATGGCTTTGAAGAATCGCCGGGAAGAAAAAGCTGCGCGCTTAAAACCAGAACCAGAGATGAGCGTCACGGAAAATGTGACTAAAATTGCATTTCGTATGGCGGATGGAAGTCGCGTCGAGAGACGCTTCGCTTCGAGAGAGTCGACTTTGAACGACGTGTACGATTTCGTGGACACGCTCGAATGCGTTTCGGAAACGAAATATAGTCTAGTATCGAATTTCCCTCGAAAAGTGTTTCACCGAACGGACGAGCTGTTGATTGAAGTCTCAGAGCTCTCCTCCAACGGTGCCATGCTTTTCGTTCAATCGGAAGAACAATAATAGAGAGAAGAAGGAGAACTGAAGAAGAAGAAAAAGAAATTGTAATTTTTTGGTTATTATCTAAAACACGCTCACACTCCTTCAAACACAACGAGCAGCAGCAAAAGCAGCAGCAGAAAAGTTTTTCTCAGACGTTACGAGATATACAAACCTTCACACTATCACACTATCACACCACCACCACCACTTTGAAAATGATGCGCAACGCCGGTGGAGGCAGACGAGACGGACTGCGACGGGGCGGTTTGTTCCACGTGAACAATCGACACCGACGACGATCCTTTGGATTTTTAGGCTTGGATTTACCTCGGTGTATTCTGCTTCTCGCGGCGGCACTGTGCGTTATAGGCGGCGCCATTAACGTACACTCTATGAATGCGCATCACGACGCGCACGTGAAAGCTTCAGCGAGTTCTTCAACGCATGCGCACGGTACTGGTGGTGTTGGAGCTAGTAAATCCTCTTTTTCTTCCTCCTCGGCACCGAAAGTAACAACAACGAAAAAAGCCGCCGAGGAGGAGAACGAAGACATCGACGATTTGGACGACATCGAAGACACAGAAATGGATGACGACGACGTAAACGACATTAACGGCGATGTGGAAGTTCCTAAATCTGCAAGCCCAAAAATAGAACCGAAAATGATTCCCAGAGTTGAACGACCGGCGAGTTTCGGATCGGATAAGTTGCGCGAAGCGGAGAAACGACATCAAGAACTCGAGAAGCAATTCGAAGACTTGGACGAAAGAGACGAACGTTTGAAAGGAACGCTCGAGTTCAATCGAGCTGAAGCTGGATTTAAAGAAAACGACGAGGACGAAGACGACGAAAGCGCGATCGATGAAAACAGAAAAGTTGAAAATGGGAAGACGTACGAGAACGTCGGCGGCATGTGGGTCGAAGTAGACACTGGAAACGAAGAGGTTATCAAAATCGCGGAAAAAAACATGGGAAGAGTAGATGGAGCGAAAAGTGCGGTGAAGATGAAAGATTCCGAATACATGAAACTCGCTCGCGAAGCTGCTCGCGACAAAGAGAAATTCAAAGATCCGGAAACGAAACGCTTACTTAGGAGATTTGGTTTGGATACGCACAGTCAACAAAGTTTAACCGAATCAATGAAGAAGAAAGCGCAAGAGAAAATATTAGCCATCGACAAAGCGAAAAGGGAGGAAGCTGCGCAAGGGGCAATGACGAAACCGCTGGTCCCGCATCCGGCGCTTTTAGTGCCAATGACGCGCTCGCGCGGCATCGCCGGTTGCGGCGTTTGCACAAATGCAACCGGCGGACATTTCGCGAAAGGTGTTGGATGTACTATTAACGGAGGCGCGTATAACATTGCTTGGAACGAAAACGACGGTCATCCTACTGTGAATGGAGGCTTGAATAACAGAGCGAAAGGCGCGTACGCGACTATAAACGGTGGTTACGACAACGAAGGCGCAAAAGATGATTCCACCGTCAACGGCGGCGGTCAAAATCGCGCCTTTGAAGTTGCATCTACGGTGAACGGAGGTGAATTGAACATGGCTTTAAAAGCAGGCTCGGTCGCAAATGGTGGTGCGAATAATGTTGCCGGGGGTGTTGATTCCGTCGTAAACGGAGGTGTGTTTAACAAAGCAATTGGGGACGGATCCTGCGTCGGCGGCGGCGAGTACAACAATGCGAACGGGGTACACTCGTCCGTCTTGGGTGGTGCGTTAAACTCCGTTTCATATGATCACGGTGCAATTGTTGGTGGATTGGCAAACTCTGCGACGTCGAATTTTACCGTGATAGTAGGAGGAGGCTATAACAAGGTGGAGGAGACGTACGGCGTAATCGTTGGAGGCTACAACAATACCGTCAAGGCGAGCGACGCAACAATTGTAGGTGGCTCCAATAACGAAGCATCGGGTGGTGGATCGCACGTTGCGGGTGGTGAAAACAACAAGGCGAGCGGTCAATTTTCTTCCGTTTTATCGGGACGGTTGTCCAGCGCTTTGCACAAAGGTTCGGTAGTATTTGGCGACGCGTCGCTCAGCTCAGCGCGGAGCACGAATGCAAATCAAGTAGTAATGCAACACGACGATGTTCGTAAAACAGGTGGTGGTATGTTTGTATTTGACGAGAAAGTTGTACAGGACCGGAAACGCTCCTTGTATACGAAAGGTACAGAAGTAATACGTAACATCGCGCCGAAATCTTACGTCAGCGCGGACGGATCGAGGACTCTGTTTGGGATAGCGGCGAGCGACGTGGAAAAAATTGCACCAGAAATGCTCGTGAAGAACGCGGACGGCTCTCACGCGACGGATCCAACGGCTTTAGTTTACATGCTCGTGAACGCATTAAAAGAGCAGGACAATAGAATTAAAGCTTTAGAGGCAAAGGCGGGAATAAAGTCATCTTGATGTTGGAATTAGGGGTTTGTCTTTTTTAGCACTCAGTAGTTTAGGTTTCTTTATATCTATCCATAGTACAAGTCGAATTTTACAATACAACGATACTAATTTACACGACAACTTTAACACCACTTGGACTGGCCAGTCAATGGATCGACAATGTACGCTCTGCCTTGCGGCGTGTAGAAAACTTGCTGCTGCGGTGGTCCTGGGTTTCGAGAGTGACTGGCGACGACTCCTGGATGTTGAAAAGGCAACGGCGGGAGTTCAGGTTGAGCTGCTTGTTGTTGTCCTCCGGAATATGTCGATACTGAAATCGTGGGTGGTGATCTCGCTAGAGTCGGCGACGTTGTAGACGTTGTTGGTTGCTGTCTATAAGAACTTGGCGAAGGTTGGTTGGTGGGAGAAGCTGATGAGGTCATGACGCCGTACGCGCTCTTCAATTTGTTCCCCAACGCTGAAGTTGTAGCCGGCGGCGGAGATTTCATAACGGCCGGTTGGCGTTGATGTTGCGATGTTAAAGCTATGTTGCTTGTTCGGAGTGCAGAAATCCATTCATCGCGTTCGCGATCGCTATCTGCGGCCAAATGCCTCGCCCCGATTCGTTCGGAAAACGCACCTTCCAACGTAAGCGAATGACTTTTTCCCGCATCACGCGCCGCCGCTGGTGAAATGGAATCAACGCGAGATAATGGAATAGTACCTCGAGGCTGCGTCTTTGCCGTAACATCAGCTGTTTTGAACCAAAATATGTGGTTATCTTTTAAAAGAAAAAATCGTCGGCGCCACATTCTAACTGTCTCTCCCTTCTTCCAAAGCCAACCAGAATGCTCGTGCGGTTTCTCCCAATACGCAATACCTCCACCGCTACTCATCGCGCTCGCACCGTTAGTTGTCGTTGCTGCGGTCGCGCTGTTATATTCCGTCGATATTTCTCTTCTTCTTTTCGCTACGTTAAAGTCTGAGCTTAAGTTCGTCCATTCGTTTGAATCGTCGCACACAATCGTCGACGTTCCTTCGTGACTGTTCAACTCGCACCATTGAAATGCCCCAGATAATAATGAATCAATCATTGCGCCGGTCGTGGCATTATCTGCAGTAATGACTAGCTCTCGACTGGGAACGTTTTTGTTATCGTCACAGACGATTCGAAACATGCTGTCGTCGATTTGTTGCCACGAAGAGATTTTATTCATAGGAGAGGTGAGAATTTCCTCCGTTTGCGCTTCGTTGAATAAAACAACACCATCGATTCCAACTTGTACGATTACCGATTGCACGTCGTGTTCATCGCTCAAAGGAAATAACGTCGCCTTATATCGTTGGTTTCCATCTGGCGCGCCGGTAACTTCGTTCGGTTTTTGCGCTCTTCCTCCTCCTCCTCCTCCTCCTTGAGGAAAGGCACCTTGCTGTGTGTGAATGAATTGTTGAAGATTTGGTTGTTGTTGTTGTTGTTGTTGTTGTTGATGATGATTATGATGAGATGGCGGATGGTGTTGCTGATTCTGCTGCTCGGTGTACCGATCGGGGAGCGTCGGATACATCTTTTTTTATGCTCTCTTCTTCACTCGTACAACGCGATTGTTTGAAAGCGTGTTTTTATGCAACCATGAAGTGACGAGACGAGTTTCTTTTCACTCGGTTTGTTCAACGAACACTCGTCACAACAAAAACTTCAACGACAACATCATAGTTGAATAATAGTAATACTAATACATGTCTCTTCCTCCGGTGCAAGGAAGCAGCTTCCCGAGAACCATATCGACTCTATCCGCGACGAGAAGTACCATCGAAGCGGAGATAATTTACGACGACTTGTTGGCGTTGGAAAGAGCGCACGCGAAACGTTTACACATCGTCAGAACGTTACACTCGAGACGACCGATTATAGGAAAGACGAAGAACAGAAGAGGAAACAACGGAAGCATCGGAGGAGAAGGCGGAGCAGGGAGCGACAATAACATCGCAAATCAAGCGGAATCAGATTTAGAAGATAACGACGTCGCCGAAGGTGGCAATGCTATGGAAGAAGACGAACAAGGCGTGAGCGAAGAAGAGGAAGAAGAAGAAGAATAGACAAGGAGTGCTCACAAATGAGTTTTTTAAAGGTCATCGATGATCTCGCAAGGGACAAGCCTATGCGCAAGACGAAAGAGCGACAAATTAGGAAGCAAAAAGAAGAAGAGAAAGATGGCGATGATGAGTATACGGAGACTGTGAAGCCCGATGTAAAACTTCCTAAACAAAAAGCGTTTCGTGTCGACGCGACGCCGACGACGGTGGGAAACAATAGCATAAGTAACACGGCGAAGACAACAACAACAATAAATACATCAAAGGACGTAGAAGTTACGGCGTCAATGCAAACATCAGACATCGTGTTGAATGAAAAATCTGTTTACGGTGTTTTGGACGAGAATATGTCGCGAAAGAAGAGCGCAAGAGAACCTTATCGCACGCTACGCGAAAGCGTTATGAGGGACGAGCGAAGAAAGCGGAAGAAAACGTCTTTGAAGGATGCGGGCAACGACGACGACGACGAAATCCTGTTTGTTGTTTACATAGATTCTAGCGTAGGTAAAACAAGGTTCGACATATTTGCAAAAAACGTTCCAGAAAAGCTCGGAGGGCTAGTCGTTTCTCATGTGGAAAAGTCGATAATTGATTCAAACGCGCTTTTAGTTGGGAGTCTCGTTGTGAACGACGCCACAAGAGGTGGAAAACATAAATCCAAGATCGAGCCAAAGAAAAAGAAAAAGAGGAAGGGAAAGAAAGAAGACGAGGAGATTGGCGTCTCGCACGTAGTTACTACGAAAGAAGGATTTGCCAAGTACGAAAAGAGTGTGCCGGATGAGTGCGTGACCAAGTTTGTATCTCCGGAATACCTCGCGGCGTGCTTGAAAGAGAAGAAGATTATTGTACCCATCGAAGAGAAATGGTCCTTTGCCGCAGTTGCGGACGCAAAGATATCGCCGATCGAGAAACCAACGCCAGAAATGCCGAAAGGAGAGAGCAAAGAGAAGAAAGAGAAGAGAGGAGAAGAAAGTCATCACGATGAAGAAATCTTGACTCTGATGGAACTCGCGCAAATTTCGCTCGAGCAGGCTCGCGTCGCACTGGTACATTTTGGATATTCGTTAGAAGTTGCAGTAGAAGCTTTTCTGGAAGGCAAGGTTTCCTTCACGGAGATTAATGGTGAGCAGACGCTGGTTGAAAACGCATCCAAGCAAGCGTCCATGGAAAGCGACGTTCGGCAGAACTACTATCACAGCTTGGAAAATATGAAGAAAATCAAGAAGCATTTCATGTGTCAACCTGCAGAACGCGTTGGAAACCAGGACGCCAACAAGTCACTCATCGATATGTTCTCGAATTATGGAGCATTGCTTCAGGATATGTACCCAGATAACAAGCAACAAAGAGGGCGGGGGAATGCGTATGTTAAAATCGCGCGTTTGCTGGAGAGCACGCCGTACGAGTTGACGCCAAACAACATCGACGATTTCATTGAGAAGAACAGGCGCGGAGGTCAAGGCATGGGAGAGAGCATGTGTAATAAGCTCAAGTACGCCGTCTCGTTTAAAGTTTTACCGGAATATGAGGCGTTTTTGAAGGATCCTTCCGTCATCGCGGTGAAAGACATGTCTCGAGTGCACGGAATTGGAACAAAAACAGCGTACAAATTTTATGAGCGATTTAACTTGAAGTCGGTTGAGGATTTGCGCGCGCTTCTGTCCAGTGGCGATCCAAACAATATTCTGAAGAACGATATGCGCATCAGCTTGAAATATCTTGAGGATTTGGAAGATCGCATTCCGCGGGAAGAAGCGAAAGAGATTGGCGATTTCGTCCGCGAAAGCGTCGAGAATATTGTGAAAGGCGCTCAAGTTGAAGTTGCTGGTTCGTATCGACGAGGAAAGCCGACGTGCGGTGACGTCGACGTTTTGGTGTGTTTAAAAGAGAATCAAAAGAAAGATGGTGTGTTGCAAAATATCGTCGACGATATCGATCGAAGAGGCTTGATTTCGGCGAGATTGTCGCAAGGCACGTTCGGGCAAGATAACTTCATGGGTGTCTGCAAGCTCCCGGACGGCAAAGAAAACCGCAAACACCGCAGACTTGACATCAAAATATACGAGCCCAAACAGTTCGCGACGGCGTTGCTATATTTTACGGGTAGTGGCCGCTTCAACCGATCGATGCGTACGTATACGCACATGATGGGTTGGCATTTAGACGACAAAGGATTGTACATGGACAGGAACAAATCGAGGCGAGTAGAGACTGTGACCGAACAAGACATCTTCGCGGCACTGGGGCTAGATTATGTGCGCCCGCAAGATCGAAGCGTTGGATAGATATAAGAAACCTGTGTTCCCCTAAATTTTCATTTGATATATTTCTTAAATACAAATCTAAATCCTGTGGCTACTCGCACGAACGCGTGGTATGTGGGAGGGAGCATATCACTTTTCCCAAAGAGAGATAAGAGAAATTCCACATTTACACAACACACATTTGAAAGCTCGAGACAAGAGAGCGAAGAACAAGCGCACATCAAACGGGATGAAAGAGGAACAAGATTTGAAGTGAATGTAAGTGTCTCGCGAAAGAGTGCGTAATGTCGAGTAAACCGCCGTCGTGCTTGATTATCTTGACAGGGTTACCAAAGTCGAACAAGTCACTCGTCGCGAAAGACATTCTGCGCCGTCTGCTCGACGCCGGTGAAGAATGCGTCCTCGTGGACGAACCTTCGTTGAGTTTGAAACGAAATAAGGCGTACAAAGATGCTCGAATGGAAAAAATTACTCGTCAGACGTTGCAATCGACGGTGGAAAGGTATGTGAGACCAAACGGACCGCACGTCATTTTAGACTCTATGAATTTAGTTAAAGGTTTTCGATATCAACTGTGGTGCATAGCGCGAGAAAACGCGTGTCGTTGCGTGACTCTATTCTGCGCTGACTCGCGAGAGGTTGCAACATCTAGAAATCAGAGCGCAGCATTGAAGGAAGTGGATGCATCGGTTGAAGCGTATGAAGATTCCATCTTTGAAGACTTGTGTAACAGGTATGAGGTTCCCGATACGCGGGATCGGTGGCATAAGCCAATGTTTACGTTGAAAACGAAACCGATAGCGTCAGAAGATTTCTCGGGCGAGATATATAAGGGGGATTATGTAAGCAATAGCAACGATGACGGCGCACATGTATTTGTTGATGGTGAAATGACGTATGATGCAATCATTCGAATGGTTTCGGGAGAGGGAAGTTCCAAGGATGAAACGACCGGAGATGGTGACGGAGAGGCGATGACGAGCCTGGAAGAGTCATTCGCGAGAAACGCTGCTATCGACGGTGCATCGAGAAAGAGTTTGCGCCCAACATTCGCAACGGCAACCACTCGGTTGAGTGAAACAAATTTGAGATACTCTTTGGACAAAGCTATACAGCGCGTCATAGATTCAATTGCCAAGCAAAATTCTGCAAATCCCCTAGGGGTTTCTGAACCGACGACATATACATTTGAAGATATTCATGGACAAGATTGCAGCACGGGTCTTAAACCTATCCGTTGTGTCAGACAACCTACCCTTATCGAATTGAGACGGTTTAAGAGAGACTTTTTGAAGATATCCTCGAGCTTAAAGACGAAGTCGTCGGAACAAATTTCGCAGCTCTTCGCCGAATGCGTTGCCCGAGACGTAAAATAGTAAAGCATTTTGTATAACACCACAATTTAGCACACACGATAGAAGTAGTTTGATAATGAACACAGTTATCGCGCGTTCGCCCAAATGTTACGCGCGTAACTTGTGATACAAATTGCATTGCTATTACATTACATTCTAAAACTACTTGGTACTATACTTTTTTTTGCTATGCGTGACCACTTCCTTCGCTCGTCAAATTCATGCGAGCGAGTTCGGCTAAATTGATGAAGTTAAAATCCCCGAAATCTTCCTCGTACACGTCATCATCGATAACCACGTCATCTTCCTCGCCACTATCGTACGACTCGAACGTATGTTCTCTACTTCTTTCTCTCAGAGTGGAACCGCCCTTTGGTGAACGGAGCGGCGATGAGGAGCTTCCGTATTCATTGTCGACGGTGTTCGCGCCAGCGCTGTCTGAACTCTCTTCGGAACTTTGCCGGGCAGTTCTCGAGGAACTCTGGGACGAACGCTTTATGAAATAGCTCGTGTCACGAATATTAGAAACATTGGGAACAAAATTAGCCTCTGAATGGCCATTATCCCAGTCAATATCTGTAAACCATGGGTGCGTCTTCACGCTATCTGCGCCGCCGAGGAGAAGGGACCCGAGGCGCACGTCTGGTTCGGAATGTAACAGGCTTTTCACGATATCCTTAGCTTCATCCGAGATATCTTCTGGATATGTGACGACAACGTTGTGTGCGTCGTAGCCTGCGAGAATGTTATCGAAAATATCCGCCGGTGTCGGCGCGTGGAAAGGAGGAACGCCCGAAAGCATTTCGAATACGATGATACCCAACGACCACCAATCAACCGATTGGGAGATCTCATCCGTTTCGCAGAGCAAAACTTCTGGTGCCAAGTAGTCCGGAGTTCCCACTGCCATCTTCTTCTCGCTACTTAACGCGTCAGAGCTGATACTCCCAGAGCGATGATGCGGAGATTTCTCGTTGCTCGCTTTCGGGATGATATTATCGTCTCGCGACGCTCCGACAAAGCTCAGACCAAAGTCCGCGAGCTTCAAATGTCCATCTGAGGAGATCAGAAGGTTGTCTGGTTTCAAATCGCGATGAGTCACGCCAACTGAGTGTACGTATTCTAGCGCCAGAACGACTTCACTCGCATATTTTCGTGCCATGCTTTCTTCTAAAGAGCCGAGCTGTTTCAAAAGGCTATACAAATCGCCGCCGTTGGCGTACTCCGTCACAAAGTACACGTGTCGCGCCGATGAGAAGGCGTAGAACAACTTGATAACGAATGGGTTCGCCGCTAAGACCAGCGCATCCCGTTCTTCCTTCAAGCGAGAGATTGTGTTTCTAAACACCAAATCTCTTTTCTTTATCGCTTTGATAGCGTATATATCTCCCGTAGCTCGCTTTTTCGCCAAGAAAACGCGACCGTGGGCGCCCGATGAAATAAGCTTGAGCACCTCGAAATCTTCCACGGATACTCGTGCTTGCGGCGGGATAGTGTTGCCAATATCAGTGTTATTACCGCTTCCTTCATAGTCGAGAAAGTCATCTCTATCCGAAGAATTCGTGTTGCCGCTCAGAGATCTACTCAACTCTGAGACTCTCATTTTTTCCTCAAAGGATGACGAAAGCGAAGAGGTGCGTAGATAGTCTACTGGTGACATAGAACGTTGCCTCGAGTGCTTATCACCTCGCGGTGAACTCAATGGACTGCTCGCACAACACGCGGAGTGTGCCACAAGCTCTGATAATGGAACAGGTTTCTCGCATATTCTGCACACGGACGTCATCTTCCGCTGACTCTCTGGACTGACCTGTTTTCCTCCGTGCGCTGCGCCTAAGCTCCCAGATGGAGTATCACTTTGCGAATTTGATTGCGGATTGTCGTAATTTTCATCGTCGTCGAGCTCCATGTCAGCTCTGTAGAATATTCGAGAAGGATTCCTCATGACTCCTCGTCCGACACGACTGCCCGCACCCGCCCTGGTGGGAGACGCCGCGCCGTCGTGCCCAAAACTCGCATCATGATTGGTCCGTCGCGAGGGCGATTGCGAAGAGTACTTACTGCTGTTATCAAAGGCATCTTTGCGCTCAATATCATCTGCTGCTAAAGTCTGCGCAATTGCGGAGACGTTTGAAAACCTCGAGAATTCATTCGAAATTCTGGTCCCCTGGGACTGGCCCAAAGGCGAGGAGCCCAGCAACGAGCGCGAATGCGACGTCGGAGAATCCAAAGGAGACATCCGATTCGGCGAAGAACCACGATTATACCCACTCGCAGTTCTGTGATTATTATTACTCGTGATTATATCAAGCGACGGTGATGCAGAACTTTCTCTAGAGGAGGTGAAGGAATTTTTTCTTCCTTGTTGCGCCGCCGATCCTGGCGAATGGATTCTTTTTTGCGCGTTTCTATCTTCCGCGGTGCTCCCAGAGTTTTTTTCGCTATTATTACTACTGTTATTAATATTGTTGTTCGTGTTTAACTGCGGCAAAGTTAAGATGATGGCGAGTGCGACGCAAGATTGTATCATTTTTACGCCTTCGTACATCGTTTTACAGTTTTCGCACGTCTTGAAACACTCCAACGTGAGTTTTTGTGTGGAGGGATCGTCCGTGGCGACGATATCTTTCTTTCTGATCGCACCAAACGACGACGACGACGACGTCGTGGACGATGTTCTCGAGAACGCTTCCGTGTTAATGTTGTTGGAATGAGCGCGGCTGGCTGACTCGACTTCGTCTTTAATTTTTTTGTGTAGACTCGTGATGCGAGTGAAACACAACAACAACGTCAACAGTGCCCGTCTGTTCTTTCGGTTCTCTTCTTTTCGCAATTCGGTCGCCAAGTCTGTTCTTTTCAGTAAGATTTTGATGGCGTGCGCGGCAAAGACCGACCACTTGGGCATAGCGTGGTTCGGGAACTGCAGAAAGTGCTCACCGATGGAGTGCACAACCTCCAGAAACGAAGATTGAGCTTCGTCGTCTCCTTCTGTTTTCTCGTTATTGTTGTTGGTACCTCCTCCTTCCTCTTCTTCTCTTTCAACGAGAAAAATATCATCTCCAATGTCTGAGAGAAGTGTTTGTAAACGCGCGCGCGTCTCGTTCGTTGTGGAGATGAGCAAAACGTCGTCGACTTTCGACGACGGCGACGAAGCTTTCACCGCAGTTCTTTTCGCATTTCTATTTGCTATTCTCGCATCACTTGTTGTTGTTGTTGTTGTTGTCATCGGCACAGATGAGCGGAAACCATCCCCACGTGTCGAAGCACTGATGAACTCCTTCGTCGTCGCAAATTCCTCCTCTCCGTTTTGTTTCTCTTTTTGCTCCTTCTCCAACTCTTCCCCCAAGCAGGACACGTTCTTCAACGTCACCGCCCGAACAGGAGGATGAGAATGAGGAGGAGGAGGAGGAGGGGCACTCATCTCTCGTTCTTTGATGAGGGACTTCTTTTGAGAAGAGAACAGACGTGTTCTAAATTGTGCCGGGGGGGGTGACTCAGCAGAAATGATATTTGATTTTTTCCTTCGTTTTTTGTTCGTCGTACGAACTTGCAAGCATTTTTACGCAAAAACAAAAAGTTCCCTCTTCATGTATTAGACGACACTATATTCATCATCCATCTTCATCTTCATCTCTTATGATCTCTTATTCTTATCATCGTCAAAGTACCCCCTCTGAACGAGTTTCGATGGCTTTCGCGTCCACGTCGTATCATCGCTCTCCTCCATCGTCATCAACCCGTATTTCATCTGCGGATCGACGGCGGCAACATCATCGTCTTTGTTCTAAAAGTAATACTCTTAAGACGTGCTCTGCCATACGGCCGAACGAGATTCAAAACAATGGAAAGATAGAAATAAAAAAAGTCGATTCAGATGCAGATATTCGTGGCGCGGCGTGCGTCAGAGCGCTGTGTTTTTATTCCTATCCTAAAGACCGTTCGGAATTTAGCATCCGAGCGCACCGACTGACAAAAATCGAAGCCGAGTTTGAGGCGATATCGAATAAAATAACAGGCAAAGACGTGTCGTACAAAAATAACGATGTTTTTTGCTATGTTGCCGTAGAAGAACGCGTAAAAGGTGACAACAGAGTGCCAGAAGATCCCGCGATTGTCATTCCGGGCGAAAAGAGCGCAATCGTTTGCGGGACGTTGGATTTGAACGTCGGCGTAAACTTGCCGGCGGAAGAGTTGGTTGGAAAATTTCCCATCGAAGGTAATGCTCGAAAGAAACGATGTTACATGAGTAACGTTTGCGTGTTGGAGTCTCGTAGAAATCTAGGTATAGCAAGACAACTCATAGAGCGCGCGATTGAAGATGCGAAGAACATCAACGTGGAGGAGATTTACGTGCACGTAGTATCGGAAAATATCGCCGCGAAACGCCTCTACGAGAAAGCAGGATTTGTCGTAGAATCAGAGGAGTCGGCGAAAGAGGCTTTGACGAGAATGCACGAACCGAGACAAATTTTACGGTATCGTGGATGATTTCGCGTTGTTTTCATTCACTATTGCCGTTATTATGCGTGTGTATCTATGTTTGAAAAACGTATATGTCTACTTATCTTTGTTGCTCCTCCTGCTGCTGCTGCTGCTCATCGTTGACGACGTCAGATGAAGAAGAAGAAGGAAAATGTCCCATCACTTCTTCGCTTTCTTCGGACGTACCTTCTTCTTGTTCATGTTCTCGCTCTTCTTCTTCTTCTTCTTCTTCTTCTTCTTCTTCTTCTTCTTCTTCTTCTTCTTCTTCTTCTTCTTGTACTTCTTCTCCTTGTTCCCGTTCTTCTCCCGCGATGGTAATTATGCGAAGAATCTGCTCGATGCTCATTTGTGGATTTGCGGCTTTTAATCTATGCAAAAACGATTCGCGAAACGGAACTTTTACCAATCTGTGTTCTCGCGTGTGATTTTGCAGGAAACGAAAACGCCCAGCTGCGGCGTAAGCGTTCGCACTCGTCTCATTCAATCCGACTTTCTCGTCGAATTCTTTACACTTACCGCACAAATCAAAACCAAGTGGACATCCGTTCTCGTCTTCTTTGCAATCATGGCACTGATATCTCTCGCCTTTGATTGGATAGCTCCCGCACAAGTCACAACCCACGCCGAAATGTACTTCTTCTTCTTTTTCATCATCCTCTTCTCCTCTTTGGCCTCCTTCTTCTCCGGAGGGTACATTTTCCATCATCACGACTTCTTCTATTTCTTCATTCTCCTCTTTTTCCATGCGCTCTTTAATCTCGAGTGGATACATCTTCTCTAGTAAATGCTGCATCGCTTTGACGACACCCGCTTCTTTGTCGATATCTCCGCCGTAACAGTTTTCAAAGACGCATTTTTTCATATTCCCGCGACGAACACAGTTGAGACAGTACAGGTGGCCACACGTGGCCGCTATCGGGTTCACGAGTATTCGTTTACATTTTGTACACGTGACGCTTTCCGTGAGTGCAGAGGCGTTCGTTTTCAGCTCTTCCTTCAAAAACTTTACGAAAGGCAAGAGGAACTTTTCATACTCCTCCGAACTTTCCCTTTCTCTTTCTAACCGCTCGTCGAATTGCTCTCGAAAGGTCGACAAAATTAACAGCGATAATTGCGTAGAGAGACCTGGCAAAGCGTGATACTGCTTTTTGCACAAGAAACAATGCGAGTTCTCCAAGTTCATAGAGCAGTGACAACAGTATATGCACGATAAATGGCCACAAGGTAGAATAGCTGCTCCAAGAATGAGTTCCAAACAGATTGGACATTCGAACTCTTTAATATTCTCCTTGGCATTGTCTGTAGCCGTTTTAACCGCATCGATGACGTTGCCATCGGCGGTTTCGCTCATTTTCGATCGCGCGAGATGGAGCTTTTCTGACGGCGGACAGGAGAAAAAGAGAAGAAGAAAGATACGCGAAATGGGGAAAATGAAGAAAAGTTCGTTAGACTTTTCATACGTGAAAGAGATACGAATTTAAGAAAACAAACTCACCCTCATCGTCAACCTTCACTTCACTTTGTGACACCTTCCACTTGCGAAACGATCGCTCTCTACATATCATCGCTATCAGAGATACCCCCCTAAGATAAGTAGAGAGAAAGATAAGGCGTTAATGACGATATTTACGTATCGCGTCGTCAACGCGTTCGTAAACAACGACACGAAAAACGAAGAGTTGAAAGGAAATCCCGCCGCTGTTATCGTTCTTGCGAGTGATGAAAGCGGAAGCATATCGAAAGAAGAGAAGCAAACGGTGGCACGAAAGCTCGGTCTCTCTGAAACGGCTTTCGTTCGGGAAGACGTAAACAAGGGAGGAGGAAGGAAATATTTTAACATCGAGTGGTTTTCACCTACGTGTCAAGTGGGTTTGTGCGGGCACGCGAGTTTAGCTTCTGCGGCGTGCCTTTTCCGTGATGTTTTAGCAGCCAACGGTGAAAAACAAAGTTCTGAACCGATCGTATTTGTATACGATGATGGAAAAAGTGAACTGGTTCTCGAGAGATGCGAAATAACAGGGGCGATAACGATGTCGTTTCCTGCGTCGCCCCCTGTTCCGGTTGCCGACGAGGAAGCTTCGCGCCGAATCGAGCTCGTCAGAGAAGCGTTCGGAGACAGTCGTGAAGCACTCGCCGCATCGCCAGTATACGAAAATTCAATCGGAGATACTTTTATTTATATGGAGGAGACATCCGTTCCATCCGTGGACGAAATATATTTCGATTGCAAGAAGAAAGTCGACTACGAAAAGTTGGGAAAAGTTGGTGGAAGAGGCGTGGTCATTACCGCACTCTCCAATCCGGAGAAAAAGGAATTGATTGATTGCGACTTTGTGTCGAGATTCTTCGGACCAAACATAGGCATAGCCGAGGATCCTGTGACTGGTTCGGCACACTGCGGATTAGCGCCCTTCTTTAGAAATATTCTTCCTTCCTCGATGGATGGAAAATTTCTGCGAGGGTACCAAAAGAGCGCGAGAGGCGGGTTGGTCTTATGCAGAATAGTGGCGGATAAGGTAGAACTTCGCGGATTTTGCTCGTTCGATAAAGTAGACACGATAGAAATATAGCATAGAGCGCGCAGATAGAAAAAAACTTTAATCCACGATGGATCATTTACTATGTAGTTTAAGATTTTAAGATTTTGCACTTAATATTTGATAGGTGTGCTTCACTTCTTCACCTTCTTCTTCGTCGTTTGAGATGCCTTCATCATCGTACGATATCTTGCCCAACGGGATTTCGAACGACGATTACGTCATTCAAAACAGCTCGAAGAAACACGACCCCCAATGGGCCGCGAACGCGTCTCGAGGCATCATCTCTTCCCACGGTAATCAGCTCTTGGAAGTGCAAAAGCTTTTACAGGAACTGACGGAACACCAAGACCAAATTCTCGAGTCTATTCCGTTAACCGAAGACGCGGTGCTTTGGGCGTCGCACACGCGCGAATTCATCGAACAGGTTGAGAAGTTACCAGAATACACCAAAAAAGCGCAAGCGATCGAGGCGGAGATGCAAAATTTGACAAAACGAATCCAACGAGCTAAAGAGCGCGTACAAAAGTTGAACAGCTAGCTCGGGGTAATATCAACGAAAAGTATCTGTGTTTTGGGTAACACGAGAAGAAAAAAATATTTCGATGAAACGAAAACGCGCGGTTTCCTCGAAAAAAAAATACTCACCTGCTCGCGCAACGCGCTCTTTTTCTTCCCGTCAGAAAGAGAGAGGACAGAAGAAGCATTCTCTGTCATGGTGCGACGCGCGAGTGTCGCATTCCTCGCGCTTGTAACGACAGTCGGTTTGACATTCTTAAAACACACAGTGAGCGCGACAGAAACGAGCAGAAGGAGCCTTCTACAAACAGATACGTTTTCGTATCAGAACACTGGCTTTTGCACGAGAGAAAACGTTTTATATGCGTCCGTAGGAATCGGGTGTGGAGCACTTCGAGACTTCGCAGAGGAGGATGAAGACAGAAAGAACGCGTGTTGTTTGATTCTAAGCGAGTTGAACGAAGAAAAGTGCTTTTGTGAGAACAAAGTAGCTCCCATCTTGCAGCAGTCTCAGGCGAATTTCGTGAGCATGTTCGTTTCGGCGTACGACGTGTGCAACGGGTTGGAGATTTATGGCGGATGGAAATGTTCAAAATTTCCCAGACAGGCCTTTTTGCAACCGCCCCCGCCACCTCCATCGGATGAATCGTATCCACCATATCCTCCTTCGCCACCAAGTTCTCCAACTTCCTCAGAAACTCCTCCTCCGAGAACAGAAACCGTGGATGTTTGCTCCATCGCTTCGCAAAATCCTGACTCTCTGCTCAATCAAAAATGCGACAAACTTCCGTTTTTGAGAGAGAATTTTGAAGACAGAAACCCTCTGAGTTTGCTTTCGAGATGTTGCGAGCAAATTGAAGTTCTCAACAGCGCGTTATGCTTTTGTGACGAACGATTTCAAAAAGTCATGAACGACAACGAACGCAAATTTAGAGCTCTTTTCGCCGCCGTGCCCATTAAATGTAGAAATACCGCGCGAATGCAAATATATTACGGCAGAGCGTGTTCTGCGTACGACGATATTGGTATACCAAACAGTCCACCTCCACCACCGAGGTCGCCGCGACCGCCGAGAGCTTCTCCTGATGTGTCCGCTCCATCCTCCGCCGAAGATTCTGCGAACGAGAATAGAAACGATTGGTCGAATGTGAACGAATCTGAAGAGAATAACAATCGAAACGATCTTTTTGGTTACTGGCGAAAACCAGGAGGGCAAATCTTCAATAGTGGATAAATACCCACGGGTTTGTTTTGTTTAATAAAATAATTTTGTATATTACAGTCAGGCAGTCGTTTTTAAAAGCAAGGTAACCATAGCTGTACGCTCGCAATCTCTTGGCCTTTCGTTTCTATTGTGCGCATGACCCCTCCCGCTTGATGGATCGTATCTGCAGCTATTCGTAATGACTGGTCATCTTCGGGTATAATCACCGTATCGCACAATCTATTCTCTACATCGGTGACGCGCACGGCGACTAATACACCGAGTGTCATCGAATTATCAACTTCTAATGTTTGAGGTCGTACGGCGACGTCGATTCGTCCTTCGCTCGGCGCCATGACCAGAGCCGAATCAATCATGCGCGCAATCACGGAACGCGTCACGTTTTCGTCGACAGAAACGCACGTAGAACTTTCGTTAGTACCATCGCCTCCTCCATCGATTGGTAAGGATGCAATCATAGAAACACCAGCTGAATTTGCTATTAGTTCCGAAGTCGCCAGCAACGCTGCTACGATGGGCGTCACGTCACACTTTGAGACCGGCTTCGTTGATCTCGAGGAAGACGGTAAGAATATTTTCTGAGACGCACTCTTTGGCGGTTGGTTCAGCGCTCTACCTATACTGCTGCTTCCGCTGTTCATTTTCGATTCAGCGGAAGAAGAATTAGTAGTAGAAGAAGATCGATTGTCACTGGCGGAAGGTAAGGATGCAGCAAACGGAGATAGGCCTTCGTTTGGATACAGCGCGTCTTCGAGCTGTTGACTCAGCGTAGCGAGAATATCTCCCTGAGCCATGATAGCATCCGCCATGTCACCAGCAGGTGACTCTTCGTCGGCTTTCAGATACGTTTTCAGCATACCGGTCATCGTGCGGAGTGCCGAGAGTGGCACCCGTGAGTCATATAAATAGTCTCCAACGTTTTGTTCTTGTGCGTATGTTTTCTTCATGAGCAAGACCGCGCGCTTTTGCATGGCCCATACGGGCACAAATGCTTCAGCTCCATTCTTCAAGCACTGTCGCTCTCGCTCGCCAAACTGCTCTTCTCGATCTACGTTTTGATTCAAATTCATTCGTCTTTTACTTCGGTTCTTTCCTTTACCTTTTCCTCCGCCTGAGGACCCGAACCCCGCCGCCGGTGAGTTCGTCGATATATCTGGGAGTGGCAACTCTCCGACGAGTAAACCGATGAGCAAACCTTCCAAGGTCAACGGAACAACCATTGCGTTCGTTGAAGGTAGGAAGAAATACTCTTTGTTCAACAGGAGTGTTTCGGCGGTGATGTTCGTTTCATCGACCGATGCCCCCCACGCGTCTGAGCCGTTTGATCTACTGAATGATGACGGTACCAACGAAGTCGACAGTTCAAATGTTTCCTTGCTGCTGCTATTACCGTTATCACTGTTGTTAAGTGTGCCACCGTTGTTATCGAATACGTCTCCATCTTTTGTATTGTTCATTTCTTCTTGTTCTGAAACCACGTTGCTCCAGTCGAACGAGTTGTTTATGGAGGTGAAATTCACCCCTCTGTTCGAAGACGAAGAAGACGAGGAAGAACGTCCTCCTCTATTCGTGCTAGTGCTGTTTGCATTTGAATCCATACCAGTGTACAGGGTTGGAAAAGAGGCGACTTGTGCTAATCGCAAACCTCCTCCCGAGCGTTCTTCGGTGAGATATTAGCATACATTTGGCGTCGTTCCCGAGCGCGTTCGCGACGAGTTCCACGTGTTTTTCGCAATACAGCGCAAACATATCCTCCGTGCTCGATTGCCTCTGCAAAGACCTCGTTTCTTTATCGCCTTCTTCTTCGTCGTCCTCTTCTTTTTCTCCTCCTCCTTTGTTTGCTGTTTGTTGCAACAACGCCGCTTCGCCGCCGTCGTTTTGGTTGGTTCCTTTCGTCGCGAGAATTCTGCTCCGCGCAATTCTGCTCGAATTACGACGAGAAGAATTCTGTGCTTGTTGTTGTTGTTTTCTTCTTCCTCCTCCTCCACTGTACGTCGTCGTCGTCGATGCTAGCAATGAAGACGAATAGCATCTCGTCCGAGCTCTCACTGCAGGAAGACAGTGAGAGAGCCTCGTCGTCGTCGTCGTCGTCCACGTGGAGGTCATATTTGTTCTGAGGAATTGTGAAGACCGAATTCAAAACAGTCAACTTGGCGGCAGAAAAACACACCCCTAAATCTCAATCCGTTTTTGGTACTAAACGCGCTCGGTATTTATTTATTTATTATGCACACAGAGAGAGGCAGATAAGAATACAATCGGAGAGAACATCGAAAGAGAAGACGGAAGCATGGGTTTATCCACTTTCCGCGCTTTGGGATCTCGTCGCGCCTCCTCCAGCGGCAGAGAGCTTTCTGCGTTGATGGAAACATTTGTGTCGTCGTCATCCAAGAACTTTCAGCAAAACGAAGAGCAACAAAAGCAGCGACGCAGATGCTCAACGTCATCGACCTTGAGAATTCCGGATATGCTACGAGATAGAAAGATACTAGCAAAGTGCAATTCTCGACCCATTTCTTGGCAACGCGGATACGCTGCATCGTCAGCGCCGGTACCAGCTGCAGTAGCAGGGGAGAGCTCTTTCGATGTCGTCTCTTCAACCGTCGCGACTGCGTTACAACACGTTCAATTGCACTCGGGTTTACCGTGGTGGGCAACACTAGGCGCCACTGCGTGTATTATTCGCATTTCTATGCTCCCTATCTTATCAAAGCAAATGAAGGCGAGCGTTTTAATTGCACACGCAACGTCCGTTTTGCAGGCCAAAAAGAAACGCGAGGCGGAAAAAAGACTTGCCGACAAGGACGCGGCTTCCATCAACGACGTTCCCGAAAAAGCAGCAATTTTCAACGACGTTTCAGAAACGTTACGAATAGCTAACGCTATTCGTCAGCGATTGCCAGACAATTCAACCGCGCCGCATCCGTACTGGCTCCTTGCGGCTCCAATGATTCAGCTCCCAACGTTTGTTTGTGCTATTTCAGGCGTTCGAAGTTTAATATCGAAAGCGTCGAACGATGTCGCTTCTGGTCATCAGAGTGCGTTGTATGCGGACCTTTCCAACGGTGGTATGTTTTGGTTTAGAGATTTGACGCTGAGTGGATTAGATTTAACGAATTTGTACGCGCCCATGGGCATGTATGGCGTAATACTACCTTCGCTCACCGCGGCGATGGTGTTTGCAAACATAGATTTGAATTTTAGTAAAATAGCGACTGCAAACCCCGTTTTACACATGTGGAAGGGTCTCATTCGGCGTGCGTCCGAAT